CTCTCTATATAGTTAACTACTCTATCTTAGTATATCTTAGTTAAAGTAATATTACTAATTATCTTCTTATCTACTAGTTATATTATAGTCTATATAGGTTCTAACTATATTATACTATATTTATAGTGCTTTAGTAAAAGCTTCTTAAGTACCTAATCTATTTATAGGTTATACTTTTATAACTAGAGAATTTCTAATATAATATTATAGGTAGCTATCTTAAAAGTATCTAAAGTAATTTTCTTATAGTATTCTTAGATAATTATTAAAGTAGATAATACCTTATAGATTATTTCTAATTTCTTAGGTATAGGTTCTCTATTAGCTACTTATAGTAGGTAAGGTTCTATCTTCTAAGTAGAGTATAGTCTAGCTAGCTATATTACTTATAAAGAGATATAGTTAGACTATAATCCTAAGTCTAATAGTGCCTATATCTATACTCTACCTAACTTAATAGAGAGTAATATAAGGTAATTAGTACTAATATTATTAATAAATTAATCTCTAGTATATATTATTTATACTAGTATAAAAAAGACTTATTCTTGCTATTAGTATTATTAACTTATTTAAGAAATCTATACTATCTCTTAGCCTTCTAGTAGCCGTTATAGTTATTATATAGGTATTATTACTAATATAGGTTTAAGTAGTAATTATTAATTAATAACTATTTAATATATATATATACTAGGTATCTTTCTCTTCTAGAAAATAGTATTATTCTTATTTATCCTATAAATAAACTTTATATATATTATTTTTATACTTATACTATTTATTATAGTAGTAGTATTTTATACTAGAAAACTATGTACTATTTATTTTATTATTATAGTATACTATATATAAGTTAGTGCTATAGGCTACCTATAAAATAGTATAATAGAGAAGGTTTCTTATATCTATTAGGTACTAAGGCATTATTCTTTACTATATAGGCATTTACTTAATATTAAGTTTATCTTATACTAGAATATCTTTGCTAGTATATTATAGTATCTTAATAGTTATATAGTTATTTTATTAATAGTCTATAAACTATTTATTATACTATTCTTCTAGTTTCTTTAAGAGTTTATAGATAGATACTAATATATTCTTATAGTTTTTATAAACCTATAGGTCTAATATAACTATAGTTAGTATCTTACTATTATTATATCTCTATAGTAACTTTAGTAACTAAATATAAGCTACTACTAGTTTATTATCTATAATATTAAGTATATTATTATTTTATATAACTACTATATATATTCTTTATTATTATATATTATATATTTATTACTTAGTTATTAGACTATATTAGATTAATACTTAACCTCTAGTTATTAATCTAGAACCTAGAGTATCTAGTTATAGTATTCTTAGTATTTAGTAGATCTATTTAGTTTATTATACTAGTATAGTATAGGTGCTCTACTTTAAACACTTTATTAGTTCTTATTAGGTTTAATATATTTATTATTTATTCTAGATTCTATCTCTAAATCTTCTATAAGATATTCTATATTATTAGTAATTATTTTATAATTACTAGTTAGTATTAGTAGGTCTAACCTTACTAGATATTATATTAAGTTATTATATAACCTTATTCTTGCTATAATAATCTCTAGTAAAGTAGCCTATTTTGCTATAGCTATAGCAAGTTATTAGAGGCTTACTAGTTCTAGAACTACCCTTATTCTTTATATTCTACTATTTAGGTTTTTTGTTAATATTAGAGAGGTCTATAGCCTTAGTGCTATAATAACCTATATTAGTTCTAGTATAGACTTATTATAATATATTAGGCTAGTAGTATCCTCTATACTATCTTTATTAAATATTATTCTTCTATTAGTTTCTAAAGGTCTATAGTATAGAATTAGTAACTCTTACTTAAGAGTTATTTTATAATTCTAGTTATAGCTTATATAGCTTAATATTAATATTAATTATAGTATTAACTAGTTTAGAGAAGGTATTAGTACTAGTACTAGTGCGCATTAGCTCTTCCTTAATCTTTAGCTTAAGGCCTTATCTAAATATATTTATAAGTATAGTATTATCCTAGTTAGTATATATAGTAAGTTATTAGAACTCTATAATATAGTTAGTAGCTAACTTAGTTTATTTAATATATTAGATATTATATCTAGTACTAGAGACTTTATTAAATACTCTAAATATAGCTTTAACTTATATTTTAAAAGTATTAAAGTCCTTTATCTAGATATCTACTTTATCTAGAGCTTTGCCTATATTATATTATTATATAAAGGGTTTAATCTATTTAAATACTATGCTATATATATAGCTACTAGTAAATATAACTCTATTAATCTTCTTAATATACTAATCTAAAATAAGAAGAATAGGGTCTATTATATAAGCTAGTTATTAAGCTTACTTTATTTACTAAAGTAGAGATTAGGTTTATTAACTATAATATTACCTATATAGGTAGCACTATTATTAGTTATATCTATATTATTAGATATTAAGCTAGAGGTAGCTTAGTTTCCTAAGGTAGTAGATATCTTAAGAGTATTTAAAATATTAAGGTTATACTTTAAGTAAAGCTTATAAGTACTATTTAATTAGTTCTTAGAGATAAATACTATTAGGGAAACTAAAATGGTCTTATACTAAGGAGTATAGATATAATCTATCTATCTTAAGAGTAAGAGATAATAATAAGTAGTATAGAGTAGACTATCTAGCTTAAAGGTTAAGTTAAGATCTAATATTATAGATTAATACTTAGGTTAAATATAAACTATAAGAGTTATATTCCTACTTGCTATATACCTAAAGATATTCTATAGTTATTCTAGTATTTTATAATATACTAATATTAGGATACCTTAGAATATTATAGGATTTCTTAGAATAGTATATAACTTATTCTATAGTAGTATTCTACTAAGACTTTAGAATAGAAGAGGTTATAATATTATTAGTTCTAAGATACTAACCTTCTTAAAGACCTTTAGATTGTCCCTAAGTATTATTAATCCTTCTATCTCTTATCTTCTACTATGCCCCTTCTAAGGTTTATAATAGTAAGTATCTAATAAGCTTATTCTAAGTTATACTAGTATTTAGTATTTATACTATTACTATTAGTATTTTATTTTCTACTAATAAAGACTTTTTTTTTAAAATATTTACTATTATAAATACCTATAATATAGATATATAGCAAGTAGTATAGTATACTAAGTAGTATACTTTTACTAAGACTATACTAAAATATACTTCTTATACTAATATTTCTTTAATAATAATAGTTTAATATATTAAAAGAGAGTTAAATATATTTTATACTTAAAGCTCTTAAATAAGATATAAACTTCTTAGTATAATATACTATAGCTATCTATAGTACCTCTAAAACTATACTTTCTATAAAATATATAGAATAACTTTTATATATTAATACTATAGCTAACTTATATAATCTAACTAGTACTAAAAAGTAGATAATTATTATACATATACTTAAGCTATTTATATATAAAGAGTTCTCTTAGCTTATAATTATAGCTAATATAGCTAATCTTTTATTAAAAAAGTATAGTTTAGCTTTTATTAGCTTAAAGTAGGCTAGTAGGTTTATCTTATATTAGAAAAAGCTTAAAATAGTCTTTAATTATAAGTATAATTATAAGTAAGCTCTTTATAAGAATTCTATAGTAATCTAGAGCTAGTTTAGCCTAGTAGCTAATATTAAAGCTAAGTATAGTATTCTAGATAATAATATATATAACTTTAATAAGATAGGCTTTATAATAGGCTAGATATCTACTAGAGATATTATTATAAATATAGAAAAGCTAAAATATATAAAGTAGGTCTAGCTAGGTAACTAGAAGTAAGTAATAGTTATTAAAGATATTAATACTATAAGATAGGCTATTTTACTTTATATTATCTTTAAAGCTTACTAATATCTATCTAACTAGTATAAGAATAATAATCTACTCTAAGATTAAATAATAATTATTATTAAAAATAGCTAGACTACTAATTAGCTTAGCTTTAACTATTTAAAGTACTTTAATAGGTATATAAAGATATATACTATTAGTACCTATTATTTACTAATTATTAATAGTTATAAAAGCTATAACTCTATAAAATTTAAGTAATACTATAAAAATTATAAGACTATAACTCTATATATATCTATTTACTTATTATATCTTTTATAGCTACTTAATATTACTTATTTTAGCTTTTAAAGAAGGTATAAAAAGATAAGATTAATTAGCTTATATATAACTAGATTAACTATATTATAAAGTAGAAGTTTCTACTATACTTTAAAGTAGCCTATAAGAAAGTAATTACCTCTAGTAATATCTAAAAAGAGTTCTAAAGCACTAGATTAGTTTCTTTTAACCTAGAATAAGTTATATTAACTCTTAATATAAAGCTATAAACTCTATTACTACTACTCTCTTTAAATAATAAGCTCTAGAAGTTATAAACTCTAAGTAATACCTTAGAATTTAAGTTATAATTAACTCTAATTTAAGATAAGTATAAGAAGAAGTAAAGTAGCTTACTTACCTATATTCTAAGTATATTTAAGTACTATATAAAGAGAGAAGTAATTTTATTATATAAGCTAGCTTTAGTATAGTAGAAGAATACTAAGCTTTATATAGCTTTAGTAGCTACTATAAAATATAAATTATATAAAAGAAAGTAAATTTAAAAAAGAGAGTCTCTACTAGTTAAGAAAAGCTAATAGTTAGTAGCTTTAATAAAGTTTAAGGTATATAGTAATAGAAAAAAGAGAAAAAAGTAGATATATACTAAAGAAGGTAAACTATTCTAATAATATTATAGATAGTATAAAGAGAGTATATATAATATATAAATATATAAGAATACTATAGAAAAGGTCTCTAAGTAATATTATATACTATATAACACTTTATAAGACTAGATTATAGTATTTTTAGCTATAATAGAGTAAGTTTTAGTATAGTCTTAGTAAAAGTATACTACTTAGTATACTGCACTACTTACTATATATCTATTTTATCTCTACTATTATTAAATATAGAAACATAGGCCTAATTATACTCTACCTAGTGTTTTTTGTAAGTCTATTATCTTTCCTACTATTACATGTAATTAACCTATAACAAAGGCAAACTATACCTTGTAACTAGTCTGTCCCCACGCGTTTAGGATATCTACTAGATACCCTCTTTTGTCCCGCATGCTTATACTCGCATGTGTGTCGTCTAGCATCCTTAGCCTAACCCTCTCCTTCCATATTACGGGACCCTTGTCCTCTATCTCGCCGGCTCGCTGCTCGTTCTCTGTCCTCAACTGCTGCGCAATCGTCCTGCCATGATTTGGCGGCACATTCCTGTCCTGACTCCCGTACCACAACACAAACGGTAAATCTTTCTGGATATCCTGTACCTTAAACCCCCAATCCGTACACATTGCATATCCATCCTTGTACAAAGCGTCAAAACCCTGCTCGTAGCTCGCTCTGGAAGTAGCGATATACGCGCGCATCTCATCTTCGTTGCCGAAGAACCCTCTATCAGCGTCGTTCATACCCTTGGTGCGATCTGGCGATAGGAAAATCCGCAAGCGCTCTTCGTCAGAGAGCTCCAAACTGTCGGCGCTATCGCGCTGGAAGAACCACCGCACGAGAATCTGGGTGATCTTCCTATCAGCATAGCGCCAGCCGGCTGTGAAACCCAAGTAAGTAGGCCATCCAGCGCCAGACATGCCAATGTCTGACGGCCCTATGCCACAGATTAGACCCACAACTTTCAGCTTATGCTTCGGAAGGCCATGAGCGAGGGATAGCGCGTAGGGGCCGCCACCGGATACGCCCTGTGTGTGTGTTAGGTTCGACGTTACGTATGCCCTTGCCCTGCCTCACTTCTCGGGGATAAGTGCAAGGTTGTAGACGTACCATTACAGCGTACTCGTTGAGTCTCAATCCTTCCGCGAGTTCATTGATGTCGCTCGCCCAGCTCTTTATTGTCCTCGCGCCGAACTTCTCGAACGGACTACTCCACCCATATCCCGGGCGATCGACGCTGATGATCCTGAGTCCTAGCTCTTTTCCTAGTTCATGGTACCCGCGTCGCCTCGATGCGACTTCCCGGAAAACCATGTTGGTACAGAACAGGCTTACCATCCGGGTCGCCGTAGTCTGCGTAGCCAAGCTTACGGCCGTCGCTTAGCGAGAAGGTGTGCGAATGCGAGTTATCGAGAATGTACTTGCAATTTTCCGCGCCAGAAAGATTGATAGTACTTGGCGTGGTATCCTTGCGACGCGTGAGGAGGTAGACTATGCTACCTGTGCCTATGGCGCCGAGTGTGCAGTAAAAAACTTTGTAGGATCCCATACTGTGTTCAAAGGATATGGGTTTAGATTGCTTCAAGCACGGGTAGTGTGATCAGACTATGTAGCTTTACAGACCCTTATATACCTATTTCGTTACGTCGCACAGTCTGACAAACAAGATTTAGAAAGAAGATCGGGACTATGACTGACGATGCACCGAGATAGGGTCACGTTGGTCAGAAGAAGAGAGGATGCTGACGTGCGCCTATGTCGAACGGGTTGCGGTCGGAACGGTTCGGAACGCCCCTGCCTGATGTCGGACCATGGCCACTGAAGTTGCGATCACAATCGGTTTTCGGCAACCGAACCGCATCATTTGGAGAACACCGTAATTGACCTGGTTTGGTTTGGTTTGGTTTGGTTTGGTTTGGTTTGGTTTGTTTGCTCAACTCGGTCTGGTCTGGTTTATTTTGGTTGCCCTACTCGGTTGCAGCAGGATACTACGCAGCTACACCCAGGGTGACAGGCTGTGGCAGACGCGGACGCGGTGTGTATGTCAATGCGCGCCGCCCATTTCATCCCTCACAAAGAGAGGATGCTTCATCACGTAATGTCAACCTGTTACCAAGTCCAACCACACCATACCTCATCTCCTTCTTCAATGCCCTTTATCCAATCGCAGGCTTTAGTGCATACCTATTCATCCACGTGTAATCTTCAACCTGTTCGATAAATTCAGGCTCGATATCGTCGTCTTCTTACAACGTCCTCTTGGCACGCTACACATGTTCTTCACTTTGACCCAGTAAGCTCCGTAATGATCGATAGCAGTAGGCTTATGATGATGCTCAAAGGTTGCTGACTTACAGCGACGTCATGAGATTACGTTGCACCCCAACTCTGTCTTGCACACACGTGACTAGGGCCACCAGCCAAGTATGCAACACGAATAATGAGTCATCGTGTGTGAAGGTGACACAAGTTCGACTGTTTTGCAAGCTCCTGATATGACCACTGCTGTAACCTATATGTAGCATGCACAACTTCTCATCGCTGCCGTCCTGTGGTCCTTCCAAAGATGGAACTTTTTCGTTTACCCGAAGAACTACCTAATTTCAAATCATACTAGAAAACGTACGTAGCACGCGAAGTGAAGTTTTCCTGGGCTGAAAGCGATACCTCAGCTGTCCAGAGTCGATGTTCAGTGCCGCAGTCTAGTGTCTCGCGCCGCCCGCATGCGCTGTCAGCCTACAATATTCAGTTCCATTGCTTTTTATGATACCAAGCCACTCGCGATCCAGGGTTGTAATCAAGTTCTTGGACGAGTGAGCAATACCAAGTACGAGGCTATATCCAGTGTGAAGGATGTCACCGTAGGCTACAGCTCAGTAGAGGCTATACTACCAGAATCGTCGTTGTTGCGAGCGCTGTCCAACGTCGCGAGACCTCAAGACACTCACTTGGCGCACATGGTTGCCTACCTGATAAGCGCTCATATCCTAAACTGTCTCCACAACACCTATACACCCCTCTGCGTCTCTCATCGGTGTGGCTCAGGAGCGCAACAACCAAGCACTATACGAACAGCTGCTGTTGTCGCCTCAGCTGCGCACGCTTGATGTCAAATTCAGTGCACTGTTCGGAAGACAGTCGGCGAGGTCTACTGGAAAAATTGAGATGAAGTCACTCAAACACCTATGCAAAGCAACACCTTGAAGATCTTGTGGATCTGTTTCTCACAATTAGTTCGGCGTGGGTCCAAAGCGGTGCAATCGATTCCACAAGTCTAGCTCGGATAGAGACAACGGCGGGTTGTTCCAAACCCAGAGCCAGGATATGCTGCCGCCACCAAATGGACTCGTCTTATGAGACTTTATAGTGTAGCGTTGCTGTCAAGCTGTCAACAATTGCTATCCGTGGCAGCAGCTGCTCCGCTACACCATCCGCCCATCGCCACACCTTGCCCTCATCCACAGGGTATAGTGGCATGTTACGTCTCGAATCAGCTGCCTGGGGAGCTGGATTTTTCCCCAGCAACATCCACAAGGCGCGATAATGCCAGTGCAGGTGTGGCTCCTCGTCAATTTCTTCAACTTGCGATGGACGCTGTGGCTGTGAGCCTACAGGAGCCTACTCCACAGTCGTGGTAGCAGCTAACGTAATCTACGCCTGCTCATTTACCTCGTTGTCATCAGCTGAGTCAACGTTGGCCGCTGGGCCATCATCTGCATCCTCATCCTCCGCCACAAAAGCGGCCCCAGCGGGTTCGGCGTAGCTCAATTATCCGGCAGAGACGGGTCTTGCCAGCGTACGAGACGCTGTACGGTCAGTGGTGGAGTTAGAGGAGCAGGATTAACACTTTTTTTCAAATAGCTGCGTGGCTCTCCGCTGATGTTTTGCAGACCTGCTGCTCTGGCTGTCTACCGGCGGAATGGCTCTCTAGCTCGATATACGCTTCATTGTAACTACAACACTATTAAACCATTTTAGCATTAGCAAACTGGCTATCTAAGCTTCTTCGAAGAAGTACATTGATAGGAATGTAGTAAGTGCTGTAGGATACTGTTTGTACTACAACTTCAAGCTGCTGACAAGTTTAATCTAGTGTTATGATATTGCACTAAGTTACGGGGTGGGGCTATTATTCCGCAAATAACATCTATATGGCGGTAGAGCCGAAGTTAAGAGTTTTAAAATAGTATGCAGAGAAGCAAAAAGCACTAAAGAGATGAGTTGGGCTAGCAAGAATTTTTGAAAGCCATCTCTATAGTAACTACTATGTATACTGTCACTTGCAGCTAAACAACAAATAGGGGTACCTGTGGGGACAACCGAAGTTTCCTGTATGTTCTAACCACGATCCTTGTGTGCCTGCATGCATGCCATGGGTGTCGTCCGGCATCCGCCGTTTCCCCATTTAGCAACGCATAATGCGGCGCAACTTCCGCGCACAGCCTAGCTCAGATATTATCTCAACCTTCATGACTGATCGAGGTACTTTTAACAGTAATATATCAATAATCAACACATTGGCAAATGTGAGGATCTTTCAATGTGTATCGGAGGGCGAGCAGTTCTCGGTGGTGCGATTGCACAGACAGCATCAACGTCTGGAGGAAAAGAGCCTGCAAACTCTGGAGGGCGAACGAGCAAGGAAACATAGCTTGAGAGCAAGTTAGCCGGCCTTAGAACTGATCGCAGGTTACGTAGGCTAACTTACGCTACTAGGTACATACGAGTACCAAGCCAGTTACCTTTACTGTCTTGTCCATCGCCACCGCATCTAATCCACAGCTACGATCTGCTCCGGTGGGTCCGTTTTTCTTGCTCCTCTGAGCTTACACCGTTGCATGAATGGCACGGACAAACGTGAACAAAACGATAGCTTATTCTATTACCTTCCGACAAGTACCCCCTTACTCTTGCGTGTCTCTCTTACGCAACATCCCTCCCTACACGGCGGTGGGCAGGAAACAGCAAGACACAGCGTCGGGTCGGGACATCGGCTATCCATGCACTCTCATTGGCTGTTCTCGGCCCACCGCATTTTCGCCGGGTAGGGATGTTAGTGTGTTATACGAGCGCATTGCCTATATCCTAGGTCCATGCTACGTAGTGCAATACGAGGCGAGGCAGGAGGCGGTGGGCATGCGTGACGTCCTGCAGACCGCTCTTGACATATTTGTACGAGGTACGGAGTTTGTTCATGACAGATCGACATCTTGATTATACGAAGTACGGAGTTTGTTGATTAAAAGATCATCAACACTTCTTATAATTAAAACATCATCACCGCACAACAACCTTCAATACTACGCTCCAAAACCACCAAAAATCAAACCCTTCCCAAGCGCCCAATTCAACCATCACAATGCAGTTCACCATCACCCTTTTCACCCTCGCTGCTGCGACCGCCGTCAACGCCGCCAACGCCGCTTCCCACCTTGGTGCCTGGAATGTCACCATTTCGAAGTCCGCCTACGCCAACGGCTATCGGTCGCAGACCGTTCTCGCAGACTTCGCTTCCGACGCCTACGCCGGTGACGACATCATCCGTACCGTCTGCAAGTACGAGTACAATCCTACTGCTGACCCCAAGGAGACCAAGAGCTGCGAGCCCAACACTTTCTCCTATGAGTACGATGGCACAAGTAAGTTTATTCATCCTCTTTGTACCCCTGATAAGCAGGAGATCAACTGTTTGAAGCAAGATGCTAATTCGCAAACTAGCCGTCAAGGTCCAGCAGAACGTCGAGAAGCCCAATCCCATGACCGTCTTCGGCGAGGCTCCTCTCGAACTCAAGCTCCAGGCTGGCTCTGGCAAGACCGCTAAGGGTAACGCCATCTTCGATGCTACCCGCGCCATCGCGTAAACATCAGAACGTCAGCATCCGCAATAGACATGTATACAAGAAGGAGGACATGACTGCGCATATCACAAAGACAAATGAGCTAAAAGTTCAATGTAGCAACTTTAATTGAAACTACTTTGGCTACTTACCACGAGCGCATAATGCACTATTCCCATGTTCATGTTAATGAAGGGAAATCGCTGGACTAGGAGAGGAAATGCCGGTACCCTCATGTTATTCCACTCTAAACCGACACCCTAGCAATTCACATTCTGCTGATTGACCGAACAAGAATAAAAAGAAGGACAGTCACGCTTCACCAAATAGTTGAGCAGTAACGCCTCCCATATAACCTTCTTCCAGTTTGTAGTCCTCACCACCGATGCGGACGATACCGACGTATTCAAATGAGGCGACACCTGCTTCGACGTTGGAGCCCTTTACAACGAAGCGATCCACCAGGTCCCTGTTATGACTCTTGACGCGGCGACGTTTGATTTCTTTTCTTTCTACTCCATTTGTTGGGTCTTCTTATAAATGGACGCTGCTGTTGCTCCTCCGCTGCCTTCAGTAATCCTCTTCTTGCGTGCACTAGCGAACGTGACTGCCCACTTATGTGCCTTGTGTTTGAACTAGCAGGATCTTAAATCGGCATTCCGGCGACCTTTGTGGCTTGTGGATTCTTCGGATCGTTCATGCTATCATCGCTTGCGAAATGCCATAACCATGTACCGTAAATTGCAGTGCTTCATGTGCTCGGGAGATGTTGTATGGACAACTCTGATGTTTCACAACTAAGTGCAATTGTGCAGTACAATATTCATGAAAGCAGTACAGGTGCATCTTATCTGTGTCGCACGGTTGGGTGCGGATATCATAGACAGACTGATTAGTCAACGTTATGCCCCGAACATGAACCATGTTGATGCTGAGCAAGCATATCACAATTACGTGGCGTCCTCAAGCAATTCACGTTGCCTATAATCCACGTCTCAGAAAATGTCTGCTCCATATCAATTGCCTGCTGGATCACCTTCAGCATGTGTTATGGTTGATACTGGTTATCCTGATATGGTACAGTCCAAACCTGGTCAAATCCGCACCATACCTTCGATTGGTAATAGAAAACATGTATTGGAGGCTCGCAAGCGCTTTCGTCAGATGTGACGAAAGTGCTCTGGTATCATACCATGCAAAAGCCACCAGGAGGATGAGGCCCAGTGTTCGTCTACTGGCGAGAGGTATCGTAAGCAATTCAAACATTCCTCAAGCAGACAATTCAAACTGTCTTCCATACAGACCACTACGGCGTTCGTATTTTATTGCTGTTCGCCATCCTACAGCCCATAGAGGCTGAGATAGGTTACCCGCTGGCCGCGAACGTCTCCAGTCTAATCAGATTAATGCCTACCAGCACCTTACCTTGCCCCGACGGCTTGGAACTCAAACATGTTATCCTTGCCGTTGGCCCCCAGAGTCTTACATGTCTAAGTGGGGATGAGGAAGACACTTCAGTACATACTGGGGCAATCGGTGAGTGAGTGTGTCTTCGCTTTTCTCGAGACTATCAAAGAGGACACAGAAAGACAGAGGCTCAGGCGCTTGTAGGTTCTGATATTTCAGGCGAGAGATGTCTATGACTTTAGTAGTCACCTGTCGTATGGCTCCGCAGACTTGTTCCTGTCGTTGCCGATGGAGCAGCTCGGAAACCAGACCAGATCGCTCGCGCTCAAAGTGCAAAGCAGCTAACAGTAGCAAAGCACGACTCTATGAATCATTGCTGGTGCAAAAATTCAGTTCGACCGGATCGTCATGTTCTCGTCGGTGCTCTCAATCAACAGGTAGAGAGTGGGTGGTCAGACAGCGGTACGCCTCGTAAAAGGGTGGGCTTGATTTTGGATTCTTGAAAAAAGGGACGTAAGGGATAGGGAAGGCCCCTATGGGACTCAGAGTGTCCTAAGTAGATATATGCGGGATATCACGGTGACTATATGGTCGGAGGGACCATAAATTGCATACGTGCTTTGCGTAGGTACACTATGGTAGCAAAACGCGCATGTGGACAGCAACACTTCGATGCCGTCGCCACCTAGAAGACTGCCAACGTCTTAATTGCCAGATCATCGTCTGTAGGTCATCCGGTGTGATGAATAAGGCTCTGGTGAGAAACCCTGAGACCTTTCCCGTATGGTGGTGTAGAAAATCAAACGCGTAGGCCACTTTTTTCGTTCGAGGTCATTTACGGGGAAGCTGATGCCAGCAATGACCGCGGATGTCGTGCGAGAGCCTGAGTTGCTGAGAACCTTGCTGCCGTAGAACTTGGTCTTCTTGGCCACACCAGATGTCTTTGAGCCAACCGTACCTGCGATGTAAGTGCCGTGATCATGGCCGTCGTTATTCATACCGTCGCTGGCAAAGTTAGCAAAGAACAGAGCCCGCCACTCAAAGTCGGGGTGCGCAGCGTAAATCCCTGTGTCGATAGGGTTAGTCCGCTCATCATGACGCCAAGAAGGCATCATCAATGCATTTGCCAGTGCGATGGTCTCTCTGATTAGGACATATCGATGTGACAAGGATTAGAGTCGGCTCCATGAACCGGAACGACAAAGTGGTGGCCTCCAACTTCAGTGCCGAATCGGACAACACAAAGGTCGTTGGGGTGGGCTTAATGATGACCACTGTAATGGCTCGGAGTTGCGGCAAAGCCTTGAACATCCCGGCGGTGGTCATTCTGGTCCTGGTTAGCCCACTGTCCTGATCGGCTTGACTGCCCCCTAGAAAGCGTTAGGTCCAGGGTCTCTAGACAGCTTCCAAATCTAAGGCACAAAGATATTTCTTTGTTACAACCTCTTTGCGGATCTTAGACCCCACTCTTTAGTGAGTTCTGACGTTCATAGGGGTAATAGGACGTACCCCGCATCTGTTCTCGCAGATCATTTCCTGCATGTGGCTGATGCAGCCTAATCACTGGCTGTAGCGTTGCAGTAGAGCACCTTATATAGACCTTGATAGACGGGGTCTCAGGCAGGTAGTTCGTCTTACATAGATGTTTCTGTGTTGTTATTGTCGTCACTAGTACGTAGCACTATTAATTACCAGGATAGCAAGCGCTTGTGTCGCACAATCTCCTTATTACTTGAGCTCCCATTGATCATTTTGATTCTGTATCAGACATTTGAACCAAAAAAAAAACTTCCTCGTATACAACACACTTCCAAAGACCGCACGCAACATGAACAACTCTGATGCAATTCGCCAACCTGTCGATGGTCCCGTCGCAGATTATGTCTACGACAAGCGCGAGCAGACTGGCCTACTCACGCGCTTCGTACCAGATAGAATAAAGGGAGGCGCCTTTTATCGCATGCTCCTTCGTGCAACTCGCGTCCTACAGTTCCTGTCATCTGTCATCTCTCTTGGTGTCTTTTCCCAGCGTCTTTACAAAGTGTACCGTCTTGTCAACTCCATCAAGACACGCCGCGGTGTCAATCGCGCTTACGGGGCCGTTGAAGGCATCCTCGCTGCAGCAGTTCTCTACACCCTCATCACCATTCTTTTCGGTTGCATCAAGAAAAGCGCCAATCCCGGTGGTCGTGTACTGCGCTGGGTTTGGATATTGTTAGATCTCCTGTTTGTGGGTGCCTTTATTGCTGTCACTGTACTTACCAGACCCAACGGTGGCCTTGCTGGCGCGAGACATTGTTACAGCCCGTCGCGTCTGCGCAATAGTAGTTCAAGCGATGTGATGGGTACAACAGCCGATCCTCAGGACGACTCCTGCAATCTTCCCTGGGGCACATTTATTCTGGCCATTATCAGCACGTAAGTTACACCATGTCCTTTCAATAAGCCTTGACTGTGGAACTAACGGTGTCTTCAGCCTTCTTCATGCTATTACTGCCTCTTTCCATGAGATCAAAGATCACCGTCGAAAGGCAAGAGTTGATCACGAGAAGGTTGCAGATCATCAGCAGGCAGCAAGAAGTCGCTACTAATCTCTAGAGGTGATTTAGAAGCAAGTCTTGCTTTGTATCAATCTATATTCCGTAGCTCTACAATAATGAGCTGACTTTGTACTATGCCTTGGTAAACTTAACTTTATTGCGCAAGTCCTTTACTCACGCACAGTTATCTTTAAGTAGTGATGCACAAGCAAGAAATCACTCTTAATGTTTGGTTCGTCGCACTCTTGGCAAATTTGGGCAGATCGAAGATGTACAGATTTGACAGCAGGGATAGTCAATCACACGACCTCTCATAATACAGACTGCAACCTATCGCTATCTTCTTTTCCCCAACGACAAGAGAAACAGAGTGAAGTACCAAAATGCTATATCATGAATGATACACAATGCAATGCAGAAGGTGCTTCAGGGCATTTTAGAAGAATTCAGAGATCCACATGCCATCGTTGGGAATCTGCGTCTCAAATGATCCTGTTGGTCTGAAAATACCGTGTATCCCACTCCGAGATGAATGCCATCTTGGATACTATGGGGACTGAAGCGTCGCTGTCGTGCGAATCAACTTGAACAGAGTTTCGCGCCAGGGATAGACCAAGAAATCGAGGCAACATGAGTGCCATCTCAAAGTTGCTAGATGATGCTGCGTAGCACAACTGTACTTGGGATGACTCGGTTTTGCCACTTGATTGAGCAAGAGCACTCTTCTCAATTCAGCACTGATCATGAGTCACACTGGTCTGTAATCGTTCGCATAAGCAATGTCTGGAAGGAGTGCATTTATCTAAAGGATGTTGAAACTTTGTAAGCTGTGAAGTGAACCTGATAGTTGAGCTTTTTTTCTACGTTCAGGTTTGGTATTTTGCTTGAGTGCATCGAAGTAATGAAAAGGAAGTCCGTTGTGATCCATGGACAACTAGACGGGGAAAAAGGTAAGGCAGAATCAAGCACGTGTGTCTGTACCCAATTGCAAACCAAAAACTGCAGATTGGTCAAATGCAAGGGCAGGATGGAAATCAAGGGAGAGAGTATCTAGGGGGGAATTTGCGGGGGTCTAATGATTGAAAGACTCGCTTTTGGGGAAATGGGGGTGCAACCCTGTGCATATATGCCGTCCTTGAATGGCGTATCTCGCGCCTTGGTCTTGATGTGCCAGGTGCTGCGATACCATTGTAATCTCCGAGGATCTGCGACGTCGATGGGTAGACCATTCTAGTCCCATGAACCTCGATAAATAGTCCAGTATCTGCTCAAATGTAACAGTATGTTGTTGTAGTGATAGCACTGATGCTCAGGACTTGGGTTTGACCGGAATTCGTATTTCTGGACGTATCATCGGTATCATTCACGCGCTGTCGCTTCCGCGACTTGCCCGTGGGGTTGTGTGTTTTAGGGTACTTTGCTTGTGCGAAGAGCTCTGGATCCAAACGCCACGATTCAATATCACGGTCGTAGATCCACGGCTCAGCGCTGAATTTGCTGTAGATTGTTTCAACACCCGGAGTTTTGTGAAGTATCTGGCCATCCCATGGCATAATTCGTTTGATACGCGACTCTGGAATCCTGCCAAGCGCGAGCCACTCGTAATCATGCCCATCAGCGAAAAGCATCCGGCGTCGGTCGTGACCATGAGGCTGATCTTTCAAATTGGACATCCTCAACTCTGTTATTGATAACCAAAGCTCTGCGTCTGCCGCCTCAAATTCATCTATAGTGATTGATGAACCATCTGCGGGTTTCAGACGCGCACTGACCCAGACTGGAAGATCCGCTGGAAGAGTAGTCACTGTAGACTTGAGAGACTCGCCGGGCGTGACCTTAGTAAATACTTTCCAAGTCGTCTCGCAGATGCCGGAAACGGTAGCGGGAACAAGGTCAGCTGTGCTGATTTCTGCCACAGATACTCTATGTCCGATCCGTTGACCTATAGAGTAATGGAAGTCTGCTCGTCGCTGGGCGGGGTCTAAAATCATCAGTCCGTATCTCTGTATCAGTGAACTCAGACATACCCAAGTCATTAAACACCGATATGAATGAAGACGGGTCACGCTTCTTGTTCCAAACCAGATGACGCTCAATTCTCGGTTTGGTCAACTCACGCCTGAAATCAACGTTTCCAACAGCTTGGAATGCGTTGCCTTTCCTAATCTTTAGCTTCTGCCTTTCGCGGTGCTTGACGTGGGTGTCCTTGCTGACACGCGAGCTCAAGGTTATTGAGGTTTCATAGAACGTGCGGTAGAAGAAAGGAGGAAGGATATTGCTAGTCCCTTGGGTACTTGCCCTTAAGGCTTCAGAGGTCTTGTTGAAAGATCTGTCCTGGTCAGCTTTGGGAAAGTGAATTTTAGTGCACTGACATCTCAATTGGATCTAAGAGTCTTGCTGAGAACTCTTCGCGCTGTTTCTCGCCCAAGCGCTGTTTTCTGCAATCGTCATCTTTGCCATGGATCGGGCACCGTAGGTCATCATCACGGCTCTCTGTCGATTCCAAAACAGAATTGCTATCGTGAGAAGAGGTTGGAATATCATCGCGTGTTGGAGTAGCTACAAATCCAACGACGACTGTGTGAGGTTCTGGCGCGGATGCAGGCGGGCTCTCATCTACTGTGGCTGGAGGCATGGCGTTTGCGACAGTTCAGAGATGCTTCAGAGGTGACTTGCGGACTTGTAAGCGCAGCTATGGTCTCGTAGAAGGAAAACGATGGTAGGAGAAAGATGATGTCGTATTTTATTATATCGTATTGGAGAGAACTAGTTCGACATCAAGTACTTCCTTTATACCCAAACGCGCTAGGGCAACTCACAAGGTGAGAGAAGGACCTTGCTATCGAGGTAAGAGAGAGGAAGGATAAAAGCTCTGAAGGAAGGGTCGAGACGTGCCCGGCGAGCTTATATACAAGGTCACAATATTGATCAGGCTCCTGAGGTCTGGTCTTCTGTGCATGGATGTAAAGTATCGGATAGAGTTCGGAGGCGTTCAATGTATGTAACGAAGGCTGGGCCGAGATAGACAAGTACATTTGGCCCTAAGTAGCAGAATAAGCAGTGTCAAAACTGCGATGGCCGTTTCAGCCGCCAGCATCAGCATTGGATATCGTTGTAGAACATGTAAAGCCAGCATAGATATTAGAATGGTGGGAAGCCGTGATCTTACAATCAACCACTCGTATGGCCCATGCACAGTATCCCTGGATTTGATAAAACTCTGATGGCGGCCCAGTTCTGAAGTAAAAGAACAATGGCGAGGCGATTAAGGACTACTAAGAAACGAAGGGCTCGCACGATCGTATTTGGGGCACAAAGTGAGTGAAGTCTGAGTATAGCTTAAGTCGCAGGAGTCCATGCCTTCTACACACATACCGTTAGTTTATTGCGATAATTGAATGCATAATAGCGAGGAGAGTCGGCTGTGCTTGTGGGCAATCATGTCGCTGTTAGTAATACCGATTGGGACGTGTATGTATCAGCGGAGCAGGTCAGCGCCATATATTCGCCGCACTCACGAGCACAAACAAGCGCGAAAGACCATGATGGCACGTGGCCTTCGCTGAGTAGATTAACATTGTGGAAATCTTCTTGGGTTACAGCGCCTGCATGATGCGGAATCGACTAGCATTGGCGCTTAGTAGGGTGGCTTGGTGAATATCCACAAATTCGAGGTGGCCTGATAGGAAAGACATGAGTCGAAAGAGGACATGCTTGGAGACCCATTGTTGGGCGACCAAAACAAGTATCTTGGAGAGCAAGACCTCATATACGAAAATGTGATCCCTCCTGCGGACAATGGGAACTCGCCAACGTGCTTTTGGAATCTGCCTGTACTCTTGGTCGAGCTAAAGGATGGTTGAGAGATCAGTATTCCGTTTGTGATCTATGATAATAGCATGAAAAGCAAGAAGGGGTTGCGTAGGCTTACATTACCTGCCTCATCGCCTTGCTCAAGTTTTCGATGGGGAGTATTGCGATCCTGATCTTTGTGATGTTCCTGGAAGGAAGTGAAAACAAGCTATCCACCTCATGTGTCTTGGGTGTAAGTGTCGATTCGAAAATTGTGCATAGTTTCGCTCGAACGGATTAGTATCGGATCTTTGCTCTGGAATATCTTTCTCGGATGCCATGGTGGACTCAATCGTGCAAGCCCGATCGCGAAGACTTGCGCACACGATGGCGGGGCTCAGCGGTCAAGAATCGATCAAACCCCCGATCTGTAGTTGTTACGCACCGAATGGGCAGAGCCCGTGGCCAGCTTCGCGGATGAGCTAATACACAATACAATGCGCAATACTATAGCGCCCATGAACCAGAACCATGCATACTGCCCGTGAACTGTCCCGGTAAGTAGTATTAAGGTCTCGAAAGGAGATTAAGCGTGGTGTCGTTGGCTTACAAGTCCTACACGAGATTCGCTGGAAGGAGGGCTGTGTATCGATGAGGGTACCACCTGACCTTGGCACGGTCGCATCGGCAGGATGCATGGATACAAGAGTATTTTCTGGGGCGTGATCCTGTCCCATCTGCGAACGGAAATTTTGAAGGAAAAGAGCGGCCAACACACGAGCTCGCCGGAAAGGTAGAGAGGTTGCCCCCAGCGTCCAAGAGTTGACCGAATCGACGCGCAAGAGACCCGACATCCCTAGATGTGGTAGTGGCCTCGAAGTTCAAACACTATATGCTACTGACACGGATGATCTTCTATACAATGAGGCAGCTGTCGACTCGATCGTTGAAGAACAGGTGTGGATGAGCAAGATGGTGGCGTCATAAGTCCTAGGTGAGTTGGACAGACATCAGAAGGCGACCATAACAAAATCTAGATCCTCGTTTCAGTAGACAAGCATAACCGGTTTCTTGTTGACAGTCTACAGTCTACAGGACAAGTTGTGCGTACATCATGGCTTCCGCTGCACACCATCTGTTCAGGGCGAATTCAATGGCGGCAGAGCTTTAGGAAAAGGTCGACGTTCCATACTGTTGCACATGGCTAGCCAGAGAGGCCATATAAGCAAACGTAATCTATCTGCTCATGACCAATCAGACATAGCTGGGTCCAGATGGTTGGGGTGGAGATATGTTGACGAGCTTTTAAGTACTGCATACGGGCCGATAAGCTTGTAACCGAAAAGCTGGTGAGTACTCTCGCAGCCAATCGCGAGTGTCCAGATATCTGCTGCAGAGAGTACCTAGGTAGGTTTGACGATGCTGTTGGTGCGCTGTGCAGAGTAGGTGACACATTGTACGAAGTGACCTCATGTGCCTCGGAAGGCCCACTTTTTGCTCACCGACCGACTTTTCGCGATAGGTATATACAGACACCTCGGCCCATCGCAACTTCTACAACTACAGTCAACGCAACGCAACTGCAGGTACGTAACAGACAACCCAGCTCGTGATCCTTTGCATTAACAACGATCTCAGGCAATCTTTCACCCATTTTGTTCGCTCAGCTACCAACAGCAGCTACCCCGCTACCCCACTACACTACGTACCTTCGGTCGATCGCCCGCAATGTCTGATCCTGTCACCTACAACTTCTACGGTGCAACCATTCCCGTACTGCGCAGCATCCATAACTCAGTAATCAAGTCGCTTCGTACCGCCAAGGATGAGCAAGCAAAGGGTGACCGTCCCTCTGACGAGGAAGTTCTCAACTCGGCCTTCGGCGACATGCTACCGTTCCGCGTGCAGCCCATACTCACGGTCAAATTCTCGCTGGCGGCTCTCAAGTACTTGGAATTGTCCAAGGTCGAGCACCCTGCTCTGAGGTCTGATTGGAAGTCTTTTGATGAGATCATCGAGTTCTTCGAGGCCGCCAATAAGGTGCTTGATGGCGTTGATGAGAAGACGTTCAACGACGCTGCTGAGAAGAGTCTCGAGGTTTCTGTCAGCCCCGCAGCGCCCGTTCTACAGATAACTGGCTTCGCCGATCATGTCCACACCTTTGTTATCCCCAACTCATATTTCCACCTCAACGCTATGTACATGCTGTTGAGAAACGCTGGATTCAAGCTGGGTAAAGGCATCTTCCTTGATGCTTTCATGAGCGAGCAACAGAAGAAGGACTGGGCACCTTTGAAGGGTTAGATGATTGCCATGAGCAGAAAAAATCTAGGAGCAAGTACAAATGCAATGAGACATGTTTGCTAAGCCCTGGCACAAAGATCTCGAAGGTTTCTTATGTATACGCATGGTGATATGTACACAAACCAGCTTAACGTAAGCGCACACAAGACAATTGGAGGCTCTTGCATCTCGTGCTCGGGGAGGGTCAGCGACCTTATGCTTCCAAGTAAACGCGAGGTGTCGACGGTAACAAGACTGCTGGAGGATTGTCAGCAACAGAAGCCTTTCCATTCGCTGAACCTAATGCCAAGGTTCCAAGCATGCGAAGCTTTCACAGATGTTCGAAATAAGCACAATCAGCTCAAAGGCCCTCATACGTGGTTAAAGTTCGCGAGCAATGGCTATGTACTACTGTAAGTAATTTTCTGGCCCACTGATGCAACCGTGATTATGTTGCGACCCTAGCAAGGAGTCCGCCAAGATGCCCAGGATCGAGGTCGGATAATGTGCTCAGTTGGCTGTTGTGAGGTCGAGAATTGTATAAGTTATGGAACGACCTATCGATCGAATCACTACGATCTACTTCCTTCAATATGGTTCTTTCAACGTACTATCAGGCCATTCCGACATTGCTTGCCCTATGCCTCCACATCTCAAATGTCGACGCCGATGGTACAGGGCTGATTGGATATGGCAAGACCTTATACAACCCAACATGCACTTTCGCGTGCCGCATTGTAATCCGAAGACAGCCACTCGCATGCACACCCGTTGAGTCGCATGGAAAACCACGGCACAGCCCACAATCTGGTGACAACTCCACCACGATGTTTTGTCCAAGATCACACTTTCCTCAAAACTATGGCACTGTGCATTGACACGTACTGCTCGTTGAGCGACGAGCCAGCAACGAGTCTGATCGAAGACTACTGGGACTCGCATCTCGGGATTGGCACATTGGGCACCTATCAATACGTGCCAGTCATGTCGTACCAGGAGTCTTTGCTCGCAGCGCGTGATGACGAGCAGCGCGCAAGGGCTGGTAATATGACAACGACAACGGCTACTTCTGTTCCAGAAGGTCTAGTACCGTTCAAAGTCTCGAGCCCCTTGGCTTTGACTACCGGTGGCAGCGGTGCTCTGAATAGTACGCGCCTCGTGGGCCCTGTTCAGTGGCAATTTCAGTACAACTACCTGTCCGACTTTGAAGTCAACGAGAGAGGCCACAGCACGATGACGTGAGTGTTCGGGGCTTAAAGCATCCAGAAACTTGCCAATTGACTCGTGCCAGTATCATTATCGCGGTAGTTGCCATAGCTCTCCCGATACTCCTTTCGGCTCTCCGTGACTTGCCTGGACTGACCTCAAATCGCAATCTAAGCCGACTGAAATCCGCCCTCGTACATTCGCCAGCAATTGGAAGGCATCACCGACAGCCCGTGACCGGAGGACTTGTGCCCACCCGTGGGCAGAGCCTATACATATTCCTCATTGTAGCGCTCAACATCATCCTCCTAGTCGCCCCTTACACATACACGCAACCCCAGGCGAGCTTCACTACAAAAGGCAGGCAGCAACTCAGCGTCATTGGCAACCGCGCTGGCACAATGGCTATGGGCAACACTGTAGCCTTGTTCTTGTTCTCGTCTCGAAACAACGTTTTGCTGTACCTCACCGATTGGAGCTACGGCACATATCTCTTACTTCATCGGTGGCTCGGATACTGTGCCGTTGCGCAGACTGTGATCCATTCGGCTATGCTTTGGCGCTATTACGTGGTGCAAGGTACTTACTCGGCTGAGCTACTGCGATTGTATTGGCAGTGGGGCATTGTCAGCACAGTCGCTATATGCGCCTTGATCCCTTGCTCTCTTCTTATCGTCCGACAAAAGCTCTACGAGTTCTTCGTTGCTTCGCATGTCGTACCATCGTTATTGTTCCTTATTGGGTACTACTACCACATCTGGTACGTCTATACCTACAACTGGGGGTATGAGATATGGATGTTTGTGGCAGCTGGGACCTGGGCTTGTGAACGCCTGCTACGCGTTATCCAGATCGCTTTGCATGGCACTCGCACAGCTACTGTTTCTGTTATCGCAGACACCGATAGTGAGTACATAAGGATTGATATCGAGGGTAAGAGATTCGAGACGGGCGTAGCATACCTCTGCTTTCCCACGCTCAGCTGGCGCTTTTGGGAAACACATCCATTCTCGGTGAGCGGAGTAGCCACACACCTGCCGTCGCAATCATTGCGACCAGAGTCGAGCCTAGCCCCTGTGCAAGATGTGGCCACTGAGAAGGAACTCGGCAATCTTGCCATCACATCTGTGACTATCGCAGGAGCGGGAACAACAACATTTTTCGCCCGTACTCGGGGTGGTATCACAAAGACTTTGATGAATAGGGCTTCCGGGTCAGAGACTAGGCGAACGCGCGTGCGCGTGCTTGTGGAAGGACCCTATGATCACTCCGGCCAAGCGCACTTGCAGATCGCGCAATGCAGCAGTATTCTGTGCATTGCAGGGGGTGTTGGCATTACAGCTTGCCTACTTCTGCTCAGACACAATGAGGCCAAGGACTCAAATTTGTTCTGGTCTAGTCGGCATCCTGGTCTTGTTGCGGAACTTACGCCTACTTTGGACGCCTTTCATCCCAATGTGAGGGTGGAGACTCTTGTCGGACAGCGGTTCAATCTGGTGTCCTTGATACGTCAGGAATTGGTTGATCGCGACAGTACTCGGAAAAAGGCCGTGGCAGTCGTTGTATCTGGTCCCCAGGAATGGCAGATGAGGTTCGGCTGGCATGCACACAGATTGCCTGGCAGCACAGAAATGCTCGCGCCTACGTGTTCATCGACGAGGCATTCAGCTGGTAGCTTAGCTAATGTCAAGGCAGGAACGCAGTGGTTCTGTTTATCGAGTGTCAGTAGCTCTTTAGTGCGAATTTCCCAGGGGTTTTGATGTACAAATCTATCCAAGACTTCAGCACTGCTGAAAAGGGGCCATAGCAACGGTGAATCATCCCCTTTCAGCCTCAGGATCTACCGCGACGGCCCCGTAATGCTTCGAGAGCCTCAAGCATACTGTTTGATCCTCCAGCTTAAATAAAAGCCATTCAGAATTTGCTTGTGGACAGGCTCGGGGGGAAAGCAAAGCGAATGCCGAGTAGAGGTGACAGGCTACCTAGCTCACATGCTGACGTCGAGCTCACCTCGACAATTGCTAGCAGGTACCTATGATCAGGATGTTTGCACGAGCGGCGTAGACAGCGCGAATCAAGACGATTGTAAGTCGTGATTGGCCTTACATGTTTGCGACTGAGTTGACCACTGATGTGAGGTCGGTATGCTGACTTTCGATCGGGCTGATGCCATGCGTACTGCTGCTTAGTCGATTATCAGTGCCCATTGTGACCTTCTTTCGATCTGAAGGCTGTCGAGTTGAAAGATACAATCTTTCGATATAATTCGCGCGCCCGAGTGAACAGTGCAGGGCACCGCGAAGTCGAGGCTGCGTTCGGGTCAGCACTCGGGTTTCGGAATGCGGAGTATCTACTTGCGCAAGACGCCGTGTTTCAGGCGCAGACACGGCGTGCCGCTACACGAATTGCAACGGCCTGGGCTGGCGCCAAGGCTCAATTGTGCAATGCTCCGTGATCCACGGTCCAATCACGAGCGCGATAGCAGAAATCCGCAAATTTCCCCAAGCTCGTACCCCGGGCGATCTTCTATGCGCACCGTTGATAAACACTCGGGTCCCCAGGCTTGCCTTCACTCTCACACAGCCTCGTGCTTACATTGACGTGTTTTTCTTGTTTGGATTCCCTCTTTCTCTCTTTATCACACTCCTTCCACTCAACAGCAAAAATGCGCGTTTCAGCCGCACTCAGCATCGCCGCGACGCTCGGCTGCACGGCCGCTCAGGGCAGCATTTTGGGATTCAACGCTGGTGCCTCTGACGACAAGGGCAATGCGAAGAGCCAACAGGACTTCGAGCGCGAGTTCAAGACTGCGAAGAGCCTGAGCGGTGCGCCTGGCGAGTTCAACACAATCCGCTTGTACTCCAACGTCCAGTGGCAGACTACGAACACGCCGATTGCTGCCTTCCCCGCTGCTATTGCGACGAACACGAGCCTCCTCCTCGGCATTTGGGCATCTGGCACGGAGAACATCGACAACGAGCTGACTGCGCTCACAACAGCTCTCAAGGAGCACGGTTCGAAGCTTGCGGATTTGGTGGTGGGTATCTCGGTCGGTAGTGAAGATCTGTACCGTGTCTCGGAGCCCGGTCTGCGCAACAACGCTGGAGTTGGCCAGGAGGCTGACACTATCGTGCGCTTCATCAAAGACGCCAAGTCGGCCCTCGCAAACACAGCCCTCAAAGGAAAGCCTTTCACCCATGTTGACACCTGGACCGCCTGGGTCAATGGTTCGAACAAGGCTGTCATCGATGAAATCGACTTTCTTGCTGTCAACGCCTTCCCCTTCTACGAGTCCGAGCACGACAACAAGATTGGCAGCGCAGGGAGCCTGCTGAATGCCGCCATCAACGCCACCGAGAGCGTCGCTGGCGATAAGGATGTCTGGATCACTGAGACCGGCTGGGCGTACACCGGACCCTCCTTCGGCGCTGCTGAGGCCACGGTCGATAACGCAGGCGAGTACTGGCAGGATGTTGGCTGCAAGTTGTTCGGCAAGCGCAACGTCTTCTGGTATACGCTCCGTGACGCCAACCCTGACAATAAGGTCAAGTTCGCCATCACCGACAACCTCAGCACCACACCTCGCTACAACCTGACCTGCCCGGCCGTGAGCGAAGAGCTGCCCGCACCTGCTCCGATCAGCAGCAACTCGACTACTGCGACAGGCAACGGCACTGGCAGCAGCAACGAGACCAACAGCGACAGCACCTCCAGCGGCTCTGCCAGCGGCTCTGCTAGTGGTTCAGCCAGCCCTGCCGCTACGGGTCCTGCCCAAGGCTCAGGATCCTTGACTTCGGTCTCCTTCGTCAACTCCATGACTGTCGCGCTCTCCGTCGTCTTTGCTGCTGCGGCATGGGCGTTGTAGATGTCGTACTGTCCTGCCTTGCTTCTAGATTTCCTTCATCAGTGTAACATTAGCATATAGCGTTTGGCTTGCCGTAATCAATCATCCTCAGCCCAGTGCTGCAACTACTTGGTCAGTCAAAGGGAATCTTGTTCCCACTTCCCTTTTTGGTCTTGAATACACATCTTATCCGTGAAAAATTGATTGTACGAGCGAGTGGAATGTAGCAGAGATGCAGTGAAGTGGGACGAAGGTACAAGCTGAACGGAAGTGGGAGGAGACTTGAGGGCTTTTGGAAGGCGCGTTGTGGGGCACGCTTCGTCACCATCTTTCCCATCCCTGCGCACGCTCTTTCCACCACCAACAACATCGCAAGCTGAGCAAGGCTTAATCACCTCGGAGGGCGCTCTGATCCTGAATCGGCCCGCGCATTCGGCAATCGTTATGTCGATGCATTCTCAGGAAGGTGCGCGAAGAAGACTAAGTTACCTGTGAGCACGCACGACCATGACTACATCCCAGCGAGCTTGAACACATTGCAGTGTCGCACTTTTTTTCTCCAAAAGCACTGCAGTCTGGCGAAGAAGAAGAGTCTATAACTAGTCTGCTATGTTCGCGTCTCCTCTTGTATGGTTTGCTCCTTTCATCGAGTCTCACTTCCATACAGTCTTTACGCCTCCCGATTCTTCCAACGTCACATTCTTATTCTCAGTTTCTCCAACTCGTCTACCACGCAACTTGCATGCTGAGCGTCTTCCCGTGAACAGGATCATCCGTGATTACCATAGTCGCTCTGACTAACAGTGGTAGCCCTTGGCTTCACACTTCCCTGTACTCTTGCATCGGTCCCTTCCCGCTTCTCGCCAGTTGACTCCTCCTTCCCTCATACGCGAGGGTATTCATGTTCCTAATCCTCACTTCCGCCATATAGGTAGCCTGTTCCGCAGAGATGTGCTGGAAATCGTGTCCTTCATCCCCGAAGCCAAACGTGCGATGGATGGCGTATCCGCAGATGACGAGACAGAGCGCGCCGAGTATGATGAGGAGGACGATGACGGTGTAGGGCAAGACGTAGTCATTGTCTCCACGTGGTACGAGGGCCGGCATAGTAACGGATGGCCGTCAGGTATCGATCCTCGGTAAATGAGTGATGGATTGAGCGAGTGTGGGCAAAATTCATAAATGTCCGCCTGATTGACAGCCGTGTGTATGGATGCGCAAGGCAAGATGGAGTGTTCGATGCAGAGTCAAGCGAACATGCACATTCTTAAATATGTGGTTCAATAAACTATACACATCCCTCTCTGCCATCCCAGCCTCTGAAAATATGCCGTACCTACTAATAGCTATCTCCTCGTTGCCTCAACCGTAAGCCACAGCTTATGCATTTCTACATCTGGGATAGCAATGCCCTGGATTGAAGTAACGATTGGTCCGTTCGGCACGTCGTATACCGTTAGGCCTCCTGTGTAGCGCAGCACACGTGATCTATGCGAACGAGCCAATAGAGAGCCTTCAATGAGCGAGTAAGCCAATGAGAGCAGAGTGAAGCTGTGGTTCTATAATAGGTCGCTCCCACCAACACGGGTTGATGGAACGAGCGAGAAGGGAATGCAAGGATGATAATCCCAAAAGTACTTCTCGGGCAGTTGGGCTTGGTTTTGCCTCGCGCTTGGTGTTGGAACGCTGGAGGCACCAGGGGCACCAGGGGTTAATCTGGATGTTAGTCAGCCACCCATTCTAGCGCGGAACGCCTTGCCAACATCAACCTCATCCACAGAGCTGCACATCATCCTTTCAGCAACGGCGAGCCGGTCAATCTGATCGCTGGGTGTCGAAGCTTGTCTTATACACGTCTATCGCTTGTGTGCCTGTGTCAGGATCTGTGCGATTTCCTACCCGCAATGTGGCAGGTCTGAATAGCGCGAATGTCCCTGACCGAATAGCGACAGTCTGTGCTTTGACTGCGCCAAAGATTGTTCTCGATCACCAGCAAGCCGTTGTTACCGCATCAGAGCCTCAGTCTTACACTGGCAGTCGCCATTGGTGCCTCCCACAATGTTCCACCAGCTGTGTGCAGATGCTCCTCCAACGGAGCTAGCGCCAGACCCAGACATCTCTGGAATTGGTGTATGGCTCATTTCAATACGAATGCATGGCAGTAGTTGATCCAGTTCCAGGTCACCGTTGCGTATACAAGCACAGCCGCACTAGCTCTGCTGCTAGTCATAGCTGACTATATCTTCGTCTACCATCCAGATACTGCGTCTGCTGCCGATCGTGAAGGGATCAAGCACGATCATCCGAGCAAAGTCAATCCCATCGATGAGTATCTGCTCTACTGGAGGCTTGGCACCAATCGCGAGATCCGGGGCATTGAGCGGTGGGGCGAAAAAGGGTTGCGTGTTAAGAATGCGGCTACTCATGTGTGTGCATTCGTGTCGCTCATGTGTAATGTAGCTGACTCGACTAGGCAATACTCACAATGAGCGATTTCCAATTGGTTACCGGCCTCTCGATTCTCATCAGTGGCTTCACGCAGCTCGATTCAGGAATATCAGCGTACCACTGGCAAAGACTTGTACAGCTCGCGTGGTTTTCATCAGTCACTCATCTATGCACCCTCACAGCTCTGCGTAACTACTTCCGTCGAAACACGCTTGGATACTTCTGGCGGCTTCCAGGGATGGTCATACTGATCATGATGCTTATCGTAGCTTTGGTACCTACAGGACATTACACGTGGGAGTCTGTAACCATCAGATGGGCACAGCGTGACAGCGTTACTATTAGACCGAAGCCAACGGATCCCGCCGTTTGTTACTTTAACCGCCACGAGGGAGGATGCGAAAATGAGTACGCAGAATTGTGCGAAGAGGTCTTCCAGGCCAGTCAGCAGCGCATGATACTATCAGCTGCGTTCCTAGGCGTGGGCATGTGCAATCGCCTCTGGCATCTGTTTCGGCTTCCGGTAAGGCTATACAATAGCAGTCGATCAGTCTCGAGCGACATGTGTAAAACCGTGTTGTCGCACATGCACAAATGGACTACATCATGGACACTGTGGGGTTCTATTCCGTTTGGCATATTCGTTTACCACCCATGCCTCGCACTGTTCCTAGCGCTCCGTCTTCTCGCCGACATCATCACATCTAGAGCATTTGAGGCGAGTCACGCCATCTCCAACCTCAACGGATGCCATGCTGACGGGTTTAGGTCTGGTGGTTGATAGTCAGCTTTTGCTGGGGTTCGCTGAACCTGTGGATGCGGTCAACGCTTAACGAAGGAGGTCGAGACACGTGGACCTTCGGGCAAGTAATGGCCCTCCTCGTTGTCTTCGCGCCCGTCATCACCCTCATCGAGGGCTATGCCAAAGGTACATCTCCCATATCTCAGCCTGCACACGAGCAATATCTAACCACTCACGTACTTAGCGACAACCCAGAGTCTCACCCCCAATCGCATGCTCGACACAGTTAACACCATCGAGTTCCTCACCCTCGACTCTCGTGCCCCCTCCTCCCTCGTCAGCCTCATATCAAAACCCGTTCCCAACAATGACGACTTCGTGAACCCGCACCCAGCCCACGACTACTACCACGAACGTTTCAGCTTCCCGATCCTCGTATACTCCACCTTATGCAGCGTAGTCATCGTAAGCTTCCTGCTCCTCGTAGCGCTGCGGACCCAGGACATCCGGCCCTCCGACATCGTGAGCTCGTACGCGACGAGTTTCCGGTTCTTTTTGGTGCCGCCGGTGCATGTAATTCTAGGATTTTTGGGGATGTGTGTGCTACTGTCGCTATATTGTGAGATTGAGAGGCCGAGGGGGAAGGCGTATCGGTACTGGTGTCGTACGCTGCAGTTTGGGTTGTTTGTCGGGGTTCTGATCGTGCCGTCGTTTAGTTACACGTTGGTATACTATCTGGCGATGATTTGTGCGTTGTTTTGGTTGATTTTGTCGGGGGTGCATGCGTTTCGGAGGTATAAACATAAGAGGAGGAAGGAACTACTGGCGACGGGCGCATAGTATGCAGACTAACAACAACTTGCTTTAGCCACAATCCCCAACACTCTGAAATACGGCAGTCTTTACTCATTTTCGCCTATAAGTCTGTATACTTCTGGCCAACAAACCTTGCCAAAACCGACACTCGTACGGTGATACAAACATCAGTTCGCAGCTTAAAGGTCGACTACATAGGCGAACAGGTTATTTGCCCAGTCACAGTAAGGTGATATATGGTACTGGTGTCGCAACTGCAATATCTGTAAGGATTTGGGTATATGTCTATCTCGCGTTCGTCACGTTGCGACCCGGCAACACAAGCGTGCTCGGTATATCCACTAAGCCAGAACTCCAAAAACACCACTTTCATGCTGGTCAAAGATTGTAGAGCACTGATTTCATCCCGCTGTTGGGCTGAGCTGCCCTTACGCTAGAAATGGAAGTCGTATGCCTGCGCTGGGCCTTCGCCTAGATGATCAAAGTCCATCAAGTCCGTAAACACGTCTGTGTGCCCACTGATGCCGATACCGACTTCCTGCGCCGGCTGCGACTGCTCGGGCGGCTCGACGCCGTCGACAAGCTGCGTGCCTTCGGGCAGCGCACGGCCGAAAGCCTGCAAACGCTGAGGAACAGGTACGCCTGTCGCTCTACCAAACTGCGAGGCATCACCGCGCGAGTTCATCCATACGCCGTTACCTCCCTCGTTGTTCTTGACGGACTTTGTGAAGGGGTCTTCGAAGACCAGAGCGGTTTCGTACCAGCGGCCTTTCACTTCAGCGATATCATAGCGCGAGCCAGGCACGGAGAGCTTCCAGTAAGCGAATGTGCGGGCGTGTGGGACAAGGAGCTGGTTGCGCCAGATCATGTCTTCGCGCATGCGGGTTGGCAAATTGGTGTTCTTTGGGAATTCTGGCAGCTGGGCGGGACTGGATACTGCGGTGGTGGTGTAGCTGTAAATGTCGCCAACAACAAGGACGGCTGAGGTTGCTTGACCGGTGGCTTGTTGGCTAGTTCGTTCGATGATATCTGTCACCACCATAACGTCGATGTCTCGACCTATTCGTAGGCGCACAGCATCGCCTCTCCAAATCTTTTCGGCCCCTAGAAACAAGCCATTGTAGTGTGCGTCTTGAACGCCATCATTGGCAGTCTTCTTCAGGCACTCGAAAAGCGTGTAGGTGGCGTCAACAGCCTTGGCTGCCATGATGGAGGCATCGACGCTTGCGACACCTTCTGGTCCATACCGGCCAGCAGCTAAGCCTTGCCAGTCCACTTTTTCGTATGGGATGGTGGGGTGTTGTTGTAAATAGGTGTAGGTGTAGCTAGGCGCAGACCACGCAAGCCAAGGTTTGATCTCGAGCTCTGTTGTGATGAACTGCGGGGCCAGGGACTCGTGTGGGTGTGATAGTGGCTGGACAACGTACGTCTTGCCCCCAGAGCTCTTGTCGAGCCATCTCCGAATGACGACGCCCAGTCCCCATGCTCCAGTCTTTGGTTTGTAGTACCATACTACTTCGCCCTGTCGACTCAAGAACTTGTGGTAGAGACCATCGACCTGCTGATCGATGGATCGAGGGTCTGGAAGTTGAGTGGACTGCAGGGGAGTAGGCGCCCTGATCTGAGGCGCAGCCGGTGTGGCTGGCTTCGTGGCAGGGCTTTGAACGGGTGGCGGGTTTGAGACTCGACGCGCAGGGATCTGAACAATAGGATTTTGCCCTGTGACTTGTGCGCTGCTGCTCTCCTTCTTGACCTCAGCCCTGGTCTCGACCTTGACTGCAGGTTTCTCAACCTCAAGCTGCACAGGTGAACACATCTTGCAGGTGCAGTTCTGCATGTCGGTCGTCTCGTCGGTGCACAACCAGAGTAGATGCGGAAAGAACTCGACGGGGCTCCTGAAGCGCTTTCTTGGGCCCTTGGGGTAGCCATAGAGATAGGCATCCTGGCGGTCGTGTCCACCACCCGAGTGGTTCTTGCTTGTCTTCGCCTGGCCATCTGCCTTTGTTTTGATGTGCTCGTATAGCTTGTAGCTTTCGGGAAACTCCCACAGGATGCACTGTTGCCATTTGTCTGCTCCAGTCAGCGTCGGCCAAATTAAATGCGCGACCGGTCTTCTCACCTTCGTGTTGTTTGCCGCCTATTTCGCGCAGCAACATTCCGCCGAGCTTTTTACGCCAGTCCACGTGCTTCGGGTCGTCCTTTTCGATCAAGCGGTAGTAGTCGCATTGTCCCTGCGCGTTGGGCGACCTGTCGAGCTGGTCCTGCGTGGGTCCATTTCTCACCACCGAGCCTTTCTGGTGCACGACATCAAGGCCGTCAGATTTAGACGCAAAGATGGGATAGAAGGAGGTGAGGGGCTGCGTCATGGCGGGCAGCGGCTGCGCAAGCACTGCGCGGGGGTCGTCAGGGCGCAGTCTGCTTGCGCAGTGATTGACGATTGTTGGTCGCGCCTTCCCTCGGCGTTAACTAAACCTAATCTCCGCTAGCCTTGTGCCAAAACGCGACATTTGGCAGGCGTGTCTATCATGCCTCGCCCGCCGCAAGCATAGTGAGACTACACGATTGTTCTCACTTCACCATTACCGTTTTCACCGGCGCTTCAACGTTGGTGCATGCCGAATAGCGACTGCGCACTGGACGAGCTTCACCATCACCGTCCTCAGTCTCGCAGGCTGTACCGTTATTAACTATGCTGCCCCGATAACGCTACCGAGAACTCGCTGTCACTTTCACTCGATCCTCACAATACCCCTCACGCGAAAAAGTGGCGCCTAGGCTGCAGCAAACGGCACCATGGCAGAGCGTTCACGCCGATCACTCGGCAATCCCTTGCCCTCAACACCACAGCGCCGCGGCGGCCACCTTCAGGACCTTCTCATGCGTTTCGGTTCCCAGAATTCAGCCGAGTCTGCAACGAAGTCCCGAAGAGTCTCTGCTCTGGCCACGCCAAAGCAAGAAGCGCCAGTTGCTCTGAGCAACGTCGACGGCAAACGAGTACTGCGACAGCAACCGACGCCAAACTACGCGCCTGCGAGCCCCTTCACTGACTCGCCCAAGCTCCCCAAAGAGTCCGTCGACAAGAAGGCCCCTTCGCGCAGAAGTGCACTCAAGATCGCCAGTCCACCCAGCACCGAGACCATCTCCCCCGACTCTCACAACAGCGAGGACGAGCTTGCACCACGTTCCATCCGCGCACGCGGCTACAAGAAGCACCTACGAAGCAACGAGCGATACAGTGACCTTAAAATGGAGACGAGAAGGACGCCGAGGGGTAATGACGGGTCACCCCGGCGGAGTGGACGTCATACACGCGTCTTAGAGTCCGACACAATCGAGGTGCGGAAGGAAGCAACCCCGACCAAGCGAAAGCCAGTCCGGACGCCAAAAATCGATACAGCACGGGCTCGCCTCCGAGATGAGATCGCGCGAGTCTCCAAGGCCAAAGCTAACAACTTCCTTGTTGCGAATAAGGATTATTTCCTCCCACTTCTGCCATCAAGCAATCAAGTATCTAAGCTTGTCGCAAACCACAAGACCGCGCCCATTGTTGAGTACGAAGAGCTTCGAGAGCAGCCAAAGGGTGTTACTGCGACGATGAAACCCTACCAGCTCTCTGGTCTTTCGTTCTTGGTACATTTATACAACAACGGCTTTTCAGGTATCTTGGGTGACGAAATGGGCCTGGGCAAGACGCTACAGACATTGTCTTTATTCCAATATCTAGAAGAACTGGATCGAAAGAGCGGCACCAACTCAGAAGAGCTTCGCCCGTACCTCGTCATCTGTCCGCTCAGTGTTGTGAACTCCTGGGTCACAGAGGCGCAGAAGTGGGTTCCAGAGCTGAAGGTTCTTCGCATCCACGGCACCAAGAACGAGCGTGATCGTCTCAAGAGGGTCGCACTCGGCATGGAAGACATGCAGGGCAATGAGACAGAGCAACTCAAAGATCGCAAGGCCTCCCGCAAGGCCGGTGTCAAAGTCTCAACATATGAAGATTCAGAGTCTTCATACAAGATCATCGTCACAACATATGACACGTTTCAAGCAGACACAGCCTGGTTCAAGCACTCGTTCCTCTGGCGGTACGTCATCCTTGATGAAGGACATAAGATCAAGAGCAGTGTGACGAGCATCTCTATGGCACTCAAGAACATCAGCTCAGAGTATCGCATGATCCTCACAGGCACGCCTGTTCAGAACAATCTGGTCGAAATGTGGGCTCTCTTGGCCTGGCTGTATCCCGAAGTGTTCGTCGAGAACACCCAACAACTCTTCAAAGATTCCTTTGACTTGACCCGAGGCAAAGTCAACAAGCAAACTATGGACGATGCTCGACGACTACTTGAACTGATCATGCTGCGTCGCATGAAGGACAGTCCAAACGTCAACCTCGGTTTGCCGCCAAAGGAAGAGATCCTCCTTTACGTTCCCTTGACGCCTATGCAGAGGTTCTGGTATACTCGCCTTTTGACCCGCGTTGACGAAGGCATGCTCGAAGATCTGTTTGCCAACGGAAAGGAGAAGGAAAAGGCTGCCATCGATCAAGATAAGAAGGAAGATGCCTTGCTGAACACCGTGCAGCAACTTGAGCAACATCCTGGCTCTATCGCCAGTCAGGATGGATGGGAGGAAACAGCGCAGATCATGCGTGAGGCTTTCGAGAAAGAACAGGAGCACAGCGCGGTGACCAATAAGTGGGCATGGCAAAAGCTGATGAACTTGGTCATGCAATTACGCAAGTGCTGTTCGCATCCCTACCTTCTTCCTGATGTAGCTCCAAACCCATATTACCTGGGCGAGCATGTCATTCGCGCATCGGGGAAATTTATCCTACTTGAAAAGTTGCTCAAGCACACCATTTTCGAGCAAGGCAAGAAGGTCCTCATCTTCTCGGGCTTCACTCACACCCTTGATTGCTGCGAAGACGTTCTCTCTCTCATCAGCAACCATGGACAGAAGTTCAGGCATCTTCGTCTTGATGGCGGTACTGGTCGAGCTCGCCGCAACCTCGATATCCGGCTGTTCAATCAAGAAGGATCCGACTATAAGGTCATGCTTTTGTCTACCCGTGCAGGTGGTTTGGGCATAAATCTCACCAGTGCTCAAGACGTCATCTTCCTCGACGAAGATTGGAATCCTCAGATTACATTACAGGCAGAAGCGAGAGCTCATCGCATTGGTCAGACCAAGCCTGTGACAATCTACAAGCTTTGCACACAGGGTACTGTTGAAGAACAGATGATGGGTCGCATCCGGAAGAAGCTCTATCTCTCAGCAAAGATCACCGAATCCATGCACAACATTCACGATGATCAAACACCATCCAAAGCCAGGACCTCAGTCACAGACGATATGCCGCAGATGGATTCGACGCAGCTGAAGACTCTCATCCGCCGAGGAGCTCAAACTCTATCGCATCCAGAGATTGACGTCACTGAGATGCTCTCGTGGGATCTCTCGACCATGTTAGAGAAGTGCCGGGACAAGCGTGCTGATACGATCACTGCATCTGGAGCACAAGACTCTGAAGTTGACGAGGAAAAGTGGCTTTCGGTGATGGAGCGTGTTGAATGCGCAGTATTTGACGGCAAGCGGTTTCAGCGGAAGAACGACAAAGGCAAAGCAACTGCCGCCAATATCCTTCCTGCTGAGGTCACACGCGAGGATCGTCGTCGCGGTAAGAACACGACAGTCATGGTCGACGGCTTTGCCATCAGCAAAGAATCCATGAACTGCGGTGATTGGGAAGCTGTCCCAACATTCGCAGGTAAAGATCCACGGCTTGCCGATCCGGTCCGGGAGAAGAAGCGTGAGGTTGCGCACGAAGGCCATTGCCTTGCCTGCTTCAACGGTGATGAGACAGGGCACATGGTCGAGTGCAAATCTTGCCCTCGTGCTTACCATTATGACTGCTTGGCTACTGAATACCAGTCAAAAGTCAAGGGATTCAGCGGTTTCTATTGCTCACAACACACCTGCGCCGACTGCGGAAAGAACACAACAGATGCTGGAGGCTTGATTTTCAGATGCAGATGGTGTCCACAGGGCTTCTGCGAAGATTGTCTGGATTGGGACAAGGCCGTGCTCATCGGTGAAAACCTGCCTGAGTTCGAAATCGTTGGCGAACCCTCCCCGAGTGGCGGCTTCTATGTTGAATGCCCTGAATGTGTCGAGGCCTGTGAAAACAGCAAGGTACAGCGGGAGTGGACGGACAACACGCAGCGAGAGTACCAGGAGCAACACGATGCGTGGCTGAAAGAGCGCAAGGAGGCCGAAGAGCAACTCGAGCAGCAGGCTGCTGCTACGATTAACAACAACAGCACCCTCCAGAACAACAAGCAGCTCCCAGTCATTGAGCCGCCCCAGCGTCGCGAAGAACACACCATTGTTATCGACGATGACTCTGACGTTGCTTCTCCACCTGCGCTCACCGAGACCTCGCTCACAGTAGTCGGTGACTCTCGCGTTAGCACACCCAAATTCTTGGAACCCCAGCAGCAGAAGCAGAAGACAGCGAAGCGAAACGCCTCGGGCGATGGCTTTGGCGAAACCCCGAAGCAAAAGAGAGCCCGCCTTGAGGCGCAGGCATGGCTGATTGATGACGATCCACTGATGAACAGTATGGGCAGCACCTTGTAGGCATAGTTGCCTACTCTTTGATCGAAGAAAGTCTTGGTCAACTGGCGTTTTGTTTTGGTGTTGGGCACACGGATGGATATACCCTCATGCGACTTGTCGTTGGCATGAACACGGCGTCGCAGCTACGGATTTTGAGATGAGCGTTTTGCACGCCTCTACTTTTCGGAGGTTGTGCGAGCTTAGCGTAGTAAAGCAATGAATCGTGTCTACTCGGCTTTGCATTTTGAATGTTCCCTGGGGATGATCTGCCTTGAAGTGACTGCGCCTTCCCGAGCGAGGCTGAGGCAGATGAGGCGGGCTGGCCTTGGCGTCATCCTTGTACCTGCCTCGCCTAACCCGACTGTGTGTTCAACTGCGTCCCCTCGTCTCCTGCTTTACTTCCTTACCTTCCCCTCAGCTCTTTTCTATGCGATTATATAGACGGATATACGTTCTGAACATTCTTTCTGTCGCTTGCTTTCCGTCGCCAGAATCTCGTTGCACATACCTCAGCGTTGTCAGTCTCTAGTCCTGTCCCAGCAAGATCTCAATCATGCTTCGGTACCTGCAAAAAACGGTCCAGGTCAGACGCAGTAGCTCAAGACAAATCTCTCGCAGAATGGATCTTGATTTAGTGACTAACCAGACGTTTGTTGCCAAGACGACCAGCTGGTGCGCTGGCTCAGCATCTTCTACCTCACATGAGACCGTCAAGATATTTTCGGAGGAACATCCTTACCCTGGAAGAGAACCGCGAATGAGGACATCGCCGCAGTGTGATATCTGTATGGACTTAGACCTCGCAGACTTTTCACTATTGATACGTTTCCACAAATTAGCAGAATTTTTGGGATCTGGATGTCCCGCGTGTAAGATACTATACACAGCCCTAAAACCTTGGGAAGAGGTCTTGAATAACATTCGTGGCACTCACTTCTGGTTGATGAGAAATGAGATGGGATTGTACATAGAACACAGCGAAGATTCTCGTCATTTTCGAAATCGACACATAGAGCTAGTTCTACAATGTGTGAAGGGTAGGTCAACATCTACGTCATCATCATTAGAGCGTCCTGATACTGAGCTTGTAGGATTTCCAAGCCCGTGGCCATATATACCCGAGCGACCCATGACTCGCGGAATCAACAGTCTCGATATCGCCACGCAGACGATCTCTAGATGGATGAAAGTCTGCAAATCGTCGCATGCTTGCAGTCACGCCATGACTTCTGCACTACTACCTAAACGAGTCTTAGAGATCCAGGGTCCGGATACAGTACGTCTTCACTTATCTACAGCAAACGAGATGGGGGCATACTCCTGCCTCAGCCATCGATGGGGTGGCGTAGTGCCACTACGATTGACCTCCTCAACCATTGAAAGATTCCAGACAGGAATTCCATGGCATGATATGCCTGCCACCTTTCAGCAGGCCATTCAATTAAATCTGAGACTTGCTATCCGATACTTGTGGATCGACAGCTTGTGCATCCTGCAGGATGACCTTCAAGACTGGACGGAAGAAGGTAGCAAAATGGCGACGATATATTCAGGTGCAACCCTAACGATAGCTGCAACGGCTTCCTTGGACAGTACATGTGGCTTGTTTCGCTCATTCGACTCGACTGGGGGTGAACACGATGAAAGATCTCCGATTATACACGGTATTCACGACCAAACTGGTATGCCCTTCAAGATTCGCGTGAAGCCGGGAAGAGAGTTTGCTGCTGCAACTGATAGGTCCTTACCGCTGCAGAGACGTGCTTGGTTCTTCCAGGAGTGGGTTCTATCGCCGAGGATCGTGCACTTCACCGACTCCATGCTCTACTGGGAATGCTCTGAGATGCAAGAAGTGGAGGATGGATCCCTCATGACCGAAAAAGAAGACTTCGCGAGATGTAAGAAAAACGTCCTCAAGTCTTGGACTCAACCTGTGCCTGTCCAATTAAGCTCTTTGAGCAGGGGACACATACAAACCTTGGCTTGGCATGGAATTGCTCGCACCTACTCTTGCTTGGATCTTACATATCCCACGGACGTATTTCCTGCCTTACAAGGTGTAACTACGCGTATGGCAGCCGAGCGTGAATGTACCTTTTATGCGGGTTTGTGGGAAGACAGCCTGGTGATAGATCTATTATGGCGTCTAGCAGAACCCAGTCGCCAGATAGTTGAACATCGCGCGCCATCTTGGTCGTGGGTATCCCAGGCTGGAGAAGTCATATGGCAGACTTGGCGATGGCTTTTGCCGTCGACAGACTTCCAGACGTTTCTCATCCCAGAAGTCTCTATTATCTCTGTATCTGTGGAGACCGCCGACGGAAACCCTTTTGGACAAGTCTCAGGGGGGATTTTGGTTCTCAGAGGACTATGTTTACCCGCCATGTTTGGGCCACAAAGGGACCATTACGGTCGCCTCATTTTCAGGGTTAAGATTGACAACCTCAACGAACACGAAGACTTGCTATCGACAGATGAGACCATGAGTACATGGCATATCGATACTGAGTATAAGCCCGAGCCCGACGCTGATATTTTGGTCATGTTGATTGGATTGTGGCCTACTCAGGTTTATGGAAGAGTCTATCACGAAAGCTGGTTCTTAGTATTTGAACGTGTGAGCAATGTGGACGACATGTATAGGAGCATAGGTCTGTTCTGGACAGAGAGGCTTGTGTTTCGAGCACGCTTCCTGCGCGAAGCAATCGAGCAAGAGCTCACCATCATCTGAATTCTCATGGATCCATACAATCTCTTTTTAGTCCCTGTTCTAAAGCCGTAGTCTATGCTACTCCACATCAGAAGCATGTCGTGGATCACACCGGACTTACGGCTTCTTCATCCAGGATTCTTTGCGCCTCGCCCGCAATCTGCTCAGCGCTCCATCGCATCAGTGCCGGCCCAATACTAATCCTTGCGACCCCCAACTCTCCGATCTGTTTCACGCTCAATCCCCCACTTCTCCCTCTAATCAAAGTAACATTCAACCGCCCTCCAAACGCCTCTACCGCCCGCGCAATCTCCTCCCTCCCCCAGCTACGCCCACTCGATCCAACCCAGAGGAATACATTGGACGCACCAGCCAGCAAATACGATTTGCCGCGCTGCACCGCATCCTCCAGCCCTTCCCCCGCGAACAGCGCATCTGACCGCGCATTCACCACAAACTCCGGCACGCCCTCTTCCCGCGCAATCTCCACCGCCCTCCGAATCCGCGCACACTGCTCCTCAATCCCATACAGCCCGCCCACCTCGCGCCCCAAGTCCTCGATATTGATCCCTACGCCGCCAAGCCGGATCACGCCCCGCACCGCCTCGTCCAGCTGCGCGCCATACCCGTCCTGCAAGTCCACCGTCAGCGGAAGATCGTGCGCGGCTGCTACTTTGGCGATGGAGGCTGCGGCGCGCAGGTTGGTTGCCAGGTCGAGGTCGTCGTCGGGCAGGCCGGCTGCAGCGGCGACGGCGAAGGAGGCGGTCGCTATGGCGGTGGTGGACGGGAGGGCTGCGATGGCGCGCGCAGTTATCGCGTCCCAGACATTTGTCAGGACGAGGGGGTTGCCGGGGATGTGGAGGGCGCGGAAGCGTTTGGCGAGGTCGTTTTGGGTGGTTGGTGTCATATTTGATAGCGGTGTGGGTTCGTGGTGATTTGGGATTGTTGATTATATTGGTGCCTCTCCTCCTGTGAGATGAGTTCCAGCTATTTATCACATTGAACAGATGACTCAGGCGAACAGAAGTTCGTTTGTCAGAGCTCTTTCCTCGATGTCGAAGAAGGAAGTAGTTTGCGAGCCTCGGCTCTCGAACTGGCGAATCAGTATTGCACGCCGCCCTTACATGACATTACACGTCGGTTCCCTGCGGTTCAGCGATGCTTTGTTCCACAACGTCTCCGCAGTTCTTACATGAGCATGTGCGACATCGGATGTATCATAGCTAAGACAAGGTAGGATGTCGGGATGGGGTTGGTGGTGGCGGTGACGCTTTACCGTTGAAAGACTAGGTAGCGCTTTCAGGCCAACCTTTCCACCACATTACTTTATACGCAACCACGTACCACAATTGAACAATTAGATTCGCGCATGACAGTCAACATCACAACAATATCTCACGACATCTCAAGGTGATTCAGGGCTAGAGTGGCGGATCCCTTTAGATAGTTCAGCACGTGGCATGATGAAAACATCAGACAACATCTCTGTTTCCTACGATCGAGTATTGGGTATTCATTTTCAGTTCTAAGTATGCCGGAGTCCGTTTCACCCATACCTCGTATTTCAAATTCTGTTAAGTCGGTTTACAACCCCCTCCAACCTCCCCTCCTCAAGACCGCACCAGCAACCCTCCGCACCACCCTATCCATACCCTGCCTTACCGCTTCTCGAAGACGTGGGATCACAATACAGCGATCTCCCTTCTCTTCCGTCAGGGTATCGGGACTTGGTTTCTCGCGCGTCTCCTCGCGTGGTGAGGGGTCGCGTGACTCCTCCTCGTTCTCGTTCTCGATGTAGTTCTCGTAGTCCACAACCTCAGGCCCATACCCATCAACACCTATACCAGGAGGATACACCGCCCCATAGCTGGTCCCAGTCTCCACGTCGACAGTCAACAAACACTCCCTTGCCTCTCGCTCCACAACCCCCTCATGCACCGCACCCTCATCTTCCTCTAGCACCGCTCCCAGCGTCCGCGGGCGGTACATCCGATACTCCTCCTGCAGCTGCTGGACGCGCGCAGCCCGGGCGGCCCACTCGCGGCCCACCGCTGCCCATTCGCCGTCTTCTTCCGCTACTGGCTCGGAGCCCGCGGGCGGCGGAGACGGAACTACGGACGACAATGGTGGGGACGGAAGCGAGTGATGTACCGAAGACGCAGGCGACTCTAGCTGCGACCGCGACAGTAACAGTGGAGATATGCACGAAGGAGTTGCAGTCTGCATCTGCGTCTGCTCTCCCCCATTTCGCTCGTCCGCCGTCTCCGCCTCAGTCTCCTCAGTCTCCATGATCTCCGACACCAGGTCCCGCGAAAAGCGCCACCGCACCTCTGGCGCACATACCAGCACCGGCGTGCGGCGTTTGCGCAGCGTCTCCAGTGCGCCCACGTCGTCGAGGGGTTTTGCGCGGGAGAGGTTGGTCACTACATCTCTGTTCATGATGATATCTCTGGCGGTGGCGGTGGTGGAGGAGGGTATGTGGGACTTGGTGAGGGGCGAGTAGGTCGGTTTGCGTGTTTGTATGGGAAGGGGGTCGGGAAGACGGGTGTGTGTCCGCGGGTTGGTGAGGTGGGACATGGTGTGTGGAGGTGGTAGCTGGCTGATATGACTTTGTTTGTTGCTAGTATCGTTTTGTGAGATAGGAGAAGTGGACAGAAGCGATCGAGTCTTGTGTTGTTGGCAAGTAGGTAGCGTCTTTTCGTGTTGGCTGCGAGGGCAGGTAATATTCTGTTACGGCTCCTCACTCACGTGGCAGATTGTGCGGACCACTCTTGATTTTGGACCCTGCTGCAGGCTATCTGTGGAACGCCTGCATAGACCTCCGTGTGTTGGCTGGAAGGCTACCGTTGTATGTTTTTGGACCAGTCTCAGAGTGGCCCCCACATTTTGGCAACCACCAATACCTTCCAGTGAAATACGTCGGATATGGAGGGTCACAATATTGACTGCGTTGCCGCAGCAGTCATTACTTACTCCTACTCGCGGGAGTGATGCTTGTCCAACTCTTTAACCCAACGCCTTGCACGTTGATTGTCGACCCGCTCACCTGAGTACTGCTGAGCCGAGGATCTGTGTTTCGCGCCTTCCAATCTCGCCAACGCTCGCGCCATGATCTCTTCTCTGCTTCCAAATCTAATCCTGATGGGTAGGCAAGTATGGCCGAGATGTTTGCAGCAGACGCGGGTTCAGTCCGGTTCACGCGATTCGCGTTGTGCAAATACTGCGGAGGCTGGCTGGTTGGTTCTGAATCATAATACTGTGGAGGCTCTGCATGGTTTGTTGTGACAGAAGGGTTGGTGTGAACATCTGTCTGCTTCTTGCTGCTAATGGAAGGCGGCAGTTCTGGCTTGCTCATGATTGTAACTGGTCGAGTGAATCACGCGCAGTGAGTGCGGCTCATGCTAAAAGCTAAGTAGGTAGACGCCTCTTCGCCATGCATCGCCAAGCTCGATGGATTCTGCTGCAGTCTCCCAAGGCCACTCGTCGTTGGTTTCTGTTTGTGGTCTGGTGCCGGTTTTCCGACAGCAAACATGCATGACGTCATCGATCTCGTGATTTGCTCCTTCACGCCCGCTAATAATCAGTTTCACAGTTTCACATCGTTTTCTTCTTGGCAACTTGGAGCGGCCACCACATCTAGTCTTCTTCTTTGAACATCAGGAGCTATATTGAACACATTTTCGTAACATCTTCGCTGGTTCGTTGCTCCCCGAACGACACTGCGACATCGCTTACGCCGAGAAGTTGCTATCTAATAGGGAAAGTCAACAGCTTGGGAGCATTCGTAGAGGCAGAAACGCAAAGATCAAGATATGACAAGGGTTTGAAGCGGCTATAGCAAAAATGAGCAAAGACACAGCATAAACAAAGCATCTTGACCTTACGACAATGTTAATGCTCATAATCAGACCAATACACAGATCACTAATAATTGACCCTATTCAACCTTGTCGCTCGGCCGACCTGTGACGACTCTTAAACGTGCCGAGACAAGGTTCCGTGAGCGATAGCCAGTCCAGAGCTAGTCTGTGTGTCTTTATGATACTCGGAGGTGGGTGTTTTTAGTTTAGCAGAATCAAGCCAAAGAGACATCGTCCGGAAATCAGCGCTGTTGATCAACGACACGCAAGCGACGTAGGAGGTAATTCATCCGACTTATACTATTCGTATTCTGGCCAATCATGCACGTCCGGAGAAACAATCCTCAACTGTATTGCATAAACTGCGAAAACCTTGCAAAATCGGACTCGATTCCGGGAAGACGGGTGACACGCTGCAACCAACTTCATGGACCGCTTGAGCTATGATGTGCCATCTCCCCGCTGGACAGGAAGCCTGTGGTAAAAGCACCGGCAAAATCACTGCCTCGGCAACTTACACAGTATCAACACAAGCTCTAAAAAGGTCCTGGCGATTTCATCCTCACGAATTATTCCGTGCGTAATGAGACTCGTGAGTCAACTGCCAGACCTGACGGAAGTCACACCATGTCTATTGAAGGAGCGATTACCGACCAGATTACCTCGCTTCACGTGATCATCAAACTGATGGTAAACACACACTTGCTGCATTGGGAAAGAAACCAGAAGAGCGGCTCGGTGGTTGTGGAACACCCAGCGAGTCTAAACTTACAAACCCTGTCAGCGGGTACACAAGATATGGCCGTCTGTCGGTCCACATGAAAGTTACAATACAATACCCTAAACTGCTTGCGCACCGCACCGCGTACCGTCCCGTAGCGCTTAGGCCTACCGTAAGCCAACTACTGGTAGGATCTCCGGGCTTAGTGGGGCACCTGTTTCGTACAAACCAATGGGATCAAGCCGCCAGCAGTCCGCAGCCTACTGGGGCTGACTACGGCTAACGGCTCGGGTATCGCCGTTCCTGGATCGGTCAATCGTCCAACCAAAACTCTGCCAGCGAGACAATGCGAGTACCATGTGCTGGCATGGATTCCTCTGTTTACGAAGCACACAGCTCCACGGTCCACAGAAGGAACAATTTCTGGTCCTTGCGCTAAACAGTGAACAAGTCTCGATGTTCTAGGCTGTACAACGAATGGCAGCCAGCGAATGCTTGTTGGCGAACGGGCTGGGCAAAGGCCCGTGAACGCTGTCACGGAGCCCAGCTCGGTCTGCTCGCCATCAAGAATTTGCTCGTTGCCAATATTGAGTAAAAATGCTTGATTTTCACCGCTAGCTCACCTTATCGTTACCCGCACACTGATGTGGCGTTGATTTCTGATTTGCGGCATGGCTGCGCAGAAAAAGCGAGCAATGTAGCCAAGAACAGTTCATCGGCGCGGTCTCCACATTTACAGCGCCTTGGACGGCTTGGAAAGCTTGAAGAGCTTGTGTTTCTGGTGCTCTCCTATTCGTTCACTGCGGCGTCGAGTGGGACTCTATTCTTGTAGCCAACATTCTGACCCGTGGGATCTCAGATGTTACAGCCGCCACCATGCATGCTAGGTGGAGATACGGATATCTGTGTATCGAAGACATCCACTTATTCTTCCTGTAAGCAAGCCGCCACGACACATTTGGCAGGTCAACGATGGGTCCTGCCACTGCCGTCTAAACATGCTATCTGGCGAGAAGATTGGTCGCAGCCAGCAACGTAAATGCTATATAAACCTCTTTGACGGCTGTCACATTCTCTCCTCACAGTCAACAGAACATCTCATCCATCTTCTTCCTACTCAACAACAACAACTCAATCCGATCATCCCAATCACCATCAAAAACTCCATATCTCAAGATGAAGTCATTCTTCTCCCAGGCTTTCTTCTTCGCAGCCATTGCTGCTCTTGCATCAGCTGCCCCTCTCCAGGCCGGCAGTGCCATCGAGAGCCGAGCAGTCAAGGGCCCTGTCATCTTCCTCTCCAACTGCTTCAACTCCAAGGGTGGAGCATACGGGGAATTTGAATAGTAAGTGCCGAAGCGCCCCACATTCCTCGAAACAAACACTGACGAAAGTCTTCCCTATAGCTACGATGATGCCGCCAACAGCGTTCTGAACAAGAAGTCCTCGGCCCCTACCTTGACCAACGTCATCAACTCTGCCTCCGACGTCTCCTTCACCCAGGGTGGAACCTTCGTCACCGTCGGTCAAGCACAGGAATTCGATGCTATTTTCTCCATTGATGAGGACAAGTTCACTGGCCCCGGAGCAAAGGTCGGAAACGGAAAGAGCACATCCTACTTCTACGCTCAGGTCTGCTACGAGATGGCTTCTTCGACGGTCTACAGCCCCAGCGCATCGGTCAAGTGCTCCAGCCGCATCTACTGTGTTCCGGGACCGGCGGACAACTAGAACAATTACGACATACACATGATGATTCACGAGCAATTAACGGCCACGAACAGTTACGACAATCCTTAAGAATAATACAATAGAACGAATAGAATGAAAGCAGATCCACTACTAGAGTATATAAGTTGTGCATGTGCCTGTGTGCGATTTGGATCATGTATACTAACATACCTCAATTTGGAACAGATCTCGTAGTAGCCCGTCCAATGTCTGTACATCTGGCTACACGGTATTACCCTACATATTCATCTCCTGATATTGGAACGAGTCTTTGTCAGACTAGAACCACCTAATTCATGACCCTTCTCACTCGACAGGCGATTTAGGCACAAGAAACACCTTCAGCGAGTCTGACTTCAAGGTTTGTTGTGACTTATGACTTCAGTGTGATAATTATCGGTGTCTGTAAATATGTGCAGATCCTCATATTCCTATGGTACTTTACACACTGGCAGTCACGTACCAGATACCTGAGCTCTCTAATGGCTAGGAACTCTGCATGCCTAGGTGTGGGGGAAAGCTCGGTCCATATAAGGTTGACCCCGCAATATGACAGGATTGCCATAATGATTCGTGTTGGTCCACAAGACCGAGCAACATAGCATCTCGTACCATCGCGTCTGCTTCTATCTGTGAGGATGAGATGTCCTGGAGCTCATTGCTGTCCTCATCGGAAAGCACCTCGATGCACAGCCCTTCTTTCAAATCAAAAGGACGAAAGTTGGTTCGGCAATTGATCCCGGATATACGAAGGCATTCGGTGAGTAAGGCTGGCAAATGGATTTGCAGTCAGGACTGCTTCATCGGCTGTGTAAATCCCTAGGAGGGCATCTCTAAGTAATAAGCTGTCAGGGTTCTGATTCGCGTATTCCATTGCTCTTGCAAAGACACGGCCACTTGAACTCCATCGCCGCTGGGCAATGACCAACTTGATGCAATCTCGATTCTTCGATTGTACGGCGTAGGCAAGTAGCAGGTGTTCGTAAGGCATGAGTTCCTCGAGAAGTGGATCCCAAGTCGTGCTACGCAATTTGAAAAGGAACTTCAGCACGTCCACACGGCCGTCGCGTGCCGCTATAGCCAACGCGTTGTGTCCGTGTGAGTCTGCGTGCTCTGTATTGACCTTCACGGTGACAAATTGCTTTGGTGAAACCTTGAGACGGATACTTTTAGTAAGGAGCGTCATAACTTCGAAATGCGAGCCACATGCAGCATGCCAGAATGGGGTACGCCGCAAGCCATCCAGATCGTCGAGTCGATGCAAGTATCTCAGATTCTGCTCCTGACACTGCCCTGCAAGAGTATAGCATTGTTGTTCGCACTCGTGATAGTCCATTTGATATATCAAGTAGCGCACGACAGTCTCATGTCCGTGACAAGCAGCAATGTGCAACAACGATAACCCGTTGAGACACCGTTGATGCATGTTGGCGCCCGCTCTTGACAGTTTGATGACGGAACTTATGGTGCCTTGGCGGACGGCGATGTGTAGAGCTGTGCGTCCAAGAATGTCCATCCTGTCAGTGGCCTGTATAGGCCATTGTGCAGAATGGCTGAGGTTGTCGGAGTGGAAGTACACTGACGTGGCTGAGGCTCCTTTGCTCGCATCTTCCCACGTGAGATGAAATCCTGCATCTGAGAGAATGTGGAAGTTTAACCGGCCGAGAAAGTCGGGTCGTCTGTCGTTGAGGATGTCATGAGCCACAGCCGGAACACACACAAGTTCTCTCGGTGCAAACATTTGACATTGTCGCCAGTTCACAGTGGACGGGATCGATGACAAATGTCCCAGAGCTATCAGTTGATCAAGCTCCTGCATGAAATAATGACTACAAAGAAGCAGACGTGTAACCTCGTCTGTAGTTGGAGGTACACCGGCTTGTAGCAGTCTCGTTTGCAACACATAGACAAGCTCATGATAACCGGTGTTATAAAATGAGGTGATATCTGCACGAGTTGTTTCTAGGGAGATCTGATCCACGCCCCAAGTGAAGTCTGGACGGAAGTATGGGGTGGCAAGGACGTTGATTGCGTCTTGTGCACGTGCAAACGCTGCACCTCCACCTCGAGCTAGCATGCTAATCCTCACGCTGAACGCATACGCTTTGAAGTCAGCAACAGCTCGCTCGAGAATGGGCATACTGTTCTCCGTATGTTCTCTGGTTGCGTCGCGTTGATGTGGTCGTAGCATAGTGACAGCCATATCGATCATGTCTTTGACTGCCATCAACAAGATTGAGTGTAAGCTGAGAAGCAGTATACTGTGTAATTTTAGTTGCGTTTCCAATCAATAATAGGTTCTTCACTGACGCTTCTTTGGAAAGTAGGTCTCGATCTTCGCATGTGCAAGATTTACTCGCGTCACGCGGTGCGAGGTCAGAGATGTGAACAGCAAGAGGTTTCATCTCAAGGTGACGATGCTGCGGCGAAACTCTTTGAAGCTCTTCATAGCACAAATTCGCCGGTGGCTGTTTTCGTTTCCTTCGAAGTGTTACTTCTGTTGGCTTCGAGCACGTTTTGCCGTTCTTCATACAAGGCTCGCATCGTGCTGGCCAGTAGCCGTGTTTGACGAGAGTAAACGAACACAACATGGCCATCAGCATATGATCATATACGCCACGCTTCAGACTGACTTACAAGTATTTTTGATTTTCTGCAGTCATCACATTTGTATTTGGTCCTGCTGTTGCGCGGCTTTGGTTTGTTGAAGATCTGTGTTGGTTCTGACATTGTGCAGCATTTGTTGTAAGGTATCAAGGCTGAGAACGAAGGCTGACAGTATTTACTGCAGGAAAAGGCCTTCTTTAGGGCTCACAAACGCCTCCTGGGCAACAAGATTACACGTGACATGGCTGATAGATGCTGTGCGCGACGCGGAAGCCGGCTTGCCCACCGCTGTGCGATGAGCGCCCACTCCACTACCGGGAATTGACGCCACCATGCATTAACTGTATGTAGTATCACTTGTAGGGAGCGGAAGCGGGAGAAAACTCCCGGTCGAGACCTTCCCTTGTTGATCAATTCAGAGATTGCCTAGAGGATTCGAGTGCATCCGGCTGTCCAATCACGCACTTTGGCACAAAGCATTTGCATCCAACGTGCGGAGCGGCCTTCGCCAACACGTTCCGTTTCAGGGCCTGGCAACAGTCCTACTTCAATGTCTAGAGCTAAGCTAACACGCGCTGTATGCAGCTCAGGGATAAGCCGCCTGCCCCGGCGCGCGCAATTTGTGGCATTGTTGTCGAACTCTGCATCTTGTGCAACAATGACAAGAGTGGAAGTCTGCTGCAGCATCAATGGTCCAATTGCGCAAATGTCCAGGCTAGTACTTGCGAAATGGGGTGTCTACATTGAGATCCTGCCGCGACGAGGCGAATCGCAGTCAATTGACTGCGTGCAATCTCTCAAGGGTGCTCTGATCATAAATAGCTGTTGTCTACGTATGTTGCTTGGAGCTCAAACCGTGCCCAGGACAATTCTTCAGTACTTGACAGCCAGCCCAACAAGGCTGGATCTACCTCGTCATTAACATTCTTCAACCTATCGATCGATCATCAGAAACACCACTGTTTTTTCAGCGGAAAACATGGAAGCCCACATGACCATCCAAAATGTACAGCGTTCGACTGATGCCTTAAGCGATGGCTTGAGTGTGACGCAGACACTTTTGGCAGGATTCAGCCTACTAGTCGCCCTGACGTTGTGCCACTGGGGGTTCCTGGCTTGCAGGAGACGTCGTCAGGTATCAAGACGCAGCAGCATACACGAACTGGAAGTCATCGTACCCGAGGTAACCTTCGCTCAATTCCTTGATTGATCCAGCTCATTGATTCGGGAACAGACCTGGGTGCATGAGGAGCACGAGACACGTGAAGAGCTCGAAAGGTCTGGGCCATCGAGTTAAAGATGAGAGACATTGATCGCGTCTCAACATGGTAGACTTGGACAGACGCAGGTACGGGAGAAATGAAAGTGGCTGATTTGGGAAGGCTCACGCTGTAAGCACATGCAGTATAGCATTTGAAGGGATATTTGTAACAAAAGGGAGCCACGGGTCAGTGATTGTGCGATTGATATGTGTAGAGGTGCAAAACTAGATGTCTTACGTGTCAACTGAATCATGTCCCGTGTCAAGAAAATTCCCCTGATACGAAGTTATTAGGTCTTTTGATCTGCGTTGCTATTTTCACAAGCGCTGCGGCAAAGGGTTGCGACGATTGCGACACGGCCAATAGTGTAGGCACGTTGTGAAAGCATACCGAGCTTTTGTAACGGGCCAGAGTGGAATGACTACGACTGGTAGACGCAGGAAGATGAATCGAGGGGCCAGGAAGTCGGTGAGGGACAGTCCACTTGGCAATGGCGTCTGCCAATCTTCGAGGCTTGCGATCCCAGCCTGATCACGCCTCTCTCTATTTACTGCGCCGCTGCAGCCTGGAGTCGAAAAGAAAGGAGTACTTTGGTCCAGCATCCGCCGACGAGCGGCCGAGGAGGACGCACAAATGACTGTCTATTGGTGTCGTTTGTGGATTTCCCCTGTAAATTGGTCAGGCGAGCGAATCACTGATCCCTCTGACGCGCTCAAAATCAGCCTCAAACTTTGACGATCCTTCGGCCGCTTGGGTGTAGTAATTACTCGCGTTGACTGCGTGTTTGTGTCACACGTGACGAAGTTGATCACAGAAAGGATGGGAGCTTGGCACATGGTGGGCCAGTAACGGCAACGCTAACCCGACTCGGCTTTGATGCAGGGACGACATGTTCAGCACACACTGGCTCTAGACCCACCCATACCCGCACGAACAAATACCCTCGCATCTACGCACGGGTCATTTGCAAACAACTAATGTGATGTTGAAAGATGTGTCGCTGTTCCAGTCTGGTCAGCCTTGCTGCTGGACGCCTAATGTGGCTGTGTCCCTGTGACACATGCAACCAAGGCACTCCTCAGAGACCGATGGCGTCAGTCCACTCGCACCCGAGCGCAAAGCATCTTGCGTCGCGCGAGGCAGGCCTACGAATTAGCTAAGCATGCCGCTTTGCCGTCACCATGAGCTTTGGAATTAGCATAGGCGATCTCTTGAAGCTGGGCGAGATTGCCGGTCGTGTGTACAAGAACTGTCCGAACGTGTGCATCCCTGGGGCACTACAAATGGCTGACACTTCACAGGTCGCGACTGCACGGGCGACTACAAGTCGCTCACGACCGAAGCGCGCAGTCTTACGAATTTATTGGACGATATCCAGGATAAGTTCGAGAAGATACCCCCGCATAAGCGCGAGCAACTCCGCGAAGCATACGACCCATGCGTCAACGTGCTATCCGAGCTTGACAAGTTGCTCGAGCATTACAACTCGCTCGACACAAAGAGCAAACGCGCGTGGGACCGGTTGAAATGGGACCCAGAGAAATCTAGAAGTCTGCGAGAACGTCTTGCTTCGAGCGTGGCGATGCTCAATGCATTCTACATCTCGGTGATACACGATAACCAGGTGTTGATACTCGAGGCTCTGGAGCGGCTGGAGTTAGACTACAAGGGTGGATGCCGCGAAGAGAGCATCGCTTCGATTGAACGCATTGCTGCCCAAGACGGCCAGGAGGAGGAGGATGATGATGCGGCTTGGTCTCAGATCATCCGCGACCTCGAAGATGTTGGTATATCTCAGCAAGTGGCATTCACCTACCATGACTTCGTTGTGGATTGGTTCATCAGAGCTGTCAACGAAGGCAGACTGCTGGAGGAGCGCAGGGATCCTGAGAGCCTGAACTCAACACGGCGGTCTTCTGCAGCCTTCCAAGTAGACTTCCTTTCTTCGTCGCTTGCCGCGACAACTTTGGACACCAAGTCTGATACCGTCCACACAGAGGTCCTCGCGCAACCCACCATCATCAAAACCCTACACAGAACAGATTCTTCCAACGCACCAGAACTGTTGCATGTTATGGATCCTCTCACTGAGATCTACAAGGAGGCATATCTTCCAGACCCATCTCATAGCGCTCCAGAGCCCGTCCACGTCTCCTCGCCATCTGACCTAGCTCCCGAGCCTATGCACGGAAAGAATGGAGAGCTCTCGACTGGATTCTTCTGGCCCAGCAACTTGGCCTCGGAAGCACCACAACCTGTCTCATCTGTAGCACCCTCCAATCTTCATGAGACGGCACAGCAGATAGTAGCAGCATGGACTAGACGCGACTTCCCCACTGCGACAGAGTTGTTGGAACAACAGCTTGCCGCTGTCGAACTCGGCTTCGTCACATCGAACGGTCTGCAGCCTGATCGCCGCGTGCTAAGACACTGCATCGGCGTGTGTGCTTCGTTCGGCGGTAACTTTACGAAAGCAAAGCACTTCTTCGAGAGTGCGTTCAACGGGCTATACTTGATCAAGAACCTGGACGAGGGCGACATTGCGGCAGCACGCTGGCTGGGCGATGTTTGTCTTCAACTGCACGAATTCCACAACACAGTCCTGGCCTGGAGCGTCGCTCTGGAAGGTTCGATTCGGCGCTATGGATTGACGCATGATCGCACACGGCATCTGGTTCAGGAGATGCTCAAGTTGGACGAGTGGGTGTCCGCATTCAAGGATATCAACGGGTACTTTCTCGCAAACGTGGATCCGACCGACATTTTCTCGAGCACCCACGCACTGGAGAAGAGCGATCTAGTGCGCGCAACGCAAGCACGCGTTACTGAAGGACAGCCTCGGTCGAGCCAGGCCAGATCAGGTCGTCCTACAGCGGCGCTCCGGCCCCGCCCACGTTTGGAGATGATTCCAGCCGAAGCGTTCTTCACCGCTCCACTGGTATCGTCTGGAGCATGGCCGTTGCCGTGGGACGCAACCTTCTCCCCCATGGCAGTTTTTCAGACGTACTGGTATCTCAAGCTCGCGGAACCGGTTCAGTCCGCGTTGTCTACCCGCCCCCTTCGCTGGAAATCCCTTGGGGAATCCAAGAAGCTCGACTATGTTACCAAAGCCGGCAGTGCCTGGCTCGTCGAAACAGTCAAGGCCATCTTGCGTGAGCTGGAGATTGAGCACGCGGAGCATCCCGATGAAAATGCCATCGTTTGTTGTCTAAATAGGGACCACGACGGTGTGGCGTCTTCTGAAGGCGTTTTGATTGGCTTCTGGAAGGTGCAATTTCGCAATGTGTGTGGCGTGAAGATCTCCAACGTAAAATGGTCCACGCGAAAGCCACCTCCCATGTACGGCACGCGGTCGCTGATGGATTTCGATGCGCCCGTTGACACGCTCGAAATTAGGGACACTATAAAGGAGATGCTGGAGCTTGCGGAGAATCGGCCACACGTTGCAGCGCCGATTGATGAGAAGGCCAGTGTGCAGTCCAGCTCGCGATCATGGAAGCCCTGGGGCAGCTCAAAGGCAACGATGTCTTTGTCGTGACATGCTTCCCAATCTCCTCTAGACAATGATTAATGGAGATCGTCATTTCGGATTCGGCTACAGTCCACATCGTCTGCAGTCGAGACCTGACGGCCGGTCGGGAAGGGTGCGGCGCGTGTTGGCTGAAACGCTCGCTTGTTCCCCACACGCACATCCGATCGTTACCAGGCGATCCAAAGAGCATCGTCAGCCACCTCGTACCTGCACATTTGCCAGTAGCAAGCACTTCTCGCTACTGATGTCCAACGCTGACTGCCGCGTTTCGATGACGTTTGATACTTGTTTGCATGGAGCAAGGAATGATTGCGCACGAACGAGCTTGGCTGCTTCAAACAAGGATTATCCACCCTACCTTAAATCATCCTCATCTTGTTGCTCTGTAGAGTCAGTACATGGCCTCCACCAAACAAAAACGACACATTTGTCTTGGTATTCACAACGGTCGGAAGCCCCCGCAATTCCCCCTGCTTGAAGCTGAAGCGAGGAAAATACAACAGCAATGTTGGGTAACCCGCACGCAGCAGCGTGCCAACACCGTGCGACACAGTGAAACTCATCACTACTTCAGCGAAGCACACCTCTCCTGACTGACGCAAGATTGCTGGCGGTGAAGGACGCTCAACAGTGTTGTACCTTACACCCGTGCCCGGCTTAGGCGGGATAGAAAGCTTGGCCTCAGGCTCACAAAGCGCACCCGGAGTCCTTGCGAGATTGGAGATGACTGCCTTAGCGACTGCCAAGCTGTGGAGTCCCGCTCCCCTGAATCCATAACTGACGGGCGGGACTGACACCTGGCGCCTTCAGTTCGAGGAACTGTATGATAGTTGACTGATCTGTCGAGACTCCCGTCTTGGACGTGTGCCGCATGATCTGCTAATGGTCGACGGCAGATCACTGCGAAGAAGCGACATCTCGGAAGACAGTTTAAATGAAGGGCGGTACCTGAACTAGCGCGTCCGAGAAGGCGCCACGCAGCGGCTAGTCTTACCAGAAGATTCTCTAGTGGGTGCGTTTGCGTTTCACGTATGGTCCTAGCGGTGGACATGATTGGCTCTTCGTTTCAAGGCTGACAACCTCTCCGGGTGTCGTCAACAACGTCTGTAATTCCGGCTCGACTTGTATTCTCCTGGCGATCCGGCGCCAGGAACACATCCAGTGGGGCGGCAGTGCGGCGGCCTGCGCAGGGGTGGCCGTCTGCAGAATCGGCAGGGGACCCGCAGACATCAAAAGCCCGAGCAGATCCTGCCTCTCTTCCTCTCTTTACCTCTGGTCTTGAGCTTGTAGTCCACCACTGTCCTTCCCTTCGGCACGTTTGTTGCCTTTGCACTCCTTCGTCGCCAGTCGACCCACACTCTTTCTCGCACAGTCCTAGCGACTTGCTCTGTTCCTGTGACATACTACTACTTTGCGCTTGACCCAACGACACATACACGATGAAGTCCCAGTCCATGCTCCTCGCGGCCCTGGCCTCTGCGCCGGTTGCCCTCGCTCACACTGCGTTCACCGACATTTACGTCAACGGCGTCCCTCAGGTGTGGAGTGCAGTTTCCTAGAGCACTGACATGTCCGCTAACATGCGCAGGGTGATGCCGTCGCTATGCGCATGAGCACCAACCCGGAGCGTTCCACTGCGCCCATCTCCAGCCTGGGCAGTGACGACATGGCTTGCAGTATGTCCTTGATACACCCTCGCACGTGATCATGCCACTGACAAGACACAGACGCCGGCGGTACCAAGGGCGTAGCCCGTGTGGCTTCTGTCCCCGACGGTGCCACTCTCTCCTTCGAGATCCGCGCCTGGCCCGCAGACGCCTCCAAGGAGCGTCTCGAGCGCGGCCACAAGGGCCCCTGCGCCGTCTACCTGAAGAAGGTCGCCTCCGCCATTGACGACCCCGGCGCGGGCGACGGCTGGTTCAAGATCTTCGAGAATGGCTACGATGCCAGCTCCTCCAGCTGGTGCTCCGACAAGATCATCGACAACAACGGCCTCCTCAACGTCAAGCTCCCCACCGGCCTCGAGGGCGGCGCCTACCTCGCCCGCCCGGAGATCCTCGCCCTCCACGCCGCCAACGACAACGACCCCCAGTTCTACACCGGCTGCGCCCAGATCTTCCTCGAGAGCACCGGCTCCCTCGTCCCGGAGTCCACCGTCTCCATCCCCGGCTACGTCGACTACGGCCAGCCCGGCACCAAGTTCGACATCTACAACTCCGACGCGTCGACATACGAAATGCCCGGCCCCAAGCTCGCCACCCTGGTCTCGTCGAGCGCGCAAACCGCAAACTCCGAGGCCATGACCCAGACCGAGGGCACCAAGCCCGCGGGCTGCCTCGCCGAGAACGGCAACTGGTGCGGCTCCGAAGTCTCCGACTACACCACGGAGAAGGGCTGCTGGGCGTCCGGCGAGGAGTGCTGGGCCCAGGCCGAGGAGTGCTTCGCCGCGGCCCCGGTCACCGGCGCCGCGGGCTGCAAGCTGTGGCAGACCAAGTGCCAGGGCATCAACGACGCGTGCACGGCCGGCGACTTCCAGGGCCCGCCGAACAAGGGCAAGGTGCTGACCCAGGACAAAGAGAGCATCGACGTCGGCGCCGTGCTCGACGGCGGCGTGACCGGCGGCGCTGCTACCCCGGCCAAGCCCAAGCCGTCGTCTGCGGCACCTAAGCCTTCTTCTGCGGCTCCCAAGCCTTCTTCCGCGGCCCCCAAGCCCTCGTCTGCTGCCCCCGCCCCATCCTCTGCCGCCCCCGCGGCCCCCGCCGCGCCTTCCTCCGCGCCCGCCGCCTACCCCACCGCCATCGACGACTACGCATCGCCGCCCATCATCGACACGGAAGACGCCTCGGCCGAGGACGATGCCGAGGCGCCGGCCCCAGCACCCGCGGCGTCCTCCACCGTGCCCTCGTACGACGAGGCGCCGGCCACGACGCCCGCGCCCGAGGTCCCTGCGTCCGAGGAGGGCGGCTCGAGCTGCCAGCCCGGGTGGGCGTGCGTGACGGTCACGGAGATCGAGACGGTGGTGCAGTATGTGACTGTTGTTGCTGGGGAGGGGGAGTACAAGAAGAGGAGTGGGGCGCGGGTGTTCAGGCACCGTCACGTGCGCCGCTGAAGAGCGTCGTGGAAAACATCTGGATGGGAAGGGTGATTTGAAAGGTGGAGATTATTTCTGCAACATCAGCGTTGCGAGCTTAGCTCTTTTTGGGATTCAGATTTGATGGAGGTTATGAGACCACGGCTCGAGACAATGGATCGGTACGGTTTACGCTTTGTGCTATTGATGCTGTGAATGTTCATACGTGACCATGGTGGTGCCTTCCACACTCCGAAGTCTACAGCCCGACAACGCTACGTGATCAGACAACATCTCGTGCCCATCTATGTGATGCGCCACTCAGGCATCGGCGTGCGCGACTCATCCGCGGGATCGCCCTATCGCTCGCCGTCGGCGGTCCGCACAACCACAGTGCCGTCCTGCATGCCAAAGTACACAGCCACCGGCACCTGGCCGCCGCCGACAGCCGCCTCGCCGCCCTTGGCCCGCAGCGCCTGCGCGTCCAGCCCGTTCAAGCCGGAGAAGATGCCGACTTCGAGCACGCCAGTCAGGCCCTTGATCGCGCGCGCGATGTTGTTGACCTCCCACGTGCCATCGGAGCCATCGCCCTTGCCCTTGCCGTGCTCAACATCGCTGCGCGTCAGCAGCGCAGGGAACTTGGCGTCGATGATGTAGAAGTCCTGATCTGTCTTAAGGGGCCCCGACTTCTCGAGCTGGGTGATGCGCAGCTTGGGGTCTGTCGAGCCGAGCTGGCGCAGGGCAGCGGCGACCTTGTTCTGGGCGAGGGGCGCAATCTCGATGGGGATGGTGGGCCAGTTGGTCAAAAGGCGGTCCTGGCGCTTGCGGTAGTCGGCAACGCAGACAAATTTCTTCGCGCGCTCGGCGACGAGCTTCTCCTGGAAGAGGCAGGCGCCGCCGCCCTTGATGCAGTTCAGCTCTGCATCGACCTCGTCGGCGCCGTCGAAGGCGACGTCCAGCATGACGCTGTCTGGCAGGCTGTCGAAGGCGACGGGTGTCAGGCCCGCGTTGATGATGACCTGGCGCGATTGGTAGCCCGTGGGCACGAAGCGGATCGCGGGGTTGGTCGAGCGCTCTTTGATGGCCTCGACCACGTACACGATAGTTGTGCCGGACCCGATGCCTACGTATGTCGCCTCGGGGTCAAAGTGGTCGGCAACGGCCTGCTGCCCGGCCGCGCGCTTGGCGGCTTCGACGGTGGTGTCGGTCATGGCGGTGTGGAGTGCAGGCGTGGTAGAGAAGTGACGGCGGAGTGAGGGTGTTGTGGTGTGCTGACTACACGTGTGTGGGCTGCTGCTATGCGTGGCGAGGGGCAGGCGCGATGTGACTGTGGTGTTGAGGGGCAGAAAAGATGGCCCCGCAATTGCTTCAGCTCGGAGGGGCAGGCGGGTGCTTCGCAATTGCTGCGTGCGTCGTACGATATGCAATGAGGGGCGCATCGAACTGCAATTGCTTCCTTATGAGCAATTGCACTCCGTCACGAGATGCTGCCACAATTCAGCCTATTTGCTGTTCGCAACGAGTCGGATGGCGAGGAAGCTCGAGGCGACGCGACAGGGGAGAGCTCCTGCCGATGACGCGACGCCCCACCCCCACGTGCTTAGTGATCATCACCTTCAGTTCACAGATGCAACCGACCTCACGTCTGCGAACCATAGTACAGCGTCTCATCTAAGAACACGTCTCGTAGATTGAGGCGCTGCGCGATTCGCACACTGCCTGGCTTGTCCAATTTTTTTGGTCTACATAGCCTGTATCACGCTTCTTCATCACGAGAGTATCTAAGGCAGAGTTCTTCAACCGAATGTCCTCGGCTCCGCAACTCACGCGCTGCCATGATGAGCTGGGTCTTGATCTTACGGACGCGAGACATAGTCAAACAATAGACGCAGTAGGTGGGCTAAGTAAGGTCGCGTATATCCCGTGTGATCTATACAGCCACCGACCTCGAACATGAACACTCTCTCACAGCAAGAACGCATACACAGTTCCTGCTTATCGGAAATGTGCATTGTACCAGGACCCATGGACGTTCATCGAATTCCAATGATCTGACTGTGAACGCGGAAGGGAAGAGAGATTATGTAGTAGTTGCTTGGTATGACAGGATACGACATACCGTCTTCTTCCTTCACAGCGTCTAGGGTGCGGATTCACTGGATGGACGAATGGATAGGTAACTTTGGTCATGTGAGACAAGTACGGTGAGCCATACGCAGCGAGAAAGACTACCTCATTGGTAAGACTTGTTTTGTGGTAACATCACCGGCTGTAATGAGGAAGCGTTCTGTCAGATGAGCTTGTTGATACTGACGATTGGTGTGAAGGACGTGCTCGGGCGCTGGAGGTACTCGCCCAGCCCCTGATTTCCCCACGACATGGCCCGAGACCCTGAGTCAACGCGGAGTTTTCATACGGCGGTTTGATCTGGCTCGAACCAAGGAGTTCATTTGCTACAACAACTCGACTCGACTTGACTTCACATGGCCACTGACATCGCACCAGCGCGGTGTAGTTCCTCTACGGCCGTCTCGTAGTGACTACCAGTGTATACTCTTCTAGTCGTGAGACAGAGGCGTGCAGGGCGAGCGAGTACGTGAGTTCAACCTTGCTGGTGGTGACGGTGAAGGCTCTGACGACGACGCCAAGCTCTGGTGCTGTGGATGCAGATGCACCAGCGAACTACACACACACCGCGCAGTACAGTACACCACAACGCCCGCTGCGCCAGTAAGTTACACGCGCAACAGACGCACACACTAATACAGCCCATCCAGGCCTCTCCATCCGCAGCCTCGTAGCCCTCTGCACGTTGTCCATGCATAAAACACACCAGCAGTGTAATACACGGACATCGATACCAGTGCACTAGCAAATTACACGCGCGCTACCTGCCCTACCCTCCAACGTCCCCAGGCCCTTCCAACGCCTCCAACGCCACCACTTGCCCACCGCGTGGCACCCTCCGCCCTCGGGTCCGTGCCGACACGAGACAGCGGTGCTTCCTCGGCCTCTGGGGCCGACGTGTACACGGTGCGGAGCGGAGCGGAAGCGCGATGGAAGGATGGTGGCACTAGCGTGCGGAGGGGAGGATACAGGGGATACGGGGCTGGAGGTGTGGTTGGCACGAGTGAGGTTTTGGAGTTTGGTGATGCGGTGAATGCAGTGAAGACGGGTAGAAGCGGGCGTGGATGTGGATGTGGATGTGAATGTGTCTGGGGAACGGGGTGTGGAGAAGGACGGCAAGGCATGGGGATCTGGGGGCGTCTGTCTGAGAAGTAAGAGGGCGATGCTAGACGGCACGCGCCCATTTCTTTGTTCAAGAGTATCATTACGCTGTAATAGCAACCACAAAACATCCCTCACGCCTCCACGACCTTGATCTCCGGCCCCTCAATCTTCTTCACCTTCCGCCCTTCCCACCACGACATCACGCCCGCCGCCATCGCCACCCCGCACCCCAGCGCAATAAACGTCCCCGTCGCCCACGTCGGCCGATCCAACCTATTATAATGCCACATGAAGAAACACAGCACCGCCTGCAGCAGCGTGTTCAGCACCATCATATCCACCGTAAACGCAAGTTTCCACATCGGCGTCGGCGGCGCGCGCTCCCCCGTAAACGTCAGCTTCTCGGGCTCGGCCTGCTCATCCGTGAACCACGCCGGGGGGCGAAACCAGGCTTTGTTCTGGGTGAAGAGGCGCTGCATGGCGTGGTGGTCGTGCGCGTGCACGCTGCGCAGCATCCAGTAGAAGTCGCGGAAGCGCCAGGGCGCGAGGCCGAAGCCGGTGACGCAGAACAGCGCGTTGAGGATCTGCGAGTCGATTTCGAGCCACTTCTTGTTGGGTGAGTTGTCGTCGCTGCAGCTGGGGTGGCACATGGCGGGCGCGGCGTTGAGGAGCAGGAAGAAGAGCATCGCGCCCCAGGCCTGGGTGGGTTAGCGGGAGAGGGGGGTCAGGGGGAGGAACGTACGACGACGTTGAGCCCGTAGATCGTGATTAGGAAGCCTGAGGGCGTGAGGAAGAAGACCCAGAAGGCTTTGAGGCCGTTTTTGATGGTGGGGCCCCAGGGCTCTTTGTGCGCGGAGGCGTGTTTCTCTTTCAGGGTCTGGCGACGGTGGAGGCCGTGGTGATGATGATGATGGTGTTTCTTCCCGCCAGCTTCGACATCCGTGTCTTCTGTGGAAACGACTTGTTCAACGGGGCTGAAGAGTGGCTTGGTCTGCGTTCTGGCCAGCGTGAGCTCTCCTGGAGAGTCTCCATCTGGGACTGCAGTTCGAATTGAGTGGCCGTGTGCATCGAACTCGATGTTGGATCCTCCTGACTCTGGTTCGCGCAGCTCGGTCAAATTTGGTGCTTGTGCGATCGCTGTTGCTGTCGCCTGCCACATGCCCAGCTGCGGTGTTGTGTTCATCAGGGACACCGACATGCCTCGGGCCCGCCCCACAATCCCCTTCTCTTGCGTTTCGGCCATGGTCCAGATGATTGGTGTTGTCCAACTACATGCGCTCAATGCGCAAAGTCGACGAAGATGAGTTTGAATCAATTCCAGCTCCTGCAAATCACGTCCGTGAAATCATAAAAATTTGCGCGACCAACAAAACTGCAGAGCTTGGGGTCTGGAGATACGAAGTACGGCAAGGTGATATCAGCAAGCGGGCCACTACGGACGATCCGCGGTGCGCTATGCTACGGCGCCCCATATACGGTAAGGACAGGCGTTACTCTCGGTCTGGCGCGGCTGGACTGCCCTTAGTAAGCGTCCGACAACCGAAAGAATCAAGAGGTGAGATCGGGGCGCAATTAGCGACACATGTGATAGGCTGACTTGGCTGATTCAGTAGGTCCGACTTGCTTATCCAAACAAACTATATCGGGATTCTGTCCGGCCATTGACTTAATGTTGTTGCCATCCCTCGGCTCGATTGAATGTAGCACGTCTTTGCAGCTTGTCGCGCAATGCCTCTCAACTTCCACAGCAAGCAGCGAAAAGGCCAGTACCATGACGAGAAAGCGCAGAGCGACGGACGGGTCAATTCCTTCGGCCAGGTCGCGATCAACTTCCATAGGAACACTGCGCATTTGAGATACTGGTTCGAGAAGCTGCAGGTCGATGCTATCGCAAGCTGCCCGGCGCAACGTGCAAAGGCGCGGAGGGGGAGTACGGCGCTTGTAGAGGAGTTCATCAGCGAGAAGGCACATGTTTTGTCTAAGCCGCGGCTAAACATTGCGATACATATCTGTGGCTCTCGAGGAGATGTGCAACCTTTCATTCCGATTGCAAAGTTACTCCAGGCGGCCCCGCATGGACATCGAGTGCGGATATGCACGCATCCTGCTTTCAAGGACTTTGTTGTAAGTGGCTGAGTGCCGACATCAAGACCAAAGGTACTGAATACGCACAGGAAAGCAACGGGATCGAGTTTTTCTCAATAGGGGGTGATCCCGAGGCGTTGATGGCGTACATGGTGAAGAACCCCGGGCTGCTGCCGAACATGCAATCAGTAAAGGCTGGAGATATCGGCAAACGACGAAAAGAGATGGGCGAGATGATCGAAGGAACCTGGCGTAGCTGCATCGAGGCCGGCGATGGCATGGGCGCGAAGATTCCAGTACTGAATGTAGATGCGGCAGAAGATCTCTTCATCGCTGATGCCATCATCGCAAATCCCCCATCGATGGGACACATCCACTGTGCAGAGAAGCTCGGCATCCCGCTGCACATGGTATTCACCATGCCATGGTCGCCAACGAAAGCTTTTCATCACCCACTGGCAGCTATGGAGTATGGAGAAGTCGAGACGTCTATGGCCAACTACTTTTCCTTTTCCATTATGGAGCTCCTTACTTGGTCAGAACCCTGAGCCATGATGTCTGGCATTGCTAATTATCTGCAGGCAAGGCCTCGGTGATATCATTAACAAGTTCCGGACTCAGACTCTGAAACTGGATGCGATTAGTCCGCTGTGGGGTCACCAGCTCATACCGCGACTCCGTGTACCATACACATATCTCTGGTCGCAAACTTTGATTCCGCGGCCAGCTGACTGGGCGGAGAATATAAGCGTAACCGGGTTCTCGTTCCTCGTAGCTGGCTCGGACTATACTCCGCCTCAGGATCTAGCCGACTTCCTAGCCAAAGGACCACCACCAGTGTACATCGGGTTTGGTAGCATTGTTGTTGACGATCCGACTGCCCTCACCAAGCTCATCTTCGAAGCAGTGAAGTTGGCAAAGGTGCGAGCGATCGTGTCGAAGGGATGGGGAGGCGTTGGCGCGGGTGAGGTGCCTGACGATGTGTATCTCATCGGGAATTGTCCACATGATTGGCTTTTTCAGAGAGTCTCGTGTGTCGTCCATCATGGAGGAGCTGGTACAACCGCGGCTGGCATTTCCTTGGGGAAACCAACAGTTGTCGTGCCTTTCTTTGGCGATCAACCCTTCTGGGGACAGGTAGGACAATCTCAAATCAGCTTGAAGCGCCGAACTGACTCGCCTGCTTTAGATGATTGCAAAGGCCGGCGCAGGGCCAGTCCCTGTGCCATTCAAGCTAATGACGGCACAGAGTCTTGCTGAGAGCATAAAGTTCGCGCTGAAGGACGACGTCCAAATTGCTGTAAAGCGAATGGCCAAGAGCATAGCGGAAGAAGACGGCGCAGGGGGCGCAACGCACGACTTCGAGGAAAAGCTTGAGCTTGACGGGATGCGGTGTCATGTCTCTCCAGAACGTCTGGCGCTCTGGCGAGACAAAGAATCCGGAGCACACCTGAGTGGTTTCGCTGCAGTCACACTTTGCGAAGCGAGGCTATTAGATCCAAAGCGACTGCGATTGTAAGTCTAACAGGTGTCAATCAGCGTTTATGTCACTGACCATGCGACTACAGGTTGCGACACAGACACTGGTGTGAGTAGAGGAATTTGGCAAGTTGAAATCTTTGCTGACAAACGTAGATACTCATGAGGGAGCTGAAGGTCCACTCGTAGGTGCCGTAGCTGCTTTTGGTGGACTCGTGTCTTCTCTTGGTACAGCGACAACTGATTTCTCACTCCGCCTAAAGAAACGGACTGAGACTGAGGACGTCGAGACCTTGGCTCGAACTATCACGAATGGTGCAGAGGAGGCTTTTGATCCCAAAAAAGGCATAACCTCAAAGCAGTTCAACCACCTAGCGTACAGGATGGCAAAGAAATCGTATGAAGACGATCCAGTAAAGAATTTCAGCAAACCACAAGCTCGCCCTGGCCTCGTGGCGTTGCGAAGGAAGGTGGCAGAGAAGAAGGCGAGAGGCGGTCGAGGGTACCAGATCACAAGCGCCACAACGCACTACGTGTGTGATATTGCCGCTGCAGGCGCTAAAGGTGAGTTTCAGAGGGTGGATTGCGAACGCCTGCTAATAGACACGTCTAGCTCCGGTTGCGCTCTTCTATAATATGGCAAACGGATACCGAAATCTCCCTTCCTATGCGATTCGGAACGATCCAGCAAGGCGACGAGACGAGATAACAGGCTTCGGCAGTGGGTGTAAGCTCGCCGGCAAGGTAAGGTCCCCACTCAGTGGACTAGACCAAAGCTAACATGGCTTGCAGGAATTCGTGCTGGGCTTCGGCGACGCAATCCAGGGTACTGTCAGGCATCCGTATCTTGGTGCCAAACAGGAAGGCGCACTCGGTTTTGGCAAGGGCATTGGGAGAGGCTTCGCTGGGTTCTTCTACCACACGATGGCAGGTACGTATCTCGACATCAACCAGGATGAGCGTGAACTGACACATTTAGCCATCGTCGGCCTACCTGGGTACTTCCTCAAGGGGATTGAGAAAGAATTGCTGCGGCGACACATGACGGCAATCCAAGCCGAGATTGTTCTCATACAACTGCGTCGATCGTCTCTTGAATTTAGAGCGGCAAGTGAAGCTGAGAAGGCCGAGGCGCTGGAGAAATGGGAAGAGGTGAAGGCCAGCATACAGAAGCACTAGTTGCGAATCGTGTGACAGATTGGATTCATATAGGATGTTTTAAGACTAATATTTGCCACTGACCAAGACTGGAGCATCTGTCGTTGTGATAGACTTTGGAATCATGACTCGCAATTGTGGGACAGGCTGAGCACATTCATGCAAGGCGAGCCGTGTGGGGAGTGTAGCATTCAGGCGTCTCAAAACAGCGCCTTGGTGCCCCACCAAGAGTCCCCACGTCTTGTGGCGACACCGCCTGTGGCAGAACGCGACACCGCCCTGGCAGAATGTCAACGCTGCCTGTTGATGCTGCACAAATAAACGTCATTCACCACCATCTTTGGAATTTAGAGACAAGATGGCGGACCTACCTCCGCCGGTTCAAGGGCCAACTGCGAAAGAGAAGAAGTGAGCGCTGTTTGTATGTGTTGGCTTTCGGGCAGCTTCTGACTACGGCAGGTACGACCGCCAGCTGCGCTTATGGGGAGCTACCGGCCAGCGGGCACTCGAGAACTCGCACATTCTGCTCATCAACAGCGGACCCGGTGTTGTCGGTATCGAGACGCTGAAGAACCTCGTCCTGCCTGGTATCGGCCAGTTCACGATCCAGGACTCGGCCGTCGTCACGGAAGCGGACCTGGGCGTCAACTTCTTCTTGGAAGAAGAGCATCTTGGTGGCTTCCGTGCCGAGCACACAACCCGCCTACTCAAAGAGCTGAACCCTGACGTCGAGGGCCACCATGTTACTGAAGTACGCGTGGCGCCGCAAGCAAACCTGAAACCAGCTGACAGCGGCCCAGCCCATCGAATCGTGGCTAGTCAACCCGGACGCGTTGCAAGCATACACGCTCATTGTTGCAATCGCCCCGCTGCGTCCTGAGCTACTCGAAAAGCTATCCGCACACGCCAGCGCTGCGCTGATACCGCTCTTCTACGTCCACTCGGTCGGCTTCTACTCGCACTTCTCGGTCCATCTGCCGCCGGCCTTCCCCGTCGTCGACACACACCCTGGCCCTGAGAGCACTACAGATCTGCGCCTGTTGAAGCCATGGCCCGAGCTGGCGCAGTACGCGCAAGAGAAGACGTCCGACCTCGAGAGCATGAGCCCTGACGACCACGGGCACGTACCGTACCTGGCGATACTGCTGCACTCCCTCGACGAGTGGAAGAAGACACATAACGGGGAGGCGCCGCAGAATTACAAGGAGAAGACAGAGTTTAGGACAACTGTGTCAAAGGCCGCGAGGACCAACAACCCCGAGGGTGGGGAGGAGAACTTCGACGAAGCTGTAGCTGCCGTGCTCAAGTCGCTCAATTCACCAGAGGTCAGCAGCGCAGTCAAGGAAATCTTCACTGCCCCAGAGTGTCTCCTTATCCGAGAAGACTCGCCTACCTTCTGGGTCATCGCCAATGCCATTGGGCTATTCTACACCAAGTACGGCGTACTCCCAGTGCCAGGCTCTGTACCGGACATGAAGGCTCGCTCAAAGGACTACATCCAGCTCCAGAACGTCTACAAGTCGAAGGCGCGCAAGGATCTTGCAGAAGTGCTTGAAAGCGTACGCTTCCTGGAGAGGAATGCCAACCGAAGCACACCTATCGACGAGAAGGATGTTGAGGCATTCTGCAAGAACGCCGCGCACATCAAGCTGGTGCGTGGGCGGCCGTTCCATGTGGTGCAGGCTGGCCAGAAAGTCAAGTGGGGCGACAGGGCGCGGTCGCTTGGTACGTTCACACATACAAGGTTGGATCACACTAACATAGTACAGCACAGGAGCTCACCTTCCCTGACTCCCTGATTCCTCTCTACATCGCCTTCCTGGCGTGGGACGAGTTCGCCGCGACCCACGACAAGGACGCCTTGGGCAGTGCCCCTCAAGCACCCGGCGAGACAGACGTAGACACCGACGCCGAAAAGCTCACTGGCATTGGTCAGACAATCATGGACGACCTGATCAAGGAAGCCGGGACGCACGTCGAAGATCCGGACTACTCGGCCATCAAAACTCGGATTGCCGAGTTGGCACAGGAGTTGTAAGTCCACTTCCCCTCGATTTCACCAAGGAGACAGCTGACAGACCAATAGTGCTCGAGTAGGCGGCGCTGAGCTGCACAATATCGCTGCCCTCACTGGCGGCATTGTGTCGCAGGAAATCATCAAGGCTATCACGGAGCAGTACATTCCCGTCGACAATACGTGCGTCTTTGACGGGGTCAACAGCAAGACTGCGGTCTTCAAGGTCTGAACGTCCAATGTCAGAGGTCCCTGCAGTCCTGTATGAGGCAATTCTAGTAAGCGGCTGTAGTTCAGAACATAGACTCCGTCAAGTCGTGGTGATGAGTGCGCCTTGTTCTAGAAGAGGCTAGGCGAGATAGATGTACAAAATCGCAGGCCGGCCTCTACTGTAATTAGGGAAGAAAGTAGCTGTACAATGCATCATGCTACGTGAGTGTTACGATGTTCGCGTGTGGTAACAGTTGCCTGTGCTGTTTCCGTACGGCAAGGTTGCCGTTTCCATAGTATCTGCAAAGCTCGAATCAACTAGTTAGTCTAAGTAATTACATAGGTAAGTGGCAGCTCACACATGCCATTCACTATACATCACGTTTTGCGGTCTGATTCTATCATTGTAGTCGCGATTTCCCTCTTTGTATGATGAGTTTCATCTCGCAATATCAAGGACCAGGCAATTATGCAAGCGCATCCTGTTGCGATACCTGGCTCCAATCGCGACACGACTCGTGATGTCGCGTTCGACAGATCGCGACGCGTCGTACAAAACAGGTTAGGTGAACGGGAGGCCGGTCAGACCTACTACGCAGACGGCACGCTTCGCAACATCATCTTCTCGAGTTCCTACAGCACGTACACGTCTCTCGACTCAAGGCGGCCATGGAGAATACGTTCGACCTCCCAGACTCCACGGACTGGATCGCGACGTCACTCCCCACGTTCGAACCGCTAGAAGCAGCCTTGCGTTGCGAGATGTGCAAGGAATTCTATTCGAATCCTGTCATCACGTCATGCTCTCACACTTTCTGCTCGATATGCATAAGACGGAGTATAGCTGCGGACGGGAAATGTCCCAGCTGCAGGACAGCGCTGTCGAGCGATAAGCTGGCGCCAAACATCGCCGTGCGCGAGGTCGTCATGCGCTTCCAAGAGGCGCGGCCGAAGGCGCTTGAACTGGCGCGTAAAGACAAAGAGCAAGAGAAGGGGGGGAATGTCAATATTAAGAGGAAGATTGGGGACACGGACATCGAGGATGGCGAGGACGAGAGACAGACGAGGTTGCGGCAGACACGGCGCAGCCGGCGCAACGCGGGTTCGAGCGATGCGCCGGTGGAGATACCAGACAGCGCGACTGACGGTGACGACGATTTCTTGCCAGAAGGCATGGCCAAGTGCCCGATCTGCAACGTGGCCATGAAGCAGGAGCTAGTCTTCAATCACCTAGACGTATGCACCGGGCAGAGCGCGTCGCAGGGCCGCAGCACGCGCTCGAAGTAGGTGACAACTACAACGAACGTTTGTGTATATGCTAAAATTCGACAGAACCAAGACGTCGTTCCCTGCAGCTCTGCGAAGTCGCCAGAAAGACCCGTCGCCTGCGCCCACCCGCCAATCACAGCTCAACTACGCCATGATGAAAGAAGGTGCATTACGCAAGAAGCTGCAAGAACTCGGCATTCCGAATTGGGGGAGCAAAGACCTCATGAAGCGCCGCCACATCGAGTGGCTAAATATCTACAACTCCAACTGCGACGCCCACGACAGCGTGCGCAAGCCCAAAAGACAGCTTGTGAAAGAACTCGAAGAATGGGAGAATACACAGGGAGGGAGAGCAGACGCCAAGGAGAGCAGATTTATGCGCAAAGATTTTGACGGTAGTGGATATGCGAAGGCCCACAAGACGGATTTCGACGACTTGATCGCGCGGGCGCGGAAGAAGCGTGCCGCGAAGGCGGAGGAGAAGGAGACGAATGGGGTCGCAGTGGCCGCAGACCCTGAACCGATCGACGAAGAGCAGCAGGACCGGCTGGAAGCACAGAGTCCGCCTACCCACGCATCAGCGGTCGGATCGACCGAGGATACACGAATTGCGACCCACACAAACGCAGACCTGCCTTCAGAACCAGCAGAATCGACAGCCAATGAAGCACCTGTCGGGCTACAAAATCCGCTCAGAAGCCCATCGCGCAAAGTACCGATGTTCTCGCTTCCTAGAGAAGCGATTCGTGACGTGGATATGTCGGCTGGGTAGTACCATGGTTCTGTATACGAAAATGATACCCAGTGCTGCGAGATATATTGGCACCTTCTTGCCAACCCCATGGGTGTTTGACCCCATAACCACTAATTACAGCCGCTACACAATCACAGCTATCAACACGACTCACCAAACAGTACAATCGCCATCAGCATCACTAACGGACGCATTTACGAGCTTCAATTTACCCTGCCTTCAGAATGATTGCAAGTATCATTCTCGTCGCCCTTATAGTTCCTGTCATGGTTTGCATGACTCTTGACCCGCCTCCACGCAAAGGTATCTTGCGAATCATTGGCGGCGTTGCTGCTGAGAAAGGCCAACTCCCGTATGTCGTCAGCTTGCAGATACAACGCAACCCGGGGCACTTTTGTACTGGCACTTTGCTCGATGCTACCACCGTTCTGACCGCTGCCCACTGTATTGTCGGTGCGAAGCAAGCTGGGTATGACGCTTCAAAAATCGTCGTCCAAGCCGGAAGTCTTGTGAGTCCACCGGGCTTTCCCAAAATCTTCTGGTGCAGACGAATTGATCTGACGTGTCGCAGTCCAGATCATCGGGAGGCGTCGTAGCTAAGGTTTCGTACGCGGTCATTCCTCCTGCATACACCACTGCAACATACGCCGGCGATGTGGGCGTTTTGAAGCTTCGGAGTCCCATTGCTGCTGGACCAGGAATCGGGTTTGCGGAGCTTGCTCGCAAGGGTTCTGATCCAACTGCCGGCACGATGGTTACTGCGGCGGGCTGGTCAGTCGACATCTCCCCCCCTCGCCCTTTGTGCCGTAGCTCACTTCGCTCGCTTCTAGGGGCAACTCGTACTCCGGCGACGACGACGGGACCGAGGATCTGCGAACGGTCGACGTGCCGGTCGTCTCTCGAAAGGAGTGCAACGCACTTTATAAGGCGCAGGGGCAGGAGGGACAAGAGTTCCCGATTGTCACCAAGGATATGATCTGTGCTGGGTACATTGACGACTATGAAAACGGGAAGGACTCTTGTCATGGCGACAGTGGAGGTCCTCTTGTTGACAAGGAGACTGGCCTTGTGGTTGGAGTCGTCTCCTGGGGCCCCGAGGGATGTGGGACCGATGGTTTTGTTGGTGTCTATGCCGGAGTCGGGCAGCTCAGAACTTTCATAGACAGGTATAGGAACTGATTTGGGGGCTGTTGAGCCGTTTGAGCGCAAGATTATCTTGAAGGGACGCTACTACATGGGCTTCCTATTGTTTTTGGCATTGCCTCAGTCTGGTTCACCTAGGTACCTAGGTGCTTTGTCACTCCGGTCAGTTGTGTTTCATCGCGCGAATGTAACATTAAGTCCTGTCTCTCATTTATTGATAAAGCACATAAGCGAGATGAAATAATTTTTCTTATTTCAGAGACATATTCACCAGCATTAAACGTACTTGCATATGACGTAGTTGGGTCGCATCAGCACCAATGTCGGCGATCATGTCTAGCACCAACCCCAAGCCACGCCACGACCACCATCGCAGACTCGGAGAGAACGCCGAACTGATGGCTCAGAAACCATAGCTCAGGGATCGTCCAAAAACTCATGCTGGCGATGTGAGCGGACGGGACGTTTTACCCCGCACATCTGATGCAGTCTGCCGTGAGACCTGATATATCCGGGTTGGTATATCCGAACTTCATTAAGTGGGAGCTGCGTTCCACACAAATTCCGATCTTGCGTGTGAACCTCGCAGTGCCTGCAGCTCGAACACTGCCAACAACACACCAGCGGAGATATATGTCATTGCCACAATGAGCAAACCAGCAAAGCCGGCCGAGAACGAGCATCTTGAAGAGGTGGATCTGAAGCACCAGGAAGAGACCGTCCAGAATCACGAAGAGATCGATATCAACGATGTTGCGGAGAATAAGAAACTCAATCGAAGACTGGACTTGCGCGTTCTGCCCCTTTGTTGCTGGGTATACCTATTGAACTTTCTCGACAGGGGTACGTTAGTGATTCACACAACCACACATGTGAAAGATGTTCTTCTGACCGGGTGCAGGTAATATCGGGAATGCTCGAGTGCTCAATGCGGAGACTGGCGACGACATGCTACAAGTCACGGGCCTGACGCCTCATGGATATGCTCTGACAGTCACGTTGTTCTCTGTGGCATATGCAGTCTTCGAGGTTCCTAGCAACTGGGTCATGAAACACTATATAAGACCATCTATGTGGCTGGGTATCCTCCTCTTTGCGTGGGGCGCATTGACGATTGGGTTCGCAGGCGTTCAAAACACTGCTACCATCATCGCACTGAGGTTTCTGATCGGAGCTTTCGAGGCGGGATTCTTTCCAGGTACGATATACCGGTTCCATAGCTATCGAGGTCAAAGTTAACGAAACCAGGTATTGTCTACTTTATCACTATTTGGTATCGCTACAATGAGCGCGCGGTCCGTATCGCCCTTGTTATCGCGTTCTGCAACCTAGCAGGTGCTTTCGGAGGCGCCATCGCTTTTGGCGTCGGCCACATCAACGGGGCTGCAGGCCTTGAGGGTTTTCGATGGCTCTTCATCATTGAAGGTATCATCACCTTACTGTCTGCGTTTCTGTTGTGGTTCTTCCTGCCAGACTATCCGGCGCGGGCCAAATGGCTTACCAGTGCGGAGAAGAAGTTCGCCGTGGATCGGCTCGCTGAACGAGGCGGTGGATACAACCGAGAACACGCAACGCGCAAGGAGATCCTAGATACCTGTTTCAGCCCGCGCATGCTGTTGCACTACCTAGCATACATCGCGGACGTCGTTCCTCAGGGCTCTTTTACCTTCTTTACTCCAACTATCGTCACGGGACTCGGGTATGAATCAATCCACGCACAGCTCTTGTCTGTTCCGCCCTGGGTCGTGGGATTCTTCGTCGCAATTACGATATCATACACAGCAGACAAGTTCAACGCCAGGGGTTGGCATATCACCATCTTCTCGGTGATCGGCGGAACGGGCTGGCTCACAGCTGGTCTACTGCCAGCCGATGCATACGTACAGCGATACGGCTGTTTGTGTCTCGCTGCCGCAGGCGCTTTTCCTTGCGCACCGTCACTGACGAATTGGGTTACATGCAATACACCCAGCTTTTTAACACTGCCGCTAGCGATCGCGGTGAACAACTCTTGCGCCGGTATTGGACAGATTATCGCACAGTGGATCTGGAAGAACAACGAGCGGACCCAGGGATTCCCGACTGGCAACTTCGTGTGCGCAGGGTGTAGCTTCTTGGTCGCTGCTATAGCTACTGGTCTTAGACTCTGGTATGGGAGGATGAACAAGCTGGAGCGAGCCGACAGCAGAGGCGAGCAACGGATCTGGGCACTGTAGCGGGCGTCTCAACATCGAGCGTGGGTGGCCAGCAGTAGCTGTGTCATGTTGTAGACTGCGAATCATTCGCAGTTCTCCCAAATTCTCCATGACGTCTGAGCACGGGATTCGAATTCCGTGGAAACCTCGAAGACATCGTGGATCGTCTCCGTCCTACAGCAACACCGGAATTTTGATACTTGTGATGCGAGAGATGCTCCAGAACGCGCAATTAACAACCAGGTGCACTTGCAAAACACCATTGAGTGGGTATCTGTTGTTCATGTGTTGTTGGGAGAAGATACAGGGGATTTGGGTCGCGCAAGAGAGTTCTTCCACAGTTCTTCCAGACCCATGATGACGTCACAACAACATGTAGATTTCGCCCCACCACAACCGCAAGCACGCAAGCGCAATTGCAATCGCTGACAAACGAGCGCCATGTTGCGTGTAAATGACACTTGACGAAACCAACTGTTAAGTAGATAAAGGTTGAGCAATTACAACCATTGTCAGACTTCCACATCCCAGACCATACCATCTCATAATGGCACCCAAGATCTTCCTGTACGGTAACCAGGGTCCAGCTCGCTCCACTTACTAACGTCAATCGCAGTACAGGCGCAACTGGCTATATTGGTGGTGATACTCTCTATGCGCTCTATAACAAGCATTCGGACTACGAGATCGCAGCTCTTGTCCGATCAGGTGCGTACAACAAGGGGTCCATGTCGACTTCAAACACTAACAAATGACAGAGGAGAAGGGCAAGCCCGTAAAGGATGCTTTTCCGAACGTTCGCCTCGTGATCGGGGATCTAGACAGCTCTGATCTTATTGAAGAAGAAGCCGCAAAGGCTGACGTAGTGATTCGTAGGTCTCACACACCTCATTCCATACTGCAAAACCTCACAATATCGCAGACACAGCTGATGCATCGGATAATGAGCCCGCCGCAAAAGCCATCGCCAAGGGTCTCGCATCTGGTCACTCGAAAGAGAAGCCCGGGTTCTGGCTGCACACTGGCGGTGCCGGTATCCTCTGCTGGGAGACCATGCGCGATGACAATAAACTTGGAGAGCACTCTGACCGAGAGTATAACGATTGGACAGCAGTCGAGGACCTAACTGGATTACCCGAAGACGCATTTCACAAGAACGTCGACGACCTGGTACTCAAAGCTGGCTCCGATTCCATTAAGACAGGTACGTCACATGCGCTATCGCTACTTCTCCAAGACAACTTAGCTGATTTTCCCAGCAATTCTCTGCCCACCGACTATTTACGGCCGTGGAAGAGGGCCTTCGCACCAGCGTTCTCGCCAGGCCTACGAGCTTGCTCATCTAATCCTGACCGGCGGCTACATCCCCATCATCGGCCAAGGAAAGGCGCGCTGGAACAACGTCCACGTTGCCGACCTCGCTCAAGTATTCGTCTTACTGACCGAAGCCGCCATTACGGGTAAGACTGACGCCGAGCTTTGGAACGAGAAGGGCTACTATCTTGTCGAGAACGGCGAGCACGTCTGGTCCGATCTCGCGCGAAGCATGGGCAAGAAGGCGGTGGAGTTGGGCCTGTTGAAGGGCGAGTTGGAGGAGAAGAGTTTGGGCAAGGACAAGGCGCTCGATCAGGCTGGGTTTGAGGCCGTGAGCTGGGGTTTCAACAGCCGCGGCAAGGCGGTACGCGCGAAGAAGGTCTTGGGGTGGGAACCGACCGCCCCGGTAATCGATGACACGATCGAGGAGATTCTGAAGGATGAGAAGAGCAGGCTCGATAAGAAGTAATTTCCCATCTGCGTCGCACAAATTCACCCACCCGCAACCATACCACACGTTTATCGTCCTGAGTATCACCATTCTGCGTCTGTCGCTCTTTTGCATCAATCAGTGATTGTAGGGACCATATTCTCCAGGAATTCAGCTTGCAGTAGAATCTTACATGTTCTCTAGCCTTGTGATTGATCATGTGCCTCGTCCCCTTTCCCTTGGGAAACCGACATCGGTTTACGCCGCTGTTTGAACGCCAGAGCTGAAGGAAAAGCTCAAATGGAAATGAGAAGTAGGTAGACTAATGATAGAAGAGCATGTTCGGGGACTCTTACACATGGTTTGGCCTCGCCAGCTACATTCCATTCCAGGCTCATCCTAGCATATACCTTCAGCTCCAGTATGTCCTCATTCCCTCCGCTGAATCACTATGCACTGGTTTTCTCTTAAATAGACTAATTCGTTAGTTTCCCACTACTTAAATTTTTGATGCAACTTCTCGTGGCATTATCCGTCATCATGGGCGAAATGTAGCCTCATCCTGCGAGTACGTTTAGGCGAATGGCTCACATTATGTGATCGTATATTGATAGGACGAGAGCTCGCAGTAGAGCTGATGCATGAAAGTCTGTACTACGTGAGAGAGGGGTAAGTGGCATGCAGTCCTCAAAGGCCTCTGACTTACATACCCCGCATGTCCCCATTGCCTTTCTCTCGCAGCATCTATCATACTATTTATGCGAACGAAACAACAATATGGAGAGAAATCAACCCATAAGCACAGATGTCACAACCTCAAGAGTCACCTCCCGCAGGAACCAACTGCTTTTCACAAAGCTGCTAGACTCAATAAGCGCGGCTACACCACTCCAGATACTGCCATCGAAGATAAAGGGAGCTGGTACTGGCTTGTTCACCACGAAAGATGTAGAAAATGGGGAAGAGATCTTTCGGTCGTGTCCAGTGGTCAATTGTGTTATGGATGGAATGCAGAAACTTGTATGTGACAACTGCTACGCTTACCAAGATAGCAAAGTCATCCCAAGCGGCCGCTTCCGTAAAGCTGGGGAGCCCAAGCTGGAGATGAAGGCCTGCAAGGGGTGCAGCGTCTGCTACTACTGTTCCAAGGTAACGACTCGACCAATCCAATCTACCCTCTTCCTATGTCGCGATCCAAGAATGCGTATTTGACCCGTTGCTGACTGCTTACAAGACTTGCCAAAGGAAAGCTTGGAAACGATATCACAAACATGAGTGCACGATTTTCTCCGAAACGCCGAATATGCCCGCCCGTACTCGAGCGCTGTATCGACTCCTGAACATGGACAAACTTCAGCTTCTATCACGTGAAACATGGTCTGGGCTGTACGGGTTGCAACCTCATATTAAAGAGCATCTTACCAGCACAAATTGTGTGGCAATCCTCGGCGCTCGAAAGTCGGCTAGGGATCGTACAGGCACTGATCGCACGTCCGATGAGGTTCTCACCTTGTACTGCACCGTATGTACGATGATGAACGTCAAACACCTTTACTTACTCCATGCTTAGGTACTTACCAATTGCCTCAGCATCTACCAAGCAGAAGGCAAGATGCTTGGGACAAGTCTAGACATCATCACGTCACTGGTGAATCATTCCTGCGACCCTAACGCATTTGTTGTGTTCGAAGGAAATTCGCTTTGCGTTCGTTCTATGCGAAAGCTATCAGCCGGCGAAGAGATTACCCAATGCTATACAGACGTGGACACGAATGTCTTACTAAGACAGGAAATGTTGAAATCAGAATACTTCTTCGACTGTTGCTGTGAGTACACGGAGCTGATGACTCGATCCTGATACTAACTAATGTAGGCGAAAGGTGTGAGAAGCAGATGAAAACACAAGAGCAGAGATTTCCAGGCATGATCGAACAAATTCAGCAAAGTCAACAGCAGCTGATAGATCTTACAAACGAGGCAGTTCACCTCAATGACATCAGTAGTCTCGAGATCGAGGCCCAAGACATTGCGAAACATGTTTTTCCTGGCGGGCATTGGCCAAGGGATCTACAACCGTGGCCTGCAATGCGCATCCTCTTTGCACAGGAGCTCAGGGCGCGTGGACGCTTGATGGAAGCTATGAAGCAAGGCATCATTGGTTACTTGTTTTTCGAACCGCGCACAGGAGACACCTGGATCCGGCATTTGCTCGACCTCACGCAGTTTATCTCCAGGGTTCTCGTGGGATCTGACTGGAAAACGCCCCGTGGAGGGCCCGGATTTCTCACTGAATCGCAATTATGGGATGTTCTCCACGGCTATCTGCATGAGCTCTCTCTTTGTGCAATCAAGACGTTCGGGGCCAGGTCAGAGTATGCACAAGCGATTCAAGCCTGGTATTCCGACTGTATGAAGTGTGCCGACGCGCCGCTTCCTGGAACCCGTGCCTTTGCACAAAAGTTCGAGACGACGCAATCAAGATTGCTTCTGTGGGCTGGGGTAGATGAAGGCAGGGGCATAGCGCTAGGCTGACAAAGTAAGAGCACAAGAAAACACGCTTGAGTAAGGGTGTCGAAAAGCGAGGTAGTGAGCTGCACATTTTGCCTGTCAGATTGAACAATTATGCCTACGATTTTCTAATGTAACAACGTGTGCGGTAGCTTGTTGTCAGTGTGTTAACGTTATTGATCCAAACAAAGGACTGCACCGCTCGGCTCTTTTAACGCCATGAGACTAAGTTGTGCAGCTGGAGACAAAGACTGTGAGTTCACACAGCTTCCTTTGACGTATCAGTATGAAAGACAATGATAACGTGAGACAGACTTCTGTGGATTCGATCACTCATATTGGCCAAAATCCATGTCGGTAAAGCTGAACGCTCGAACCAGAATAATGCTTAGCAGGAACGAATTGTTGTTGATTTGTAGACAAAGTGAAGCAGCAAGCATCCTCAACAATGCCCTGATTTGACAGTCTACAGAAACCTGGCGCCAGCGCCTTGTTTAATTCCTAAGACGTACATGTAATTCCAGATTAGGTCTTAGACAATCCTGATCCATGCGACGACGGTGAGCTAGACAATGGGCTAGAGTTTCGCTCAGATTCTGGGCTTACGTGCTGTCCCGATGATCGATCGCATGGAAACATCTTCGTGCCGTATCGGATGTACATCTCCTCCCGCACAGTCAACTCTCGCATACCGTGAGCATATTCTTCACCCGCAAGCAAGCGTTCCAGAGAGGTCGAATCGTAGAGCAATTCCTCATCACCTTCAAGCCGTTCCATTACGCACATTATACTGTGGAGATCAGTCTTCTCTCTTGGAGACAAGCCGTAATCTCGGTGAACGATCGAGCAGAAGCTATTCCGAGAGGCATCCAATCTTTTCGCGTTCTCGAAGTGTTCTTTTGCAGTTTCGAGCTCACTCAGGCCTGCACATGCGCGGCCAGCCCAGAACTCGCACCGGGCTTCCAGTCCCTCGTTATGCACATCCTTCATAAGATGTAGAGCCTGGTAAGCAAGTATCTTCAAGTCTTCGTTGATATGATACGACAATATGTCTTTTTTCACGGTCCACGGCTTACGGTCGTTACTTCGTTTGTTGACTTGGAGAACTTGACAGCGCATCAAAATAGTCTGAATATGTGAGTAACGTACAGCGATAAATTGTTCGTATGCTGTGCTTGAGTAGGTGGGGGTGTTGAAATACCGCCTTGGAATACCCTCGCTGTACGATGATGAAACTGATGAAGCGACAGAATCCCGCCTGTGTGTTGGCACAATTGCCACTGGCAATAAGGGAGATGCACGCGATGACTGTGGGGTAGGGTAGTTGTGTATCGAGGGAGCCTTTGCTGGCGACAACGGGATCAACCCGCTGTGATGGTCATAGACGCTACTAAAAGGGCGGATGGCAAATGCAAATGCTGACTCGCCAGCTGAATGATCTTGTTCGTATGCGTTCATTACCGGATATTTGGTTTACGGTGTCGATGTGGAGTAGTTGAGGGACAACAAAACTAAATCAAACGTGCAGTTTGCGAACATGCAGCACTAAGAGTCGAATTACAATAGATACCACTGATCAGTCCAAGTTGAGTGCACACAATGTCGTAGCACTGTTCGCAATAGCTAGCTGTATGGATGCATTATGTGTTTGATTCCCCAAACCTCGCACAGCGAGACATTGAACATTGTTTGTGTTAATTCTTCTTTCGTCATGCAAAGCTGCCCGTATGTCTCAAACGAGTAAGCCCGATCTGAATCATGTCTCGTCGGTCGTGGATGATATTTCAGTTGTCGAATACCCCCATCGATGCGGTAGGGACATTCGCTTTGCTTTCTGCGTAGCACGAAGTCTCAGCTGTGCGCTCGTACGCCGAAGTCTTCCCTGCTCAGCATGTGAACGATGAATCATAGAGCATCAAATATAGTGACGAGACCTACAAACGATGACCCATCACCTAGCTGCGCAAGGACGCTGTCAGTCATCGTTCGACTCTCGTCAAAGGCAGAGCGGCGGTCGAACCGAAGCATTTCGAGCTCGTCGTCGCATGATTGGCGATACTCGTTGGCTCGTTCGAAAAGCAGGCTATCCTCGCTCACTGATCTGAAAGCTTCCCGGGCTTGTTGGAGCATACGTAGTTGATAGTAGTAAAGACCGCGCTGATACTGAATCTTCGGTAACAGAGTCTGAAATTCGGGTGCACGATCGCACAGCTCGAGAGCCTCGCTACAAGCTGCAAGAGCGTCGTAGAGAGAATCAGGACCTGTCGCCTGCAGAATACTACTTTTCACAAGTAGCCCTTCGGTACGGGCTTTGGAGCTCAATGGGCCGCGCAACAGTCTTTCGATCTCCACAAGGGCTGTGCCATAGTTCCGCTGCGATGCATACTGTTCCACCCGTTTGAAGATTGGGTTTCCATTATCTGTCAGTGACTTGAGCCTCCAGCCAACTTCGATGCGGCTTGGTGATAGAAGGATCGCAGTGCCAAAGGGCTGGTTTTCAATACCTTCGTCGTCGCTGTCAGAGGCGCGCGGGCGTTCACGCGGTGTACCATGAAGGCTCGAATTCAGAAGACGATACTGTGCGCGGTCGTTCTCCAACTCAGCCTGTGTAGCGAAGCAAACGTCCTGCAACTGCTGCAGTCGAGCAGTTTGAGCTTCGAAAGCGGCTTTGTACTGGGCTGCAACTGCCTGCCAGGTGTCTCGGTCAATCTTCAACTGACGAACAGCGTCCAGGAAATCAGTGGCAGCGTACATTGCGGCAAATACTAGCGTAATAATGTGCGCTGTTGGTAGCGAAATGGATGTGGTGTGGGTTGAGCGAGAGCCACGTCACGCGTGGAGGTGAACCGAGCCAGATGCGGGCAAGAGCCAGCCTGTGCCTGCCTCAATCATAGAGAGAACAACGCCCGCAAAACACGTAAAGATAGAAAATTTGACCCCGCGTGCAACGATCAGATATTGAAACCGCCATGCTTTGCAGCCTCCACAAACCGCCATAGACCAGCTTCCTCAGCTGCCTTCTTAACAGATGCGACTTCGCTCAAATCAACCGGGCGATTGATCTCTGCGTATCTCTTGTCTTTCTTTGTGTTCTCGGAGACTTGCACGCCGTCAAGCTCAGCAACGTTGGCTTTGTTGCCCTTGTCTTTGGTGCTGCGACGTTCTTTGCCGACGTGGGCACGGGGAAAGTATTGCTCCATAATGTGCACCATGATGTCCTTCGACACGTTCTCTGCAAGCCATCTCATGATCTCTTTACCTTCATCTTCCATGCCGGGCATCACGAGATGACGTACCAGTACGCCCTTCTTCGCAATGCCGTCGGCTGTAAAGCAGAGGTCTCCAACTTGTTCATGCATTGCCTTGATACTCTCCATAGCTGTTTCAGTGTAGTTGTCTGCTTTTAGTAGTCTCTTACTTGTGCTATTCTTCCACACCTTGAAGTCTGGCAGGTAGATGTCCACCAGCCCGTCCAGCAGCTTCAGGCTTTCCAACGAATCGAACGAGGATGTGTTGTAAACGATGGGTATTTGCAGACCAAGCTCACGTGCGTGCAGAATTGATAGCGCAACTTGCGGTACGACGTGCTCGGGTGTGACGAGGTTGATATTGTGGCATTTGCCAACATCTTGCAGTTTCATGTACCACTCAGCGAGCTCTTCGGGGGTGAGGTCAAACCCGTTCCGCTGATGCGCGATGTCATAGTTCTGGCAGAATACCTAAGAGGCGTCAGCCACAGCTAGAAGGCTGTGTTGAGCGTTTGTACGCAGGATTCAAGGCGTCTAATGTTGAAACACGTACGCATCGCAGATTGCAGCCAGAGAAGAAGACGCTACCAGAGCCATTGTGGCCTTGGAGACATGGTTCTACAATGACTCAGCGATCATGCCGCAGCTGACCGTACGTGTACAGACCTTCTCCAAAGTGCGGCGCAACCGTGTTGACCGTGACCTTTTCCGCGCCGATCAAGCAAACGCCTGTCTTCTCATAGCGATTGACCCCACACAGTCTTGGACACAGATTACAGTTATTTAGATGTGCGTATGCTTGGGATCGTTTCTTTGATGCGTCAATGGAACTTATTAGGTGATAGCGCGGTATATAGTCATCGAGAAGCCACGGTGGCGCAAGGTGTAAAGCACGACGCGCGGGGCGAGACGGAGCCGCAAGGGGTAGCTTCAACGTGCAGCGAAGTCGCGGTGCCATGAACATGTTGCACGGCGGTCTGGAGACGTTCGTGGTAGCTGACAACTGCGAGCGTGGCGTTGGTGGAGTTTGGTTGGATCCATGCAGCATAACGCAACGTTTTGCCGAGGCAAAGTCGACTTCACGACCAGGGCATCCACCACCTCACATCAAAGAAGACCTTGCATCCCGAATCCAGGACACCGAGAATTAACAAGGCCAGGCCAATCGTGATGTTACCATTGTTAGCTGCGATGAGAGCTCTAGTCGTCTTTGCAAAGTAGCGGTCGGCGAGAGCTTGATTGCAGTCCAATCCTTTGTGTGCACCAACATGGAGAATGTGATCTGGTCGACATGTTCCATGCTGCCCTGTGTTTGTGTAGTACTGCTAAGCGTTTTTGCACTACGTTGGACGGAAGAAGCCAGGGTTGTCGTGCCATCGCACAAGCAGGGCTTTACTCCATCGTCAACAACCCATTTCTTGATTTTACCTGAACACAGATACTAGCCAGCAACCATCTAGAATTTAGCCACGATGCTACTGTCCCCAATTCTTGGCTAGCGCTGAGATGCACCTCCCGATCTTAGCATTGGTTGATGTACCTGAGTACCCATCAGCATTCAGGTCAAACTCAATATCGGCTACGACCTTGCTACATCGTCCCACTGCGGCTACCCGTCTCAAGAACCACAAGTCAGACCTGATCAGTAAAGTCACAGATACATCCGCATATTCCGTCAGTACAGCACGCGACTGACAGCTCCACGATTGCTTGTACTCGCAGCCGTACCGCAAATATTGGCTTGCCAGCTCGAAAGGATCACGAGTAGCACCAGATGCAATCAATTGGACGGCAGTAATGGTCCCGAACTCACTAATCTGATCGACTTACGAGGCCTAACATGTGTTCAGGGTGACTTAAGACATAACACTTCTCCCAAGATGGGTAGGATGCCGCCACTTATGGCAAACTCACCGGTGCGTTGAGCCGGAGCAGATTTCATCACAGTTGCACAGAAGCCTCTGCAAGGGCAGTCCAATCAAACCATCAAGGTAGTATCCGAACTGTTCTCCTACATTGAAAGGTCGGTGCTCTTAGCAGTGGCTCCTTAAGTATAAGTACTAAGGTCTTTCTTCAGACCTAGAAAGTATCAAGCCAGCCTCCACACCGACAACAAGCACAGGAATCAGATCACATCAGAATGCGCCTATCACTCCTTCTTCCCGCCCTATTCGGCCTGCCCTCGTTGGGCCTACTCGTCAGCAGACAATTCCCCCACCTCATCATTCCCGTCGACGCTGACGCCCCCGACCGCGCATACGGCACCCAGCTGACCGCCGCCATCACCCAACAGGTAGCCACATCCCCCTCCCCTCCTGATCCGCCTTCCATTAACCCGCCTCCAGAAATACACCGAAATCTCCTTCGACATCCCCTCCAACGACGCCTCCTACTGCCAGCTCAACTTCTTCCTCAACACCAACCGGCTCAAAGGCGCCCCCTGGTCGCTCTGGGGCCAAGCGCCCTACAAATTCAACATCTCCTCGCTGCCGCCGACGATCAACAAAGACCTGGATACCTGGAACAGCCGCCCGCAGCCGCTCAGGACGCTTGCCACGGTCACGCTGACACATGGCGGGAACGTGACGCTGACTGGTGGCTCGGTGTATCCGTGCTCCAAGGGCCAGGTCGCGCAGTTTTTGCTGCATCCGGCGAGTGATGATCGCGAGTTTGGGTTGTCGTGGTTTGAGTTGGATTATCCGGCGAGTGAGGGCGGGCCGCATGGGATCACATTTGACATGATGAAGTAGGGAGTGAGTGTGTGGTTTGGGTGCTGGGCGGTTGTGCTATTGCGGACAGATCTAGGGCTCCGCTTGTCTTTGGTTGCCACTGATCAAACGACTTTCTTTTGTTCTAGTTTGGCGCAACGAATCTCAGGTAGACAATATCATCACAAGTCATGAAGAGGCAGTGCATTGAAAGACCACCGTGGTGGAAAGATATATTCATGACTGAAGTGTATATCTACAAAGAATAGGACTATCACTATCGAAACCTTCTAACAACCATGTCGTTATGCAAGATCTCCTGTCTACGCAATCCACTTAACCGCGGAAAGCACGGGCGTGGGTGCGGGCAGTGCGTGCGGCAATAGCACGGCGGAGCTTGGAGACAGCGCTGGAGCCAGCGTTGGCCTCGAGCCAAGAGATGAACTGCTCAATGGTGAACTCCTCGGGGAGGGTGGAGCTGGAGCCGGAGCCGGTAGAGCCAGTGGCAGAGGGAGCAGCGGGAGCAGCGGAGGAGGCAGTGGGGGCGGCCTCAGCGGCGGCAGAGGTGGCAGCAGGGGCAGACGAGGCAGGGGCGGCAGAGGTGGCAGAGGGAGCGGGGGCGGCGCTGGAGGCGGGCGCGGGCGCAGAGCCGTTGCCAGAGCCACCGCCCATGGTGAAGTCGATGCAGGACTCGTAGGTCTGGTCGATGGAGGGTGCGTCCCAGTACCACTGGATCACGCAGTCACCCTTCTCGGCGCACTCGGCGCTGACATCGGGCATGGTGATGTCGAAGCTGGTCCAGTCGGGGTGAGCCGAGATGGGGGAGCTGGTAAGAGCGTACTCGTCCCAGCTGATGAGGGGCGCGCCGATGACCTTGTCGGTCTTGACGTTGACGATGGAGACGTTGGCGACACCATCGTGGGGAGCGCGGATCTCAACGGTCATGGGGATGACCTGGCCGGCGGTGTAGGAGAAGACCTCACCGGCATCCTCGACCGGGACACCCTTGCACTGCCACATGCGGCAGTCGGGGTGGGAGCCCTGGAGGTTCTGGAGAGCACCCTGAACGTTGCCGTACTTGTCGGAGCTCTGCTGGTTGTAGACCTGGTCACCGCAGGCAGCCTTGAGACCCTCACCGGGCTGACGGGGAGTGGGGGAGGAGATGAAGCCGTGAGCGGCGACGGAGGAGGCGAAGCCAGCAAGGGCAACGGCGGCAGTGAAGGACTTCATTTTGAGAGTGGTTGTTGGTTGGAAGTTGGTTGGTAGTGAGAGTGATAGAAGCTAGCTTCTTGAAAGAGTGTAAAGAATGAGTGTGGTAACAACGAATGTCAAGGTCACAGACCTGGGAAAGCAAAGAAGCTGGTGAAGTGGAAGTGGAAACTGATGTTTTGAACAATCGGGAGGAAGAGCAGCAATAGATGCCTATATACGCTCTGCTTCAAACAAACCATCCCTTTCACGCATTGTTGTGGGGCGTTCATTAAACACTCGAAACTGCGTCCCGAGGGAGCGCAGCCTCGTGGACATTGCTTGCCTGTGTTCTCGCCCGGGTTACCCAGGACGTATGTCCGCTCTGGGATATCAGACATGGTGCGGAGCCTCATCCGACGCTTGGCCGCGCTTCTCCGCCAGTAAGATTGCCGCTGTGCAATGACTAAAGCCGAAGGATGAAGATTAAGGCGGTCGGCCAAGGAGGGGCGTTCGCGCGACAGCGGGCTCCATGTACGGCAATAGATGTCTAACCTGTCAGCGGCATATAGGCGAGTCGTTTCGCCTGTGGAAGCGCCCAGAGACCCGGGTTGAAACGGTCGCGAACATTTGGGCGGTTTCATCTGTGATGGGGTCAATGCGAGACGCGGGAAACGGCAGATTTGGCATGCGTCAATGTCTCCACCAGCAGGGTTGCAGTTTTCGCGAGCGCTTGACACGCGTCATACTGTGCGCCTTGCTGTTGCTTGTGTTGCAAGCGAAATGGAAATGCTTTTGAGTTCGCGGTAGAGATGGAGAACCGCAAAAGCGTTGCGCTGCTTCTGTCAGGTACCGGGAACTAACGGGGCCCATGCCGACATAGGACTAGTCAGGTCCGCAGTATGTCCACCTTGGTACCCATGATTCGAAACATCGTCAGGTGTTTTTGAATCGTTGATTGGAATGGTGCGTGGCTGCACTGGAGGCGGTGGTGTTGTGCAATCGCGAGTTGGCTTTCCTCTTATAGTTCACAAAGTCAATCCCGCGCAAGCACATTTGAGATATTTTGAGGTAGTTCTCTTCGTTTTTGAATTGCTGTTATCTTGTTGTCGAAATCCGCCTGGTGTTGGCGCTGACCAAAGCGGGGTCGCCCCTGCATCGCTCCTTCCATCTCCTTGATTGTTCTCCACCGCCAGCGCTATCCGAAACACTTCAATAAAGAACCGTCCTATCCGGGTCAAATAACAAAACTGATGATCTCACCGCTCAGCTTCGATGTCGTTGACCCGCCAGACCAGTCTCTCCATGCTGGCCTCCTTACGCCGAAGCATGTCCATGGCGGCCTGCGCTCTTGCCAACAATGTCGGACCCTCGACAATTTTCTGCCTTTGAGGCTCGACGATGCGCTGCTCCAGCATCGCCGGCATGATGTCAGGCTGGAGGTGATGCTTGAAAAATTCGTTCTGTAGATGATAAGCCTCGACACGCACAGATGGCTTCGAGAGCACTCACATTGGGGTAGAAGTGCGTTCTTACACCCCGAGCATCCACGCCCGCCTGCCAGTCCGCTACCTTCTCGACATCCATCTCGTATATAGGACTCTCGGTCTCAGTCGAGTCCCGCACGATGATGGGAAGCAGCACCGCAACCTTCGCACCGTTCTTGGCAACCTGCGAGATGGGTGTGACACTTCCATGCTTACTTCCGATGCAGTCCAAGATCAAGGGGATTCCAGTATCGCCAATTGCTTGCAGCAGAGACGCTGCAACACTTTGATCGTTGTAGTCGAACAGCGTCCGAGCACCGAGACTGCGCAGCTTCTCGTGATGCTTCCGCGAGGCAGTGGCCAGGACGTTGGTGTAGCCATAATACCTCAGGATCTGAATCGCAAACTGGCCCACGGACGACGAGCCGCCCCAGATCAAGATCGGGCTGTCAGCGTTCTTGGGCATGTAGCCATCAGACTTCGGCCACGGCAGCTCAATACCTAAGTCTGCGGTCACAGCATGGAACACCGTGACGAAGTTGTTTGGAAGCGTCACTGCCTCTGCGAGCGTGAAACCATCGGGGACCTTCTCGCGATCAGCTTGTGCCAAAGGTTCGAGCCAGATCGACTTACTTTACCAAGAAACCACTCCTCGACCGTAACGTACTGCTGTTGGCCTCTCTCTTCCCGACTCCTCCATGTAAAACCAAACACCTTGTCGCCAACCTTCAAGTGATTCACGTCCGGTCCGACTTCGACGACGGTGCCCCCGGTGCCGTCACCGAGCACCTGTGGGTGCGTGACAAGAAGACCGCCATCGTTCTGGTGCAGGTCCAGAGGCGTGGAAGCGGTCCACTCGTTGCGAACACGGACCTTGTTCCCTGTAGGCTTGACGGTAGGTACTTGGATGAGCTCAAGTTTGGCCTTTAGGCCTACTGTTGCTACCGCAGAGTGCGTTGCCATTGTGGACGTGGGTAGGTTGTGAAGAGAGGTGATGATGTGACTGAAGTGCCTCGAGCTGATACTGTCTTCCACCGCATCTTTGCGATATTCTTATACCTCCTCATCCACTTTCCAGTTCATGTCTGCGATTACAAATGATGCTGGCTCAATTTCGCGCTAGCGAATGTTTCCAAATCCGGTTAGTGCGCTGCCTAAGTCTTCAAGCACACCGACGCAATTGTCGCGCGACACCGGTATTGTATCCGGCGAGATGGGATTCACTTGCGACCACGACTACCTACCACGCTGAGAGGGGCTAGCGGTTACGTAAATGGCCACAGTCGTATATGTAAACAGCTCTCAGCATTACCAAGCACCTCGCCACTGCCGACCAGCTTCAAGATTCGAACATGCACTCGTGACAAACACGGGCCATACACCAGTCCTCCAGATTTTGCAACGACCAAAAGAGCCGGTTTTTCGCACCCAACATCAAGCCAGACCAAGCGCAAGCCAGCTCTATCCATCACTCAACGACGCAGCAACGCGCTCATCACCGATCAGTCGCAAAAGACCCAGTCAGTGTCCAGACCAAACCCTGCACCCTCTCCATCTCCCCCCTCATCTCCGTTTTCTGACTCCTCCCGCTTCACGCGCCTCACCTGCTCCTGCACTTCAGACGTCGGCGTCGGTGTCGGCGCCCGCTTCCGCTTCGTCGTCCCTTCATCTCGCGACAAGCTTGACGTCTCAGCCAGCATAGTTGATGCGGGCGAGACCGCTGCAGAACTGAAAGGCTCAGGGCTGTTGTAAGACGATGGCGGCGGAGTAAGCGCTGCGTCGGTGTTGTGGAGAGCGAACGCATCACCAAAGAGCCCAGGAGACCAGGTGTTGACGAAGTTGGGATCGGGGTCGGAGGTGTTGTAGAGGGGGTACTGGTTCACCGGCGGCGGCGCGAGTCCGGAGTCACTGGTATCTTGCGTGGTGTTATTGACGCCAGGTTGGTAGCCGTTCGGTAGATGGAGAGGAGCCGGTGGCGCGAGTCTAGAGCTGCAGACGTCCTGCGTTGGGTTGCTGACGCCAGGTTGGCAACGATTCTGCAAATGGAGAGGCACTGGCGGCGGCCCACGATTCGCGGTGTAGAAGTTGTACGCGTCCGAGGGCGATGGTGCTGCTACCGACATCAGCGGCCTGACAAACCGGTCCTGCGGCTGTAGTGCATCGAGCCCATAACCCGGCGCAGTCAGCCCCAGGTCCGAAACCGTCCCCAGCGGATGTGTCTGCGCCGCGAAGGTCTCCGCGAAACCACCACTCCCCTCGCCACCCACAACCCGCACCCTCCTCCTCCTCTTCCCCCCAACCGGCGGCAAATACCCCCCCTCCGCCTGCCCCCCCGCCGCCGCCCGATCCCTCTGCGTATTAACCCTCTTCGTCTCATTATTCCCCTGCTGCACCCTCTTATCCCTCGCCACCGTCGCCGGCGCATTCGCTAACGCCTCGATCTTCCCCTCCTCGCGCAACACGTCCTTGCACACGCTCTTCCACGCCGCCAGCGCGCCCACCACGTTCGCGAGCCACACCGCACACGTGCCGTCGCGGTCGACTGCCTCGGCACGCGCATTCGCCTGCAGGAGGCGGTTGCCGGGCCCCCGGTGCCCGAGCGTGCAGCGCCGCAGCACCGCGGCGAAGAGGATCCGCGCCGTGGCTTCGGCGTCGGCGGGCGGTGTGGTTTGCAGCGAGCGCAGGGCCCGGGAGGTCGGGTTGTCGTGGATCTGGGCTGTGGTGTAGATTGCGCGGACTATCTCGCGGACGTGGGTTTCCTGGGCTGCGGCGACGGCGGGGATGGTGGGGTCGAGGTGGGGTGCGAGGGTCGGGGGATGGGTTATGCGGTGGCGGTGGGCGAGGGCGGCGGCGAGGTCGTTGGGGAAGGCGAGGTGGGTGGGGAGGCCGTGGGCGTCGGCGGGGTAGGGGGGTGGTGGGTTGGGGGCGGGTTGGGGGGGAGGCGCGGTGGCGTCGGCGCCTGGGTAGGAGTCTTGTGTCATCGGGGGCTGAGTTGAAAGTGTCCGGTCCGTGAAGCGGTTGTGGGGTAGTAGGAGGATGCCGCCGCTCTTTTTACCGCACCCGGTGAACGCAGTGAAAAGCACTCCTGGCACCCCGACACGTCTTGATATTGCTAGAACGTCAGTGAATAGCCGTCAGAAAGGCAAGTGAAGTGCCGTCCCCCGCTTTTCCCTTGTTGCGAAAGCCATTCTAGGGCGTCCACAACCGGTGGCGAGTTTGCTGAGGTTTGTCCTCAGTGAGTGACTACACATGAGCATCTGCCGTTCGATTGCGTCCTTTGATCGGAAACAAATGCGCGGCCAGATCCCTTGTTGTGCAGGCCATGGCACGCGGTATCTCCTACTATCCTAGATGAGACTTTGTCACATCTACATCGGTTCGTGCAGCGAGCGATAGCCAACGCCATCTTACGTATCCTGTTATCATCGACACTCCTGGGTCATGGCGACGGGAGAGGTCCGGGTGCTTGTGCTTGACCGCGAGCGACGAAAAGTAGCTGGCTATCCTGGTGTGAGCAGTGGGTATGTTTGTTGGCTTGTGAGGTAGATTCGCAGTGTTCCACAATTCCATGTACGCCGATGTGGATCAATAATACTAGAACTCCGCTCAGCACAACTACAGACACATCCAAATCCCCACAATCCTCCCCAGAAGCCCAAGAGGCCCGGGATCCGCAACGTGCCACTGCCACCCCTAACGCCCAAACCCAACACGAAGCCGCAAGACTCCCAACGCCCAACCCAGCGCCGCTGCTCTGCATCCCTACGTCAATGCTTCCGGGCCTGCCTTTGTTACCATTGCCTGTTTTTCAGTGTTTTGAAGGTTTATTTGTGAATGCGGCTCTGCGATCGAAAGTCAGTGCTGAGCCGTAAACCCCAGAGTGAGGCTGATAAACTAACCACATGCAACCACCGTCTCTGATCCCCCACAGTCCCCACATAAGCCCTGGACAGCCAGCACCCAGATCCCTGCAGCGCGCTCAGCCGAGGTGCAGCTCCATCAGCGCGGTCTTATACGGCTATGCACGTGCGGTTGTAACCTCTGGGTATCCATGCATGAGCATCCTGCTGTCATTCGCCACCTCTTTGGCCCATGCACCTATGGTTTCAATGAGCGCATCAAGATTTTCCTGGCGACTAAGGTCGATAGGCTCAACGCCCATGCTTATCTGGCGCAACTGAGCGCCAGCAGTAATGTTGGTGAGGGCAAAGTCATCGGCAAGTTGCTTGATAGCACCTGTGACTTTTCCCTCGAGGATGTTCTTGCAAAGATCAGGCTCCTGTGCTAATGGACGGGCAAGACCCACACCATCGAGGGCATCGAGGGCCTTGACCATGGCGCCAACTGACTTGAAGCCGCCAGTAACGTAAGCCTTTGTTTTGGATAGAGCGGGAGCAATGAGCTCTGCAAACTCAAGGAAGAACCCCTCGCGGTTCTTGGTTGACTCGCGTTGGTGCTGGAACGCAAGCTTCTCATATGTGCCGCCAGTGAGTTCAACAAAATCAAACATGTTCTCCTCAAGAATCTTGCAGATCTCTACAGCCTCTTCTGGATTTAAGCCCTTAGACTGGAACTCCACTGAGTTTAGCTTGATGCCAACAATGAAGTTGGCTGACACGCGCTTCCGAATAGAACTGGCAATCTCAACAATAATGCGAGTGCGGTTCTGAATTGTGCCACCATACTTGTCAGTACGGTGGTTAGTAGTTAGAGAGAGAAACTGAGCAAGGAGGTATCCATGAGCTGCGTTAAGCTCAATGCCATCATATCCAGCCTTGTCGAGGTACTCTGCTGCAAAGGCAAAGCCCTCAACAATCCTAGAAATATCTTCGCTGCTTGCAGCGCGTGGTTTCTCGAAAGTTGTCCCCAGAATGTTGCCTTCGAGCTGAATATCGCTGGCAGAGATAGGGTTCTTCTGGAGCCGTGAGTTCACTTGTCGTCCTGGGTGATTGAGCTGACCAACGAACAAGGATCCGTTCTTCTTGGCTGCTGATGCTACTTTTTTGAACGACTCGAAGCGTTCACCAGAGAACTCAGAATTGGGGGCAACAATGGCGTTACCAGTTGCTTCAAGGTGATCATACTCGATCAAAATGTTGCCAGAGATAATGAGGCCAATTTCTCCTTCACCCCACTTGCTGTATAGGTTGATAAGGTCCTTAGATGGTATGCCACGGGCCTCAAGGACTTCAGGATCCCAACTAGACATGCGTTCGGTCATGGCTGCTTTGAGGAAGCGATTGGGAGCTGTCCGCCCGGAGAATTCGAACTTCAAAGGCTTAGATAGAGCGGAAGCGTCCTTGGAATCAGACTCATGTCTCGCTGTGGAAGTCATGTTGGAGGTGTATGGTAGGGTTTGCTGGAATATGTTGCAGATAATGTTCGAATCAATTGGAGAAGACTTGGGTGTTTCGGAGTATGCTGGAATGTGTGCAGTATAGTAGTAAGAGCCTTGAGAGCCGCTTTATATGATCTCCATTCGATTTAATCTTACAAATCAGTAACACTTATCGTAATCGACACATTTCTCAGAGTGGTGGCTACGCGTTGCACTTTCCCCAAGAACTGGAAAGTATGCCGAATGCAAGAGTGATAAGACCGTTCGTGGAGCTGCCTTAGCGTTCTTGCACTTTCAGAACCTGTCACCAACTCTTGGTGACCTGAGTCGTGCATTACAAACCTTGCCGAGGGCGCTTACAATGTCATCATACATGATTAATGATCGATTTATGGTTATAAGGAGGGCGAGTTACACACGTAGACATGATATCAACCGAAAAGATACTACGAACTGATCAAAGATGACGATTGCTCTTACCAGTGCGACAGGCAAGCTTGGCGGCGGCATTCTCAATGCGATTCTCAACCACAAACTTCTTGATCCCAAGGAGCTGGTCGTTTGCGTATGACCAACAGCACATTCGTTCACAGAATTGGTCTAACTTTGCTGTCAGACATCCTCGGATCTAGGAGACTCTCGTTTTGATGCGCTGCGCTCCCAGAACATCGACCTGCGCCAGGCCAACTTCAACGATGCCTCTTCACTCCAGAAAGCATACTCAGGGTGCGAGAGACTTCTCCTTGTCTCATCGCCGTTCATTGAGATGGACTATAACGACGCGCCACTATGGCAAGGGCGTGAGAAACACCACCGCGCTGCAATTGATGCTGCGCTTGAGGCAGGAGTAAAGCACATCTACTATACATCGCTTGCCTTTAGCGATGTAAGCAAAGCAGGTGTAACGCGCGCAAGCGAAGCAGGTGTAATGCGCGCACATGTCCGGACAGAGGCCTATCTCCGCGATCTGGAGAAGGAAGGGAAAATCAAGATTACAATTATCAGAGAGGGTCTGTACAGTGAAGCCTGGCCACTCGCTTTTGGATACTTTGGTCTAAAGGACGATACAAGAAAAGAGGTACTTGTCGCTGGCGAAGGTGCGATGAGCTTTACCAGTCTCTCAGACATAACATTTGGAACAGCGAAGGTGATTGCTGGACCAAGCGAGCAATGGGAGGGGAAGACGGTCTCCATCTGTCAAAAGAAGGCCTTGACGTTGCAAGAGATTGCAAAAATCGTCTCTAGAGTACAGGGATACGAGGTCCAGATCAAGGTTGTGAGCAGGAAAGAGTATGAGGACCACTATGCTGCGAACGGTGTTGAGCGCGCAGCTGTCGAATGGTGGAGTACTGCATACGCTGCGATAGCGGATGGAGCATGCGACATCGATGATCCTACCCTGGAGGAGTTTTTGAAGGAGGCAGGAATGAGCCCGCGTCAGCTCGAGTCGACAATCGAGGACATGCTAAAGTAGACCAATAAATTCACCTTAGATCATGTACAATGCAAAGCAGTCAAGCAGGCTCTAGCTCACTGTTCCCGCAGCCATCGCTTAGTGACTTTGAATTGCAACAAAGTGTATAGTCGTTGGCGATTTGTGCAGACCCCTGCAACTACGGAACAGAGTACACGATGTAGGTGCGTACTATAGTAGCAAGTAGCAAGTCATCCTACTATTAGTCAATTCCTACATTGTTGCCCTGCAGAACGTCCAACCAGACTCCTATACCCAGTTAGAGGCCCTTACTATCTGTAAGCACATCTCTGTTCCATAGTTGTGGGGGTCTGCATATTTCTGCAAGCACCGATAATCCTTTCAGGTTCCTATTTTCACGTCCGCGACTGTGGCTGCTTACAAAACCGCAAAGTCAAAGACGCCATTACCAGATAACTAGCTGAGAATCACGCTAAATGTGAGGCCGCCACTTTGAAGACGATTAATAAAGTATCGACACGATGTTGTAGGTGGAGGATGCGTTGCGCTTCTTAGCTCCATGACGTAAGATGTATTACTGATCATCCGAGGCATGCTACGTCGCTAACAAATCCAGCTCTGTAGTACAGCTCTATTCTACATATTTTACATCGAGGATTCTCACGAAATGAAAAATTGTACACCCAATTCCTTTTTTACAGCATGTCCAAGTCGACTGTATTCATCACCGGAGCTTCAGGGTTCATCGGTGCCCAAATCACCGCATTCGCGTTACGCGCTGGGTACAATGTCAAGCTGAGCGTTAGGCGTGAAGCGCAGATAGACGCTCTGCGCCGAGCGTTCAGCGAGTTTGCGGACAATCTGGACTTCGTTGTTATTCCAGACTTAACCAAGGCGAAGGCCTTCGACACTGCGCTTCAGGGTGCCGAGCACGTTATTCATGTGGCCTCGCCTTTGCCCGGACCAAACGAAAAGGACCTCCTCACTCCGGCAGTCAAAGGCACGACGTCGATATTGGAATCAGCGTTGCATGTGCCTTCCATCAAGAAGGTTGTGATCACCGCGTCAGTTGCTTCACTCGTTCCGCTTGGAAAGGGCGTGGACGGCACTGTTGTGACAGGTAAATGCTGAAACCCATCTATCTATTTGACTGAATCGCCACTAACAATCTGCAGAGGACATCGCAAAGGAGAAGCTCTATTTCGATGAGTCGATTGTTCCATCCCTCAATCCAGGGGAACAATACCGCGCCAGCAAGCTCGCCTCATACACTGCCACACTCGACTTTGTCGAGACGAAAAAGCCTCACTTCTCTGTTGTTACGCTTCACCCCGTGTACGTCTTCGGGCGCAACCTGCTGCAGACGCGCGCCGACGAGCTCTCCGGCACAAACGCCATGCTGTTCGAGTCGTTGTATGCCGAGGAACCTCGCTTTGCGCCTTACCGCGGCGTGCACATTGACGACGTCGCCGAGGCGCATATCAGAGCCCTGAACCTGGCTGACGCGCCGGTGTCCTCGTTTCTTCTGTCCGGGAAGAACAGAAGCTGGGAGGAGGTGCTGGAGTTCGCGAACAAGAAGTACCCGGGAGCAGGGTTCAAGGCAAAGCCCAAGACTGGCGATGAGTTGATCGTTGTGACTGCTCGTGCCGAAGCAGAGCTGGGGTTCTCCGCCTGGAAGGAGATGGAGGTGCAAGTGAGTGACGTTATTGAGCAACAGCTCCATCTTCGCAGCGCCGGTGCAGGTTCATAGTTCACTGCATAGTAGGAGACTTGATTGATACTGCGGTCACGGATCAGTGTTGATTTATCCGTGAGGCCTAGAGTTGAACATGAGTCTTTTCTTCCACTTTCCAACGCGCTTATCCCTGTAATGTGGACATTCGCTTTCGTGGGAAGACGGTGGTGCGGCGTGAAGTAGTGGACTGGGTGCTGGAGTAGCGAGTAGCGCAAGCAGTGCGCGCAGTGCAGCGCGGTGCAGTAGTGAGATAGTGCCAACACGTTCGCGGATTGGAGAGTATTATACACATTGCGATCTCCCGCGCATCGTATCGTATCCATGCAACGCATACACCATAACGTACAAGTCCGTCTACACATTCGCTTTTCAACACACACACACATACGCACACCTCCAATGCCCAAAACGCCAGAAATCGCCATGCCATGCCATGCCATGCAGAACAACACAGAAACCCCGGATCCGTATCCGTATCCACCCAAACGCCGACAAACAACCACACCCCCATGCGTTAAAAAAATCTACCCAACAACCCTCCCCTTCCTCCCCTTCGTCTCGCCCTCCCTCCTCCTCCTCCCTTCCAACGTACTACTCCCCTCGCGATCCGCTCTCCACCCGGCCAACCGCCACCACTTCTCATCCCTCTCGCCGCCCCAGAGGAGGAGCCCGAACCGTCCATCGCGGACCGAGGCGCGACGAATCAGCGGGGTAGCCTGGATACTCGAGCTCCAGGGCTGGGGGCGGTAGAACTCGCGGTCCGCGGGCCCGTGCAGCGATTCCGAGAGTCAGGAGAAGAAGTACTTGGACTCGCGCAGGCGGGAGACGTCCCAGGTGCCCTTTTTGGGGACGGGCGGGAAGGTTAAGGGGAGCCAGACTTGGTAGGTGTGCATTTCGCTGAGGTACATGCCGCGGCGGTCCGGGGGCGTGATTTCGGGGGTCGCGTCGGATGCGGGGGCGTCGGACGCGGGGGCATCGGACGCGGGCTCCTGGGGGGTTGGGTCCTCGGCGAGCAGGTCTTGGGTTGCGGCGGCTTCGTCGAGGGGCTCGCCGTTGAGCGCGGCTTTCTCGGCGGCCTTGCTGGCTTTCATGATGGCGTCGGCCTTGGAGGTTGGGGGTGTTTCGGGGGTGGTGGATGACGCTTTCGTAGGGGCGGCTTTTGTGTCGCCGATGAGCGAGAGGCGGTGCGAGGCGATAGTCGAAGGGTCCTTGTACTCGAGCCAGATGCTGGTGGGTGTCTCCATGGCCTCGCCCTTTGCGCGCTCCTCGGGATCTTCGCTCGCAAGCAGCTCCAGTCGCTTGGCTTCCAGCGCGACCTCGTCGAACGACGCCATAGCGTGCTTGAAGCCGATACCTGCCGCGGATCTAGTAGACTTAGTAGACCTGTTCTCTGCCCGCCACTTGAGAATCCTCTGGCCAACCTCAGTCGCGGCGTGAATGTTGGCGCGGTACATGCCATCGGCGTAGCGGGCAGTAAACTCAGCTGCAAGCCGGCCCGTGATGTCCTCCGAGTGCATGCGGACGAAGGCATCGCGCAGGATGGTGTTGAGGTTGGGGATGTCGCAGGCGTGCGTCCAGAAGCTGTCGTGGACCGCGGCAAAGTCGAGCCCCATCTCGTTGCACTTGAGCGCAGAGAGCAGCATGTGCGACGCGTCGAGGGAGTGGATGAAGTTGGGGGGGAACGCTTGCAGCTGCTTTCGCTTGTCCACAACATCGCCAGCAGCACGGCGCTGGATGACAATATTCTGGAGAGACGTCGCGACCATCTGCTGCGAGTCCTTGACGTAGGGCTGCACAATAGGCATCTTGAGCGGCGTGGTCCAGATGATGCCAGTCTTGAAGTTTTCGGCAATCTTCAGCAACTGCTTCACGCCGGTCTGGGACAGCCTGTCCGTTCTGTAGCGCGCATCCATGTGTGGTTTCTGGCCCTCGTAGTTGGCTCGGATGGACTTGATCTGATCCGCGGTGATGGAGGTGGTGATGCGATCTCCGCACTCGCCAAGCCAGTACTGGATCTCCTGGGCGCCGTTGAAGATCTTGCCCAGGGCCTCGAAGATCTTGTAAGCCACGTACATGGCAACGCCCTGCAACGATCGAACCTCCTTTGTCTCTTTGAAGTCGGGGAAGATGACCTTGAGCTCGTCGAGAACCTGTGCTTTGGCGCCCATGAAGGTGACACCATAGACGTTGGTCATGACCGTTCGCTTGACGACCTTTCTGCTGATGTGGCCATCGACGAACTTGGCAAGAGCATGGCCTTTCTCGAGGTCCGCCGCAACCATCTCCTTGACAAGCTCTGCAACACCAGTGTAGATGTCCTGCGGCCGGTCGGAGGGCTCGAGGTTGACCTGGCGCGCGCCTGCCTGGTCACCACCCAGCGCGGCGTAGTGCTGGAGACCGTTGCACGTACCGTCCTGGTGCACGGGGAACTGCGAGACGAAGCGGGTCGGATCGGGCAGGTCAAAGGCGTTCTTGAGCTCCATGCAGCAGGCGAGACACTGCCACGGGTCCTCAGCCTTGGTCCACCAGCGTCTCCCGCCCAGCGGATTCGTGGCGGAGTCGACAATCTCGTTCATGTTGTCCATGGCGAACTGCTCGCGCTCGCGCAGACTGGCCTTGTCGAAACCAGCAAGATTGGCAAGATGCACCTTCAGCCACTGCAGCCCAATCGAGCCAAGCTCCTTGCCGTTTGCAAATTTGAGCAGACCTCTCGCAACGTCCGACCCGATGTGGTTGAGTATGGGAGGGATGGGGTAGGCGCGGCCGCGGAAGTCGACGCTGTGCGGGAAGTAGAGTGCCTTTTCGTTAGCCATGGAGCTCGCAACCTCGAGCTGGAAGTTCTGGAAACAGCGCTGCGAATGGTATCCGCTCTTTGTGTTTTCGTACTCCTGTAGCTTCTTGCTCCAGCGGGCCCGCTCTTGGTATGTCGCGTCGGCAGGCGGGTCTGCTGGGCGTTCTAATGGAATCTTCTCCGGCACGAGGCCTGCAAGGCCTTCTCCAGAGTTCCACACTTCGGCCATGACGTCGAAGATGGGCTTGTTGATCTGCCAGGGCACTTTGCCCAGCACGTCAAGCCCAGCGAGGACCTGCTGCATGTCGCCATTCTCGATGGCAGTTGAGGCGTAGGCGCGCTGGGAGACGTCGCCAGCCTTCTGGCGCACCACCTTGGACGGCATTGTGAAGTAGCCTCCGCTTTCAAAGCCGGACCACGGTTTCGGCGGGACGACCATGGGGAGTCTGACGCTGACGATGTTGTGGACGGGTTCGTTGCGGAGCTTTGCCAGGACCTCGTGGTGCGGGACGATCCACCCGACCTTCTTGCCCTGGTGCAACCTCATCTGGTGGTGGAAGGCAGCCTGTGTGCTCGTCAATTGCTTGCCGGTCTTTGGATCCTGGGCGGTAACGGTGATGCGCGCGGCTTTCAGGACGTATTCGAGGCACAGTGCGCCAATCCTGACACGAGCAGCGAGTGGGATCTCCGTCTTTTCAAACGGAACCTCGATGGGCTTGACAGGGCCAGACTCGGCGACGGGTTCTGCAGATTCGCTGTTTGGCTTCTTGAGCAGTGCGACGAGGTCCTTGCGCGCCAGCTTGCGCTGGGTCTTGAGAAACTTGTCCTGTCGGGCCTGGGCGTCCGAGTTCATGTGGGCCATGATGTCGTTGCCAATGCTGGTGGACAGGGTGGACAGCTTGAGGTTGTCGCCCTCGGTGGACTTGGTCTCGACGCAGGCTTGGATCAGGCGGGTGATGGCGTTGGCAGCCAGGCGCTCGGGGGTGCACTGCTCCAGCCAGGCGCCGTACGAGTGGGCGTCGTCGCTCGCGTTCTCCTTGGTCGGGTTGGTGGTGATGTGCTTGGCGTGGGCGATCTGGTTCTTGAACAGCGGCACCAGCGCGGCGTACCAGTTGTACATGAGGGCCTGCAGGCTCTTGGTCTTGAGGACGCCGTGGATGCCCATTTCAGTGAGCTTCTCGTCCTCCTCGCGCCAGCGCTGTATGGCGGCGTCGGTGCCGTCCTTCTCGGTCTGCAACTGGCGGGCGTAGGCAAAGGCGCGGTCCTTCTCTTCCTGCGTGCCTTCGAGGTCGTCGGGGTAGGCCACGCTGTCGACCTCGTTAAAGACGGACAGCGCGTGCTTCAGGGTCGACAGGCCGAGGCCCTTTTGCGGGACGGGCTTGATGGGCGTGGCGGGCAGCGGCAGTCCGTTTTCGACGGCGTTCCTGATGGCGTCGGTGGTGTTGAACTGCATGTTCTGCAGGGTCTCGAGGGCCGGCGGCTCCTCGAAGTTGTCGGGCTGCATGCGGATGACAATGTTCCACTCCTCGTCGGTCAGCTCGGGCGAGATGTTGACCTGCTCGAGAACGGCCGGGCCGCACTCGTTGGCCATGTCGAGGTAGCGCTGCACGGCGCGCTCCTGGTTCTTGCCGGAGAGCAGGTTGATGGCGGCGCGCAGCAGGATGACAAAGGTCTGGGCGTTGAGCTCGATGAACTTGGCGACCATGTTCTTGCGGAACCAGTCCTCGACGCCCTTCATGGCCACGGGGCCGGGCTCGTCCAGGGCCAGCTCGAACAGCGTCTGCAGGAAGATGTTGTGGGCGTCGGTCAGCTCGGGGGCGGACGGTGTGTACAGCATGGAGAGGCGGCGCAGGATGAGGGCGGCGCGGTCGGTGCGGCCGACGCGCAGGCAGGCGTACAGGTTCTGGTGCATCTCGACGGGGTCGCCGGCGATGCCCTGGCCGATGCCGCGGCTCGCGGGCGCGCTGTGGGTGAGCTGGTCGTGCACCACCAGCGGGCTCGACGTGTCCCAGCTGCGGAGGCGCGAGAGGTCGGGCGGGGGCGAAATCGGGCCCCACGACTGCAGGAAGCCGTCGAAGGGCGTCGACGGGCGCGGCAGCTCGGCGGTGGTGGCGAGCGAGCGCGTGGTGGGCTGGGACAGCGACGGCCGCCGTGGGCGCCGAGAGTCGTGTGTGATGGGCATGTTGGACGTGTGTCGCCGCTGGGCGGGCAGCATTGATGGCGACAGTCGTGACAATGTTGAGGTCGAGAGCCGTGAGGCGGGCCCATCGAGCCGTGAGCGCGCGCACCACGCATCTCTGCGCAGCGTCCGCGCCGCAGCTCCTCGCATCATCGTGCCGGTGTGCGTGCCGAAGGCGAGGCGAAGCGATGGTGGAGCCGAAGCCGTAGACTGTTGTATGTGTAGGCGTATGTAGGCGTAGTAATCGTCGTACGTCGGCGTCGTCTGTAGGTGTCGTATGCAGCCGTACGCGTTATACACTCAGCGTCGGCCGTCGAATGCACCCGTCTGCAGTCTCGCACCGTCTACAGTCCTGCAGCTCTAGTCTAGGGTATCAACAAAACACAGAACGAAAAAAAGACGTGGCGGCAAAAGTCCGCGAAGAATGGCTGCTGCACACGTCCTCGAGGCAAAATGTTCGCATCATATCTCAGACCAGCTAGCGTCGTCGTTAGGGACGGACCTGCAGGCCCCTGCTTTTTTCTGTGGGTCCTGCGCGTCATTGGTCGGCGGAGGATGCGTGAGGCGGTGTGGGGCTGCGGGTATGCACGTGACTGTGGTTTAGTACTACTGCCCGGGGACTTGGGCAGGTTCATGTGTTGTTGCGCGAGTCTTGTAGCCGCATACTCAATGATACACACAACAGGTACTCGCAGATTGCACTGTCAACGTTCAGATTCGAATAATTGGCACGTCGTGTACGAAAGTGGCAGGTGCGCACGTGTGGCATGGTGGTAGACTGGCAGCTCTACCTCGTCGCTGAGACCGAATCTTGAAAACACAGACTCAATTGATACACAGAACATTTGACATGCTCGCAGACTGCCTAGCCAGTATCCCAGCTGAAAGTTCAGCGCGTTGTGCACCCGCGTCTACACACGCAGGAGCGCACGTGACCAAAGACATTAGTATTACCCAGCAGGTAATTATGATTATATGATCATACACGTGCCCAAGACTCTCCCAGTTACTATAGCGCACAACATCATGCTCGAATTCAGTAGCTGCTTACACACTCAGTAACTGCACATCTACAGGACATCGAGTCGCTTCTCCTTGCTCAGGAACGCTTCGGCGGCAGACTTGATGCTTTCCAGGTCCGCGAGGAGCGCGACATAAAGGAACTCTAATTAGGCTTAAGAGTTAGGGTAGGTCTCGCAGATCTAGGAGATGACGGCATTGGTGCGTTTCTTAGAGCGTGTTGTGAGGTAGACGGTGTTGTGGAGAGAGTATAGTAGGCGTGCGAGCTCTTTTGAGGAGCCAGAGGGAACTTTGGTCTCTCACTTGGTCCACACCAGTAGTTGGCCGTCCCTGGTAATAAAATATTGAATTCGCCAGTCCATGCATCTAAAAACGCCATTATCTACCTTACACTCTTAGCCGTGGGCGCCACACTCGCAGTCGCAGTCGCAGTCGCACTCCCACTCGTCATCGTCACACTCCGCGAACTTCCTACACCCACCGCTTCCGCCCCAGTAACAGCAGCAGCAGCAGCAGCACCCACCCCCTCATCCCCCAACCCCTCTTCCCATTCCTCTTCTTCATCTTCGTCACCAAAGCAGAATAACCCCCTAACCCCCCTATCCTCCCTCGCCCTCCCTATTCCTACACTGCCCTCTCCCTTCTCCTTCTTATCTTTCCCCCCACACCCCCCAACCTCCTCCCTAAACACCCTCCCATACTTCCGCGCCACACTCCCCACGCTCCCCGGGTCTAGGAGTATGTTATTGTGCAGCAAATGCGGTAGGTCGGAGAGCACGGGGAGGTCGGCGTCGAAGGGGAGTAGATAGGTGAGGGATTTGGAGGCGGGGGGGAGGGGGGGCTCTTGGTTTCTGGTGTTGGGGTCTGCAGAGGAGGTAGAGGAGCCGTCGATCTCGCGGTGCAGCACCCCCCACGGCCTCGCAGGAACAAGCACGAATAGGCCGCGGGCGCGCATGAACTGTGTGCCCCACGCGGTCCACCCATTGGCATCACCACGCTCTCCTTCTTCCTGCTCTTTTTTTGCCGCGGGAAACGCAGCACGGTGCTCGCTCCGCAACCTCCCAAACTCCCAGAACTCGCGCCACCCGTCGGCGAAGAACAGCGTCGCCAGACTCTCCACGCTGTCCATGGTCTGCCGCAAAAAGGGCACGGCGGTGGTGTCGGGCCACTGCGTGGCGTAGCGCGGGTCGTGCAGATCCCTGACTCCGGGATATCTCAGCTTCGTCTTTTCCCCAGTACCACCACCGTCTTTCCCACCACTACTGCCATCTTGCGCCGGGACATCGGGCCTCAATAGCGAAACCCCCAGCAGCTCCCGCGGCGCCGGCGAAAACGACGAGTATCCGTACTCCAGCACGTGGTACCGCGCGTAGTGCAGCCACTGCGTCGCGAGCTGGGCCGTGGGCGCGAGGAGGAGGACGTGCGCGTCTGGGCCCTGGGGCCAGAAGGCGTCGAGGACGCGGGCTGCGGCGTCGGACGGCGTTGCCGGGGGGGTGAGGCGGCGGCGGAGGATGAGCTGGTTCTGGTTCTGGTTCTGGTTCTGGTCTGGGGTTTGGGGGTGCGCGGGCGGCGGCCACTGCAGGTTCTGCAAGGCGCGCTCGACAACCGGGTCCAGCGCGGCGGGCAGCTCGAGCGTGAGGCGCGGGGCCCGCAGGCCGGTGTAGTCGGCGGCCGCGAGCGAGCGCAGGAGCTGCAGCACGCTGGACGAGTCGGGGGGGACCTGCACCACGACATCAATACTCGGGACGTGCCAGGCGCGCAGGGCCGCGGCGTCGAGGCGCGTCAGCCATCCCCACGCGTCCCAGCGGCCGGCGGGCACCTCGATGAGCGGGATATCCAGCGCGGCGGTCTTGTTGCGCACGGCGGCGGCGAAGAAGGCGTCCTCGGCGGCGGGGTCGTCGGTGATGGCGACCTGCGGGTGCAGGAAGTTCTGGAGGTGCGAGAGCGCGGACTGCACGGCCGCCTCGGCGCGTGCGTCGGTGCTGTACTCGGCGTAGTCGGGGCGCGCGTCGTGCCAGATGGCGGGGCACTGTTTGCGGTCGATGCCGTTGATGTCCAGGATGGCGTCGAGCGGGATGTCGGCCCGCCCCACGAAGGCCGCGTGCACCCAGTTGCGGTTCCACTTGCTCATCTCGCAGACGAGCGGCAGCAGCGTGGCGGCGCTCTGCAGACTCGACATGGCGAACAGCACGTTGCGGTTCGTCTTGCGGAAGCCGTCGGTGTGCGCCGCGCCGCGCAGGCTCTTCGCGAGCCGGTAGAACTTGTACAGCCCGTCGAACGTGTGCGGCGCCTGGTGGCCTCTCCGCGGCGCGCGCATGCCCGGCGGCGGCCCCGCGGGCTCTCTGGCGTCGGCGGTGTGCGGGTCGGACTGCGAGCCTCTCGGGGGCGCGGCATGGGGGAGCTGGAACGAGGCGTGGTGGGCGGGCGGGGCGTCAGGCGTCGGGCCCGACATGTAGTGCATGGCCAGCGAGAACAGACAGAACGCGCCGACGAGCAGCAGCACGCGCTTGCGGCGCCAGCGCGGCGAGTGCGGCCAGCCTGCCCCCGGCCGCCGCGCGGGCTTGAAGTTGTGGTCGTCGTCCTTCTTGCCCAGCTCCTCGTCGGTCGGCAGCATCGCCTTGCCCAGCATGCCGCCGCGGATCACGCCCTCGCGCAGCCAGTCGCTGTTCGTGCTGCCTGCTGCCATGCGCGCTGCATCGGGTGGTTGTGTCGCGGGAGGTGGAGGTGACGGGGCAAGGGACTATGGCGCGGTCGGGTGCAGCACAGCGCGGTCGGGTGCAACGAGTGCGCAATCGAAGCACACAGCATCCAAGGGCGACGAAGCGTGCTGTGTTATGAGACGTCACCGCCTTGCGTGCGTCAAGTACCAAGGGCGCACTTCGTTATCGCAAGCGCGGCCAGGAACGTGCCAGCTATCGACATCGAAAAGGACATGTTGACACTGCGACCGCACCAAGCGGGCGGAAGTGCGCATCCTGGTCCCGCCAAGAATGCTCCACCCGGGTGTGGCTGTTTCAGCCGTCGTTGGACATCACATGACCTGGACTTAAACATCACACAAAACTGAACAAGACTCGGGCACTGAACATAAACATGAACAATTCCTTTGGCACTGGATATCTCATTTACTTTTACTTCACCGCCTCCACACTACTTCTCCGCCGCTACTTCTCCGCCATCCGCTCGTCCGCCTCCCGCAGCGCCAGCCGCAACGCCTTCTCATTGCGCGGCACAAACCTGACCTGGTAGTGTCTGCACATGCACACCAGACTGGTCGGATCCGCGCTGCCCCTCACCGGATGCGCATCGACATCCGAGTCCTTGACGATCTCGAAGCTGTTCAGCATGCGCAGGAACACGAGGTACAGCTCGCGGTTCGCCAGCAGCGAGCCCGCGCACATGCGGTACCCCAGCCCGTACGTGAACAGCGGCGCGTCGGGCTGCTCGAGCCAGCGCTCCGGGCGGAACGTCTCGGGGTCGGCCCAGACGGCGGGATCTAGTGGCTGTTAGTATGTGGCGGCATGTTCATTGGAGAGACTTGCCCATGTTGCACGCCCACGCGTTCAGGTAGATGGTGCTGCCCGCGGGGATCAGCTTGCCCTCGTAGTGCACGTCCTTGACGGTGGCGCGCGGCAGCGCGAGACGCAGCACCGTGTAGTAGCGCAGACACTCGCGGACCAGCGCGACAATGTACGCGCACTTCTGGTCGTCGTAGGCGTCGGCGAGCGGCTGGTCGGCGGCGTACAGTTTGCGGATCTCCGCGACGGCTGTGTTCTGGATGTCTGGGCGCTGCGCCAGCAGGGCGACGCTCCACTGCACGAGCGTCGTGATGGTGTCGAGGCCGCCCGAGAGCATGGTTAGGCTGATCGAGATGAGCTCCTCCTTGCTGAGCGCGGCCTCCTTGTCCTGGATGATGTTGGCCTGGATGCACGGCTTGTGCGTGCCCTTCTCCATGCGGTCGTCGAGGTCCTTGTTCAGCCGGTTCAGGTACTCGTCGCGCCTGGAGCGGTACTCCTTGGCCATCTTGGTGCCGCCGCTGAACGGGTTCAGGCGGAGAATGGGGATGTAGTCCTGCAGATTGCCCGTCGTGGATCGGAACTTGCTGATGGCCGCCTCGACCTCGGTGATCTCGTGGAACATGGGGTCGTCGCGGCTGCCCAAGCGCGTTCCCCAGTTCAGCGTCAGACTGAGCGACAGCGAGAGGCGCTCGATCATGGGCATGGGGTCCACGCCAACGGTACCAGCACGGCCAGCCTCGAACCCATCCTTGATGAAGTCCTTAGTCTCCAAATCCAAATGGTCGATATACGTCGCAATACTAGGCTTGTTCAGCGCCGACGCCGCGCCCTTCCTCCTCCTCTTCAGACTATCATTAAACGGACTCGTCCCAATCGTAGTCCCCGCCGTATTCGACAGCACCTTGTGGAACGTCCAAAATACGGGCCTCGAGCTCAGCGCCTGGCTGTTCCCGCCGAAGATCTTCCGCGCCGCCTCCGCGCTATTCACCACAACCACCGGCTCGTTGCCCAGCTGGATCTGGTACACCGCGCCGTACTGCTTCGACCACTCGCGGTACTTGTCCGCCGCGTTGTACTTGATATCCGGGATATTGCCGACGAGCGGCCAGTTGCGCGGGCCCTGGAAGCCCTTCAGGCGGCGCGTGTAGCGCACATACTCGTTCGCAACCAGATACGCGATGGGCGTGAGAACAAGGAGCACCGCGATCGAGCGCACGGGGTGGTCGGCGAACTGCTCAGCCACGAGCGGAGCGATAGTCGAGATCATCTTGGATACCTGCGCTCAAGACCGTCCAGCTTTGTCCAGTGTCGTGGAAGTAAGGTATTCCACCGGGCGACACCATTCCTTATAGCCCCATGGCCGCCGGAACCGCGTCCAATTGCAAACCCCGTCTTCTGCACCAAACGGCGCCGCCGCCGCGCTCCTCCGCACTGCAAGCGACTCCAGCTGCATCGCGGGTATTGCGGGGAAGGTGTGGGCGCGGAATTGCACGCGCGGCGCGGAACAGACACACGGCTCCACGCGGTGATTGGCGATGGGTGGGCTGTGATTGGCCCGGCGCGCGAGCCTGGAAGGCGCGTTCCGTTTCCGAGGGCCAACCTCACGCGACGAACGTTGTAATGGGTATCTCACTCCTGGTGCGGAATTTGCGGTCTCGCAACAGACATGTCGTGATGAGCGGGTTTCATGGAACGTCCCGTCATGGAGGGCTGGTCAGAGTGTTGTCAGACCATGGCCTGCGGTCGGTAGGTGATTAATCTTGTCACGTGCAATGTCTACGAAGGTAAAGCTGCTTGCTGATGATAACGTGCTGCCTTCTGCCTGACAGCCAGGTGGTCACGGGTAAGTGAGAGTAAACACCAGTGAGTATATGATGACCTTGCACTTCTACTAGCACGGCAAAGGCGGAGTAACGGGTGTTCGAACTCTCCTTCTCAGAAGTACTTGCAGGTCTCAAGCCCTCAAAGCGAGCCGGTATCGCGCGCAACATCGAAAGCAACAGCCTAGGAGACACACGTGTGCTGCGGTAGGTTTGGACATGAGAACATTCAGGTAAACGACCGTGGCGAGTCGGGTGAGTGCCTCGTAACAGCCCACGCCAACACTCTTTACCTTGTCATCCAACGACGTCTCCAACACTCGACCAAGTGGCTGCCCGCCGAGTCTACCCTCCACGTTAACGGCAGCCTTCGGGGTTCTAAGCCTTCGAAGCTGATATGGCCGTGCTTGATTCGACAGCACTGATCAGGTTCTCTCGGCAACGACCTGTCTGGTCTTACAAACGATATATCAGTGGTCGAACGGCAACCTTGCGATATCGCAACTACGATTCACAGGCCTAGTACCCCGGAGCTCACAACACACTGCAAATCATCAACCACCTTACACATCATGAGGCTCGATGGCCCTGATGACACCACTCGCTGGCTTGGCTGGCCTGCGTTCGCTATCCAATTCAGGCACTATGTCTTCACGGTATACGAAGAGACACAACCGAGATACCCCCACTGCGAACGCTTCTTCACAGGGGACGCCTGTGACACAGCTATTAAGCTGTGATATTCGCCCCTCGGGCATCTTTGATCGCGTATATATCAACTCATACCAACCTCGAGCTCAGTGCACCAATGCAGCAATCCAAGCCTTCCTACGAAGCAGTGTCTCCCCGTTCATACGCGCCTCAACTCCACCACCCTGCTTCCGAACATTACAGCACGTCGAACGCTCGAGAATTTGATGCCGAATTCATCGACTCTTCAGGCGGCCTGGATGCCTTGCAGCAATACCTTGGATCCTCTTACGAAGCTCACGACACCCAAGCAAACACATGGAACCAATACGAGACTGCAAACAGCAACATCGACGCCCAAGGAAATTACCCGCAGACAGGACAAAGCCCAAACCAGTACAACAATAGTGTTTTACGTGGCGCAAACCAGGCTCAAACTCGTGGTTTAATCCATGCAGGTCGCGGTAGGGTCGCACACCAGCACGTTTCAGGTACTTCTCCGTACAACCCGAACTGCATGTCGTATTCTATGGCGGATCACCGGTCTGTTGCTACGCCCATGTCAGTCTCATCAGCTATCCCAGCAGATTCTTCAGAGGCCCACGACACACCGTACAGTCCCTACCGCGGTCTATTCACCGACACCGACAAGGCCAGAGACCATCGACACATGAGCACCCGTTTTGGACGCCAGCCCTATATACACCCCGAGGACGACCCAACCATTGCTCAAGTTGAGCACAATCGCGACCACGAAGTCGGCCGCATCTACCACGCCATGATCCGCGGCGAGCGCGCCCAAGACAATGCCGGCTCGATCGCCATGAAGCGGTGGGTACACGGCGCCCACTACAAGTCCGACCTGGTCGAATCCTTCGCGCACAAAGTCTTCGACTGCCTGCTCACGCAAGTCAAAGAGGGCTTCCGCGGCTGGCACCACAACGACTACGTCGACGACGACCGCAAGGGCGAAAAAGAGGACCGCGAGGCCGACTGCATGGCGCGCCTCGACAACATGATCGACGCGCTCGAGCGCGAGAAGACTATCTGCGAGGACGTCGTCAATTCCGCTAGCCAGATCCGCATGTTCGTCAACGCCCCGATTGCCTACGCCGCACGCAAGTACCAGAACCGCCTGGGCAACAGCAAGCGCGGGCGCACCAAGGACGCCGCGGATCCGCCGCCCCGCCCGGTCAAAGCAAGGAGGACTGGTGGACGGCACCGAGCGCGCTCGCGCACCGCGTCTGATATCCCGCTGTCGCGCGATACGACGCCGCAGTTCCACACCCCCCACTCCACCGCGCCGCCCTACTACGCATCCCCCTGGTCCCCCGCGCTACATCCCGGCTCCTCGCCCCTGTATACGAGCCCCGGCCAGCCGCAGAGACCGCAAACGCGCCACGCCGCCGCAACAGCGCCCCCAACGGCCCGTCCCGCACCCGCCATCGCGCCCCCCACAGACCCCGTACAGCACTCCCACCCCACCCAGCCCCCCGCGCAAATGCTCCCCACCCCCCTCCCGCCGCTGCCGATACCAACGCCGCACGCCCACCTCCCGTCGCCCTCCCCCTACGCCCCCGCCCCCGCCGCGAGCCCCGCGCCCTGGCCGTCCTATGTCCTCGCCGACCCGGGGTCTCATGTCGATCCCTCGCTGCCCTCGTCGTTGTTTGCGCCGTGCGCGTGGACCGACGGCTCGGGGTCCATGGATACGCGGTTTCCCACAAGCCAGGCGGGCCAGACGGGCACCGTAAGTCTCGCAGACATCGAGACGCGATGTATGCAGCCCGGACAGCCCTTGGAGTACCGGGGGACGGAGAGTGCGGGGCGCACATTCGGAGCGCCTAGACGCACTGATGTGGGGATGCAGAGCAGTAGCGCTGGGGGTCTCGCACCTGGGTGTCTCGCAACCGGGTGTCTTGCGAGCGATGCAGAACTTATCAACGACGGCGCGATGCCCGACACCCCGGATCCCGTGGCTGAGTTCGAGGCGCTCTGGAATGCGCAGCCGGGCGTGCAGGCGTTTTCTTTCGATGGGTGTGCGGGCGGGTTTGGTCTGCAATAAGCTGGTGTTGTTGGGTCGCGTCGGGGGGTGTGTGAATGCGTTCTCGGGCGTTTGGGTAGCGGGTTGCGCACTGGATAGTGCGGCGACGGGGTTGAGGGTTTTGCGGGACGTGTTGTTGAGCTGCTTTGGCGTTTTGCACTCGGTGCTCTGGCGGGTTTTTGCGTTCAGACTGCACTGTTGGGCTTGGGTTGGGGATGCGCGGTGGGAGATCGTGGTGGGACGTCGCGGTGGGACGTTGCGCGTCCCGGGCTTCGTGGGGGGGTTGGGTGGATGGGGATGTGCGTAGCTGTGCTGAGCGAAATACCATTGTTACTGATTTACATAATATGCGTGAGGATGTGAAACACTGTGAATTTGGTTCAAAAGCCATCCTGCGTGCCCGCTGCTGTTAGATGTGCTTGGGCCAGGCACTTCGCGGAGCCCGGAGACTGGCTTGTTTGACTGGTTTAGATGCTGGCGGTCGGGAGGTTTACACACATCGTACTCGTTGATTCGGCCGGGCGAGGTGGGTTAGTAAACACGCTGTCTGGCTACTCGGGTTCACCGGAAAAAGATGTGGATTACGTGAGATGTTGCTGTCGATTCTTAGCGTACTGCTTAGCTTACAAGAAGTGAACGAAGGACTGTGCTGAACGTTGATCTGTGAAGTGGATAGTAATGGACAGAAGAAGGTAGTTCTTCTGAACGCGTAAGTAACTCCTTGAAACTTTAGCTACACGACTGATACAAAATTCTGTTGCTGAGTCTAAGCCCTGCGTCTATCTACTGCGTCTTCCAGCAAGCTACGTCTGTTTACTATGTCTGACTTCTACTACATCTGTCTGCTGCACTGGGTAGCTGCCTACTTACATTACATTTGCTGTTATACAAATCCACAACTCGGGTCAACTGATTGGCGCCGAGGTTCACTGGGATAATCAAAGGTTGCGCTTTCTACACTCCAGAGTCCTGCTGTTACTTCCTCCGGAATCGATCCGCCAAAGTCGAGCTCATCTGGTTGCTTCTGTTCCCCGTCTCCCTTAGGACCTGGTCTTCGCGCTCAGACGGGACGGCTGCTCTGTGCAACGCATCGATCGTTCGCGCAACCGTTCTCGCATCCGGAACGGGCGTCTTGCTAGGGACTCTGAACATGGCATTCAGGAGCGCGAAGAAGTCTCGGGTGTAGAACCGCTGCTGGAAGCGCACCGTCGCTGCTCCACCCCGCAACCGTGTCCCGGACTGCACGCTGTTCTGGAGCAGGGTGTGTCTATCCAGCACGGCGTCTTTCACCGTTTGTTCGAGGAAGAAGCTCGGCATGTGTTTCCCTCCGATGCGAGCGCTGCGGTACTTGTCGTACTCGCTGCGCCCGAGGATGTCGACATTTGCCATCTCAGAGATGATGCAGCCCAGCGACCAGATGTCCCCGTCGCGGGTGTATCGACGCTGGCGCGGCGGCGCATAGTAGCCGGTATTGTAATTGTGGACGACGCCGCTTGCACCCGTCGACGACGCCACAGGCTCGAACTCGAGGAGTCCGAAGTCGGCAATCTTGAAGACCCGGCGTACGATCAGAATGTTGGCGGGCTTCATGTCGCGGTGATACCCGATCTGGGTCCCGCGGCGGAAGTTGTGGAGTGAGGCCAGCCCGTCGGTGACGCCGAGCATCTGCTTCCACAGCTCGCGGGACTCGTACTTGGCGCCTGTGCCCTTTAGATAGTCTGCTAGGGTGTGGTCGGCTTCTTCCATCAGAATGAAAAACTGCGGACCGTGTTGGTATGCACCCAGCGCTAGCATGAGGTGCGCGTGCTGCTCTTCTCGGGAGAGGGTCTGCAGGCTGTTCCATTCTTTGACTGCGAATCTGAGCTCTTCTGGCTTGAAGATCTTGCGGGCAAATCTTGTGATCTGTTTCGATCATTAGCCTCTGTTTCGGAGATATGATAGGTCACGTACTTGTCCGAACTGCCGGCTTCGATACTCATCGTCCTGGAACTCGAAGCACCGAACTTCCGCAAATACACCCACTCCCCGCGGCTCCGGATCCTCTCTGATCGGAAGAAGCTCTCTGGGCGAGATGACAGTGATATCGTACGCCGGCCTGAGCGTCCTTACGAGGAAACAGTATTGATAATCCACAACCTGCCTACGCAGTACATCGAGGCGACTCACATTCTCCGCGCGGAACACGTCGAAACTCGCATCAGTCAGATACTCCGTGCTCTGCAGCCTCCGACCGTGTTTTTGGAACTTGCGAATCAGGCCAGGGCGGCGGATGTAGATCAGCAGTGCGTAGATTAGCGCATAGTCGGTCTGTAAGGTTTGCACGCGCGGTCCGTTGAATGCCGTCTTGCGGTCGCTCACTGAGCCGCCGTCCTGCACGCATGCGCTGCACGGGCAGAGAAAGATCGCCTTGAGCGTCACGGACTTCGTCTTGTCCTCGAGCAAGGCCCAGACGGCCCGTGTGGGTATGTAGAACGGGACACTGTCGGGTGACAGGTGTTTGCTGGATGGTTTCACCGCGTTGGCTTCGAGATATGTGAGGGCTGCGGCGCAAGGGGTTCTTGCCGCCATTGATGCTCGTGTCGGATTCGTCGTTGAAGGGTTTAGATAGTTGATGTGCCTTTCATCTACTTCTACCGCGGAGACTGGATATAAGAACTCAAGACACTCCCCGGGCGGACGGTGCATTGGAGGAGTCGAAGAAATCAATCGGCCTCCTAAAACAGATACTACCCCAGAACGGCGCCTACATCTTTGAACTGCTCAACTGAAAAAGTCAGTAGTCTGTATCTCCATCATTTTCTATCACCTGTAATAGGTAGACCAGAGTACGTACACTACGAAGCGCGCGCATCGATATCCGTATTCGTCAACCGCGCAGCCGCCCGAAGTGGGGCGACCCGCTTTGGGCGGCTGCGCGGCTGAGGCAGACAATTTCTGTAAGCGCTCTGATTTCGAGGGATCCGTTGCTTTCAAGATTTGCAAACGTGTTCTACATTCCTTTCCCTCTGGTCTGTAAGACATGAGCATCGGCTTTGGCCTCACTCTCTCGACACCAGATACTCGGACTGCTCGCGGTGACGGGAAAAGATGCAAGCGTACGCATTACCGTCTTAAGTGATAGGGATGTATGCAGTTGTGCAATTCGTGAAAGCAATTTCCATCCAGCTATCTGCTTCACAGCATCTCCACTTCATCCCCCGTGTCATGCCGCCTTAGCTTGCGCCGTCTCCACAGAAACCACGTGAGCACCGTGGCGCCCGAGAACGCGGACGTGAACACAATGTAGACCCAGAAATTTGACGCCACGGTCAAGACGCCCTCGGTGTCCGAGAAAGCGAAGAAGTTTGATCCAAACAACGTCTGTCGTAGGTTTAGCATTCGACATTCGGCGTCTAGGGAAACTTACCGCTAAGAACGTGGCGGGCAGGAAGATGGCGGAGATCAGCGCAATGGCCATCATGGAGCGCGTGTCCTTGGTGGACTGCTCGGTGAGTTTCTTCATCAGCTGGTTCTCTTTGATGCCTTGTTCCGTCAGTCTCTGCATCTCGCAGTTGACCAGTCGGCTTGCTTCGGTCGAGCGGATGTCTTGGATGCTTTGCACCTGTGCAAAGCCCCGTCAGCACTGAAAGGTAGGTACTACTTGGAGTGAGGAACTCACAAGTTGGCTGATTCCGCCAGATCGCGAGATCAGCGTCTCGACGCGGTCTTTACTTGTTTCTTGCGCGAGCAGGAACTCGTTGAGCTTGGCTTGGATGCCGTCGAAGGCCATGCGCAGTACTGATGACGAGCTGGCAGCGATCCGCGTCATTTCCCTCTTGAGATTGTTACCGAGGCGGATGTTCAATTTCAGTATGTGTGCTAGTCGTTGCAGTTTATCAGTAAGGATGTGTAGCCTCCTGAGATCCGAGAAGTCTGCGGTGATGTCCCCTTCTCGCTGCGGCCCCTTGGTGTTGGTGAAGAAGCCCTTGTCAACCTTCATTATGTTCAGTATGGCAACGCGACTCGTATTCTTGGACTCACTATTTTGGAAAATTGTTCCTCGAGATATATCAGATAATCTCGCCAGTCCTCGGACACGTCCAAGAGAAGCATGGAGTGGAGCAGGAATTGCTTCTCCGGTAGCGTGTCACTACAGGACTGGAACGTGCGTCTGAATCGGTCTTTGAAGTGGTCCGAGGCTTGTATAAAAATCCAGCTGGATTGCTGAGTCGAGGAAGAGAAGTGCTGATACACGCCACACTCTCTCACAACAAATGGATCGTTGGGGTATTTCCGGCCGTGTTTTGCAACATATTTGATGTTGTAGCCAATATCTGTGCATATTGTAAGTAAAGCTGTTGGGGTCGTGCGAGTGGGGGGGTGTACGGTAGCTGCAGTTGTGCTCTATCATCGTTGACGTATCACTGCTAGGGGAAACATGCACAAAAAAGGAACTGAACCCCTCCTCGACTGGTCCTATCTTCTCGCTGAAAAGATGAACCACGTCCAGAAAACTGGGGTGCACGACAAGCCGCGTGAATAGGCGACGGAAATGTTCCTCGCTTATACAAAGGCGGCTCCACGAGGAGCTTTGCTTGAGGAAGCTGATATTGGTCAGCCTCTGATACATTGTGTAAGGCAAATTAACTAACAATACTGAAGTCGTTTGTTCGGTTCCCAACACCCTGGTCAATTTTTCTACGGTTTGGACAGATTCAAATGCGACATCGCGGCACGTATCTGTTGCTTTGTGAGTCCCGGGACGCCGCATCCTGGAGCCAACATCATACCCGCTGTTGGTGCGCCCAAAGCCATGTACTCGAAGAAGGACTCATCATTTGGAACAAAAAGCTCCTTACTTCTGCAATCTATGCGCTGATGGGCACGGGAGGCATCAGACTCCAGCAAGCTGTGTGGATAGTTTTGAGGGTAGGTGTCCCATCCCGCATATTCGTCGGCCGTCAAGCAGACCATGTCTCCAACCTGGCCGGAATCATGGTCGCTCGCGGTCTTATATCGCAAGGCTCGGGACTATGCACCTCAAGTCTGACCGGTCACAAACTCACAGCCTGGTGGGCGGCTCCGCCACAAATAGCCGCTGACGTGGAAGAACCCCGAGAGGCGACCAAGCGGGATCCCGGGGCCCCAGCAAGCCAGTTTTGCGTCGTAGAGCGATGCATCCTATCAAGAGGATCGGCTTCCTTGCATTTAGCAGGTCCGTTCATTTGGCGTGTTTGAGCATTGTGATTGTCGAACTGCTTCGGGTTCGCCCGCGCTTCCACCCGACGCTAAATTAGGCGCCAGTACCTAAGCGCCAGCCTCAACTTCTTCGGCACATCCAGACGCTCACCGTCACAAATCAGTGTTTTCCTGAGAATAGGGGGGAAATTTGCTGGACAGATTGACAGATGTACACGAATTTTAACTTTTATTCTCCGCCCTCGTACATATACGCGGCAAACTAACAAGATGCATCAGGGAGCTCGAGATGGATACCCTGTCAAGACAAGGTCGACTACATAACTACTTTCAGTTGTTGAACAGGCAGGAATCCTGGGCAGCAGCGCAACCTGGTCATTTGTGCGCATTGAACATCGACGTGTTGTCAATTCCAAGTTCACCTGATCGAGTACGCCTCCGCAAGGAAGTCGTTCAGGTCAAGGCTGCTATCCGCAGGCTGACTTTAATCCTGAGATTGACCTTGAGTTCTTGAACGACGAATGCGGTAGTGATGTACGCTCAACGTCTACGGGTGGCTGCGTGTGTGATCCTGCGGTGCTGGGCGTCCTCTAGAATGGCTTCCCAGCCACAGCACTGCCACAAAGGCACCTTGCACATTTACCTTACGGGGTATGGATTCGTCTCAACTTCGCTCAGAGTATGGTACCCTTTTCTCAAGCTAGGCAAACATTCATTTAGTATGGAGAACTTTCGTCTGTCTCTAGAACGTCTGTACTCATTCGCTGCAAACGCGGAAGCACAGCCACCGCGTGAAGAGCCGCATAGCCTCATACTATCCGAGGTAACCCCTTTGCTTGCTACCTAGGTAGAACTTAGTAAACCCGAACGTTTCCAGAGTAAAAAGGTATGTCTCACGTTTCAATCGTCAGCATTCAGGCGCAGTTTCCGGGGTAGACAAATGGGTACTTCTCCCACCCACTTCCTCCATCGGAAGCAAAATGTAGCAGTGTTTTGCTCACTCCCTGACGAAGAACGCCCACTTGCATGCCTGGAGTTTCTCCGGCGCAGCTCGATGCCTTATGTTCCTTGGAGTGCGCCCAAAACATAGTCTAATTAAGACTATTCTAGATTATCAAAAAGCATTCGCGGTCAAGTTGAGCTTCTCTCAAACACCATTTCACGTAGACTGGAAAAGTAGTAGCCCTCCAGAATCGCGTGGATCGAGGGAAGTCGCAAGTCCACCGTGCTTCCTGAAGAGCGAACTAGATCTTCATCAGACAGTATCGCCGACGTTCTACACGCAGGTGCCGTCGATGAGCTGCCAGTTGGCCTGTCGGTATCAGCTCCAGTGGTGCCTAAGAAGCAGGTGACAACATCGAGTAGCTGTGCGCTAAGAAAATTCAATGATATGTACGATGTTCTGAGCTAACTCGTAAATCTGCTTTTGGGGTGGCTACCATCAAAAGAACTTTTTAGGGCCGGCAGGGACATAGTAGTCACCGACTTTACAAAGCTTACAGAGATCGTGGTATTGCCTGTCAATATCACCACAGATCGTGACAAAATGTAACACCTCCTTTCCCTGTGTATGTCTGCGCAGCCAATATACTGTCAGCTGGATGGAGACAGAAGATGCTTGATTACAGGCCCCTCCTCACCGGAACATGTGGAAAAATTCTAGGAGGCTAGATGAAGACACTTCATGATACCTGACTCTACTATGTACAAGCTGTATTTAACAATACCCACTTCCTTACGCCCCCTTTTTCCTCGCACACCTACCCACACTCAGCCCCCAGCCAAGCACCCCCTGAGAACACCGCCTCCCCGCGCTACATGCTCGCGTACCAAGCGGCGTGCCACAGCATCCCCTCCCCACCCTGTGCAACCCCTCATGCGCACCTCAGACGATCCTTGCATCGCTCGTACGATCCCGCCTGCTTTACCGCACACCAGCGCGCCTTGTAGCGAGCGTGGCACTGCGTCAGACAGCGCCCTGCGGAACAGACGGGCGCGCGTTCGTCGGGCAGCGACGGCAGTGTGTATTCGATGGGCCGCGGCAGGGGAATATTGAAACGGAGTGTTGTCAGGATCGCGGCCCGGGGTTTTGGGATGGCAGGTTGGTCGCCGCGGGCCGCGGGCACGGGGGTAGGGGATGGTATGCGGTGGGTGGGGAATGGGGGTGGTGCGACGGCGGTCGGGTGGGACGGGGCGGTGGTACGAGGGCGTTGGGAGCCCAACGTCGGGTCACTGGGTGGTGGCGTGATGGCGGTTGGGCAGGGATTCGTGGCAGAGGTGTGCAGCGGGCAGGTTCAGCAGCAAGTTCAGCAGCAAGTTCAGCAGGCAGGTGAGAAGATGAGGGAGCACTGCAATAGCAGTGTGAAAGTAGTTTATTGTAAGAGGGGGGGATGATGCCGCTTGGGCGACGTCGCAAGCTCGACGATTCATCCGGGGATGGGAATGTATCAACAACAGTCATGAGGATTGCAAATGGGAGATCAAACATGCTCGGCGTCAGAGGTGAGATGGTCGTCATCGACACCGAGGGCTCTGAGCTTGGCTTCGACGGCTGCAACCACAGCAGGGTCGAATGTTTCCTCCTGTCTGAACTTCTTGACACTGTGCATAGTTAGCGGCCGTCATCGGGAGAAAGCTGAGTTTACTTACGGTGACCGCGTGCATTGATCACACCGCTCATGACCACAGCCAGGACACTGAGGTGAGCCCTGCCGGAAGGAGCTGTGGCATTGCTCGCACTCCCACCGTACGATGCGTCTTGGTTTCCGCCAGATGCGTCGAAGCTGCTCCAGCGGCTTCTCCACGTCATCGTCATCCTCACTGTCAGCTGCAGTATCTCCTGGGTAACCAGTCGGCCACTTGTTGCGTTTGGCCGGCTCTCGCGGGCACTTGGTGCATCGGGCGTGGTTGCATGATGCGCAGGATGTCGCTGAAGCAGGGACGAACAAAGCCTCGCACTTGTGGCAGGTGCGCCGGACTCGCTGCGTTGCAGGCTGGTAGGTGAGCTCGTGACCGTGTCTGGTGGTGATCGCAAACACCTTCTTCTTCTTCGGCTGCTCAGCAGTTTCGTGGTGCTTCTCCTTGTCGCCGGGCGACTTCTTCTTGGGGTACCTGGGGCAGTACTTGCAGCGCTTGTGCTCACACTGCACGCAGATCTTGTCGTGGCCATACAGGTGACCGCAGAGGTGGCAGCTGCGGTGGACGCGCATGCGAATAGGCTTCTCCACGCGAGGCACCAAAGGAGCAGGAGCAGATGCAGCGAACCACTCATGCGACTCGAGAGTCAGTCCGTACTTGGCGAAGAGTGCGCGAGCACGCTCCTGCTGCATGGCTCTGCGGTCAGGGCCTGAAGACAGAATTTGAACATCGGCGGGATTGGGGTCGTCGGCAGCGACAGGACTGAGGCCAGCTACATTAGCAGTGAGACTTCAACATGATTTGACGTATACTCACGCAGCGGCAGGCTTCTCTGCGGGGACCTCTTGCCGTATCGATTCGGCCTTGGCAGACTCCGGCGCAGCTCCCTGGGTCGCAGCTTCTTCACTGGGAACTTCTGCCCGCGACACCTCACGCTGCGATTGCTGCTCGGCTGCAGGCGCAGGAGGCACAGCAGCAGAACTCGAAGCCTGGGGCGCTTCTCTGGTCGACTTCTCTCTCTTGAACACACTGCTCATACGCTTCACGTACTTGCCCAAGCTCTTGCGACGGTCCCCGTCGTGCGGTCCAGCGGCTGGCGGCGGCGTCGACATGATGGAAGGGTTGGATGCACTCGACAACTACGCGGTGTGCAATGTGATTGGCTTTGCAGGACGGTCCCAAGTCACAGACACAATGTGTTGGTTTGGTGGTCAGCGTGCATTTACAGAGTTCCTGGGGACTGGTCCTTGGGTCTGAGACAGCGAGTAGCCTCGGAACGACCGAGGGCGTGGGTCTGGCCGGTGGACCGATACGAGCCTCGCCAACAGCAAAGACGCAGGCTCAGAGGGCGTTTGACACGTCGCAACAACAGAAGGGATTCGTTGGCGGCGTCCAGCGAACTCCAGCGTTTGTGGCGGGACGGCCCAGCAGCGGCGGAGGGTCAGTTATGTACGGGCACCACGGGCGGAGAGCGTCAGAGGGGACTAGGAAGCGGCTTCCCAGCCCGCTGGTATCGATTCGACCCCGAACTGCGCACAAGCGTCGCTAGCAGAGCCATCGCTGCCCCGTTCGCTGCTAGGTGGGCCGAAATGCACGCTGGGGAAGCATGCCTGCTTGTTGCTGGCTGTTAGCTCAGCGCGCCAGCATGCCCCGGCCAGAGTAGGCGACAGGGAGCCGTGTCAGACCGCGTCGTTCCATGTGACGCAGACAGCGCGCAGAGAACCAGCCAGTCGTGCACGCGAGGGCTGCAAGCAGTCAACTTCTGCAGAATCTTGCCCGACCAAGTTTGGGCCTCGACCTCTGCCACGGGAGCGCGCGGAGCAGCCTCCATATCCAGCCAAGCGCGTGCCATTGCCGTGGGCGGTAGCTCTAACAAGGGGGTGTCCCGCTCCGCGGAGCCAGCGTTTGGTGGAGCTGTTCGGGATCTCCCCATCCTGGCCTGGCCGACTCGCAGCAGGAGCAGAGGCATGGCGGGATGAATCGTGCTGTTTGCAGAGTCGTCTTTGTTGCTTGGAGTCGTATTCAGCACTGCACTTCGCCAGCGATGCCATGCACTGCGAGTGCAGACCTCCTGCCACGCCTGGCCACAGATCCGCTGCTGTTGACTTGTTCTGCAGTCCGCCGAACGGCTAATGCACCGCGCACCTCCCACCCTCACGCCACCACTCACGTCGCACGATGTTGCTTCCACGAGGTGGCACAACTCCCACTCGGATGACTTGTGACGCTGCCCGCTGTGCACAGGCTCCATGGAGCCGGCATCTATCTCGATCCCAGTAATTACTGCACATCCGTTCAATTGCACGGCATGATCTTGACCGTTGAATCTCAACACTAGCCTGCACATAGCCTGCACATAGAGTTCAGCCCACGAGACTCTCGCGCTAGCTAAGTGACAGTGTCCTTGTCACCGTCTGTGAAATGCTTCCAGACTGCCCGAGACGCCTCCCCTGCAGCACTGCTGCAACACTAGGAATGGTGTATCTTTGTGACGCAGCATAGCAGGCCGCGCATCTGAACGTCCTCGTTGCCGTCGTCACAGGAACCTTGAGAGCTATGAAACCCGCAGGAAGGAGAAGAGCCATGCACGTCTCTACAACCCATTTGCGACAAGAGAGGACCAGCTTTGCAATCTCGAATCTGGTATTGGTGGACGCACGCACCGCGCTTCAATCCAACCCCTAACCTGTCAATCTTGTAGTAATAGCTTTGTCACCTTTCGGAGCGAATCCCGCGTACATACGCAGCGCTGCAATGTGAAGTCACTGCGCCGCGATCTAGGTTTCCGGGTACGAGCAATAGCTGCGATACTCGTTGACCTAATGTCCCTGGACCATCTCCCGCTCGGCAGGGTGCTCCAGGTACACCCGCCGTGCACAAACACGGCTCGCGGCTGTGGCAGCGACTCATAACACGGGTTCCCCTGCACAGCGCTATTGAACAAGTACCGAGAGATTTTGGTGCAACGCTTCAATGTGACCTTGTCAACGCGCCCAGGTCTGGACCCAGTATTCCCAGTTGTTTAATATGGTTGTCCGGGTGGTGGCTCCTGCACGTTTCTCACCGACTGCACTCGTACCGCGTTATAGTCGACCCAGGCTGATTCTGGCATTGCGTCACTGGACCCGGTAGCAATCACCGTTATACAGCCTGAAGTACCATATGGCCTGCTACGTTCCACCTAGTTGGGCCTTCTGTTCTCTCGGCGCGCGACGGCTGCAATTACACGGCACAGCAGCCTCGCTTCGCTCTCTTAGTTGGTGTTGCTATACCCACCCAGACAACACCAGTGGAACTCCATGCGGCGATTTCGCTACCTCTGAGAGTTTGCAGCTCGTATGCCGGACGTAGATTTTCAGTAATCGTTGGCTGCAGAGCTGAACGCCTGCCGGGACATCAAACCAGCTCCCTGCTCCGATCAAACCAAACGCACCCCCGCTTATCGCGAGTCATTTATATCCTAGAAATCCAGAACAGCTTGCTTCAATCAGCAGCTACACTTCATACCTAACCGCCTTCCAGAAGCAGCAAAACTCAGTCGGAACTCCACGTTGTGAAACCCAATTAAAGTGTGCACACGCAACATTTCACGTGTAGCCTCCAGCAGACCCAGGTCATACCCGGGTCGCAGAACGACGCATCGCTGCTCCAACTCTGCTGGCCCCCCCAGCGCGAAACCCCAACGTAAACAGCTCGGTGTCCGGGCAGTCCGAGCGGCGCGCTCACACCACATCCGCGCATCCCACTCCGCCTCGTCCCGCCGTAAGGGGCCAACCTGGAGCAGAAGACATCTTATTTCAGCACTCCAGGACGCTGATCGCTCAAACGGTGCCCAAGAACGGCGTTACTTGCGCCGCACAGCTGCCGGCCTCGGCCCCTTCCTGCCGCGTCGGCCCGATGCAGACGGTTGCGTCGCTGGTTGGGGATCGCGTTCCGCGAATCCGATGCCTGGGTATGGATTTTGAGAAGTCACAGATGTGGATGCCCTGTTGCGGCCTTGTCTTGGGCGCCGCTGCAGCGCCGTTGGGCAGGGGTTCGGCCTCGTCATGATGCCGAGCTGGGATCGGGGACGTCCCGCCGACACGTCGACTGATATGGAGGCGACGGGCTCGCGTTTCTGCGACTGACCGTCAGTGTGACAATGTGGGTGGCAAGGGATCCTCCGTTCCTCCTCCATCTTAGGTGTTCGAACAGCGATACCCTGCATCGAGCATTTCCTGTCGCCTCACCTCCTGGCTCCTGCAGCATTCCGTGTGCATGTGTCCGAGCATCGTCCAATAGTCACGGCTTCCCTATCTGTCTGTCTGCTTCTCATTCACTATTCCCGCAATTCCCATGATCTCTTTGCGCTTTCTCTCTAGGTATCTGCGCCCCACACACCTCATGCACTCATCTCAGTCTTCTCCAGCACACATTCCCCAATTCCGTGATTTGTAACCAACACCCTCCCCTGCACCCCCACCAGCGTCCCCACTCCTCCAAAAAAAATCCCCCCTCACCTAGGTAACTTCCAAACACAACACCATACCCCAGCACCCCCTCCACCACCCTCCAAACCTTCCTGTGTAGAAACGTCGCACCCGCGCCCCCGGCCACCTGTGGGGTTCGTGCGACCCACCCGCGACGCCGTGACACCTGTCACTCCCCGACCGCAAGTCCCCGACGCCATATTCCCGCGCCCAAAACCCGACAGCAGCCTCGCACCCGCGATTCCAAACAACCGACGCCGGCCCCAGCACCAGCACCCCGACGCGGCGCCCAGAAGCTCGAATCGATGTCGAGACGACGTTCTTTGTCCGGCTAGCTGCGGCAGCGCTGGCTGCTTTCGGCGCGCCGGGGACGTGGGCTCGGGGTCGCTGGTGCCGTGTGTGGTAGCGAGAGGATGGTAAGTTGCGCGTGTCTGCTTCAGCTTGCCGGGTCGAGGGGCGGGGTGGTTGGCGGTGGGTTTTGATCGAGTGGTGTGCGCTCAGCTAGCATGCTGTGTCTACGACGCTCGATGTAAGATCGTGTAAGTGTGGTTTAAGGTAGGCGCTAGTGGTGTAAAAGAACTTTAGTCTCTGGGTCGTGGGGTTGGCACTCGGCTTGGCTTGGTCGGTGGATCGCGGCAGAGTGCCTGTTTACTTTGTTCTGAGGGAGTGTAGGAGTGTGAGCTGTGCAGTGAAGAATGGTTCCGAGACGGCGAGGCGGACGATGCCTGCTTTGGGTGTAGTGGTCGGATAGCTGCTCGCTGGGCGTGACGGTGTAAACGTTTGGTATTCGTGACGATGCTGGATGATGCGATACGTGCGTAGGGAGCTGCTGAGGTTCCGCGTTGGGTAATTACGGCGAGATGATCGTCTGAGGGTGGGCGATCTGTTTGTCTTGAGGGAGTATGTAAGGTCTGGAGTGGATGTAGCGATGATTGGATGGCGGTCTTTCGGTATGCACTGGCTACACGAAGTGACTTTGAATATGTGTGAATATGTCACTGATGTAATGAGTGATGAGCAGGGACTGTGGGGTACACGCTGCAAGCATCATCGCACCCGAGGGCAGTTGTTCAGGTTTGTTTGATGCCACATACGTAGAGCGGTTCTATTGACCCCTTCGTCTTCTGAGTCTGATTCTAATTTTGATCCTAACCCTGATCTAGATCCCACTTTTCTTTTGAATAGCACTCTTGTCAATCTTGATATGCCCGCAACATCTGTCGATCTCGACTGAGACGCAGCCCTCCATTTTCGGACTCGATGGTGCAGGAAATATGCTCTTGCTCGGGGACAGCAACCGATGAACATGACAGGAGTGAAAGGCTTGGTCCCCCAGCTCAGGGTGGTTAAATTTTGATGAAGACATGGCAGTGTTTCTCTCGGTACCTAATTATGAACGATATCAGGATAGTATCGTCCATAGAGAGTGACCATAAAGCTACTTAGGATGATAGACTACTCGTAGTACACGCGAATCTAAGCCAGTGTTGGGATTGTTGTCACATTTCACTGGTCACAGATATCCTTGTCTACAAGATAGCTCCGACAAGAGTCGCAAAGGCTGGATTCCAGGTCATGTGCCGAGCTAGACATTCGTTCTCAAGTCTTGCGCTAGAGACGTTGAAGTGTCGATTCACACGACTGAGTCTCGCTGAGGTATATGTAGAGGGCTTCTCAATTCATCAGATTTCCTATTCGATATGAACTTCTGGAAGTCTGTATTGAAACTGTCACCAACCAGCCCCTCAGCATGTGACGGTCACTACGGCGAGCATACATCGATTCCTTCGACGGCAAAGAAGATCGGTTCGAACTGTTGCCTTTCTCGGGGATCCAGGATTACTGTTTCCAGCATAGCTGGTCAAAGCCCCCTGTTACATCTGTATCTTGTGAGCAAATCGTTTGTGCATTCTGGCAAGCACCGAAGTAGCACGAACAAGGATCAAGACAGGGTCTTGTATATTAGGACATATTATTCTGCTGTACTGTACGTGGAGCGAGACCAAAAATGGCTTGAGTAAGAGACAAAGGGTGTGAGAGGTGGTAGTGAATGTGCGCAAAGGGACAAGACTCAAGTATAAGGGGACGAGGCCCTGATGGAGTGATGGAATGTCTTCGATATTACTAGCAGTATATTATAAATTATATGAGTGGCTATATGGCCTCGTACGGAACTATTACAATGATACATGACGATCGTGTCTTCTTCCTCCCCTTGTCCGGTATCTCCACATACCCAATTCAACAGTCAACTCTCTCCTAAATCCTGCAAAAGGCCTTTGAAGAACAACGCCACCATCTTGCCCAGAGATATATGTTTTCCCGACATAGTACCATGCAAGGAGTGGTCCGCACGAATCACCATGCACCGATAGTATCTGGCCATCTTCCTCTCGAGTTCCAACAGTTGCTGAGCGCGCTTCGATATCTGACGCGAAGAAGACGGTAACATGTTCCTAACCACGTTCAAGGTCTTTTGTGTCAGCCCGGCCAGATGGATCTTGCGGACTAGGTGCAGAACAAAGGTCTGGCAGTTGTTGTGGAGAACGTGGTAATAGCCACCCATCTTCTCGCACACTTCCAATGCTGTAGTCACTTAGTGAGTGCTGCTCGGTGTGGACATGATGGGTTGACATACCTGCTTTCTTGATCGCCTCGTTGCTCAATCTCGTTTCGAGCTTGATGTTGACAGTCTTCAGGACAGGGTTCTTGGGCTCTTTCTCCGCACGCTCCTCCCGGGTTCGTACTAGCGGGTGAATCGGTGTTCTTGAATTCTTCTTCGCGCGGTCTTTCTTGTCCAGCTCGACCATGAGAGCGTTCTCGTCATCTTCTTCTGCCGCGACTATGATGCCCCAGTGCTTGAGGGAATCGGGGAGATGAAGGAACCCGTGGAGGCCTCCGAAGCCTGATCCGGCGGCCGTTGCGAAGATGAAAATCTTGCGGCGCATTTTCAATCTGTCCATGTTCATGCTGTTCGATGTGATTGGTGCGGCTGCCAAAGTCGGGAAGTTCGTCTGGTACTAGGATCACCCAATGCCTGGTCTGTATCAGATACGAGGTAGGCCGTGTTGAGATATAGTAGATTCGATATCACAACGTTATGGCGCACCATCTCATGAGGCGCAGCATGTCATACATCTGTGAGACCGGCAAGCGGGTCCCGAAACTTTGCTATTTTTGTTGCAAGGCTGAAGGAATGGCATGCTTGTGCAATGCGCAGCGATCTTACCCCTCACTCACGGCCTGGGTGTATGCTCCCCCGACCGGTCAGCTAGAATCTCTCTGCAAGAACTGTTGCCTGGTTTTGAAGGATCCAAATAAAGAAGTCGTCTCTGCATTCTGACCCGCAGTTGCCAATTTGAGCAGTGAGCACATCTGATCACACCCTACACGACAGCTACGATGTCACAAAATGTGCGAAGACAATACCGCCGAACGTGTAATGGCGTTAAATCTGTCAGTAGCATGTAATATTTGGCTCTCTGGGGGCCAGAGTTGACGCGCGTCCAGATGAAGAGCAAGGTCCATCGTGGACTCGTGATTGCCTACTCGCCTTCTGGTGTATCCCACGTCATAGCACAGTCCATTGTCCGGGCGCCAGATCACGACCGAGAGGATATCCTCGAGCGGTTTGTGGAGATGAAGCAGCGCGAACTCGCTACTGTACTGCTGTCAGTACGTTGAGATACAACACTTCAGCCTGGTGCTGATGCTAACTTCCCCAGTGCGCTCTCGTTGCGTCACTGATCGCCTCTCTGATGTCTTGGGACTGGTTCCCTGTCCCAGCAGTCACTGCTAGAATTGCTGCTTTGTGCGCATTGATACACTCAGTAGTCGCTGTTGGTATCGCTGCCCAGCAGCTGATAGCGTTGACCCGCGCGCACATCCACCCTGACCGAGCAAAAATCATGCAGTACATCCTCTTCGGCGAAGCTATTCCATCAATTCCAACTGCTGGACTGGATGTGTCTTTGACCTCACAGGCCACAGCCATCAACACAGGAAGTGTGTGGCGGCACTTTTCTTGGCAAATCCCGACAATGATGTTGGGGAACAGTCTTGTTTTCACTCTGATAGCGCTGGCGATTGCAATTTTCGATGAAGCAAGGAAGTCAGTGGTATGGCAAACCCCAGAAATGGTTACTGCAATATGCGTTGCTGTATCTCTGGCATTCAGTGTTTGCTGTTACTTCATTTCGTGGTTCTGTATTGAGTGGCAGATGCAGGAAGCTATTGCGAAGGACTTACAATCTCAGACATCTCCAAGACAAGCGGGTACCACTGTCGACTCGATGGTATAGCTGCGGTGTAGAGAGAGTGCGGTGGAATGGTGTCACAGACCGATGTACCCCGCAGATACGCAGGCCTATGTACCACACACCATCAGATTTAGTGTACCCCACACAATGGAATTTGTTGTTATCACAACCCCAGATTAGGTGTTCTGCAGACCAACCATGCTCAACAAGCGTTTAAGGGGTTGTCAGGTGTCTCCGTGGCCCACACTCACGGACACTCTGGGAAACTCTGCATAATTTGTAACTTTAATAGAACAGCCCGCATTCAAACCATCACACCAACGGCTGCAGTCCTCCGAAGTTCTGTCTTCCACGCTCCCACATCACGGCCCATTCGCTATCGTGCCGCAAACCCATACACAGCCAACAGCCCCATACACAGCCACAAATCTCAGCTGCTGCCACAACGCAGCTCGATCTATCGCCGCCAATTCAATCTGCTACCATACTACACCGTATCCGCATTCACCGGCGCAATTTTATCCACCACAACCACGCAGCTCCATACACTGACGTTGACGTGAAGCCATCCAGAACTAAGCCACGCGACCCAGCCTAGAAGATAGAGACTCACAGAGAACACACCCGGGGACTTGCACCGGCACCTCACCGCAGCCCCAGACCGTATCTTTGCACTGCAACACTGCAGTTCCCTATCTATTACCGCAACGCCCCAGACCGGTAGAGCTAAGCCACACGCCCCCACAAAGACAATCGAGCTCCACAAAGCCCCTAAAACCGACTCCAGCATCTCACTGTGGCTGATAATTCACTGCCACAGCCCTATCAGGTACTGCCGCAGCCCCGCCAGGCACTGCCGCGTTCCTGTCAGATACCGCCGTATTCCTGTCAGGTAATGCAAAAACGCGGCCCCATTTACTCCGACAGATTCTAGTTCCTGCAGAACCAAGCCATGCGCTCCTAACAAAGGAAACCGCCCAGAGAGACACCGAATGCAGAAGCCCGCGTGAACGCCGTCCCACTCACTATCGTATCGCACCTATTCGTTACCACATACCGATGGATACTCCGGGTCTGCTCTGCACGTCTGGATTCCTCGTTCATCGCATCGCGTAATCGTCTTCACGCGGAGACGCGGAGCACATGCTCAAAAAGAGGCGTGGCGCGCTATCTTCCGAGGTTTCCTTGCTCTGCTTGTGCGGAGAAGGGCGCGGGACTACACTGCTCTGCGCAGCCCCGTGGGATTATAGTGCGTTGCAGGATCGCGGGCGCTGCCCCGGGGGTGTGAAAGGAAAGGCTGGACGCGGTGGGAGAGTGAGTGAGTATCGATGCATCATGTAGATCGATGGATTATGTATCGTATGTATATCGCCTAAATATATTGCATACATATATCGACTAACTATGCCTCCTAAATATACATCATATTCAGCGCTTTTTAGCGCAGCACGCTCGCCCGGTAGCGCTGCATGCATCGTCTCTGGGGCAGTAAGTATCATGAGACACAGCCCGCCGCGACCGCTGCCTGATTGCTGTGACTGCTGCGACCACCGAAGCCGCCGCGGTCGGTGAGAACGGTGCCGACCAACTACCGGTACTGTGGTCTGCGAAAGAAACGCCGTAGCCATGCACCCATCCATGCCAAGGGGGTATCTCCACGCGCCCGAAACGCCAACGAAGCGAAAAACCCAGCCCAGCCGCGATGAAAAACCTTTTTTGTATGCCGAGCGTGAAAACCGCATCGTTTTTGCTGCTACTCTTACTCCCACTCCCGCTCCTGCTCCCGCTCCCGCTCCTGCTGCGGCATCACGCCGCCCGTCCCGGCTCCTAGTCCGAGTCCTCGTCCCCCTCGGGCGTCCTACTCGCGCGCTTCTTCTTGCCCGGGCCCTTGCCGCCGCGCGCCTTCTTCGGCGTGCCGCCCAGCAACACACTGCTCTTCCTCTTCCGGCCGCGGCCACTCGTCGGCACCGACGCCGAGCGGCGCGCCTCCTCCGCCGTGTCTGTTGGCGTCTCGTACCCGGCGTCGAGCAGCGCGGCGTCGAGACCGTCCTCGTCCTCGCCGACCTTGACGTCGCGGTCGATGTTGAGCAGCTCGGAGAACGAGGTGCAGCATGCGAGCATCGAGGTGCGGGAGGTGAGCGCGAGGGTGTAGGGGGCCAGGCGGTCGCGCAGGTCTTTGCCCGAGATGAAGTTGTTGCGTTGTGCGGGCTTGAGATATTCTTTCTGCGGGATGCGGGGACCGTATTTGTGGATGTTGTAGACGCGGCGCACAAAGGCGCGCGTTTCCCAGACCATGTGCAGGATCATACATGCGGTCGTGAATTTTCGTAGGCAGTCGTCGCTGATTGTGAGAGGGACGGGGGTGAGCGCCGTAGGGTCAGTGGGCGGAGCGGGCTCATTCATAACCTGGTCGACGGCCATCGACTGCATTTGTCCGTTGAGTTCAGATGACACAAAAGACGGCGCAGTCTGAGCCTGCTGGGGCAGTTCCTTGTCGATCTCGCCAGCTACGAGTGGACCCGTGTCCTTCAAGACGATGGCCTCGGTTTTGTCGAGGAAGGACGCGACCATGTCGAGAGTCGTAAAGTCGGCTAGACCCAGGTTCTCCAGACAAAACCGAGCAAACAGAACGGCATCAGGAATCTCTCCATCAGTCTCCAGCTTTGCGAAGTCGAAGTCCAGCTGCTTCGTCAAATTCTCAACGAACTTTTTGAAGGTAGCCTTCTTGCCACCCTTCAGAGCATTGAAGAGGTGGCCCAGCTTCGGAGTGTGGGTGGCCTCAACCATCCCGTGAGGGTCACCGAAGACGTCTCGCTGGAAATCGAAGGCTATGCGGACGGCCTGGACGTACTCCTTCTCGAGGTAGGACTCCTGCTTCTCGTGAATTCTCTTATGCTCCACAGCGGCCACCTGAGCGACGTTGATGTTTGGAGATGTCGACAATGCCACAAGAGCAGCGCCGCACTCTTTCGGATGTTCCAGGCCGGCTCGACTAATACTGGCGATGATGTTCGTTGCCGTTTCTGCCAGCTCGTTGTTGTTGTTGAGTGCAATAGTCTTGAAGCTCTGCAGGAACTGTTTAGCTACATGCGTAGTAGCAGCATCAGTCGCCGTAGCTGAGTAGGAAGACTCAAGACGAGCAGATCCGTGCACGGCGCCTTCGCCCACAGCAATTGCCGAACCTGTCTCAGACCGACGCTCGGCGCGTGTAAAGTACGCCTCGAAGGTGGAAAGGACGACGAGTTTCAGCTGGTCGTCAGAATTGTAGAATACAAGCTTGATCAGCTTCTCAACCTCGGCGCGCATGAAGAGCTCCGGAGATTGCTGGCAGATTCCGCCCAAACTACGCATGGCATGCTCGCGGGTGTCGATATCGTAGAGCTGCATGGTGAAGGGTCGTACAGTTTCAAGAAGCATTAGCGACACTGACGAAGAGCCCTTGATCAACGCGGCTAGATCCTCTTCCGCAGCTGCTTTCTTCGAGACCTGGACTCGGGCATAGTTCGAAAGCCTCTCCATGAATCGTTTGGTGTGCTCATCGAAAGTACAGACTTTGCCGAACGTGCCAAGCAAGACAAGACAGGCACACACCGTACTGCGTTTGGCTGCCACAGTCTCCTTTTGTTTCGCCCGGTCGGCTTCCTTCTGCTTGGGTGCTATCAATGGTCGCAAGAGGCAAAGGGTGCTGAAAATCATTTGGAAGAGCTTGTCCAAACCGAGGTCAACCAGAGGACAGATAGTCCACAAGCAGTGTGCAACATCGGTCAATGTGTCCCGACTAGGGACGTGGCCCTGGCTTGCCCAATTGGCCAGCCTCTGCACGACTCGCATGAGATTGACGCGTACGTGCTCCGCAAGTTTCGGATCCAAGAATGGCAGTGTGGGGAACACATGTCGGAAGATTCTGACAATCGGTTGGATGACAGCAAGTTCGCTCGCCTGTTTGAGATCGATGATGTGAATCTTGAGGTCGTCCACCTGAGCCATGGTGAACAGAGTCGAATCGACTTTGGCAAAGATGCTCAGCGTGTCCAGTATCTTTGCCTGCGGAGACTTGGCGCCAGTGGAGTCCACCTCGATTGCCTTGTCAAACAGTTCGGCAATGAGTTCTTTGCAGAGCTGTATATTCGACTTCTGTGCTTTGGCATCATCAGACAAACAATGCACAAGAAACTTTTCAAAGGCGTCCAGAAGTACTGGCTGCTTGTGTATCCTCTCAACAACATCTGTCATCACGCTCGCCTTGTGGGCGCGGTCAAGCTTGACTTGGTGTTCATCGTTTTTCTTCAGAGGTGTCAACCAGAGCTCTTCGAGGACGCCACGACTCAACTCTGCTATAGCTTTCTCGTCGTCCTGCGATGGCAGAAGAAGCGCCTTGGCGATCTGGAGCTTGTTCTCCTGGGAGCGTGTGCTGGTGTAGAGTCCTTTCAGCAACTTGATCGCCCTCTTCTTTGGTCCGTTCGAAGGATCGGTCGTCAGGTCGAGGATATCTTTCAAGAAGGAGCTCTCAAGGCTCGGTTCGTGCTCCAAGCACTGCGCGACGAGACCAAGAGTGTGCTCACGGACCATAGGCGAGCTATCTTTGAGAGAGACGACAAGCGTCTTCACCGTAGTTTCATCGACGACACGCGGGTCCTTCTCGATCAGCTGCTCTAAGCCAGTCATGCCCCTTGAACGCAGCTTTGAGGAGACCTTGTCCCGGGTGGCCAGCAGCATGTACTGTACGATCCTAGGTAACAGCTTGCACACAATGCTTTGAAGCGTAACGATGCCAGCGGCCAACTTGGCCTGGCTTTCTGAAACCACCTGGAATTTACTGATCGCCAGTTAGTGATGTGCTTAGAGGTGATTCAGATATACATACAATTTGCGATCGAGCCACTTTGAGTCCATAAGCATGGACTCCAAGTGGCGTTGCAAGTCCTCGAATGCTTGTGGAAGCGGTACGTCCGAGGAGTTCTTGTTGGATTCGCGAATCACGGCGTCGAGCCACAGAGTAACATGACAGCCAGTGACCGACTGCAGGTGTGGATCTTCTTGGCCTCGTTGCAGCTCAAGGTAGTCGCTCAGTGACTCGATAACCATACGGTAGGGCCCATCAAACTCGTACAAGTCGATGGGGTTGATGCTGTCCTTGGTGTTATCAGTCAAAGCATCGTTAGCGAGACGTTCAAGTTTGGCGGAGAGCTCAGACTGCGAGGCGTCAAGTCCGCGCTTCAGCTGCTTCAGGCGATGCCTGAAGTCGATGACGCCACATCCCACTTTTGCCATTGTCGAGAGAGCCATGTCCTTGTCTACGACAGTCTGCTTCGCCGCGTCCTTGCCGTGCACCATTGTACTCATTCGAATCAAGAGTGTCGAAAGAAGGATCGCAGCCGCAGGCCATTCGGGAGAGCCCAAGACGTTACAAAAGTCTTCAATGAAGAGATCTAGCAGGTTGCGGAAAGGCTTGTCGCCAGTCTTGGAAACGTTGGATGCTCTGTCGACGAGGTTCGAAGTAATGGTGCTGGCGATGTGGTTCGCGTTGAGCGCCAAATTCTTGGCAATCTGAGCAGACGCGCCGATTCGGATCTTAGATTTGGGCATGTTTGCGCCAGGCTCGTAGTCGCTATCCTCCTCTTTCCATTCTTGCTCGACGTCTTCAGATGTAGGTCTTGTCCGCGATTCTTTGTTCATGGCGGCGACTTGGACAAATCGCATGAAGAGCGCGGAGATGGACATGATTGACACCTCACGAGCAGACTTGAATTGTCGGGCACTAGCCTTCTTGTCTGGCAGTTTCTCCAAGTTACTGAGAATGCCGTTCAGTATGGATGGCCGCTGATCCGCGTGTTGAGCAAAGATTTGCGCAAGAACGTCCATAGCCTTTTGCCTGAAACTCTCGAATGGTTTGATGCCGAAAACAGAATCCTTCTCAGAATCACTGTTCTGCTCCACCAGGAGTCCTACCGTTAGATCTTCCAGAGTATTGAGACCCCGCTCGGGGAGGTTGACTTTGCCAATGAGGGTAGCAAAGCGGCTGAGGACTGCGCCACAGCCTCGGAGAACACTCAAGAGCTCTTTCTTGCGCGAGTTTGCTGTATCAAACAGGCTGTCAGACCGCCGTGCTTGCACCACAGGCATGATGCACTCGTTCCGAATGACTTTGACGAGGTCGATGACGGCACCGACAAGATCTTCAGGTCGCAGTCGATAGTCGTCGCGGCCGTCGATCATGGAGGTGAGGATCACCTTGGAAGCTTGCAGAGCCAACCTAGACTTGGCAATGCCCTCAGTCCAGTCTTCGTCTTGTGGAAAGAGAGTGAGCTGGCCAGTGTACGTGATGCTGGGTTCCAGTAGCTTCTGGAGTTGCATGACCGAATCAACCGGTAGCTCAGGGAAGTGACCGAGGTTGTTGACATTCGCCATCTTGTCAGACAGGCGGTCCATTGCTCGTTGCCTCATGACGTTCATTTCACCGTCTGCCGTAGAAACTCGAGCAAAGTTGTCAGTCACGTCCAGGTCGTCTCTTTCCTCAGTCAACTTGACTATGAAAGCCTCCAATTCTTCAATCTTGCGGTCAGCAAGCTCTCGCTCGTGTGGACGCAAGACAGCTGTAGTGCTGTCGACTTTCCGCTGCGTCGAGGGTGTAGCGTGCGTGATGTTGTCGAATCGCTGGTACTCCTCTCGCTTGACAGAAGCAGGCTTGATCACGACAGCTGGACCTGTGCGCAGCGGCGTGCCACTGGTGGCCGACGAGAGGGCACTCGGAGGAAACGGGATCGCGGCGTCTTGGGAATATGCGGCGTTGCTGGAAGTATGTATCTGCGGTGTGACTTTCTGGGCAGGGTGGACGTGCCGTGCGGGCTCATTTGCGGTGAGGCTAAAAGCTGAGTTTGTTAGGTGAAGTACTTCACTCCATACAGGGCACTAACAAGTAAAGGCAACGTCGGTGTTCTTCAGCATCATAGCCGCAAAGGGGCTTAGTAAAGACGAGACTTTCGAGCTCGCACCGTTGACATGCTTGGTGGGGCTTTCGGACGGCGTTGCCAGCTGCGGTATTGGTTTGAAGATGCTGGGTTTGGTCAGTGACGCACTGCGACGCATGGGCCGAGCAACTCACTACTCCGGCAGCTCTTCTGGATCCAGCAGCGCTTTGAGCTGGCACAGTGTGTTGCTGAGTTGTGTGGCAGTGGACTGGCCGTTGATCTCGTCGTTGAGAGCCCCAAAAGTCCGCTTCGCAGCGTGGCGCTGCTCTTGGGTGAGGGTCGACGGCGGCGTGGGAGGCTCCGCGGTGGGGAAGGGAATCACATCTGCTTGCTGTCAGTAATCACCCATGCTATGTGACACATGGCGCGGCAGTGTCCGGTGAGAGGGCACTGACCCAGCGCAAATGGTATGATGGATGTGAAGGGCGAGTACGGGATTGCCTCGTCCACAGTCGGCGGCGGCCGGTATGGGATACCATTGCCCTGCACGCTGTGCCAGGCATCGAAGTGCCCAGCCATATTGTTTGTCTCGAATGCAGCGGCTCTCTGGGAGCTCGGCGGGCTGGCAAAGGCCGAGGATGGGCGGAAGAGCTGGGGAGTCACTATGGCGGCAGCGGCACGCGCATGGCCATGGCAGAGCCTGTTCACTCGCGCAGAGGCAGCGTCCGGACGACCAGCAGTGCTGAACACCTTTTTTGCTATGCAGGTGATAGTCGTGCAGTTGCTGGGATGGGCGCAACGGCCGACTTATGACGCGTCTGACCGCCTCCGCATTCGTCAAGCGGCGCTGCAGGGCCTCCGCGGCGGATCCGCGAACTTTTTGGTTTCTGCTGCCATCTCCAACCTCCAATCACACCGTCAACATCCGCAACACCAGCAACTCCCGCACCACCACGTCGCAATGGCTGCCATCGGCTCTCTCGTCTTCTGCACCGACTGCGGAAACCTCCTCGACGGCAGCGCGGGCAAGCAGAACGTCGTGCTGACCTGCGCCGTCTGCGGCGCAAACTGCAAGGGTAGGCGAACGCTGCAGCAAACGGATTGACACGGGCATGGACTGACCGCGGGCTGCAGACACTTCCTCCAAGACGGTCGTCACCGTCTCCAAGCCCACGGCCTTCCCGTCGGCCCTGCGCGCAAAGCGCTCTGAGGTGCAGACACTGTCGGAAGACGATGTCAACACCACCAGTGTGATCGCCCAGCGCTGCGAAGAGTGCGGTCGCGAGGAGGTCCGCTACTACACCCAGCAGCTGCGAAGCGCAGACGAAGGCTCCACTGTCTTCTACGAGTGCGAGTGTGGTCACAAGTGAGTCGAGCTCAGTATGGTGAATATTGACCTATGCTAACGATATCCTCAGGTGGAACACCAACAACTGAGCGGAGTCTTGCTTTTACCTCTACCTTTCTAATGCCAAACGCCTTGTAACCATGCACGCACTCCGACCCAACCTAAGCCGCAACGGCCGTCTCCTGCGAGGGGATGATAGCATACTCCCTCTCACCGTTCTTCTCAAACTCGGCCATGTCCAGCGCCACGACGCAGCTGTCTCGCACCACCTGATCCGAATCGTTCAAGAACTTGCGCAAAGTGCCCTCCACGCCCTCCTCGTCACCCAGGCTGCCGAGAGCCTCCGCGGCCTCGTGGCGGACCATGCTCGCCTCGGCCGTGTTGCTCAGCGCCTTTGTCAAGCTCGGGATGGACGCAGGGTGCGACAGCTGGCCGAAGACAAACGCAATCTCGTGGCGGAAGAGCGCAGATGGGTCCTCGAAGCCACGGGCGAGCGCGTGCACAGCTGGGACGGCAGTGGGCAGGTCAGGCGGCGACGAGAGGTCGCGCAGCGCAAACATGGCCCGGTAGCGCTGGAACAGCGGGAGCTTGGTGTCAAGCAGTGTCTTCTCGAGCTCGGGGATGGAGGGCTTGTCCGAGGTCTGGGGCATCGGCGGCGCCGGGTCGATGGACGTGAAGTCACTGCTACAGTCAACACATATTCCAACGCACGATTCGTCAACATACCTCTGCTTGAGCTTCTCCTGCCCCTTCTGCAGTCCGTGATCCCACTCAATCCTGTCCACCGCGATCTGGCACGTCTCAGTGATGACATCCGGCTCGTCCTTGGCGTCCCTGAACTGCCTCAGCAGGTCCAGACTGCTCTTGTCGCTCAGCGCGCCCAGCGCCTCAGCCGCCTCGTGCCTGCACATAGCGTCCTCCTGCCTGTCCATCAACACCTGCCTCAGCGGCTCGATCGCAGCATCGTGGCGCGACTGGCCGAGGCAGTACGCAAGCTCGTGCTTGAGCAGCGCAGACGGCGATCCAAAGCCCGCAGCAATCGCCTCAATTGCAGGGACCGTCTCCTCGCTCGGCGGCTGCAGCGAAGCGAGGTACTTGAGCGAGAAGAGCGCGCGGAAGCGGCGCGCAAGAGGCTCCTGCTCGGATGTGAGAATTTGGCGCAGCGAGGCGACCTGCTTCGACTGGGTTTCTTCTGCGACGGCCATGGTTTGTTTGAAGGAGTGTGAGACGTAGACGTTGGGACTTCAGGAAGAGTAAATTAGGTGGTGATCGCTGCGCTGCGTCCAAAGATGCAAATCGGGGCTCAAATTTTGGTGGGGCTGTCTGCGGCGGGGTATCTGATCTTTTTTATCTGATCTGATCTTTTTGATCTGTTCTTTAAAAAACGTTAAAGTGGCGCACATGTGATCACGCATCACGCTAGCCGGCCCAACCACCAACATCATTCGGGTTCACGCTCACACGTCTGGTACTCGACGCGCAAGGTGAATGCCCGCCATTGTGTCTGCCCCGCTTTGTGGGTGCGCTGAATAGCGTTCACCTCACCGGTGGCTTTTTCAACAATAAGCTCCTAGCTATTGTCCACTTCTTCGCCTTTTGTTTCATTGTTCCACGCGTCTCGGCACGCCGCGACCTACTCCCTACACCACTCACTACCATCGCAACACAGACAGCTTCTGCACACAGCACTCCACCATGACGATCCTTCATGAGTATGCCAGCAAGATGTGGAGCTACATCAGCCCCAGAAAGACGCAGAAGACTCGCGAGAAGCCCTTCCAGTTCAAGGTGCCGGCGGTGCCAGCGAAGCCGACCTTCAAGAACACCCCTCACCCACAGCCAGCAAAGCAACTCCTGACTCCGCCTGACCGTGATCTGAGCCCCGAGTCGCGTGTCAATGTCTGGCACACCAGGACACCCAGCCCCGGCAGCGATGTCGACATTACCCTGGTCCCAATGTCGCCCCCGGACTCGGCCATGCAGTCGTTCGAGGAACACGACGACTTCGAGGGCGACACGCTCTTCAACACCTCGCCAATCTCACCCACCTTCTACAAAGGTGCAGGCCCCGAACTGGAAGTCGACGCAAACGACGACACCATCGTCGTAGACGACGGCCGCTACCACGAGACCCACCGGGGAATCAGCTTCGACGAGCGCCTGTTTAAGCAACAGAAGCAACGTCAGGAGCTGCAAGCCGCCGGCTGGTCCGAAGACGCCATCTTCTTGTTCCAGAAGATCAACATGCGCGGCTACGAACCCTTGATGCCCATCGAGTGGGTCGACGACCTGACCAGCCTGCCCGCCGACCTCTTCACCGAGCGCCTCGACAAGCCCTTCATCAAGCCCACCATGGGCTCGCACTACCACGGTACGCCGCATCCCTCCCCAAGACACCCCGCACAGCTAACCCCCGCAGCCCAGCTCGCACTAACCTCCCTCCTCGAACTCGGCTCCCACGTCCGCGACGCCGTCCTCACCCACGCACCCCGCCGCCAGCCCCAATACCACATTAAACGCGCCCTACGCCGCTACACCTCCTGGGCCATGAAAGACAGCCGCCTGACCCCGCACTGGCGCACGCTCCCGCTCTTCACCACCGTAACCGTCAACAAACACACGCCCTCGACCACCCTCGAGTCCCTCACGCTCGCGAAACTCGCCACCCTGCACGCCCGCTGGCAGTCCGCGCTCACCCCCCAAGCTTCGTTCTCATCCACCCACTCCGCCGCGCTCGAGGCGCCGACCCTGTACGCGGTCTCAGCGTCCCACACTATCATGGCGCTGGTGAGCTACGTCCCCGCCTCGCGCGACGCCGGCGCGGGACTGCGGTTGATCGCGCTGTTTGACTTTGGGAAAGAGGGGTTCGATGTGTGGAATGCGCTTGCGGCGGCGATTTTCGTGGTGCATTGCCGTAATCGGATGATGGAGTTGAGGGAGTGGTTGCCTGTGCCTATGGGTGAGGGGGAGGAGGGGGAGGGGGTGGATCCGGATTTGTAGGGGAGGGATGGCGAGAGAAGGCGACGGTTGGTGAGATGCAGATTTGCGCATGGAAATGGACGGAAGGAAGACGAGGAGAGAAGCCGATGTGAACAGCGGTGTTATGGCGTTTTGCTTGTTTTCGGAGATATACCCCCTTATGCCCTGTTCCTTATACCCTGCCCCTTATACCCTGCCCTGCCCGGCCCTGCACTGCGCTGCCCTGTCCTGGCCATTGCAATACCCCACTACTCCCTGGACGGAGGACGGAGGACGGAGGACGGAACCTGCACGCGAAGAAGTTGACATCACGGTTTTTTGCTGCAAGTAGCTATTAGTTGTTCAGATCGATACTTGACATGAATCGAAATTACAAGAGAGATCGTTCCGTGCCCACGCATGTGACGACTCGCAGCTACATGATCTAGCCTGCGAGAGTCAGATGTGCAAATCCGATCTCACTCCACTCTCCAACCATCCACTCACCCGCACCGAAAACCTCACCCCTAGATACTCAACCCCACCCTATCCCTCACCGCACCCTCCACATCCACACCCTCCACCCCCGCCGCCTCCCCCCCACCAACGCAATCACACCCAAACCTAGCCCTAAACTCAAACAGCGGCATCCCCTCCAGCGCCTCCAGCGCCCTCTGACTCGCCCTTACACGCGCATACCGCCCACTCTGGCCCAGACTATGCCACCTCACCTCGCCATGCACGAGCACCATCGCCGCCACCGCTTTCGCTTTGCCGGGGATACACGTAGCGACCTCGCTGGTGCCCAGACGCCACTCGGAACAGAGGAGGGTGGTGCCGAGGAGGCGGGCGAGGCGGGTGGTGGGGTGGTTTGACGCGAACGTTTCGTAGGCGGGGAGCGTCATGTCCTCGAAGAACGGCTTGAGGTGGAGCGTGAAGAAGTCCTGGACGGGGTTGAAGTCGAACTCGGCGTCGACGAAGAGCGCGGCGACGTAGGCTTCGATGACGTCGGCGAGGCACTTGGGCGGCTCGCTGACGCCGACCCAGTAGTCCACCGACCCGGGGGACTCGCGCTGCGCCTCGTGCAGCTCCGTCACGTAGTCGCGGATCTGGGTGCTGAGCAGCGCGCTGTTCTGCCGGAGGTGCGTGTGCCAGCCGAGGGCGACGCAGACGGCGCCGAGGAACTTGTTGGAGACCATGGGGGTCTTGTGCTCGGTGAGCCACTGTGGGTCTTTGTCGGGGTATGCGTAGAAAAGGTGCATGATGAAGGCCATGTCGAGGAGTGAGTCGCCGAGAAACTCCAGCCGCTGGTAGTTGGGGATTTGCTCCCACATGAAGGGCTGGCTGGGGTGCACGAAAGCGGAGCGGAGGAGGCGCGGGTATTTGAACTTGTAGGGGTGTTTGGCTTCGATCTTGCGCGCGAGGTCGAGCTGGGCTGCGGTCGATTCGGCGATCTGGTATTGCGGCTTCTCGTACCCAGCGTAGTAGTCGGACCACTTCGATTGGGGGTGGTCAGGACTATTGGCAAATAGCTTGACAGCTTTGACACTCTCGTCCCAGTCTGTTGGCGACCACCGACCTTCGTGATGGTGTTGCATGAAGGTAGCGCCAATGAACGCTTCGCAGACGTCGGCGATGGACTTGTCGCCCAAGTTATGAGTGGGCGAGAGCCAGTTGGCGTCGTTCTTCTTACCACGGAGAAGCTCAATGCCTTCGGGATACCAGGAACGACTGTACCGCGTTAGCTCAACTCAATCACCCAAGTCTGTGGATGCTTACCGCGAAAAAGCTGTGGTTCGAATATAGTTGTAGAGCTGCAAGCCTCGCTCTTCTCCATCCGCAAACTTGAACTCCTTCTTGCCCACAGCGGTGTCCATGAGATTCGCATTGCAGAGCATGAGCATACGGCGAACGTGAAACTCGAACTCGTTCTCATCTGGCTGAAGCACAAACGTCGAGATCGAGGTCGCCATCTTGAGAAAGCAGTCCCCAAGAAACTCGAGACGTTCATAATTGGGACCCATACCGCTCCTGAAGTTGATCACCTGTTCACCGTAATCTCCAGAACTGTCTGAATCCTTGGTCAGCGCTTCAAGGGCGAGTGCAGGGCTGACGTTCAAATCAACGTGTCTACAAGCTTCCAGAGCTATCAAGTAGCTCTCGAATCGATGAATGATGCAAGGAACGACGAAACATGTCACAACGAACGGTGTCGCCATCTGTCGGAGTTAGCATCTCGGTATGTTTTGCTGGTCAAATACTCACATTTGAGACACACAGGGGCTCGGGACAGATGACGGTGTGCAGATGAGCCCTGTTGAAAGTCTTGTGGTCCTTGTCAGCCTCCAGGGGGGCAAGGCGATTCAGCCTTAACGGAATGTTCTCGGCGTTAAGAACAGGTTGATCGAGATGCCACCTATTAATGTCTCTTCCTTTGCGCCACATGCTGTCTGAGTAGTCGAGAATAGTATCGACGTACTTGCGACCCTGGCGTGGAATGTGCGGAGGAAGCGGATCCAGTGGTTTGAACTCGGTGGCAACGCTCTCAGAGTAGAACCTTCGCGCACCACTGAAGGGGTCTGGGATGAACTTGTCCAAAATGTCTGAAATCTTTGTTTCTGGGGTCCATCGCCAGGTTGGCTTCTGGTAGACCTTGCGTACTTGCAACATATCCACAATATCTTCTAGGTTGCGCTGTTCTCCAAGCGGCGCGCGCCCAAGTGGCAGGAGTGGCACTAGCCAGTACGAAAGCTTCTTTGTGTCGCACTCGAAGAATTTGTTGAATACATCCTCGTAGATTCTCATCGTAAACTTAGTGAGGATCTCTACCGTCTCGGTGTCGACCACGAATGGCGCCGTCAGTGAATGCGAGACGACATTGGACACCCGACCATCGTAGAGAAATACCGGAAATGATGGTAGCTGGGGAAACGGAGTCCTAGTCAAGATCCCAAGCGGCTGATGAGGGCGATCAAGTCCCGCATCGAAATCAACCGTGGTGAGATAGACGGCTTCGGGAACCGAGCCGCGCCCCTGCTTCCAGAATTGTGGCTTGATCAGCATTGAATACTTTCCCTTCTTTTTCTCGCCAAGAGCAAGATGAGCGTTTCTCATGGCTGGGAGCTTCTTGTAGGTTGTGGGGAGTAGGTTGGAGTCTAGGTAACCTTTCTTCCGGAGCTCCAAGCACATGGCGAAAGCTGCAGAGCACCTCGCAATGGTCTTCCGGCTCTCGACCTTCCCTGTCATGGATGTTAGAGGCGAGCACTCGGGTAGAATGACTTCACATCTGAATCCCGTCCGCAGTGCGTCTTGTGGGTCGTCACTGACATCAGCATTCAGAATGTAGGTTGGTTGCAGGTGCGTCTCATGGTTCGGAGTTGGCAAAGTGGCAACGAAATGGCTGAGCACCATGAGGCTTGACCGATAAGTGAGTGTCGCACCTGAAGTTGGGTCGACAAAGCTGGGATAAAGCTTCTCTTCAATATTCAACGAGTCGCTTAAAGCATCGCCCAGGCTGTCCAGGAGACGGTCGCGCGCCATACCCTTGCAGAAATTTCTCATGACAGTCTCATCGAGCCTGACCTGCATGAGTCGCTCGCGGTGATCATTATTGCCGTTCTCGAGCATGTGCAAGTATTTCGAATTGCGATGTCTCGCGCGGCCTCTTGACTGGACGTACCCGATCATAGTACGGTAAAGATCGAAGCGAACCACAAGGTTGCATTGAGGGATATCAAGACCTTCTTCTGCAACAGACGTGGCGAACATGCAATTCAGTTCGCCTCGTCGGAACTTCGATACTGTCAATATCTGAGCCCGTAGTGAGATATTGTGCTCGCCGGCGCGGTTATTGACGCCAACCAAGACGTCACAGCGGATGTTTGGCCCGCCAATGTGATCGAATATGAGCTTGAGCAGGCGAGCAGTCTGACGCTGCTCGACGAAGACAATGCATCGCGGCTCGTCACTCCTCTCGTAGTACATGTTGAGCCATTCGTGGAGCTTCAGGACTTTGGAGCTCAGGTCGCTGCTAGCGAGAATAGGTGCGCCGAAGTCGTGCCCTTGCACAAAGCTTGCCGCATCCTTGAGACGCTGTATCCTTGCATCAAGCTCCTCGACATTGACACGCGCCCCATTGACTTTGTTGTACTGGTACTCTTCCCGTTGTTGTAACTTGCGAGCCTGCTCGTCCGCGAAAGCAAACGACCAGTACATGTCCGAAGCCCATCTCCCTAGCTCAGAGCCAATTCGTTTGGAGGTGATAAAGAACTTGTTGAACTTTTTCACATTAGAATACCGTGCCTTGACTATGTTGTGAAATGGCGTTTCAAACTCGACTCGCAAGCGATCGTAAAGGGCGACGTGCTCGTCAGGACGACTGATGTTGTTTGCAGCGAGTGCTTCTTCACTAATGGTGACGATCTTCGAGTACATCATCTTTTCTAGGGTGGCTGCTGCTTCCACCACAACCCCGGGTTTGAGGCCTCCGACATCTACTGGAGATGCTGTCATACCAAACAAGCGAGGTCGCTTCGAGAAATCAACCTCTTGTGAGTAGTAATCCTTCATGATCCGAGCATAGGGATGATTGTCCTTAGCGTGATGAGCTTCGTCGAAGATGAGCAAGTTGATCTGAGCAATGGTGATGAAGGAATGCATGAGGCATTGTGAGAGCACTTCTGCAGTGCAGACGATGACCATATTCTTTGCAAAATACGCAATCCAAGTAGAGCTGTCCCAGAGTCTGGCGCCCATGGCGCCGCACACAGGCTCGACGCCTTGATCAAGACCACATTTGAGGACGTTTGCCTGCTGGAAGACGAGATTGACTGAGTCGACCTGTTTGAAGTCAGCATTAGAAACATAGAGCCGGGAGTCACTGACCAGGAAGAACGCAATCTTGCGAGTACCGCCCTTGGCTCGGTTTTCTAATTCTTCGTCGAGAATGTGCTTGAGTAGAAGTGTCGCAATATGGGTCTTGCCTGATCCTGTGTCAAGTACAGCGATGATATTCTCGCATTTTGCTCTCTGAAACAACTCGGTCTGATAGTCTCGAGGGTTGGTTATGCGGACAGCCGTTTCCTGCTTCGCAAGGATGTCGCGAATGGAGAGCTGTTCCTCGTTTGCGGTCTTTGAGACAGCTTCATCGACCTCCCGCTGCGTGACATGAACATTGATGTTATTGGCAAATGCTCTTAGAATGGCATTCTGTGCTCTGCGCTTCTCCGAAGTTGTCTTCGGACCGTGTCCCTCAGAGTCTTTATCCGAATCGTCACCATCGTCTTCATTCGGGTCTTGCAACTGACTGGTTTCATCACCTAACTGCTGGCCATGGTTGCTGTGGCCATCTGAGATTGACATGTCATCGCAAGAAAGGTACTCAGCCTCCTCCTCTTCGTCAACGTTGGCCCAACCCATTGTGTTCGTTTCGTGGAGTTTGGTCTGGAGGTAGCGAATTCGTTCAACAAGAGAGGAAGGAGTGTGGAGATGGTCAGTAGAAGAAGGAAAGTGTGCGATCGATTGAATTTGTAGGGCAAGAGCAGGTCACATTGTGCTTGCAGACGCGTCTCATTTGAGCAGGAGCAAACGGCGCACGCGCCCACCAAGCGTGGCTCAGCGGTGAGCAGGCGCATTCACCCAAGCTCTTTGCCGCACGCATTGAGATTAACTATACCCGTCTAGCTCTAAAGATTGTCGAACATCAAATTCACATGTGTCGATGGCTTCGCTGATGGACGCGTTGATGGACGTCTCTGCTGTGGCGGGGCAATGGCGGGGCTCAAATGTTTGTCATCAACGCCAACTCACGTGCACCCGAACGCAGTCCTCTCATCACTCCCGTCGTCTCAATACTTGATCGCCAACCACTCTGAATATGTCGAATGAAGACCAAAGTATACGCGGCTTGTTTGCCAAGGCCGAGCAAGTCAGGGAGGAGCTGGCAGGCTCATACGAGCCGAACAGCCCGACCTACCAAGAAAATCTTAGCATCGCCATCGCCACATACGTGCAATGTCTGAAGAAGGTCGAGGATTTCTCGTTGTTCAGTCCAAACGAGACTCTGGAGGATGTATCTTCCACTGACATCCAGTATGTAATCTGATTAAATTTTCCCGGCGGCTTACTCACAACTGTGTTAGGTACATGTCCATCAACTACCACCTGGCTGAACTCATCCAAAGAGTCTTCACTCCTGAGGTATCGGCACGAAAGGAGCAAATCTTGCAATCCAGGGCGCGTTATGAACTTTTCCTAAAGCTCCTAGACTCGTATGATATGCTCAGCAAACGTGATGCGAAACTCTTCGAGGTCTACAACGAAGACAAGCAGAATTTCTCCACAGTCAGCACGACAGATGCCGCCGCAAGAAGAGATGTCAAGATTGCAAGATTCAGGGAAGAGAAAGAGTTGAAGCAGAAACTTGAGGTATGTTCCAGCTAAGGCGGTGCGCAAGCAGCTCCTAATGTGTGTAGTACCTGAGGCGGAACCCCAAGCTTGCAGAGCAGGACGATCAAGTCGTTCGAGACCTGAATCAGACCAGCATCAGTTTTATGGTGTTCCAGACTTTCCAGTCCCTCGAGTCGCTGGCTCAAGAACTGCATATCATCTCACTAGCGCCCCCTGCGCCCCCTCCAGGGCAGCGGGGACCGCCACAAGATGGTCGCGAGGACGGAAGAAACAAGGACGGTTACTCAGAGCGGCTTGATGGTCAGGTCGGCGGCCTGAGATACTCTGGACCCATTCTTAGCAGCGACGGCAAGCCGATGCGACCTTTCACACTGCTCGACAACCGCCAGACCCTCAAAAAGAACGTCTTCCGACCGGATCACAGCCTTCCAACTATGACTATTGACGAGTACCTCGAGGAAGAGAAGCGCCGTGGTGGTATGATTGAGGGTGGAGGCCCGCAGTCCGAGATCCGACCAGAGCCCAATGAAGATGATCTTGAGGCGGCCGATGCAGAGACAATGAAGGCACGTGCTTGGGATGAATATGTCGAAGAGAACCCCAAGGGCTCCGGCAACACACTCAACAGAGGCTAGGCACTGTTCATTATCCGTTTAGATACCCAGTAATGAGACTCCGACTATGTATCAGACCCACGGCGACTGCTGCGTCCTTTACAAGAGCTCCGGGGCCAACTGCGGCCATTTTGTCACCATGGTATCATACAGGGTCCGAGACAACACGTTGTACGCTTTCTTATCCAGGTGCAGCCCATCAGTGAAGTAACCCTTGCCGAAGTCGCCCACCCCATACAGCCCAGAGCCTGGCAGCCTCTCTTCATCATACTCCTCGCCGATCTCCTGCAATTTCGCCCTTACCAAATCGCCCCAGAAGTCTAGTCCAGCCACACGTCCCGTCTCCTCATACGTGACCGCAATCTGCATGATCTTCTCCGCATACCTCTTCTTGTTCATGTACGTCCGATAGCCCCTCAACAGCTTCTCCTCCTCGTTCAGCGCCTTCAAATCAGCACCTTCTTCGCCGTCAAAAAGGGGGCTCAGGATGTTGATGGGTGGTGGCGTAATCAGCACGATCTTCGTCTCGGGCAGCGCGTCCTGGGTCAGGATCGTTTCGACGAACTTGCAGATGTTCTGCTCGAATTGGGGAAGTGGAACGTACTCTTCCATGCCATTGAGGCAAGCGTCGTTGGCGCCAAGGAAGATGGTGAAGAGTAGGGTCTTGGGCGCGTTGGGCGACGTGGCTTGGGCGATGATGCGGTCAAAGTCGGGGAGGAGATTGGTGGAAGTGAAGCTGCAGTGCTGGTTAGTTGTCTGTGTGTTGTTCTTGCGCATAGAGCGTACCCTGCCCGACCTGTTTACATGTTAGCGGATTGAGTATTTGAATTGTTGGTATTGATTCCACGGAGATGGGTACCTTCGCACTGCACGTGAACCTTGTCCTTGTACTTCTGTTCGAGAAACCAGCCAAAACCTTCGTCGAACTCCTCGAAACCCCACTCGGTGAGCGAGTCACCAAAGAGGATGAACTGCGGCTTTTGGGTCTGTAGTGCCATCTTGATAATTCAGACCTTTCCGAGTACAAAGTTTGCTCGAAGATTTGGTGGCTGTTTTACGGAAAACAGCAAGGGCGTGTAGTAAGTGGGACCATGTTCTAGGCAGTAGCAGGCTAGTACGCACACGCAGTAGCCGCGCGCTAATCGCGCCTCTTTCGTTTGAGGAAAAGAGAAGATAGAGATGTTCTGCTGACACATTTTACGGAAACATGCAGAGTAAATGTTTCAACTTTCGACTGGTGAATGCATGGGATTGATGCAAGTGGCCTGTGAGACATGTTTTTTGTGTCTACATGTGATTGACAGTCTGCCCACTCTTTGCCGTTACGCACTGATGTGGCGTTGTTCTTTTTTGAACGTACGGCACATATCGAGCTGTGCGTTCGTTCCATACACTGTATGGTAGTACGAGATCCCCAGTGATCTTCAGCGATCTCGCGTGTATCTCCAACCCTCAACTTACAGCAAGAACCCTAGCTCGAAGCGCGTGTAGCCAAAGCTACTCCCCTTCATTCTTAGACGTGCATCGCAGAGCCTCGACCTGTTCTTCTAGCCTCTGCACCGCCTCGTCCGGTAGCGCCTGTTGCAGAGCCTTGACTTGTGCCTCCAGTTTCTCCGCCTTATCCTCCAGGATCTGTAGCTTCTCACGCAACACCATCACTTCCAGGACTTTGCTCTGCTCGTTCATCCTCTGCGTCTGCTGCTCCACTTCCTGCGCCGGAGTCAGACTGTCCGTGCTCTGCTGATCGGATATCTTCTGGGAGAGACTGACGTTGTCTCGCTCCTCGAGTCTCTGCACTTTCGCAACCAGTACCTCAATCTGGGACACTAGCCACGCACTCTGACTGGCCGTGGCCTGCTGATCAGATACCGCTTGGGAGGGCCCGGTGTGATACTGCTCCTCCAAACTCTGTACCTTCTTCACCAGTCTTTCGATATGGGACACCAGCACAGTGTTCAAGTTGTGTGTACCCTGCATACCGAAAGTATTGTGGTAGAGGCGCGCGTTAGGCTCGTCCTGCAGCGACGACGCCTGGAAGAGACGCTCGACCAGCCCGGTGTTGACAAAGTGCTCGTAGCGGTGAAGTGCATCCATTCCCCCGACAATATGGCGATCGTTTTGGTGGGCGAGCTGGAGCGCCTCAAGATTCTTCTGGGTGATCCTGCGTGAGACTTCGAATGGCTTGATGCGCGTGGTGATGGCTTTGTCGATGATGTCTTTGAGCTTGTCGTCAAAGCGACGGTTGAGCTCCTGCTTGATGACGCTTCGAATAGCTGCGGTGTCTAGTGGAGAGAGAGCGAATGTGGAACCTACACGGCCTGGAATGGTGTCAAGCATCTCCTGTACATGCATATCCATGAGGTCCATCTCGGCTAGTAGCGACGTCCCGATCCAGTCACTGCTATCGACGCTACTATCGACGCTATTTTCTGTGTTGCTAAGAGCAAGGTTAGTGTGCCAATCACTCACTGAGGCTGTCGTCCTGCTGATATTGGAGGGCGCGGTGGACTTTGGAGGCATCTCCAGAAGAGCTACGGTTGTCAACAGTGCTGGAAGGTTATAGAAGCTGAGGGTTGAACAGAAAGGCGACAAATATTGTTTGCATTACGGGCCCTGGAGATTATCCGGCGCCGCGATGTAGAAGTGAAAGTGAAAGTGAGAGCGAAAGGGACTAGCAACGAACGCTTTGTGATCCAGCGAACAACATGGTTCCGATTAAGAGCTATATGTCCTTCACGAATCCTACTTCAATCACCTTGTCCATGGGTACATCCAAACTCGCAATCTTGGTCCGTGTATTCTCGCGAATGAAAAGGAAGATGTGGAGGAAGAACCTGCGCACGATGTTTGTTCCTGGCGTGATCTTCATCTGTTCCTTCCCGGTAATGTACAACACCTTATGGCGATAAGATCGTTCCAGTGCTTCCAGACGAGATGATGTTGTCGAGCTGCGCGAGGAGACATTATCTCGCTCGGAATTGTCGACGCCACTTGCTGGTGCAACGGTAGCTTTCTCACCCTCTCGATCGAGAGCTCGTTGCACAATGTGTTCGTGCACCTTTTCGTAGATGAGCGATGCGAGGTTGGGCGTGATGACCTCATCCATGTATCCATGTCGAACAACGAGGCGGTAGCAGTTGGGAATGGCAAGTCGCGATACGCTGTAACGATTTTCCGGCTCAACGAAGGGTTGATCGAGCGGTCGGAGATGAAAGAATATGATGACTGAAGGCGCGGCCACGAGTTTGCGGATAAACTGATTGAAGACGATAGGAGTTGTCTCACCAGCTTTGTCGAAGAAGATTCCGAACCCTTCCATGGAGCCGACCAGTTCACTACCATACCGCTCTGTAAGTTGTAGCTGTCCATCCGACCGTGTCTTTACAAAGTGGGTAGTTGGGAATCGATCGCTGGCCTCTGCGAACCACTGCTTCTCTTTGCCAAAGCGCCAAAGGATAAAGATAGAAGCGAGTAGCGAAGCTAAAAGGATAGTGAACCATGCACCATCCGGCACTTTGGTCAGCGCAGATGACAAATAGGCTCCGTCCAAGGATGCGACTGTCAGCGCCGGCAAGAAGATGTAGTACGGCTTGATGCGCCAGACCAGAATCGCTACCAACGTCACCATGCATGTGTCGAAGAACGTGACAAACATAACGCAAACGCCATAGGCGTGGCCGAGAGACGTAGTGTTGTTATAAATGGCAGTGACTAGCACTGTTCCCACCATGAGCAGCCAGTTGACGGCCGGTACGTACAGCTGCCCATGATAGGTTGTCGACGTGTGAACGACCTTGATTTGCGGAAAGTACGACAGTTTCATGATCTGTGCAAGGAGCTTCGGAGCGTCAGCGGATTGTGTAATTCAATCGAAAGTGTGCATACCTGGAATGTCGCTGTGATCATTGCCTGCGAGGCCACGATAGCAGCAGCAATGGCTACGATCAGCGAGAAGATCAGCCAACCCTGCGGAGCGCAATTGAAAAAGGGGTTCGAATATGCGTCCGGGTGTTTGCTGATATAAGCAGCTTGGCCACTGTACGCAAGTAGGAGGCATGGGAAGCCATAGCCCAGCCAACTGAGCTGTATGGCGCGGCGGCTGAAAGCACCAATATCGGCAAAGAGAGCCTCTACTCCAGTGAAAGCGAGCAGTATACCACCTAAACTCTTCCAGCCAAGATAAGAGTTGCGCATCAAGTAATCGAAAGCGTAGTATGGGTTGAAGGCCTTCAGAATCGTGTAGTCGTATCTGTGTTGTCAGTGAATGTCCTGAAGAGAAGGCAGCAACTGTACGTACTTGGCCAAATTGTAGACTCCAAAGCCTGCGTTCATGAGCAGCCACACCATAACAATTGGCGAGAAGACTACAGTCAGCTTGGATATGCCTAACGGCTGTACGGCAAACATCAGAATCAGAATTGCACAGGAGACACCAACGATGGTCGATTTGTCAATGTCTGACTTCACGACGCTCAGTCCTTGTACAGCACCTAACACGGACTGAGCTGGAGTCAAGACGCCATCAGCCATGACCATGGAGACTGCGAGTACTCCGACTGCTTTGAGCAGGCCACGGACGAATACAGACTTCTCGATTCCAGATCGAATGTTCTTGGTAGAACGGCCGAGATCGTTGGTATCGTGCCTCTCCATGCCTAAGAGCGTCAGCTTCAGTCCCGTATGGGAGTACGTCTAACTCACGGACAAGCGACTCCTCTCGTGGATCTCTATTCGAGATATTTGCCTGAAGATTGTGAGCAACAAAGTGACGCAACCCAAGCTTACATAAAACTGACATATCTTGAAAGTAGCGAATAGGTGCTGAAAGTGCCGCCCTCGCCATCGTTGTCTGCGTATAATACGATGAGGATGTACTTCACTGTTACCATCAAAGTAATCGACCACAAGACAAGCGAGAGCACGCCAAGTAGATCAATGCGGTTCGGAGCTTCCGTGAACGTAGACGAGAAAACGTAAAGGGGTGAGGTGCCGATGTCACCGTAGATCACACCGATGGACTGGTACGCGAGTACGAAGACCTGACCGATACTGAAGGCCTGCAGTCAACCCGTCAGCCCGAACACACTTCATCTAGAAACGCGAGCGTACCTGACTACGCTTGTAGTCTGCCTCGTTTCGTAAACCTGCATCTTCGTCTTCGGCAACATCATAGTCGTCTGCCTTTGCGAGATCTATCGATCCCCTGCGGCCAACAGACTGTGTACGAGAGCGCAGACGCACTACCCCGCCAATGGCAGTGTGTGACGATGCGTTATTTTGACCAGAAGGCGCGATTTGCTCTGCAAACTGTATGGAGGGTTCCATGACAGATCCGATGGGCTGGAGAGATGTCGTAAGGACAGATGAAAAATCGCGCAGTTGGTCACCTTAAGAGAGTGATCGCCTTATCTCTACCATGCCGGCGGTTTCACATGGTGTCAAAATCTGGGATAATAAGCAGGCTGTGTATCTGCCCGCATGTTGTGGTAGAGACACTTGAAAATCGCTCACTGGCGGTGTTGAGTCTGCATGTGGTTAGTTGCGGGATTTTTGAGGGTGAGGCTGTACAGATCGCGGGATACTCACATACACACAAACACATAAGATTACCGGTTCACAGTCAAAAACTGGATGCAACTAGTGAAAACTACTCACAGTCAAGCGGTGAGAAAAATCTTGCAGAGCCTCATGGAGTCTGGAGCCAGCGGCTCGTTGTGCGGCATTGAGCAAAAACCATCTGGGATCGACTCAGGAGCGTACGAGGGAGTTCTGCCAGTGTAAACAACTCGTGACACAAGGCAGCTTGCATATGCCAACCAATCAAGCACCGGCGCGTATTTGCTTGATCCCACGACGTGCACGTGGGGTTGGTCCAGCATCACTGCATTCCCGAACGGCAGGCAGGGCTCTTCGGTCAGCTACTGCACACTAAGGCAGTCACATCTTATGTGCCGGCCAGCTTGATTTAAATGTCGGTGTAGTGCTCGCTACTTCATCATTTCCACTTGGACTAAGTAGGCTGATACAGCACTGAAGGAGCAACGTAATTTGCGCGGCTCTTGCGTGTCGCTCTGCCTCGTGCAACCTGGATTCGACATATTTGCGCGGCTACATTGACTTTGATATGCGAGCAGACATGTTGAAATCCGGCAGATAGAATGAGCAGACTCGGCACGTGGCCATGGCAGCAAGAGATCTGCACGTTTATTGAATCTAAGTCCATGACCCTGTAGATCCCTAGGGCGTCTGGAACGGCGGAAATCCTGTCTTCAATGGTGGTACAGGAGAGGCCATTGCGGCTGTCGCTGACCAAGATGTAGAAGCTAAGATGTAAATGTCGTCATGCCGTGAGTCGACTGACGGCTCTTGCGCAGGGACGGTGCCAGTTGGTATTGAGCATATTGCCCGTAAAGAGATTTAATCGAAAGTGAGTTCAAATCGTGGAGAAATTCATTCCCCTTACTTACCTACTCAGCGAATACATGGCTGGCCAGATGCAGTAAGGCGCACCGTAGTTAGACCTTGTGGCGGCGTGCAAGACTCAGATTTGCGTCATGTTGACAAGGAAACGTCTCTGAGAAACGTCTTTTTGTTCATCTGACTGTCGCAATTCTGCGAAGAGCTGGAGCCCTCCGGTCTCCTATCTTATGCTGGATCGCACGTGAAGTCGTGCGACCTAGGTTACAAGCAGTTGGGTGCGATCGTGAGAGCAGCGTCTCGTAACACGACTCGACTGATATGTAGTTCTGGCACAAGGAAAGGACCAAGCGGGAACACAGACATGACCTATCCAAATGCCTGGTACTGTGTACGTAAGCATTTGATACTGGAAGCGACGAACGTGGACGGGAGGATTAGAATCGTCTTTTGGTTGTATTGTAGCTGTCGCCCTTCGAGAAGGACATAGTTCTACACTTCTCAGTCAGCGAGAATTGATGAGCAGATGTTAATCCTGACGAAACGTGACACCACAGAGATGGCAAAGATGAAAGTCGGAGACATGACCGGTCGGAGGAGCGGCGGACATCGGCGCCAGATCTGTCCCCGTCGCACCTCGGAACACGGCGCGAGCTCTGGCGTCATACGATATGAAGTCGCATCGCCAACGCTCGCGAATTGAAATGCGTCCGCAGCATAACACTGTCTCTCTCACACCACCAAATATCAAGACATCACCCCCAGCTCCAGCCGCCATCATCCCACCCAACGCGACCGCAGCAATGTCCAAACTCTCGCCCGCCCTCAAACAGCTCATAAACGCGGCGCACGCACGTCCCGGCCCCATCCCCGCACCTCCAAAGATCCAATCCGTATACCAGAAGATTGAGCGCGAAGCCACAGCCCGCCAGCTGGGGCGGCCGTCATGGCTCGCCGTCAGCACCGCAGCAACCATGACCATGAACTCGCCCGAGTCAATGGAAGCGCTGTTCCACAGCAGCACACAAGGAAAGCAGACAGAAGAGCGCGTCGCGGTGGCAGAATTCATGCGCGAGGTCGCGCTGAAGTGCATTGGGTTCAATGGCGTGCGTACCCCCACCCCTCCTACATCATCAATCGACCAGGCAAGCTAACAGCCCCCAGATCCCCCGCACAATAAACATGCTCAACGCCTTCCGCGCCGCGCTCCCAGACGACGTCTTCGCGCTGCTCAACACCACGCCCACACGTTACCCCGACGCCTCGAACGTCGAGCAGATCAACCAGCGCGGCCGCGGGCTGTGGGACAAGATCTACAAGCCGCTAAACGAGAAACTGGAGGCGAAGCTGGGCGAGGCGCATCCTGATCTGCCGGTGTTCATTATCAACACAGAGTATGGTGGTTTGTTCACGGATCCGGAGCGCTCGACTGGCGCGACGGTGGGGCGCATCACGACGAGCTTGATTGCGATTACGTGTTTGAGGGCACAGCAGGGTGTAGGGCCGCAAGTACTGAGTCACGTTTTCGGGTTGAGGAAAGCGTTGGGTGACGGTAGCTGGAAGGATGAGCCCGCTGCAGGGTCGGAGGAGGCAATCAAATGGCTGGCGGGAGATGAGGGGTGCACATGGATTCTGGAGAAGACAGATGAGCTTGTCGAGGCGCTGGGAGGGGCACAGGGGAGCACGTTTGCACCAGTCAAGGCAAAGCTTTGAGTGTGCGTCAAAATGAGAGCATAGTCATTTGTTGTACCTGTACAGTTTAACGGCCGCAGAGGCAAAGATGCTGGTGCGTCTCAACCCCGCCCACTCTTCTCACCCCGGCCTCGATCCAGCACATGATTCGTGACGCAGTTACAGATTTCGTTCAGCTTGTGCTGCATAGCCCTGATGCGTTCTCTGGAGCCTCCAACGTCCACCAGCCAATGATGTCCACATATTGGCTCGCACTGCGGTGATTGCTGATTACCTGGAATCCCGCGCTGAGAGTGCCATAGCTTTCTGTTTATATCTTTCCATATCAACAAGGCTGATTCCTCTTCCTCTTCGATGCGAGCTGGATTCGGCCGCGCCTTTCTCTCCGTAGTCGTGCTCCCGGCGTCACTGCCGCCGCCGCCACTACTGGAGGTGTCACTCGAACTATCATCGAGGCTTTCGGAATCGTCATCAGAGTTGACTTCATTATCGGAGCTGACTTCATCGTCGGAGCTGACTTCATCATCGGAGTCAGCTTCACTGTCTCCTTCGAGCTTCAGATCCAGAAAACTGAGACTGACGAAGTCGCTAAGACTGTTGCGTCTGGGAGATTCGTTGACGCGCAGCGTAGGTCGAATCTCGTTCGAGGTAGTATTGCGTCGAAGTGGGGCGCTCGATTCTCCCAGAATCATGTTTGCGATCAGAAAGTTGATGGCACCGGAGACCGGGCAGTCATTTTGATTTTCGGCATGAAGGCCGGGGATATTTGAGTGTGACATTATAGCTGCGATGCGTAAAATGCCGTAGAGATGTGATGTTTGGATATGATATTGACCGTAAGTGAGTGGATATGGATGAAAGGGACGGGATCGAACCGCGAAGGGGTTTTGACGGATACCATCTTGGCGCGCCTTCTCTGTTATGTTGATGGAAGAGCGAGCAAGAGCTGGAAGCGGCGGACTCACTCTTCCTGGATGCTGCAGTGCTCCTGCATGTTTAGACTTTGTGGCAACATCACGACAGCAATGTTAGAGGTACCATCCTGTCCTATAACGTAGCTGCGCTTAGCCTCGTCAATTGCAGTCACTGTGTATCTTACCCAGTGTGACTTGCCCGCATCGCGCTTCAGTTTAGTAGTGTGAATGATGTACCTCCCAAGACGCACATCATCGTATAGGTCCAGATGACTTAAATTCCCAAATCACACAAGTTCCTATCATGCAGGGTATCCTCATGCACCTCTTGTACAGACCTCAACCAGCCGTAATTTTTCAGTTTCGACTTGCGCTTCGAAAGGCTGCTCTTTTTGATTGCAGTATTTTTGGTCGTTTCTCGATAGCCTTTCTTCCTTCAAGGTATCACCACTCCCGCCAACCCGAATACCTGGGTTGTACATGTGTTGCGGCAGATCCATTGACTTCAGTGATGATGTATCTTACCGGGTGGATATCTGAATGCGCCCCCAGTGCAAGATAGCCCTGAGCGCATTCTGAAGCGTCTTCCGGTTGCCGAAACTAGCGTTTCCAAGTGATCTCTATTATTCAAAACTGGTGTCGCAGCAGATTCGTGCACTTCGCTAAAATTCGACGCCAAGTCGTTTACACAAATCGAAATACTTACCTAGGTAGACGAGCGATTTGTAAGACTTGTATTACAGGCTTCTACAACTCCAGACAATTAGCGTCAGGTAAAGGTAGCAAACTCACGTGCGGAGCCTATGTAATATTGTCGGTAAGTCTGGATGTGCGCTAACTCACCAATCTACCAACTTCTACCTTCAATCCCACGACACAACCTATCGTTTCTCGACTAGCGTTATAAATTCCCCTCCACACGGTATCTACAAAGTGACAAACTACAACATGTCTAGAGGCAAGGTGTCTGATATCTGTGGCAAATTGAAACCACGCTGCCCTGTCATCATCATGAACGAGAATCGAATGGCGATTGAAATGGACGGTGACCTGATTGACCGCTTGAAGACAGGATCAAAATTCACGTCATCAGATTGGGAGAAGCTTATCCATCTGCTCGTGTTGCCAAAAGCTCCAGAGCAGAACGTCTTGGTCAAGATTGGGGGTCTCCTACCTGCAGTCGACTTCACGAGAACATCCGTCTGGGTTCGCGAACTTGCGACAGATATCGAGGTCAGCTATCATTCATCCTGGTGCGTTACGATTTGCAAGCCTACCGCCAATACTGTCGATACCTACTCCTTTGGCTACGTGGAAGGAGAACACAAAGTCCTGGGACAAATCGCTGCACTGTTTGGCGTTCAAGAACACACTATCAAATGCAGCTATCATCAAGTAAGCCCCTTTCACCCACAGGCGGCAGTTCTAACACGAATGATAGGAGTCCAGCTCGCGCAATAACATATATGTCCCATTCACTGATGCTATCATGCTTGATATGCTGCTTGATATCGTCGCCGGCGATTTCGTTCCTCACCAACGATCTATCAACGACGGCCTAGCATTTCAGCTCGAGATATTGGAGGTCATTGAGAAAGCCTCTGACGAGGCTGAGGCCGCCAAAACTCTTGCCAAAGCTCGCAATAGCTCTGCTATCTCTACTAGAGCAGAGCCAAGTAAGTGATCGTTGTCATGTTTCATGAATGTAACTAACATAAGGCTAGCAAGGAAGCGGGTGTCAATGGGTGATCGTCTCAAGGGCAAGAAGATCAAGATAGAGCTTTGATCGCGGGCACTATATAGACCCAAATGATCTCTGCAGTCCAAAGCTGATGGAAATGGCTCGGTATACTGATCGTCTGAATGGGAATGCGGATCGGCTCTTGAGGCTGTGTGGGTTACGCCTGACAGAGTCCTGCCTGGAGTGAATAATCGATTCCAGTAGGGTATCAAAGACGGCAGAATCAAATTTCTGAATATGAAATGCATTGAAATTTCCTGACAAAGTTGATTGAGCGCGCTGACAAGTACATGATTTTGATAGCAAGGACGTCGAGGTTGCGCCAAACACTAGAGCCATACACGGTTAGTCTCCTCACCTAGCGTCTTGCCTCCTCCACTATTCGTCACATCGAAGCAGTGAACACGGAATTCGCAAAATCGATACTCCATCATGGCCGAGGAGGAGGAATACACCAGTCCCATCATCCCAGATCTATACAAGCCTCCTGCCCTTCTACCAATTGCCCAGCTGAAAGACCAACTTCTCTACGCCATCGAAACTCATCCCGTGACCATCATAGTCGGCGAGACAGGGTCGGGCAAAACGACACAGATCCCTCAATATCTACTTGACGCTGGTTGGTGCAGCTCTGGATCCCAGATCGCAGTCACTCAGCCTCGCCGGATAGCAGCCACAAGCGTAGCAGCGCGTGTTGCAGAAGAGCTAGGAACTCCCTTGGGGCAAAAGGTCGGGTACTCGATCCGTTTTGAAGATGTCACGAGCGCGGCGACACAGATCAAGTTCGTTACCGATGGATTGTTGTTGCGCGAGATGCTGGTTGATCCGCTGTTGAAGCGGTACTCGGTCATCATGGTTGATGAGGCGCACGAGAGGAGTTTGAGCAGTGACATACTGCTAAGCTTGCTTAAAAAGGTGTTGAGAAAAAGGGAAGACTTGAGAGTCGTGGTAAGCAGCGCCACATTAGAGGCTGAGCGGTTCTTGGATTTCTTCAGTCCAGATGAGGGGGAGAAGGTCTGGGGAAAGACCAAAGGAGAGTATGGTAGGATTGTGGGAATACAAGGGCGGACACATCCAGTGGAAATACAGTACTTGGCCGAACCTACCAACAACTACATCGATGGGGCTGTGGAAGCGATTATGGATATTCACAAGAACGAAGCAGATGGGGACATTCTTGTCTTCCTGACTGGGCGGGAAGAGATTGATGACGCGATCGACATGCTTAGCGATCGAACAGCAGACCTCCCTTCCACACAACAGAAACTGATGCCTCTTCCGCTATATGCTGGTTTGCCAACGGAAGATCAGATGTTCACCTTCCAGAAGGCGCCCATGAACACCCGCAAAGTCATCCTCAGCACCAACATCGCCGAAGCCAGCGTAACAATCGACGGCATCGTCTACGTTGTCGATAGCGGCTACGTCAAACTGCGAGCCTACGACGCGCGCCTAGGCATCGAAAACCTCAACGTCGTCCCCGTGTCTCGGGCCTCCGCGACCCAACGCTCTGGCCGCGCTGGTCGCACACGCCCCGGAAAGTGCTTCAGATTATACACCGAAGCATCCTTCAAGACACTCGAAGAAACCACTTTCCCCGAGATCCAACGCTCGAACCTCGCCCCCGTCCTCCTCCAGCTTCTCAACCTGGGCATCACAAACCCCGTCCGCTTCGACTACCTCTCGCCGCCGCCCTCCGCACTCGTAACTCGCGCACTAGACCTCCTCTTCTCGCTCGGCGCCCTCGACACCAACGCACGTCTGACAAAGCCGCTAGGTGCTCGCATGGCCGAACTACCTCTCGAGCCCATGGTCGCCAGAACGCTGCTTAACGCCGCGAGTCCCGACTTCGGCTGCCTAAGCGAGATGCTGAGTATCGCAGCCATGATGACGCTGCAGGGCAACGCATTCGTATCGCATAACGACAACAAAGCACAGCTAGAGAAAGCGCGGCGCCGGTTTGCAGTCGCCGAGGGTGATCATTTGGCGCTATACAACGTGTTCACGGCGTTTGTGCAGGCCGGAATGGATGTGCAATGGTGTCGGGAGAACTGCTTGAATCATAAGTCGATGGTCAAGGCGGTCAGTGTGCGGAAGCAACTCGCTGCATATCTAGACCGGTTCGGGGTCAAGGAAAGCGTGCTGAGCGCGCCGGATGTGCTGCGTGTGGGTGGCAAGCCGTTGGCGGAGCGCGTGAGGAGGTGTCTTGCGACAGGCTTCTTTGCGCATGTGGCGAGAATGAAAACCGATGGAAGTTTCACCACGGTGGATGGGAAGACGACGCTTTGGGCGCATCCCAGTTCTGTGTTCTTCCATCGAAAGGCGGATTGGGTCATTTATACGGAGATCCTGTCGACGAGGGACAAGATCTATATTCGCGATCTGTCAAGTGTAGATATGGATTGGCTGACAGAGTATGCGCCGGAGTACTACAAAGTGAAAAATGGGCGGAGGTAATTGTAAGAAGAAGAAAACAGGGTATTGATCGAAGCTATCCAAGAGGTCCCAACGCCGCATTATATCCAAGTCGTCATCATCTGCCTATTTGCACGCCTCTACGAAGAGCTCTCGCATGCCTTTGAGGAATCCAGCCAGGTCACGTGTCTCGTTCAAACCCTCGACTACCCGATCCACCTCCTCTCGTTCAGCCTTTGGCCTGATCTCTAGCACTCTGTAATCGCGCTCTGACGTATCAAGCTCGAACCAGGCTTCTCGATCCCATTCGCGCTCATCAACGTTTGTGTACACGAACTTTAGCCTGTCGTCCTTCCCCAGACCCTCTATCCTCAAGCCGAGATAATTCTCCCAGAAGTCCAGTTCTGGCTCGTTGTAGCGCGATTGACCGTCGAGGTAGCGGCGGTGTTTGAGTTGTGCGTCTCTGCGCGCAGAGATGGTCTTCTGGATTTCGCTGATCTGAGAGCGGAGGGTGTCGCGGTGAGTCAAGCGCTCGTCGCGCTGTTGTGTAAGGCTGCTAATCGCTTCCTGCATCTCGGCCTTCTCTTGCGACTCTTTGGCGAGGTTTTGGCCGTGTTGGGTTTGCTTGAGGTCGAGAATCTCGATATCGCGCTTCTTCATGCGTTGGTCCTCTGCGTAACTCGTAAGCATTCGCCCGCAAATTCATGCCATCCGCGGAGCGTACCATGCAGCTCTGCAACATTCATGCGGAACTGGTTCCTCTCCTCCAATACCCTCCTTCGCCCATTCTCAATGAAAGCATCGAATCGTGATGTGAACTGGTTCATGCGGCTGCGCAGGTCGTCGAAGCCGAAGTTGATGCCGGGCAGCTGGTCTGCCATCGATGGGACGTCGTGAGAAGCGCGCATCGAGCTGCTAAGTGAGGGTTCGAAAGTAGTCATTTTTGCGACAATCTGCGACGAAGACTGTGAAGATTTGGGGTTGTTGGGGCCGCAAAAGGCGTCAGATGTGGTTCGTGATGAAGTACTGGGTGTTGTTATGACGGTTGCTGGGTAAACAAACCGGCCGCCCTAGCGCGGAAGGAGCGAAACGCCGCAGACAGAAGGCACGTGCGCACGAAACCTAGCGCGATTTTCCACATGGGCCCCACATGGGCGACGCACCTCTTCTTCACTCACGCGTTGCAGCCTATACGTCGCGTTCTACCTTCACCTCACCAAGCTACGGTCGATAGGAGTGTTCCAAAGCATGATTCGATTGCCGCAAACCACCTCGGATTACAAACCTTACGTCAGTCCAAATGGCTGACAGCTCGCTCCACGATCTGAATTACGGCCGGCCGGGGCTCAGAACATATGACCTGGACGACCGCGAATGGAATTCTCCCAGATATCGTACTTCAAATGCATTGAAGCAAGTCTCGCAGTGGCAGCTTTCAATACCCGCGGCAACAACATGTTTGCCTACTGGAGTATTAACAAACACAACAAAGGCACGCAAAGATGTCCGACGACTCACTCAGAACCACCTGCAGCTTGCTCCTGCTGCAAAGGAGCTGCCAGAGATAAATGCTGTGTCTGAGGCTGTGATATCTGCAGCGTCGACCTATGATCCCAATGTTGGCGATCTCTTGTCATTTGGCACCGTCTATCTGAAGAAGTGGGTCCGACCGAGACGAATCGCTGCGGCGCCCACTGGGCCTTCTGGAAGTATCTTACGCCTAGTACCGCTAGACCAGCAAAGGCAGGGTTGGGAAGGTGATAAATCTGTATGGCTCACCGGACCATCCTTCAGAATTGTTGATAGCGGCTATTGGAACGAAGAGGCAACACCCATCCAACAGATCTGTTTTGGGCACGCAGACAGCGGTAACAGCTTTCTTGCTGTGCGTCTGCTTTCGAAGACCGTGCTCTTTCGACCTTTATACCACCGTGGACGCCGAGCTGCTCCGTTGTCGCCGTACTACGATCTGCCGCCATCCCTCCTCTCTGCGCGGCCGATATTGAGCATCCTACCTGAGCAGACCGGAGGCGCCCCACATGCTGACGTATCCTTCAATCCCGACTATCAGTTCCAGTTCGGCATTGTCGACCAGCACTATCAATGGAGTCTCTGGCAGATTGAGAGAAGAGCTAAGAGGGAGGAGTACAGTGTGTCGCGTATGGTTAGGGGAGACATCATGCCGGAGCACAATGACACGGATGATGGGGACGGCTGGGCGAGGATCTTCTGGGCAGGCGACAGCAACACATTAATTGTGTGCAATCGACGTCACCTAAGCGTTGTCGGTGTCAAGGGAGAGACGTTCGAATACCTTCAGGCTCCCATCATCATACCGCAGCGCTCAACGGACTGGATTTTGGAGATCAGACGGCATCCCCAGCACCAGGATTGCTTTTTTGTTCTTACGTCAACGAGGCTGTTTTTGATAGCAGTGACGACGACCAGCGCAGCGATTGACAGCACGGTTGGTGAAGCTGGTGCGTCGATCCTTCTTTCTCGAAGACATTATCGTGGCGGCGAGGACATCACTTTGCAAGCGAGTGTCCAGACACTGGAAGCAACGACATGTCTGTTTATAACTTCCCGTCTGAACAAGCTTGTTCAAGTCTATCATTTTGAAGACTTTCCTCCGCACTCTGCTGAGCCCATCATCAGCACAGATCCAGTCACGTTAGGCTTTGAACCACCGACCTCCGCAGGTATAACACAATTGCACATCCAGCCACTCGAGTATGGAACGAAGATAGTTTCGAAGCAGCAACAACTGAATGCCGCCGCGCAGTCTTTCTTCGAGAAAGCAGTTCCATTCTATCAGCTCACGGTAGTCTTGGCAGATCTGAGTGTTTATCAGACTGTATTGCTGTCGTCGCAATACGATCCTGCTCCCGAGCCACTTGTATGGAGGAGAATTGTCGTTGCTAAACACTCCATCGACGCCAGGGCGGATATCGATGAGATGGGCAGTTTTGTGGAACCAAATGGTCCTGACTGGGACGCCGAACCCGAGTCAAAGCTTGAAGGACAATCGCTGCAGCTAGTGAAATGGTCAGACCAAGCACCTGCGCTGGCAACAGCGGACTGCACAACGATCTATGGGGCACTTGTCCGCGATGACCATGTCGCCGGCGAAAGCATCACTCTAGAGGCTCTCACTGATCAGGTGCAAGGCCTGTTGAGAGGAGACCTGGTCGGTCTTGAATCAAGGCATTTGTAAGTCAACTGATGTTTAATCATTTGCATCTACTTACGCACATTAGTATGGAAAACCTCGACAGCGTTCTAGTGTCTGACGTTGATGAAGGATCTGCGAAAGTTGATCGACTATTCGCAGATGACGGTCCACAAAACACTCATTCGCTGCGGCCTATTGCGTCCACAGCTGTCCTGCGTCTCCCCGAGACCGAGCATGCTTCTATTTCAGATTTGTATGACACTATACTCCGGGACTGGATTGCACCACTGCCAAAAGAAATTCCAGTCCCTGTGCGACAGGCAAAGGAACGTTTGGCTCGTCGCATTGCTGCTGAAGTCACCCTAGCAGGCGCGCAGCTGACCGTCAAAGAAGAGGAGCATTCTGCTATGGTTCCAGGCCAGTCGCTGTCGCTGCCCATTCTACCTTCGAATCCCCCCGATCTGTTGCCAACTCCGCCGCAGTCATCTGTGCCACCATCGTCGCCATCGCTGCCCGAGTATCCTCAGCCTCCTACCAGCGATCCTTTGTCGCGCCTACGCAAACACCTAAAGATCAACGACGACTCGGCCACGCCACCGATTATCATCGCTCCAAGCGTGTCAGAGTTGCTTTCTCACTGGCAGCCTGGAACCGATCCCAGTATCTACGACTGGGAAGCCACAGAACGCACACTCCGGCCTGAGATGCTGGATGAAGAAAGCCAAGAGCTGCGCGAGAGGGAGCGTAAGAAGAAGGAGCGAAGAGAGAAGCGGCAGAAGCGCGAAGACGAGCTCATGCGGGCAAAGTCTCAGACGACTACTCTACCTACTTTTGCGCGGCCCGCCATCCCGCGAAGCTCACCGGGTCCGACCTTCGGTGGCATGGCAGCAAGTAGTCAGGTAGCGATGCCGGCATCGAGCCAGGTATCGAGTCAAGTACAGGGACAAGGAGGTGGGTTCGGAGGTTTTGGTGGTGTGAACAGTATGGTACCGCAAAGTCAAGTCGAGCCTGGGAGATTTGGCGGCCGGCCTGACAAGAAGAAGAAGAAGGGCAAAAGCAGAGTCAGCGGATTTTGATGCAGTCTTTGTCTGTGGTCACTTAAGATAGTAGTAGCCTCGTAACGAAACTCGAATGAGACTAGTTCACCTTTAACCTCACCTTCACTCGCGTTGACACTAAAACCAAATTTGCGGCCTTGCGAAATTACTTCGTTCGCAGTCTCGCTTCCACCGACCTCACAACTGCTAATCAGCGACCCAGCTCGACAAGATGCCGCCGCCTTCGGCCATGGCTTCTCGGAAGCAATACGTTCTCGGTGATTTCGTTCGATTTGCGGAAGGCAGGTTCCCGAGCGATTACAAAGCGATCGCGGACCTCAACGCATACAAATTCAAAAGAAAAATCTTCATCGACGCGAACGGCCGCGCCCAGCGCGCTGAGATGCTACTTGTTGGCCACTACGCGCGGCGAAGCGGAGGGCCGTCGGTATGGGCGCTGGCAACTGGCTATTGCGTGCGATACTACCGCGGCGAGACAACGAAGGTCGCACCACTCACGCAAGACATACACACTTCCAAGATCTATTACGATCCGCCGCTCAAGTATATGGGTGGCTACAAGGCGTCGTCGGACCCACGGCCGAACGGCATGTCGCCAGCTCGCAGAGTTGAGAGAGATGTCGTCGAAGCGGCTATTCATTTCCTCTTCCTACTGAGCAACCGCTTAGAGACAACGTTCAACCTGCCTAACCCAAAACTGCTCTCGAACTTTAGGACGGCATGCCGGAACTATGCGAAGGAAGTCACTCGTTCCCGGGCCGCAAGTGTTGCTCTTATGGAAGAGTGTGAAGCTATCGAAGCGCAAAACTTGGCTCGTCAAACAGTGGTACAACGCAAGTCAGACGTAGTGAATCTTGTCGAGTCTGATGAGGACGAGATGCATGATGAGCAAGTCAATGAGTCTGTGACGCCTATTAACACCAGTACCAATCGCTTAACTCTCAATGTACTTAACACCAGTGTCAATCGCTTAACTCTCAATGTACGTGTCCTCTGTACGGGCCAGATATGACACAGACTAACCCTGATAGTCTCATATCGATACGTATGAAGCCAACATGCGTGCTCAATTCGAGCAGGATACGCTTGATATTCAGTCAGAGCTTCGATCTAAGGAAGCTGAACTTGTCGAAAAAAGAGCTGAGATTGAACAACTCAAATTTGAGAAAGATCAAGAGCGAAACATACTGTTGGAAGCTGAGGCTAAGCTCAAAATGCTGGGATTCGAGAATGACGAAAGTATTCAGGATCTGAGGGCTAAGCTTCACCTGCAGAAACTGCAAGCAGAACAATGGGGGATGCTCTGCATTAGGAGACAACAGAAACTTGAGCGCAAACAGGAGCGACGCAACCTACAAAGGCTGGCTATCGCGCGTGGAAAGCTTTGAGCGGTCACGTTGGGAAGAGAATCATGGCCAACAAAGATGAGAAGCAGTGTCATATCTCAAGCAGACCTAAATATATCGAGTGTTGCGGGTACATCTCTTACAGAAGCAGAGTCAGTGAAAGGTTACGCATGCTACATCATGAATCTATATACCATTAGTACCACTGATGAACCTGGAACATTCTCCCACAGCCTTGTCGGTATCGATCCGTCTATCTAGTGTTCCTGAGCTATCACACCGATCGCTACTGGTGGCCTATCTCCACGTTAGTCCTTTTAAGTCATTATACCCTTAGAAGCGCCTCTTGAGGCATATTAAGAAGGAAACGACAAGAAGCCGAAGATATGTTGAGATAGACAAGATATGCAATGAGCGGCAACGGTGGTAGCCTCGATTTGGGTATCAGGTCCTTAGAACATATGATAGCTTCCAAATGGCATCAGAAAGCGGCGGTGCGAAATGAATCGCAGTGAGTGTGAATGACCCAACTTAGACATAAAATTGACAGTCGGGTACTACAATAAGCTGGCTGTACGTGATAGAAGGAGAGCTATAAGCAATTCATTATTCTTTGGGCGGACTAAACAATTCTTCTAGAGTAGTGAACGCGGGAGGAGAGTAAGCGATTTTCAAGAGGCTAATCACACGTGGCCTCACCGCTCACACTCACTCTCACGCGTCTAATCCATAGACGATTCTTGATATCAGCCGTTCGCTGCTTACAACCACTCGTTACAACCTTTCTTTGACTCTACTTCTTGCACATTTCTCCCGCCGCCAGACAACCCAGTACGCGTCGTAAGTATGGAGCCAAAGGAACAGTACACACTCAGCGACTTTAAGCGCTTTGGACGCAAGGAATTTCCCATTGAATTCAAATACTTTCAAACAACCTACGCAGCAAGCTTCCAAAAAAGAACTTACCTTGACGAGAACAACGCCGTCCACAGTGTCAACGCTCTGCTCGTGGGGAATTATCATAAACAGCAGGGCCCTTCAGTCTGGGCCGAAGCGACGACAACTGGTGTCAGGTATTTCTTTGGCAACGCGGACGACTTAGTCACAACAGTAATCACAGAGAAAAATGTGAACCGTATATACTACGCCGCGCCTTACAATCGTTGGGTAGGGTCACAAAAAGGCAGACGCAGCTCCTTAGGAAAGAAAGCCGGCCGTCACATCGTCGAAAAATCATTAACGTGCTATTTCTGCTGGCTGGTCGGCTCGACGAAGTAAGCAATCCAAGCAAGACTGATATGCTGAGCAACTTCAAATACGTTTGCACGAACAGTGCGTCTCTGCCAGAAGACCAGGAGATCGCTCAATCCGCCGTCTTTCACCAAGCTAGGCATCCATCTGTGCAGACTGAGCACAACAACAAGAAGCGCAAGAGTTCTTTGAACGACCACAACCAGCGTATCAAGCAAGAAGACGCTGACACAGATGGAATTGTTGACGTGGACCATATGCCTCAGTCTCGAGATTTTTCAGTGCAGCATTCGTCTTCTCATCCGCCTATGCCGCACCGACCTACCGAGAGTCCTTACCAGACACCGTACCATGTACGTTAGCCCAGTATGGAGTATCAGAATATCTCGTTGCTAATCAAACTTCTGTAGGATCAACTTCGCAACCACGAAGCCGATTTGAAGTCGAAGCTTGAGCAAGAAAAGCAAATCCACGTTGAGCGGCTTCAAGATCTGCAAACCAAATTGGATGAAAAGAATTTGAGGATTCAGCCAGCCGAAGAAAAGCACATGAAAGAGAGGAAAAAGCGCAAACGAGCTGAAGAGCAAGTTGAGGGCGGCCAAAGCAACATCGCTTTACAATTGCAAGAGATAGAGGCACTGAAGAACGAAAACGCTCAACTGAAGACCGAGAATATTGAGCTCAAGCGTCAGCACAGCAACTGGAAGGCGACAGAAGTCGAGCTAACAAGCGCCGTCGCGCACCGAAAGTACGAACTGAAAAGGGCTTCTGCGGCAATTGCATGTCGTAATCAAACAATTGCACAACTACGCGGCAGAGAAGCGCACGCTGAATACGCCCAACATACGAGGACAAATGAATGGTGAAGAAGAAAGAAGAATGTGGTCACAAGCGAAACTCTTCTACACGAAGTTTGAAATTGGCGATACAAGATTGCAAAGCCGGTTGATATAGTTCTTGATCAACCATGCTCATACATGTAAATTCCCATGCTTAATGGAGGCTTCAAATGCGATGTATTGTGTCTTTCATCTGCCCTTTACTATTCGTCCACTGTGTTAACACAGCCAGTCATTGCTACCAGCTGGTACAGCGTATACAGGTCTTGATCCTCGTTACCACCGCTCGCACGTTCTCACTGTAATACTTAACACGCTAAGGAATCCTGAATGCGCTTCTCGATACGTTACCTACGCGTTTATTATCAGCAAACATTAGTGGATCGGTTTGGCGGTCGCGTTATGCTAGGGCCATCCGTGGCAGTTTCTGCCTACACAGCACCTTCACTTCTTCTCCACAGCACGAACTCAAGCATCACGCCTCTCTACACTCCTGCGAGTACTGACCTTACTTGTTTCATCATGACGGTGCAGGAGAGCTACACCCTCGGGGACTTCGAGAATTACGCGCGCAAAGAGTTTCCAGTGGCCTTTAAGACTGTCGCCAACCCAGAATTATACAGCTTCTTATCGCGACGCTTCAGTACCGACCCCGGCGGAACACAAGAAAGCGCAGTCCTTTACATCGCTTTCTCGTACTCTGAAAAGCTCGACATCCGCGTATGGGCACACTCCAACGGCACGAAGGTGCAATACTTTTACGAGGAACCAGGGACGCCGCTCATGTCCAATTCACCACCTTATCAGAATGAAGGTCTTACGGTAGTGAACACGTTCCAAGGACCCTTTGCACGTGTACATAGCTCAATGAAGCTAAAGTTGAAGAAAGTGCGAGCGCTGGCTAGAAAGAAATTTTCTTTCCTGGTTCAGCTCGCGTTTCTCGTAACTGGGCACATTGATAGTGTCGGGAACCCGGATCGACTGGATTTGCTTATGGAGCTCAAGGACCTGTGCATTCACCTGCATAGCAACAAGGTCGCCGAGGAGTCCGTAGTGCAGAGCGGTAGCGTCATTATGAAGGAAGAGAAGCTTAGGACGGATTCAGCTGGAGCAGTGTCGCCGATACTAGAGTTCGGGTGGCCTGCATCGTCAGTGTCACATAACGATCCTGGAAGAAACGCTGGTGTTGTGTTCCGAAGCGTCAACCAACCTCTTCCCAGCCAAGAAGATGCTAACATCGATTTGGATATGCAACGTAAGTTCACTATACAATCCCTGTGGTTCTCACTGAAATAAGGACTAGCCGTCCGCAAGCGCAAAAGAGCTGGCAGCTCCTTTGAGTCCGTCAGCTCAGCGGAGCGGGAAAAACCATCACCACAGCTCCAAGGCATCTTCGAGACGCTTGTCGGCGGGTGCAAGGCCGAGGCCGAAGGAAGATGGGCTCAAGAGAAGGAAGCGTTCCTGCAACAAATCCACGAGCTTAAATCTCAGCTCCGACAAGAAGAAGAAGGGACGAGGAAAGCAGAGGTAGAGAGTGGAGAGTGGAAGGAGAAGTACGTGAAGCTGAAGGAGAAGTTGGCGAGGCTAATGGGTGATGACTGAGTTGCAAGGAATGCTCGAGATCATAAGCAAGCAGAAGTGAGGTGACTCAAGGCTATCGCTGAGTTGTACGGCTGCTATGTGTTTCTCGTCCTGCACGACTCTCTGCGTTGCAGTACGTCTCGTGCATGATGAATTCTTTGACGGCCTTATAGAGCCAAGGAGCACCCAAGTAGGCGGTAGTTTAATGGAAAGCTATCAGACACTGCAGCGATGCATTGGTGACTTCGTCGCGCTTGCCATTCTTAACGCTCTTGATCCGAGGCACAAACCTCTCTGAATCACAATGATCCCACTGCTATGTAATCACTATCATCTTGGGTCAGAGAGTTCTGGGTCCCGGCTTGCGTAACTGGTCCCTGTATCGGACATTTTATATTGTAAGAGAGACCACAGAAGCACTCAGTTCGCATCTGCAAACTGTAAATACTATGCTGTATGTTAATATGACTCTTGTCATATATGCGAACGATACTCGTATCGACCTTCCTCATATTTCGACTTGTTTCAGGCTACTTTCTCCACGGTAGTTGCTGCTGAACTCACTACCTTGCCTCTCCGACTCTTTCATTTGCTTGCATTGAACTTCTAGTGTATCAAACACTCGTTTGTCTTTCTGTAACGCCTCAGCAATTGCCTTGTAGCCGAACTTGCTTATTCTGAGCTTCGTTTCATCCCCTCGACACCCGGAACTACCTCTGCTTATGTTAATTCAGACTCTCACTCTCGGTCATCGCAGACACCCTTCCACAGCTTTACTCGCCAAGCTATCTGCCCAAGCGGCCTTGAGAGCTCTCGCCTATCCTCTTACGGTCCCTCGACTAGGCTTGATCATAGATCCCTGTGTTAAACAAAGGCATTGCTCTCCTGGTGTCAAAAACCTTCGCACGGTGAACATCATAGCAGTTAACTTGGGCGGACAGAGCATCTCTCTTAACGCAAGCAGGTCTCACAGAGCACTAGAGTACGCAGTATGTTAGGCAAAACTACCGCAGTGACCTTGCCTAATCCCCATTCACACAATAGGTGTATATGTCTGCAGCAGTTACAGCATCTATGTCTACCAATAGTGTTTGCTCTGCATGGGTGCTTTGCCTACACAGCAACGTTACTCTACTATTGAACCACGCTAAGAGCTTTTATCTTTTCACTGCAAACTTGCTAGGTAAACAGAGTTCGCTTATTTATTAGCGCATATGCTCAACTGTTTTGAGTGTGCTTTCACTACCTCTATCAAGGCTTTCCTCCTTTGCAACGCACAGCGCGCGACCTGCTCTAGGACAACCAAGGTACCTTAGTAATATTGCTTCTTAGTTGTCTAGTACTGACTGACACTGCCGCAGCTTTCCAAACCCCTAACACCTCTGTCAAGATGGCTGGCTTCACGCTGGCTGATATCGTCCAGGCCGCCAACTCGTTCCCAGATGAATTTGCGGTCATCTCAGGCGACAACTATAGGTTCGAGAGACGTCGCATCTCCAACGGCGGCGAAGCTATGGTTGTCCTTGTTGGACACTGGGGCACAAGGCCTGCAAGTACTGTCAATCGCTTGTGGGCAGGGTGTGACAACGACAATGTCTATTACTACTCCGGCAATTCGCCAACAGTGACCGCTGTGGATCAACAACCATTCCCTTCTGGTGGACGCAGAAAGTGTAGGTTTAAGGATGTCGAGATCTTCAACCTGCTCGAGCCTCAGTCATGGCCCCACTATCACAACAAGAAGTCAAACAAGGAAGCTCGAGAAGTTGCCAGATCTCACCTTGGTCTTCTCGTCAAGTTTGCTTTCCTGCAGCATGGAGCCATCGACAACATCTCTGGAAAGACGGACGGCTCACTACTTCGGGAGCTCCGCGATATGTGCGCCGTTCTACTCCACCGCAAGGTCGCCCGGGAGTCAGCAGCACGTTGGCGAGCAAATTATTCAAAGGAAGAGGTAGCTGTACATCAGAGCGATGAAGATCAAGAGGAGCATGCACAGGAGAACAATGAAGGATACGAGGCGACTGCGTTGGACATCCACGAGCGCTATGATGATGATCGTTTCCATGAACTACAATCACAAGTCTTCCAGGCATGGCGTCAACTCAAAGGCGAACTCGAGAAAGAGAGAGTAATGCGACGCAAGACAGAAAAGCAGCGCAAGGATGCTGAAGGCAGGTTGCTCACGCGAGAGCAAGAATTGACCGATACCGCGCAACGAGCCAAGAGGAAGTACTCAGAGTTGAAGGACAAGTACGATGGGAGGGAGGAAGAGTGGCGGACATTTCTCAACTCTTGGACCACAAAGAAAGCAGACAAGGAGTGATTGTCGGAAGATACGATTTGTTTACAGGAGGTTCAGGCACAGCTCTGGCACAAAAGCACCTCAGGTCAGACATACGGAGTTAGCGACTTTATTGACCCTGCCTCACAAAGATGAGCAGTACGATTATACCAACTTTCCAATTGAAACACCTTATAATGTCTTCAACTCTCCACTCCCCCCATCCTATCTGCTCCACTTGACTCTTCACTGTCTCCCCCCACCTAACTAACCAACCCTGCCACATCCTCCGGCCAGCTCCCCAATACCATCGCACTCCCCGGCAAATGCCCCGGCTGCGGACTCAGCAGCCTTACCTTCCTCTTCGCCTCGTCCACATCCGCCACATACACATACCCACGCACACTACTGTCCCTGATAACCTCGTGACGATCATTTGGATTCGCCGTCGTGATGGCGAGCAGCTTGTTCGTCAGCGCCGCCGACGGAGTGACGCGCGAGTAGAGCTCGCGGCTCGCGGTGGGCGAGTAAGGTGTGTCTGAAGCGTCGCCGGCGTGGAAGGATGACGAGTCGTCTGTGATTGTCAGCTCATTCTCGCTCCATATCTGATTCGATAGGGTACATACTTTCGATGATGCGGAAGATGTTGAGGTCGGCGTAGTCGGCGGTCATGCTGCTGGGCGCCAGCGCGTCTTCGCCGTGGCCGAAGAAGTACTCTCGGATCTGAGCGTGGCGCAGTGCTTTCATGTATTCGGGGCTGCGGTCGACGCAGCCGCCGGATTTGTCGATGCGGATTACGCTGATAGGCTCGTCGGAGGAGCGGGCGGAGAATTTGCGGGAGAGGTCGGAGTATAGGCGTTCGGAGCCGATTGTGATGAGGATGTTGACTGTACGGTTGTCAGTTTCTGTCAGTCCGTGTTCAGGGCTGGTCGTAGGGACAGGGAGAGGGGCAGACTGCGTAGGGCTGACTGGGAGAAGGGAGAAGGATAGCGATGTCACATCACACGCACCAGAAAACTCGGAAACAATATGGTCTATGTTCTCGTACACCCCAGCCTTGCCCGCGCTGATGGTGCCCGAGCTATCGATAATGAAGCCTGCCTGCTTGCTCGCATTGTCCTCCTCTAACCTGCTCATGACAGCAAGCGCCATGCGCGTGACTAGCGGCTTGAACAGCTTCCCCTCCTCAGCGTCGTTCAGCCCATAGTGGTACACCAGCGGCATCTTCACGGGGATAGGGCTGGGCCCAGAGATTGGACTGCTTCCCCAACCTTCTTCTATATCCACGATGGAAGAGAAAGCTGCAGCTGAGAAGGAGCCGGGTACGCTCAACAAACCTTGCCTAGGATCGAGGTTGATGACCATGGGTTGGCGGCCGCTCTTGACCGCGTATGAAGCGAGCGTCTTGACGAGAGCGGTCTTACCAGCATTCCCTGCACCCACGACCAAGACCCTCGGGCCCATGTCGACGCTATTACTTGCCACGCTCTTGTCGCGCAGCATCTCAAGCGCAAAGTGAAGGTTTGCATGGCTTATCATAGGCGTCTCTTCTGCGACATAGTCCGACTCGACTTCACCGCCCAGCTCAAGCTTGCAGCCATGCCATGTGTATATTGCGCCCTTGGTGCCCTGGAAGCTGTATGTGGTGGAAGGGGCAAGCTCAGTGCCGAAATATTCAGCGGTCCCTGATCGCAGACGAACGGTCAGCGTGCGTGAAAAGCCAACCTCGAAGCGGTACTCGGTGTTGGCAGGTAGATCTTGTTCCCGGGTGACAGACGTGGTAGGTGCGCTGAGAGCCTCGGTAGGCGGCGCGGCCAAGTTGAGGCCAGGCAGAGATAGCATTGTCGTGCGGGTGTGTTATTGCTGGATTATTACGCGTCTGCAATGCGCCAGGAACGATTCGCGCCTCAACGCACGATCGTTAATCGAGATGTTATGGTGTATTGCAGTTTCGCTGCTGTGGTGCTAGACTCGAGAGGTCGTCAAATTGTCAGTTGATGTGGAGGTGGAGTTGGAAGCTTGACGTTGAAGTTGCGACGCGCGCCGGGCGATCACGCACCTGATTGGCTGAGCACCTTGACCTCCGTGAATGCCACTTGTCGACCGCGGGGAAGCCGCCAACTCACAGACATCTCCCAATCTATCACATACAAGCACACGCTGAGGGCGACCGCCGTCACTGCATGTTCTCTGGTGTTTGAATCTTCCCTTGCGCCGACCGTCCATTGTTGTCGCGCTATTCATCGCATTCCGTAGCTCTTAGCAGGCCCTCGCCAATCGTCACATGTCATCGCGCCCACTCTTGTTCTCCACATACACACGCATACAACTATCAGTATGAAGTCGCTATTCCTACCGCTATCTCTAGGCGCTGTCCTTCCTGCGGGATTCGTGGCTGCGTATGATGATGTGGTCCAAGAACCTCTTCGAAATGCCATCGATCCCACCAAGTACCGCGCAGCATGCCCAGACTACAAACAATACTCGATGCGCTCACAGTATGTCTAAACTCACTCTTAAGACCTGGCGTTGATCATTCGCAGTCTACCCTATAGCGAAGGCCCTCTCGAGCTCCCATTCCAAAGACCGTCCAAATACTGCCGCACATTCGAATCGCCGTTAGTTGAGACAGTAATCCAGAACATGAACAACAACATGGTGGACAAAGATCTAGCTCGCATATTTGAGAATGCTTTCCCTAACACATTAGATACGACTGTCCGCTGGCACGTGGACAACACCCCGCAACACAAGCATGGATCAAGAAGCTGGGAGAAGGGCGCGTGGACTGGGCCACAGAGTTTTATCGTCACCGGCGATATCAATGCTGAATGGCTACGCGACTCGACGAACCAGCTGCAGCAATACCAACCACTCGCTAAGAAAGACAAGGAGATCTTCAAGCTGATTCTGGGAGCTATCAATACACAGGCGGAGTACGTCATTGGCTCGCCATATTGCAACGCTTTCCAGCCTCCAGCACCGAGCAACCTGAACCCAACGTTCCAGGACCAAGCCGATGCCGTACACCCAGAATATGAAGCCTCTTTTGTTTTCGAATGCAAGTACGAGCTGGACTCCTTGGCTCACTTCCTGTCTCTGGCCAATCAGTTCCACCGGCATACTGGCTCTACCGCCTTCATCAATGCACGCTGGCTGCAGGCCCTCGACACCGTCTTGTCTGTCCTGGACGAGCAATCTCAGCCGACCTTCGACGAAAAGACCGGCACCTACCACAAGAATGCGTACACCTTCCAGCGCCGCACAGATATCGGCACTGAAACCCTGGCGCTTGGCGGCGTTGGCAACCCCCTCGCATCTGGTACAGGTCTCGTGCGCTCCGCCTTCCGCCCCAGCGACGACGCCACGATCCTTGGCTTCCTCATCCCCAGCAACGCAATGATGAGCGTCGAGCTGCAGCGCACAGCCGACATCCTCCACAAAGCAGGAAAGAAGAACATCGCCGAGCAGCTCTCAGCCTGGTCTGAAAAGATCAAGAAGGGCGTCTGGGAACACGGCGTGGTAACTCACAAGAAATACGGTCGCGTCTTCGCCTTCGAAGTCGACGGCTACGGCTCCGCCATCATGATGGACGACGCCAACCTGCCTTCTCTGCTCGCGCTCCCGCTGCTCGGCTTCATCAAGGCGGACTCTGAGGTCTACAAGAACACGCGCCGCATGATCCTCGAGAGGCAAGGGAACCCGTACTACCTCTCCGGCGCCGGGTTTGCCGGCATTGGCGGCCCGCATATCGGCCTGCAGCACGCGTGGCCGATGAGCGTGCTTATGCAGGCTATGACGAGTGACGACGATGCGGAGATTTTGCAGCTGTTAGAGAGCGTGAAAAATGTGAGCAGGAACGGTTTGATTCACGAGAGTATCCATGTCGACTTTCAAAGAGACTATACGAGTAAGTATTCTATGTCTACTCTGCAGATGTGTGCTGACAGCCGCAGGACCTTGGTTTGCATGGGCGAACTCTGTCTTCGCGCAGACCATCCTCGATCTCGCGAGGCGGAAGCCACATCTCCTCTTTGGCGAGGGCGCAGATCCGTATGCACTGGACTAGAAGCCCGGGGTCGTAGCGCGTAGTGGTGGCTTCGAAGAAGCTGGAGCGCGCGGCGGCGACTATCTCCTGGCCTGTATGTCGATCGTGCTCGGTTTTGCTAATATTGTTGCTTGCATGCTTGTAAGTCACAAGGTTTGACTGCTGGTGGTACCCAAGTAGGCGGTGACACCGGCGTTTGGGTAGACTTTTGCAGTAGAACAAACGTCTCGAGAGTTTTGGTGCTGTCGTCCGTCGTTGATAGATGAGGACCTGAGACAATAGTGGCAGCTCTTCATGTGACGTCCAGCAATGCTCGCGTAGTCTTCCTACCAATCCTACCGTCCCTCACACATCCGGCTGATAATGTAACCTGAACTTCCGATTCGCCCTATCCGGCGCCCTCGTCTGAAATTCCTCCCCACGAATCTCAAACACCAGCGGCTTCTCCTCGCCCTCCCCTCCCTCACTCAACACCGGCACCTCAAACCGGAACACCGTATGCTCCTTAGGCACACACTTCACCACGTCCCCCCTCGTCACAATCTCAAACGTGTACCGCGAATCCCGCACCACAATCCCCTCCAGCCCAACGCGGCTCACGCACCGACTGCGCACCACCCGCAGCGCCGCGCCGTGCATATCCGCACTCGCCAGCATCTGCCCCGCAGATGCAGGCGTCACGTACGCCTTGTGCGCGCCCAGGCCGAGGATCTCGCGCACGTAGCCTGTCCAGAGAGTATGAAGAGGCTCGTATATAGCGTATTTTTGCTGCTCCTTGGGGATCTCGGTGAGGTTGAGTTTGCGCTTCTGGGCGGCGGAGAGGGGTCGTGGTTTCTGGGTTCGTTTGCGGGCGTTTTCTTTGCGTGCGTTGAGGGCCAGGCGCCGGGTTGCGCGTGCGGAGGGTGTGGGGGATGTGGGTCGGATGGGGAGAGGGCGCTTGGTGATGCGCGTGTTGTAGTGGGATTCGGCGGTGGAGGGGGAGAAGGCGCGTTGGAGGAGGGCTTGGGCGAAGGGGAGGCCTGCGTCTTCGGCCATGGTGGTGATGGTTTTGGTGCGCGAGCGGGCGGGCGTCGTGGTGAGATGCGGACACAGATCTGAAGGTATTCAAAGATCAAATCTTAAGAGCCCATTAATCGTGCGCCTGGAGGTTCCTGGCTTGTAGTAGCTTTGTGGTGGTGAGTCGTCAAGCTTCGACATGTACAGTTGCGGGAGCTAATAATTAAAGTGGGTCGGTGCACGGACTCCTCGTCATCGCTCCTTCCTGGTTGACTTGTTACCAGCTCTTCACGTTAGTAGTCACATCTCGAACAACCTCGGATTGATGAGGGACAGAATCGAGTATCAGTCGTGTGCCGCATTCTCGGCTATCGTTGGTCTATGATAGCTTGAAGGACCGCCATTTACACTCAAGAATAGCGTCACTCTCTTCTTTTCGAAGCGTCATCCAACTATCATCTCCACTGCCATCATCCCCTTCTACCACCATCGGCACACGATGTAATACTCCTAATCTCTGATACGTACTGTCCTTACAAGGTCGAAGTACTAGTCCTCTTACATTGACTGCCTCCGTACCGGCATCAAATGCGTGTCTCGTTTCAAAGAAAACAAGGACCGGCCAAGTACCAGATAACAGTTGCGATCCATCCCATTCGGGTTCCTCGGGCAGAATGATGTTCATGACAAAGGCAGATCCCACTATCAGACGGCCTGTGTGTTCGAATACTAACAAATTAGTTGTTGCATTCCAATCCTTACGGAGGGGAGAATTGCGAGGGCAAAATCTGATCATAGTGATCCATCCATCGATATTCAAGAAAGGCTGGAACCTTGAGCAATACTCTGAGATGCTCCTTCGTTCTCCAGAGATCTCTTCAATTGCGATATTCATTTCCTTGTAGTCGCCTCCACTGGTATACTCAAATATGTCTCCAAGACGTAGCCCCTTCAAACCCTGCCATGCTGCCCAAGACCAGGAAGGTATTCCCTCTCTCCTTATCAGATGATTTGCTTCAATCTCACCAACTGGTTGCCATCTCAGACGTTGCATTAGTTCGTTGCCAGATGAGTTGCTATATGACACTCGGACCGGTGCGCCCCAACAATGTTGGAAAGAGCAGCTTTTGATCACCGCTAAGAATGCAAGTAGGATGTCTGTGTCAAAGGTTAATTGTCTCCGTAGGTACTGGGACAATAACTCTTCAAACATCTTTTGACCAAAACCCCGATGAACAGTAAGAGCTTGCTGGCTAGAAGCTAGTGATATCACAGCTTCCCTCCGCTCGTCAGTCGAAGAATTAAAGACCCCTGATATGCTTTCGCAGCAGTGCCAGACTCTGCATTGAAAGTAGACCTGAGATGGGGTGAATACAAGCCTCCGAGTCGACAAAAGCCCTTCCTGGAAAGTCCAACCCCTGCTTGCCCATTTACTTTGCTGAATTTCTTTCCTGCACGAGCGGACTCTCACGATTGAGCTCCCATTGACAGTGATATACTGCTGCTGCTTGCGGGGTACATTTGACACTCCGGGCAGACCATGGTATGAGCTGTCTCCGCTAGCATTGACTATAGTGATTGAGGCGCAGCCATATATCCGATCCATGTTCTGGATGAGTAGATGCTTACTCTCCGAGTTCTGGTCTATACAGTAACGGTCGACCCAGAGATAGAGAAAGCCGAGTTGTTGCGCGCAATACATCGCATCATCGACGACCTGAGGCGCTGGAGATGGAAGTCTATTGTCGAGCAAAGGGAGGTCCGATGTCGTGCTTATGCCCCAGACGTAGCTCAGGGCAGCATACTCGCACCCGCGAGGCAAAGGAACTACGCTGCGTGAAACGCAGTCAATGACACAAACATCGCGAAGGGATAATTCTACTGGCCGGCAGTCGTAACGTTCGTGGGTTGCGTAGCATTGACCGACCCAGCTCTTGACAAGGTCCCAGTCAATCTTGTCCGGATCGATTATACGGGCATACCTTCGCGGCTCGTCATCCACGCGCGATCGTGCTACGCACACCTTCGGCTGAGCGCGCGAAGTTAAGCCAGGAATCGTTCGTTGAGACCTCGCACCAGATACGAGCCACGCAGACTTCTCCTCAGATCCACGAGATCTACTGGATCCTGTGACCTGGACATACATGTGTTGGAATTCTCCGGCCGAGCGGATCTCTATCTTCTCTCCTAACTCATAGTCAAGAGCTCTGCATCTCATCAGCACTCTTCATAGATTACGGCGAGGCCGCGTGGAGTACATTTCTCGAAGCATTTTGCAACAATCGCAGCCGGCCGAGCCTATGGACATACGGTACCAATCGCATCTCGAGTCGAAATCGAAGAGCGCGGTCCAAGGAATTTTCGTACAAACGTCGCAGAACCCAGTATCAGGCGTCATCAGAGAGCTAAATTATCTGCTCAAATTTCGTGGTTCGTGAGGATGCCGGAGGAGGAAAGTGTGGGGGAGGTCATTAGGCTGTAGAGGTTGAGGCGAAGCTGCTGATGCAGATAACACTACTGCAAGTCGAGCCAATCAAATACAAACGAGGAAGCAGACGCCGTAAAAACATATGATGGAACATATACGGTGTACATATCTGCTTTGAAACATCAAATGTCTTTTGGACCATGCTGATAACTCTACCCTAGGCTTTGAGCATTGACAAGCATGGTCTCATCATGTCCTCTCTTCCAATGACTCGGCAACCTCATCGCCGACATCAGTCTTTCCAATTGCTGCGCCTCTACGCTGCGGGAAAATTTGGGGTTTATGGAACCAGGACAACCTTGCTGCCGCGATGCTCCAAGACTCTGCATGCCGTCCTCGAGGCCAGAAACCTCGCACCAATCTTGGCTGCGCTACTGAAGCGATCAAGAGTCCTAGACCACGAGGCATCATCTCCGTTAGGCAGAACAGAATTGTCGTTAGAGTAGCCAAAGGTGGTAATCTGAGCCCGACTTAGTCTCCACCCTAGGTATATGTACCGGTGAAAATGTAGTCAGCCCAACGACCACATGGCGGCAATCATCCTATTGCGTCCTATGCACCAGAGCGATCACAGCTTCGTCCCTAGACCGCCCTGAACCTTCTGCCTCTCCTGTATGTACCCATTCGCGACAGGACTCCACCCCTGGCTCGGCATCTGCGGCATAGGAAACGGAGGCTTTCTCAGGTTATTCGTGAAGAACACCGGATGCCGTGTCGCAGCATCGTAAAAGCTCTGTACAGGAAACGGCGGTGCTGTGCGATTGGGCGGCATGGCTTCAATTTGCGACTTGGGTTTTTGAGGATTCGGCGGACTATGTGAGGATTGCTGTTGTGGCTGTGGTGGAGAGTGGGGCAGCTCGTGGGCTGCGCGCCGCTGCTGATAGGCGTGGTTTGGCTGTCCGGATTGCTGTGGGAGCTGCAAGCCTGTCAATACGTATTCATAGAGGTGACTAAACGAGACAGACCCTTGGACGCGACGGTTGTAGCGACGAGAACATGTTGGATTGCTGGTGTGATGTTCAATCAAGCTCACACTAAGTTGCGATCGCTGCGAGCGGAACCGCGACTGTGAAGCTGTGGGACCTCGGCTTCGATTTCGGCGACGTCATCTCAATCGGTTTGTGAAAGTCGAATCCGCGCAACGTTATTATCACCATGCACCTATTGCGCGTTGATACTATCCTGCATTGTGTTTGATTCATCTAGTCTTGTTCTTGTCTCATCATAACATCGATCTCATTGTCTCAGGTCGCTGGCCTTGAAGAGCGGCACCCCAAATACCAATCGTCAGGCTCTAGTGTCTCCTCATTTTCCGAGCTCAAGTGCGGTTGTCCGCCTTACGAACGGTCTCTATCGCCTTGTACTTCTCCTGTAGATTCCGATACTCCTTCCTCTGCTCGTTATATTTATCTGTCTCGTTCAGTGTCTTGATCTTCTCCTTCACAAGCTGCGCTTCCAGCTGTTCGATGTCTTCGCGGTTCTTGGCCTCAAGCTCGTCGTTCTTGTCCATCATCTCCTTGGTGCAATGCCGACTTTCGACGAGCTCGGCTTTGAGGCCTTCGATCTCCGCCTTCAGCGCTCTGAGGTCCCGAGCTACTTCATTCTCTGCTCTGGCTTTGCAGACCGAAAAGATTGTGTCCATGACATCTTGTGTCTGTGTCTCGAGCTTCTCGACAAGCTCAGGTGGGTCTGAATCATTGAACCAGCTTAGACCAACCTTCTCCGAGGGTGGCTGTGTGTCTTCTTCACGACGCGCACGCTTTGTCGGGCCTGTAGAGATTGTCAGAGAAATCTGGAAAAAGAGACGAATGGAATCACCTCTGTACTCTGCTTTGCTCGCGCTCTCCCTTGTATGGATAGTCCGATTTGGTCGGGCGCGAGTCTTTGGGCTACAAGGAACAGAGGGTTGGTCGCGCTGGCTTGGTGTCGATGTCTCAACCCTATCGTCTTCCACTTCAATCATCGACTGAGCTTCAATTTCTTCTTTGGCCTTGTTACGGCGAATCGTGGCGCAAACTTTCTCAAGCTGTCTCACCAACTCTGTCTGACCTTCATCTGCGATGTTGTTGGTACGTCCTGTCAACAAGAAAGCAAATCTCACGAGAAATGCAACTCCGACGGTCTTAGCCTTGCGGTCCTCGAGTCGTCCTTTTTCGGACCCAGCTTTATTCGCTGTGGGAGCGATGTATTTGAAGGGATCCAAGTTGTCATGCCGATATCGTGTCCTGCCAGTGTGCGGGAACAGGTCCAGGTCGAATCGAACGAGGGGCAGCTCTTCTGATTGCAAAAAGTAGTACTGTATAGATCCGCCTCGTGTATGCGCATACAGTGGCTTGAACGTATTAATGCTGACGCCGGCGGTGGGGCAGACTATGCCAATGAAGAGCACGTCTCGCTCTTCTCCCTCAATGTCTAGTGTACTGAAATTGTAAAGATCTGTATGTCTGACTGCTTCGAAAGCGTCCGGAAATTCTTCTTGAGCATGCTGCTTCAGAGTGTCTAGCAGAGGGGAATCGCTGCACTCCATTTTCAATGCCATCGAGAACCTTCAACGCCCAGCAAGTCTGCCTCAGAACCAGTAAGTGTAAGATCAACCGCGAAGCAAATGTGACTCACAGTAACAGTAGCTCTGTCTCGTTATGCGCGGTCCTGGTGGCACGTTCGAAGTTGGAGAGTGGAGGTGAGAGTGCGACAGCCAAAGCTCGCAATATTTAACCAGTGGTGGCGGGGAGTGTGGGGCAGCCTAGCTTCACTGCGTCTGTTAAGTGAAGGGGAGGACGGCACGACATGACAAAGAAATACCTGAGACGAATCACATATGGGTGGTTATAGGTGTCTAGGTGACAATACATATTGCTGACTAGCTGAAGTTACTTAGGTATATCTATAGATAGCATCTATATGCTCGCGACCAGTATGTTCCACATGAGGCGTTGAACGACGACGCTCGTTCCACAGAATGGGTGTATGCTAACCGATCGCAACCAGTCGCTTTGGTCTTCCCTTTTGATATCAACTGGATTGGCCGCTGGTGTATCGCTTGTCGCCGTCGACAGCCCCTTGTATCACTCATCTCGACGGGCAAATCGAGACAACCAAAGCGTCAGGGTATGTTTCTTTGCCGGTTAATCATGTCAGCTGAAGACTTAGGTCTTCCTAACAGACGTACAGGATCTGCCTGCCCTCTAGCTGGCACCTCAGCTACAACATGGCTTATCTCATCTTTAATCCTAGCGGACCTTTGACTATTATATTCATGCTTGCTTGTTTGTATGTTAGATATTATGGCACTCCTGCGTGCATGGGACTAGGAAAAGGCAGAATATCAAAAAGAGGCATGGCTGGATTTTCGTTGTCACCACGGTACCAAAGTCACTGAAGCCAAGTGGCTGTCCCATAGATTGACATGTTTGCGAAAGCCTCTCTAGTTCATATGTAACGTTGATAAGGCCGGCAAAAGATTGCTTATACAGTTCTTTCGTACGCCGAAATAAGCGTAGGCTTTGCAAGAATGGATCAGGTCTTGCCTCCAGGCGATATCACCAACAATCGCGTTCTTATCAAGTCAAATTCCACAAAAGAGAGTTGTGCAAAGTCCAAAATGAGGTAATGTTCGTGCCAGTGTGCCTGGGTGCGCTCCTATCGCAGATTGCTTCCATTCGACGCACATTCACCTCCGATTTGCGGCCGCTAAGCCGACGAGTGCCACCACGTATAAGTAGTCTCTCACCCCGCTCTCCAGCTGCACCACCTAACCGCAATCATGCCACCCAACCTCGACTGTATGACTTGTCTCGGCAACGGAGAAGCGATGCGCAGAGCAAGGGAGCTTTGGACGTCCATGAAAGCCCAAGGCTACCATGACTTCGCCGATATGAAGGTCGAGAGCATCTGTTTCATGCTGTAAGTACCTCTATTGGTGCGAGAATAAAAGGCTGACAGGACCAGGTACTCGCAAGAAGTACACGAAGTGAGCCTTCCTGCTCGACACGGGCGTACCAGCACTTCCAAGCTTGACAAGACCATGCTCAAGGAAGTCTTTGCAAGTCACAGGAAGAAGCTCAACGAGACAATGTCAAATGATGACGTCTTCTACGCATTCATGGCCACTGGCGTTCTCCCTGAGGCAATGTATTCGTCGAGCACTCCCACGAATCCTGCCAATGTCTTCAGTCCAAGCGCGCAAGACACGCAGCCCGCCACGGGTGGCGAGACCTTCCTCCAGACATCTGGCACAGTGCAGAATACCTCACACGAGGAGCCGCAACCCAAGACCCCGACTCAAGAGCAGGGGCCCAAGACTGAACTGCCGCTCCGTCTTTCTGTTCACCGCTATCACGACCAGGGTTCAGGACGCTAGGGTTGGAGTTAATGTTCTTAACAGGTCAGGGCAGAAAAACGCAGGTCAAAGGGCGAGCACAGGACGACAACCAATGAGCGCGATCAGTTCTGATCAGGTGTGATAAGGCGGAAAGACAAAGGTTGCGGGTGAGCATAAGAGCCCTGGGAGGTCCAAGTCTCATAAATCAGATATCGAGACAGGACAGTAAATGCATTCAAACTTGAAACTGTCTTGTCCTTACTATAGTGCCGCCTTGTAAATGTTAACAACGCACGTGTTAAGAACTTGCTATGCACATAGATTTACTCAAGACTGATTACACACAACACTGCGAGCAGATTGACCTATCTGCCACTGAGAGCTAAGGCGGGAAAGATTCACTTGATCTAGCGCTGCTCTGTTTGCTTCTGGGACCATACAGAGCGACTCATCTTCAAGTGAGAGTGAAGCCGAAAGTTGTGCGCTCGGGTCCACCTGACTTTATTATAGGATCGACGCCGGTTCACGAACAAAGTCGTCTACCACTCTATCTCATCACTAGCTTCTTACGCAACCATCCAAAAGATCCAGCGTGGAAAGCGACGTGCTCCAGGCCAGATTACCTAAAAAAGGGTGGCCCATCTTGCACGATCTGAATAGAACAGGTCGCAAGCTCCAAGAGTTGGCCACCGACACAGCCAATGAGGTAGTCATACGCACACGTCTATACAACGAAAACGCAATCGCTCGTCTCGAGCAAGTCCTCTACCCCGTAGGTTCCCCAACGTCGAACAAGACCTACGCATGCAATTCATCCGATCTGAGAGCTTGCAGCGAGCGAACATGCTGCTTGTCTGCCACGCGCTAGACAAGGTCACTGGGCTCTGGCAGAGCGCCGAGGCCCGCGCCCGCCAGGCCGAGGAGTCGGCGCAAGAGGGGCTACAGCGAGCCGACGGACTTGCTCTGTACGTTCGAAGAGACCCGATCCAGTGCGTTGGTGAAGAAAAGGCTGCTCGTGCCACCCCTCCGGTGACCGTCAGGGTCGAACAGGCACCAGCAGACATTCCCGAAAGCGAGAAAGCTCGGCTCGTCGACGAGTTCGCGATACAGATTGCATCTGTATCCAAAGCCGTCCGAGCTGGCTGGAGGCACGGAGTTGAACAAGCTCCATCATTTTTGCGTCGACCAGATGAGGACGCGTCGAAAAACAAGGTATACACACAGGCAGAGTTTGACTCGGCACTGGAGCACAAGCTCCAGCTACGAGCACAGAGGTACGATACAGAGAAGAACAGCCAAGTGGCTATCTGAATACATGTCACGATGGTGTCATGCCCTGCAGAGAACCACCAAGTGCCGAGTTACTATCTGCCTGAGGACGGATACAACCTGCAGGGCTCGCAAGGCAAGCTTGCCAACCAGGTCGCCAACTAGGTCTTTGGTAACAGGCTGTAAGTGCTACATCTGTTTTGTTCTTTGGTTGACGCTAATATAAACAGACACAAGAACAAGCGCGGTAAGTGGTCTAAGGCAGAATAGTCGACGCGCTCTCAGAGCCGGTTCGGCTTTCTGATCCACCCAGGCGATGAGACACAGCAAAAGACATACTTTAGGCGTCTGCACGAGAGATGCGCCATGCTGCGAGACGCTCACACCCACATCGTTGATCTGAACGAGAACATATTCTATAGCGAGTTTCATGGACACGCGTCGAACGGGAAGTGGTGGTTGGCGTGCAGGTGTGTTAGTGATAAGGAACAAGCTTGACGGGATTGAAGTTGGTGTAGGACATTTTGCTACACTTGTGAGAATTCCTTCCATCTAACTACGGATCATGCTGCATTATAGAGCTGAAGTAGGTGCACGGCAGGATTTGTGTAAATCAGATCCCCAATCATGCAGTGGAAACATGCCGTCGCTACATCCATACGGTGTTCGAGATGTCAAGTGAGAACAATGGACAAGCTTCTGTGCACTTCGAGCATAGGTATCTGTGATCGCGGCCAATATCTTTCTAGCCCATCTTCAATCTTCTGCGGCTTGATAACTAGCTATCTCCTTGGCCTGTCCTCGCTGAGAGACCTTCATGTCTTCTTTGCGTTACCTAAATCTCAGGCAGAGCTCTTCGAATCCTACATTATCTGCAGCGGATCCCTCATCAAAGTCCGTGGTGTCCTTCTCGAGGACTTTATATTGATGTGTGCTCATGAGTTGGAACCCTAACAGCGCCTGCTTGACGACCTTTGTCGTGGGCCGTTGCGAGTATCGTTGGCGCCCCGCTTGGATCCATCAATGGTGTGGTTGGTCAGAGGAGGCCGAGATTGAGTGCCAGATAGAAGAGGCTCGGGTCTGCTCTAGGTCCCCAGTCTTTGGTACAATATGAAGTGTGTTAGTGCATAATTAGCCTTAGCTGTCCAAAAGTGACAGTTGACGTATACGACTCCAAAATGGTTAGATGATGCATTTCGACAAGGAAGTCGCTTGGTAGAGTGAGGACATCGCCAGGATGTCACGGAACAGGCGCCGGGTAGTGATGGGCAGGTGCGGCACATGTCGAGAAGTCACCTTGCGCATAGGGTTAGGTGCTGCAATATCTACAAGGAGTCCGTCCTACATAGGTACAAAGCAACCGCGGTAACAATGCCAGTCCTTACAAGTTCCTGCGACTCTTTTAAATTCACGAATGGTGCACGAACGGTATATGCAGTACGAATTTCCTTGATATGTAAGATAGCCATGTTTGCGGCAGAATGTGCTGCATCTTTAAGCTAACTTCCTGGAAAAGCCCATCGTGTGTCTTCTACACGTCAAGTGTCTTCTAGGTACACCTTTGTCGGACCCTCCTCCGCCACACATCGAAGACTCTGCACCTAGGTCAAGGACTCAAAGAACCCTGCCATAGTCTTAAGCTTGTCAATGTGCTCGTCAGTCTTTGACTTCCCCTCCGCCAATTGTCTCTTGAGATCAGCATTCTCAGCCTTCAAGCTTGCGAGCTCGACCTGATAACGAGCCTCGGCATCGAGGCCTCACCCTGGAGACGAGCGATGTTGGTCTTCTCGATCGCAAGCTCACGCTGAAGACGAGATGTCTCGGCTTTGGCATCCGCGAGCTCACGTTGAAGACGAGCGGTTGTAGACTTCTCTTTGTCTAGGTTAGCACGAAGAGCCGCAGTGTCGTTCCGCAAAGTGTTCTCGCGATGGGCGGCTGCGGAAAGCTCTTTCTTCGATATATCTTCGAGAATCTGGACGGACTCCTCGATCTCTCTAATCTGCAACTGGTTAGTAACGAGCAGAGCTCTGTACGAACGCTGGACGTACACATGCGAACTTGGTCTTGGCTTCTAAATGCTTGCGTTAGTCATTGGCGAGCAGAGTGGTGAATGCACTTACGATCTTCCTTGTCTGTCATCTTGTCTGCTGACCGCTTCCGGGCACGCTCAGCTTCGTAGCCATACCGAATCTTCTTGCACACGTCTGCCATTCGAATCGCCATATCCCAAGGCTGTTGTTCGACTCCGTTGGTCAACATATAGACGAACCTGACGAAGGCGCCCAAAGCTGAGAGGGCGTTTGGCATCAACCGACTGCTTGATCGCGCTAGATGAGCAAACGGCATCCTTAATCCCTCGAGGCTTAGATCATCTAGTTCGAGCGCATCCCCAGCGCGGAGCACTAAGCCCTCAGAGCCGATGACGAAGAAGACGCGGTGTCCATCAAGATAGGCCCCTTGCACCCTGAAGTGCGTCTCGGTCTGGTCAACGTCTTTCGCAAGTAGAAGAGACACTGTTGAATTCGACGGACCCGGGAGGGACTCGAAGACGTACTGATCCGGGTCTGAAATGTTATCGTATACGTCTGAGTCAGCCTGCTTAGCCGCCTTCTCAATGTCTCGCAGAGTGCATGGCTTTGGGTTCGACATGGTCTTGTGGAAGATAGTTCGAGGGATTGACATGATCTTGTTGAGAGGATCAAGCATGGAGGTTGAGTGACGAGGTAAGCAGTGGGCCGTCGAGCGATATAAGTACTCGCACCCCCGGCTGCAAGGCTCTAGCGGGACAAGGTGAGAGAGCAACAAGTGAGAGTGGAGGTGAGATAGCGGCCGGTAGCAGCAGCCGACAAGCGGTGAGCCGACGGACCTCGCGTCCCGGGAGCTAGCAGTGTTGGCCACAAATCTATTTTGGCGTTGCTATGGACGGTTCATCGTGATTGTGCGCGTCGGCTACAGAATCGCTCAGAGCCCTCATATCGCTCTTCAGCAGCTCGTGCTTGGTCTTTCAATCGTCCTTGAGCTCCTCGATCTTCTACGCCTGCTGCCCTCTCAATCTCTCTGCAGTCTTCGGTTTCTTATCGCTGTCAATTGACATCTTTCCCATAGTCGTTCATATCTGCTCAGCAAGTTGAGTCCGAAGATCCAAGATCTCCTTCTGACGTGTCTTAGACAAAGGTTGCAAGGAATCTCGGCTTCGCACATGTTCAGTGTCCCAGTGAGCTTGACAGCTTGTGTGGAGACTGCTTCGAAGTAACAACAAACGAAGACACGAAGAGTTAATGAACATATAATCGTGATTCTTTCCTTGAGAATTTTGTCCGTGTGGAGCGTATAGTCAATGATCTAGCATGCACATCGCTTCATGCCAGGCGTGGCTCGACGATCATGCTTGGGGATGAGTGAGCCGCGCTAGCTTACCGAAATGGTGCCTTACAGCGGTCTGGTCAGCTCGAAGATACTTTCCCAGCCGGGTTGAACGTCTTGTCCCTCTTTCATACTGCTTTTTTAATGTTCTGCTGAGCAGTATATCTGCCAACAAGAAGATGAAGTCCACGAGTGATATGAGACGCCAAAGCTCTTGATATGGTTCGTGATCCATGCCAACATCTCCTTCTGCTTTTGCTGAAACGTGGCAGAGGGGAGGACGCAATCCACAGACGTTGGAGTGACGTGTACCGAGTAGATCTTGTACAGTGATGGCACAGCTCGGGCAGCCGTAGATGAACACTGTTCCGAGTTACGTAGCTTCCGGTAAGGCTCAGAAATGTGGCAGCGTGTAAATGATCCAAAGTGCTCAAAGTCAGTATTTGACATATTCGCAGGGCTGCTGCCTTATTATCCCATCTGCGTTGATCATTAAGAATCATGTTATATCTTTGATATAGCGATATCGGGTTGTCCATGGTAATATACCGCAGCACAGCAAATGCCGAGCAAAAGCCAAGCACAGCCTACCTACGCACGCGACCAGCATTGTATGCAGACAACAGAAGAAAACGAGAAACCATAGGAACGGAATTCAAAGTGCTTCCATTACGAATATGCAGACCCGGCGTCCTAGGAGCTAGCAGTGGTTCACTGCCGACATATCTCGCTGGGGCTGCGATAAGGACCATCGTGATGGCGCGCGTCAACCTCAGAACCCTTTAGTCAGAGCCCTCATCGTGCCCTTCTTCAGCAGCTTGTACTTGCCATTCCACACATTCATCTCATCTTCGTATCTAATCCTCCACTCATCTTTCTCATCCACATATCTATCCCTCCACCCATCCCTCTCCCTTCTAAGCTCCTTCATCTTCAACACCATCTTCCTCATCCTTTCATCCCTCTCCTCCATGAGATCCTCGAACTTCTGCGCCTGCTTCTTCGTCCGCTCATCAGCAGCGCCGAGCTTCTCACTGCCTTGTGCCAACTTGTCTCTGCACTCTTTGTTCTTAGCTTCCAGCTCGGCAATCCGAGCCGCCTGCTCAGCAATCTCAGCCTCGCGATTAGCGAGCTGGCCCCTCAGCCCGGCGATCTCGTCCCGCAAAGCGTTTTCTCGGGCGGAGCCCCAAGATTCATTTTCTCGAGACATGCTGAGGGCCTCGGCGAGCTTCGAGGATGCTTCTTCGAGCTGTGGTGGGTCAGTGGTGAGGGAGAATGTGTGCGGGTGCGGAACGTACGAGCTTGATGCACTTGCGGGGGCCTGCGTGTTTGTGTCAGTTTCCAGATAAGCAGAGTCGTGGACGGACTTACGGTCTTCGTTCTCATCAGCCGGATCGTCAGCCATCTGACTTGCAGTTCGCTTGCGGGGTGGAGGGTCAGGGCTGACTGAGTGTGGCTCGTCGATCGTGCTTGGAGTTGATTCTGCGGATCTGGCTTGCTGCGGATGCTGTTCTCCAGCGCCTGTGTTGTCCAGGTCATAGTCTTCAAGATCAGCTTCGATCTCAGGCTCTCCCTTTTTGAATATCGCCTTCCGCACGGAGTTGCTCTCAGCTGCCTTCCTCTGCTGGATGTGCTCGCAAAGGGTCTTGAACTCATTGAGCAAATCGTGGTCTATGGCGCCACGAAAGTGCGTGATTCTACCGGTCAACAGGAAGACAAAGTGTACAAGGAGATTGAGTCGATATGCCTCGCCATACAGCTTAGCTGACGCTTTGGCACTGTCTTCCGGATCGGCTGCGACATAGCAGAAGGGTGCGCGCAAGTCGCCGGCATTGAGGTCGTATGCATCGATGACCTCCTTCATGTGAAAAATTCCGTCTCTGGGGTCATAGATGTAGGAGACTCGTGATCCATACAAGACCACCTCTTGCAGCGTCAGATACGGCTTGGTCCGGTTGACCTTCTTCGCCAGCACGAGCGATGAAGTAGAACGTCCTGGCTTCGTGTAGGGAAGGCCTCTACGAGACTCAATCACGTACAGCCATGGATCTGCAACAAGCGCATACGCGTCTGGAAAGTGCTGACGCCCGTAGCTCGCAAAGTCGTCCAGTGTGTAAGTCCGTGTTGTCGCCATCGCTGCTTGTCAGGACGAGCGAGTGTTGGTGGAATGTGTAAAGCGAATAGTAGCCCAGCTGGAGCCTGGGCATACTATGGAATGGACGTGAAGAGGTGGGAGAAAGTAGTGGTCGCGGATGATAGGAATACCTGCTATGAGGCTCTAGTGGGGCGAGCTGAGGGAGTGACAAGTGAAGGAGTGGCAGACGCGAGAACGGCAAGTGAAAGTTGAAAAATGGAACCTTCCCATTCCTGATCATCATATTCTTTCGTGCAGAGTGAGGTATCTCCAAACAAACCCATAACGCCGATTCGCTAGATGCATGGTATTCAACACGTCCGTCCAGGACCCATAAACGCCATCGAATTCAGAACGATCCGCCACATACGATCCCTCCTCGCAACGCCCGCAAGGATAGAATTTGTCACCACGCGTCTCAAACCTGCTCCTGCGGTCTCTGAGCCGGAAAGTCCTCCGGCTTGAAGTCCCGCAGCTCGCCCTCATGCTGTCCCGCCATAATCGAAATCTCATCCTTCTCCTTCATCGCCCTTCCCTTATCGAGCGTGAACCCCGTATAGCTCCTGGGCAAATAGCGCCCAGGGTGCCAGACAGCAAAAACCACCAGCACGGCGAGAATGGGCAGCGCATCGAACGTCCAGAAGCACCACTCGTGGCTCTGCAGATAGATAAGCCCGTAGCCCTTGTCGTGCGGGATCTCCATGGTGCGGTAGATAGCGCGGGCCGCAATGAGCACCGAGGACAGGTTGATGGTGTAGCTGAGCTTGCGCCACAGCTTCATGTCGCCGAGGTCGAAGGCGCGCCAGTGCCGCGAGATGACGAAGTAGCGCACGCTGATGATGCTGAAGGACAGGAAGCACAGCATCTGCAGCACGAGCCCGAGGATCAGGATCACGCGGCCGGGGAGCGCTTTGCGCTCGGACTCCTCGATGGAGCGCGACGGCGACGAGTCGTGGTCGTACTGCCGGCTGATCTGGCTGGCGCCGATGAGCTGGACGAGGAAGGAGAACAGGTCGAAGATCACGAAGGTCGGGGTGATCCAGCGCGGGAAGCACCAGAGGGTTTTGAAGTTGAGCGCGTAGGTGGGACAGGAGAACCATACGACACGTGAGAAGGCAGTGTAGCATGCGGCGGCCAGGAAGGAGGGCGCGAGCAGGATCATCAGCCAGGAGATGAGGAATGGGAGGTCCTGGAATTCATCAAGGGAGGAGACAAGCCGGCAGATGTGCCCGAGCATCAGCATCACGATGGCGACGATGGCCGCCCAGAAGAACCATGCTTGATGCCGGATGTATTGATAGACAGACAGGACAGAGATTAGTATGATGACAGCAGCACCAACACTAGCCAGAGGGATCGACGGGTCGTAGATGTATGGATTGAGGACACCCTGGGCTGGACGGTGTTAGTCGGCTGCGGACCATGATGCCCGAATGTGGCAGTGCGTTGGGGTTGAGGTTGAGGTGCACTCACTATAGCCGGCAGTGGCCCGTTTGGGAAAGCCGGGAGCGCGGAAGGCTAGATCCATGGTTCCGCTTCGTCTGTGGGAGCCGTGTGTTTTTTGCCACGATTATCGACACGGTCGCGCTCATGACCAGAACCTCAGATGGCTCGAAGCTGGCGACGGCGACAGCATAGTTTTGTAAGAGCGGAGAGGAAGACCCAAAGACCCGCAACCGCAGCGGCATCGTTTTCTAAGACTTGGCACCCAGCGGACGCCGAGCCCATGAGTTACGGAAGGGCCTCCAAGGTTCCTCCACGCAGCTGTGAGTTGCCGGCGCTGCTGCGCCTGCAATGCAATCAATGGAAAACATGACAGGTCTATGAATGTGGCTTTGCGGCACCTCAAACAGCCACCAAAACAGCATAATTGTGCTCGCAATTCCGTACATAGTACATTCGGGATCCCATCTCCAAGCCGGTTGCAGGCATTTTTGTGTCACGTGCTGGGCGCGGCGTGCTGGGCGGCGCGCTGGGCGCTCGAGTCAAACCGCGAGTTGCCTTGCGGTTGGCGGGCGCCGCAGACGCCAGTGGGCGTGAGCGAAGCAGAAACGGTGGATGCAGCGGAGGATCGTCGACCCGCCTCCCCTCATCATTCGATGGGGATTCGACATTTCCAAGACCTAACATCTTGGACTCGGCCGAGCGCTGTGCACAGCTCGTAACCTCGCGATGTCGCGTTCCCCAGAAGTATAGTGGCGCCTGTCCGATTTCACGAGGGTGCAAGGAACAAGGCTGCCGGCCAGCTCTGTGACGGTGAGCGGAAGGCTGCATGCCAAGCAGGCACACAAGAGAGACGCAACAGACAGGGGCGGACAAAGATCGGCAAGAGTGCCGTGCGATCCGGACAGTCAGGTGTTTGTACGTATGTTTGATGCATCTGAGCTTGGACGAGTGGTCAGAGCAGACGTTCTGCAGATGGGTGTGTCGATCATTGAACACGCACGGGAGCTAAACTGCTCCTGACAAGCGGGACTGGGTAACTGATCTCGTTCTATCGTGCACTGCACGCTGTGAGATACAAACCTTCTTCGCAGGGCGAAGACGCAAATCGTTTCTTCCAACATGAGAAGTGTCACTGCGGCAACTTGAGACCTCAGGCACTCCACACGGGCAGAATCGGAACCTCCTCAAACCCCTGTTTCAACGACCCCAGGACTGCTCCCCATCGAATACGTAGACTCCGCTAGCCACGCGAGCTTGCCACGAACTTACTCGTCATCAAACTCGTCATTCTCTTGGGCCTTCTCCTGGCCCTCAACCATGACCCCGTTAATCTCAATCTCTTCATGCTCGGGTAGGCCCTTTGCCAGCCAGCGCAGTTCTTTTGGTTTGTTCTCCATCCAGAGCTCGTTCGGAAGCCAGGCATAGAAGCTGCAGTACACTTGTTTCACGTCGTCGAGGATCATGAAGCCGCCTTCGCGCGTAATGACGGTAGCATCGATCTTCATGCCGGTGAAGCACTCACCCAGGACACTCTCCTCCACCCAGAACTCAAACGTCTTCCCTCTGTCGACCTTGTGAGGACTTCCATCGGGATACTTGCCTTTGGGTAGGTCCCACTCGTCGCAGTCGCTAGAGTGCCAAACGTTGCACTTGAGCTTGCCAAGCGGCTCGAGGTGGACGAGCTTCTTTCTCACAACTTCGGCCTGTGCAGCATACAGCTCTCTTGCGATGTTGTCGGGCATGGTGATAGCGGCGACCTCGAGACCAGTCGTCTCCTTCTTGAGAATCTTCAGACTAGTAGCACCGACAAGGTCTTGCTGCTCGTCCGTACCCAGTGCGGCAACGCCTGTGCTGAACTTGATTCGTGCCTCTTGATCCCGGAGGCCCATCTCGGTGAGGTCGATGCCGTCCTTCTGCCCTTCTTGAGCCCATATTTTGTCGGCCGCAAACAGCCCAGCAGACGATCCGCCAAACAAGGTACTCGCCGACGTGTTGAAGTCGCCTGGAAGAGCAAGACCAGCAGCATCCACCTTGACCAGTTCCAGCTCGGCAGTGTCACACAGCTTGAGAGCAGCTTGAAGTTGTTCGTCATACTCTGGGCAGACTCGGTGATAGCGAAGGTAGTTGTAGAACGACCGAAGTACTTGGCAAGCAGTCTTGATGCCTCCAGGAGCATAACCGAAATGTGACGGGTACCACGAAGATCTGTGATGGTTAGCAGTGCTGAAGTGTTACTGACGTCCGACTCACAAGAATGCAGCCCCGACACCATAGAAGTCAACAGTCCAATGCTTCTCGTTCGAGCGGTCCCAAGGCACAGTGTGGACAGCGAGCGCTCGCGCGATTTCCTCTGCATCCATGTCCTTCATCTCGGCTTTGGAGATGCCCTGGTGCATACGCGGGCCGGAGTCGACGCCACCGTAGCGCATGAGCTTGTTGAAGATCTTCGAGTACATCTCGTGCATGCGCCGCTTCTGCTTGAAGCGCTGGATGGCGATCTCGATGCGTTCGACAAATGACTTGTTCGGGTCGTACATCCTGTCCTCCTCCTCCGCTTCCTCGGGCTTTATGGGTGGCTCAATGTAGGTGGTCTCGAATCCTGTGGGCTTCTGCATGTTCTTGGACGTGCCTTCAGGGTAGACCTTCTTCTGCTGGGATTGCAGCGGGACTGGGTATACGGCAGGCTTGCGATTGCGGATATCGTAGGCAAGGTCATCGTCGTCCTTGCAGAAGTCCTCGTCCAAGAGCGTCTTGCCCTGCAGGGCGACTTTGCGCTTGATCGTCTTCCCGTCGGCAGAAACCTCCAGGAATGCGCTCTTGCGGAGAGCAGCAACCACAAGCTGCTTGGGCTTGTAGGATCTCATCTTCTTGAAGCCACAGATGCGACTAATCGACACTGGAACATTCTCGCGTCCGCCACATTGCTGGAGAAGATGGAGGTCAGTAGGCAGGTTCTCGTCAGAGAAGTAGAATTCAACCTTGAGGGTGTTAGTAACGCAGCACCAGAGTGCAGTTCTATCAATGCAAGCTCACCTGGCGGCGGATAGTGGCGCCTTCTGGATGGTCGTCCTGCGCGGCCATTACCTTAGCCTTTGCCTGCGCCAGCGATTCTGGTGTGAAGCTGAGGCCGGTATCTTCTGTCGACATGATGGCGGTGTGATAAGAAGAGGTACAGTCAAGGAGAGGGGGTTATGAGGGGTTGATTGCGCGACTGACGATTTGGGTGAGAGAGCAAACGGGCTGGCAAGCACATGATTGTGCAACCTGCAGGCGCGCGGTCGTGCCAGTTTGAACGCCAGTCATCTCAGCTTCTCACATGGGCACCCAGAGTGACGATATGCTAACCTCATGTCTACAGTGCAAGGGGTGTGAAGGTTACAGCTCTCACGCTCGTTGCTACAGTGGCGCTGCTAACGATGCAGCTTCTTGTCAATCGCAAACTCATCTTAAATCGAGGATATTAATTGCCAAGCTACAAGTGTAGTCAGAGAGCATGGTGAGGATGAAGGTGGTCGAATCAGATCTCTTTCGTCATCAGCGTTGCCTGACTCGCTGTGAGACCCTGACCATCGCGCGGGGTCCCTAGCCTGTTGACACTCCAACAACACCCATCACCAGCCACACGAACACAGCCAGCTTACACAGCCATACCTCCCAAGCTCGAGCATCACCAAAGATATGGCGTCGAAAGCTTTTGACACCTCCAAGCTGCAGGCTTTTGGCAATGCGGCTGCCGGCCAGTAAGCACCCCAACTAGCAGCCTGATATGTGCTTACCCTCCAGCGATGGTGTTCTCAGCGACGAGTCCGGCGCCGTGGTCGTCAAGCCTTGCACCGCAGCCGAGATCGCCTTCTACGAGACGGTCGCAACGTCGCACACAGATCTGCTGCCCCACCTCCCAATCTTCATGGGCCAGCTGTCCATCGACGCGTCAGCCGACGCAGCCGAAGACACAGGCACGATCGAGACCGCCGATGGCACCACCGAGCGCCTGCACGGCAAGAAGCTTGCCACAGACATGCACATTGTTCTCGAGAACATCACGCACGGCTTCAAGAAGCCGAATGTTTTGGATCTGAAGCTGGGCGCACAGCTGTGGGACAACAATGCGAAGCAGGAGAAGAGAGACCGCCTTGACAAAGTCAGCGCTCAGACCACAAGTGGAAGTCTGGGCTTCAGGATAGCAGGCATGCGCACCTGGCTGGGCGCGTCGCCGCCGGAAGTGCCGGAAGACCTGAAGCCGTACGTCGAGCAGGACAAGGAGGGCGGATACTGGGTGTACAACAAGATGTACGGGCGCAAGTTTAGCGCGGAGGGTATCGACGAGGGCTTCGAGGCGTTCGTGCCCCAGGGCTCGGACGCGGAGAAGGCGAGAGCGAGAGAGGTGCTGGCGTACTTCCTAGGCGAGGTTAAGGACATCCAGGAAGCATTCGAGGCAAAGGAGAGCAGGATGTACAGCGCGAGCATTCTGCTGGTGTACGAGGGCGATGTGGACGAGTACGAGAACACGAAGAAAGTGCTCCGGTCGGCGCGGCCAGACGAAGACGACGACGACGAGACCGTGCCGAAGCTGGCGGCGGTCAAGATGATCGATTTTGCCCACGCCACCTTCACACCCGGCGAGGGGCCCGACGAGAACGCGCTCAAGGGTATGAGGAGCACGGCGGCCATTCTGAAGCGCCTGTTGGACAAGGCCGAGAAGGACGCCTGATTGTGATTTGCGACTGCTGCGACTTAGCGGATAGAGGGACGCGTGTGTAAGGACCAAGAATTATATTACATCAGGTAGCTATGATGCTACTTTCCTTGAGACCAGACCGGTGCTCGACGCAAACGCTGACATTGGATGTATCCGTCCCGTGAACTCCAAAACACCAACCGAAATACCACCAATGCAAAGCCAGAACCGAGAACCACCGAACAGTACCGCCAGTCGGTGCAGATAGTATCCACTCTTTGGGTAGACGCGAGCGCCAACAAAGCAGGACGTAGATCACACACGGCGAACTTCCAACCCAAAACCTGAAGAGTCAAAACCACCACCATTCAAAAAGCAGACCAACCTCAACTTACCAGAGAATCCTGAACCGGCCGTCCTCCGATCGAACACTGATTTGCCACCAGCAAAACCAGAGCCCCACCTCTTCACCCGCTCTCAGTGCCCACACCCCCGACACGGCCACGCCCCCCCATGCGCCCAACACCACCCCTGCCCCCCACCTCCATACCACCCTCCATATCCTCCATAACCCCCTCCATACCCCCCTCCATACCCATTTCCCCCTGCATACCCCCGCACCCCCAGCACCTGCTGCAACCCACTAACAACCGTCGTAACACTCGTCCCCCACACGCCCAGCATGCCCTCGAGATCATCGTCCTGGACATCGCCCGCGCGCAGGAGGAACGCGTTCGCGGATTCTTGGTGCAGGGTGCGTAGGTTCAGGAGTTGGGTTACGGCTTCGCGGCGGCGGAGGGTGAGGGCGTGGGTGTGGGCTTCGAGGGCGGTTATGCGGGGTTCGAGGGCAGACTCTGAGGGGGCGAGGGCTGGGGTGGGGGTGGGGGTGGGGGTGGTGAGGTGGTGCTGGGTCCGCTGCTCGAGCGCCTCAACGCGAGCAAGCAGTGCGGCATCAGTAGCCGGGGGGTGTTGCCGGGTGCAGGCCGTTTTCTGCTCCTGCAGCGCAGCCCTGAGCACCGCGTTCTCCTGCTCAAGCGCCGCGACGCGCAGCGCAAGCGCGCGCTGGGCGTCCTGCAGCGCGTGCAGTTGGGCCGCGAAGCCGAGCGGGAGCGCGAGGGGCGGGGGTGGAGACGCGGTCGGGGCGGCTGGGGATGCGGGTGAGGCGGACATTTTGCTTGAGGTGAGGTTGAGGTTGTCGGAGTGGGAAAGGCTGGCGCGGGAGGTGGTGGGAGAGACTGTGGGCGGTGGATTGAAAGAGTGTGGGGAGGGCAGTTTTTTGGCAACGGCGAGCTGGCAAGTGGATGTGGGTGTGTTTGTAGGTTGTGGGAGCGGGGAGTGGGTAGCAAACGGGCGGTCACCGGTTAGCGGTGAGGGGCGTTTCATGGTGAATGTGAAGAATTGTGATGGTCCGTTTGAAAAACAGCCGAAGTACGACAAGTTTATTGCATCTGTACTCATTGCTTGAGATTCTGGCGAGCAGATGGTGAACGGAGGCGCAGTGATGTTACAGGGTGATGTGCTCGGAGAGCTTCCACATCAACGATGCTCCAGTGAGGAAAAGGGCGCAGATCTCCGCACATGAATTTCCATTAGAATGAGAGTATTGGGAGCGGAAGCGAGACACAATGAATCATACGAGTTAACTTCAAATCTGAGTTGGACCTGTGGTCGTTACATCTTCGTGCATTGTTCATGCCCGGGGGATAACGCGGGATTGTGAATCCATTCGAAGACAGCCTCAGCCAGCGTCAGCCAGCCTCAGGCACATGATGTTAAAATCTCGAACGTCAACTCCAGAGTTGGTCGATGTCTACGGGAAGAGACAGCATTGTATCGTATGTAGTCAACAGCTGGCCAATCACAAAGCGGCCGTTTAACCCCGCTAAGCACCCCACGCGACATCCAAAAGTTCGCGACGTGGAGTCTCGAAAACAGACAAAGCCATGGCCATGCCAAATAGCATAGAGCAGCTCTTCACTGGTGAGTCGCACTCTACAATCTTCTCTCCATGCTGACCCGTCCAGAGCTGCTCTCAATCTGGCACACCCACCGGGTGTCGCTTCTCGTAGCTGCCGTCGCGCTCGCTCTGATTGTGCGCCTAACGAGACAATCCCGCAATGCCCGAGAGAAGGTGTCGGTCTCGCCCACGCCGGCGTCGCCAATTGAAGAGAAGAAGACTGTCGAGCTCAGGCCCGAGTGGCTCCCCGAGAACACGACCATCGTCACGCCCGCACTGAATGTCGACAACCACGCCGAAGAGGATGTGAGCGTCGTGGCCGCACCCCCAAAAGCGAAGAGGATACCGAAGACCGTGAAGGGCAAGAAAGTGCCGAAGAAGGTCGCGAAGCCGGTCATCGACTACAGCCACACGACGGACAAGATCCAGATCCTGGTCTTCTTCCAGTCCGTCACCGGCACGACCGAGAAGCGTGCCGCGCAGGTCCTGGACCTCCTGACTGCCTGGACGACTGGCTGCGATCAGTCCGCTTCTTTCCTCAAGCCCGAGCTCCTCGATCTCTCCGACATCGACTACGACGACTACTTCATCAGCGCCCCGAAGGCCGGCGCAAACACGAAGTTCTTCTACCTGATCCTGGCCCCGACCTACAACATCGACACGCTGCTGGATGCGTTTATTGAGAACCTCAGCGAGACGCACAATGACTTCAGGATCGACACGGCGTCGCTGAGTGGTCTGCTCGGATACTCGGTGTTCGGCTTTGGCGACAAGGAGGGATGGCCGTCGGAAGAGGAGGGCTTCTGCACGCAGGCGAAGGATGTTGATAAATGGATGGCGCGGCTGACAGGTCGAAAGCGTGCATACCCGCTGGGCATGGGCGACGTGAAGAGCGACGCGGAGAGCCGGCTGACCGAGTGGCGTCTGGGTGTCCAGGAAGCGCTCGTTGAGATCGCCGAGGGTCGCGGACTGGGCGACGGCGTGCTCGGCAGCGGCGACGCGGTTGAGAGTGACGAGGAAGATGTGGACGACAGCGGCGAGGAAGCGCCGCGCGTGGACGATGTTGAGGATCTGGGGGGCATGGCCAGTGGTGCTGCACCTGTCCCGGTCGACTTCACAAACTACAAGGGCAAGCCCAAGGTCAACGCGCTCAGCGCGCCCAAGCAGATGGTCCCCACCACATCTCCCACACACGCCGCTCTCACAAAGCAGGGCTACTCGATCATCGGCAGCCACAGCGGCGTGAAGATCTGCCGGTGGACCAAGTCTGCCCTGCGCGGCCGCGGGTCGTGCTACAAGTACTCGTTCTACGGCATTGCATCGCATCTCTGCATGGAGGCCACACCCTCGCTGTCCTGCTCGAACAAGTGCGTGTTCTGCTGGCGCCACGGCACGAACCCCGTAGGCACAACCTGGCGATGGGTCACGGACGCGCCTGATGTCATCTTCGACGGCATCACCGCCGCGCACTACAAGAAGATCAAGATGATGAAGGGCGTCCCGGGCGTGCGCGCCGAGCGCTTCGCAGAAGCCATGCGCATCCGGCACTGCGCGCTGTCGCTCGTCGGCGAGCCCATCTTCTACCCGCACATCAACGACCTCCTCCGCATCATGCACGCGAACCGAATCTCGACCTTCCTCGTCTGCAACGCGCAGCACCCCGCGCAGCTCGCCTCCCTCATCCCCGTCACCCAGCTCTACGTCTCCATCGACGCGTCCAACAAGGAGTCCCTGCGCAAGGTCGACCGCCCGCTGCACCGCGACTACTGGGAGCGCTTCACCGCGTGCCTCGACATCCTGCGCGCGCGCCGCTTCGAGCAGCGCACTGTGTTCCGGCTCACGCTGGTCAAGGGCTTCAACATGGAGGAGGAAGTGCGCGGCTACGCGGACCTGGTCGAGCGCGCGCTGCCCGGCTTCGTCGAAGTCAAGGGCGTCACGTACTGCGGCACCAGCGCCGCGGGCTCCGCGGGCCTGACCATGGAGAACGTGCCCTTCTACGAGGAAGTCGCGGAATTCGTCACACTCCTCGAATCCGAGCTCAACGCGCGCGGCCTGCACTACGGCATCGCCGCCGAGCACGCGCACTCGTGCTGCATCCTGCTCGCGGACAGCACGCGGTTCCAGCGCGCCGGGCGCTGGGCCACGCGCATCGACTTTGAGCGCTTCTTCGAGCTGTACGAGGGGAATGTGCAGGGGTCGCGCATAGAAGACGGGCAGGTCGTGGGCTGGCAACCCGAGGACTACATCGGCCCTGACACGCCCGAGTGGGCGCTGTGGGGGAACAAAGGGTTTGATCCGAGGGATCAGCGGGTTGATCGCAAGGGCCGGCCCCGCACGGAGGAGGAGGTCAGGGCGAGTCCGATGGAGCGGGCGGCGGCGCGGAAGGCGGCGTTGGAGTTTTGAGGGGGGGGGTGGTCTGTAGCTTTGGAAGGTATTAAGGTCGTGCAGAGTTGAGGTGTGTAGGGTTGGACTTCACGCCGACACAAGCTAGCCCTGTGTAAGACATTGAACTTCACGCAGCCATAAGCTAGCTCTGTGTAAGACATTGAGCTTTCGCGCATACACCAGCCGTTCCGTGCAGACGTTGAGCTCGAGCAGACGTTGAGCTCAAGCAGCCCTCGAACGCCCTGCGACCACGAGCTACCGTCGTCTGTGTAAGACATTCAATTCGCACATGCACGAGCCGTTCCACACCATCATTGATCTTCCATACACAACCGCTGGTCTAGACGAGCGTTCTGCAACCATCAATCCAACTGACCTCCTCGGTGCAGACCAGCCATAGACCCTTTTCCATGCATGTGTCGTGCAAAACAAAGTTTGCGCAACCTTGCATGCGCCGAAGGATTTCGCGCGGCGCTCCGGGCCCTCAGCTGGCGGCGAGCCGACTGGCTGCAAACCGACTGGCTGCAAATCGATTGGCTTTGGCTCTAAACCAACTATTGTAACGATTGGCCGTCATTGGTGCGGACCGCCCTCTACAATAAAGTTTAACTCTGCCTCGCTTGCAGGCTTCCTAGCGCGCCCCCCGGACCCTGCAGATCCCGTGGCGGCAGGACTCAGGAGTGCAGATGTAAGTGCTGGTGCTAGCACGTGCAGCGCAGGAAGGGCAGGTGTGCCTGGCGCTGTGGCTGATGGTCTGCAGTACCTAGCCAGAGAAGTTGTAGGGTGTAGGGTGTAGAGTTTGGCAACCAGGCAGCCAGGTTTGCAGGGACTCGGGTGTGTGGCACTGTGTGGGGCACTGTGTGGACAGGGGGCGAGGCAGAGGCAGAGGCAGGTAAACAGAGGCAGGTAAACAGGGGTCTGAGCGGCGATGCGTATGCGTGCCCCTATGATGCTGATGGCCGGGGGGCGCGCGCTCGGGCTGGCAGAGTGTGTCTGTGTCTGTGTCTGGCGGGCTTGGAGGGCTTCGCTTCTGGCACCTGCCTCCTTGCGCTGCAACCGTTCGAGGCTGCACCGTTCGAGCTCGCACCGTTCGAGGCCGCTCTCCCGCACCGCTTGAGGCCCCGATATGCCGACGCGACTGTGAGTCCGTGACGGCTGTGCTAGACGGCTGTGCCTCCCGCCCGCACGCGCGAACGAGCGCTGAGACTGCGATCCCCGGCTGCGATCCGCGACCCTCCCCTCCGATTCCCGGGCTACGATCTCCCGGCATACACACGACCTCGGCGGCCTACGACCTCCGGCCTACAACACTCCCGGCCTACGACCCTCCCGGCTCGCGCCCATGGACGCGCGCAGCCACGCCCGCGCAGCCGCAGAAGCGCGCCCGCCGCACGCCAGCGCCAGCCCGCCGACCCAAACTCTGCGCGTGCGGCGCCGCACCTCGCTGCCGTCCACGCCTGCGCGCCCCCTCGCCGTCGACACCGCCCGCAAGCACCGCGCCTCGCACCACGTGCGCTCGCACGCCGCGTCCCCCGAGCTCATCGCCTCGCTCATCGACCAGCTGGCTGCCATCTCCGCGTCGACCCAGCACCACTTCGAGCCGCAGCGCCCCTTCGAGCCGTCGACCGCGCGCCCCTCCGAGCCCCCGGGCCATGCGCGCTCGCCCGACCGCGCATACGCCAGCGCCCTGCGCACCCTCAACGACGGCTTCCCCGACGACGCCTGCGAGCCGCCCGTGATCCGCACCGCGCCGCCGCCGTCGGGCCTCTCCGCGATAACCGCGCCGAAGCGCACGAAACCCCCCGGCTTCGCGTACGCGGGCCGCAGCAGCAGCGCCGCGTCGCTGCACTCGTGCACGTCGCACCGGTCGTCGCACAGCTTCGGCGCGATCAGCATCGAGGCGGGCCCGAAGCCTGTGGCGAGCGCGCGGTCGTCGGTCGAGAGTAAGCGCAGTGTTAAAAGGCCGCGTAGTTTGATGTATATGGGCTCGCGCGAGCGGTTAAAGCTGAAGGAGGAGAGGAGGAGGGGCGAGGATGGCGAGGTGGAGGTCAGGAAGCTGACGCAGCAGGCGTTTGCGTATGAGGATACGATTAAGGAGGAGGGGAGCCATTTTGAGGGGTATCACGGCAATCATGGCAGTCATGGCAGTCATGGCAGCTATCATGATAGTCAGCTAGATGGGCATCTTGATAGCCAGTATGACCTGGACGGCCACCTCGATAGCCACCCAGACACCCGCCTCGATAGCTACGCCGACACCCACCACAACACCCGCAACACCCACAACACCCACCCCGACAGCCATCTTGATAACGACCCCGACCCCTTCGTCATCGCCGAGGCCTTTGCGACCCGCCATCCCAGCCGCAGCTCCAGCCCCGCCCTCCGCGTGCGCATGAACCTCGTTGACGACGCCCCCGAGCCGCTCGTGCCCGACCGCGGCTCCTCGCTCCGGCACGCCAGCCCCTCCAAGAAGAGCAAGCGGCGCAAGGGCAAGGGCAAGGAGGTCGAGCGCCCCAGCACCGTCGCCGGCCCGCCCGAGGAGCCGCTGCTGAGCCCCGACGAGGCCCGCCGCCAGACGCTCCTCCTCGAGCTGGAGCAGGACGACGACGAGGTCGCCCAGCGGATCAAGCAACTGCGCGAGCAGAAGCTGCTGCGAGCCAAGATCGCCGGCGACGCACCCGACCGCCCAGCAAGCGCGGAGCCCGGGGGCCGCCCCAGCGTTTCAGGCCGCCGCAGCCCTGCGCCCTCCGCATCCAGCGCCCTGGACCGGCGCCCCCAGAACAGCACGAAAGCACACAAACTGCTCGGCATCGCTGCGCCCGCGCGCTCGTCGTCCGACTCCAACATGAACAAGCCGCTCCCCAGCGAGCCCACGCGCCCCGCGCCCCTGCCCCCGCATCTGCGCCATGCCCGTCATAGAAGTTTGACCGTGAACGACGGCGACGATCTGCCGCTGCCAATCAACTACGCCCTGGCCCTCAAGGCGCTGGATGCGGCTGCGGACTCGCCGCGGACGCCGCGGGTGGACTCAACGCACATTCCTGTTGACTCGCATATACATGTTGACTCGCACAAACACATACCCCTACCACCGCCCGCGGTTGTCAGCGCCCCAGCCAACCCCTCGACCACCGCCTCCACCCCCTCCACGCCCTCGGACGGCGTGAAGCGGTCGACGTCGCTGTCGGTCAGCGGGCGGTCCGCGTTCGCGCGCCGCGCAAACAGCATGACCGCGAGCGTGACCCGCAGCCACCGCCACTCGGCCAGCCTGACCGAGGAGCGCCCTCCCGCGTGCCGCTCCGCCAGCGAAGAGGTGGCTACCGGGCGGCACTCGTCCCTCAGCATGGCGTCGAACAGCTTCTCGCTGCAGCACAAGAAGACGAAGAAGCAGCGGTGGTCGCATCCCGACCTGCCCGCCAAGGCTGAGAAAAAGCACAACGACAAGGTCGACGCCGCCGAGGCCAAGCTCCGAGCGACCGACTCGCGGCTGTCGCACTACCCGATCAACCCGTGGGCGCCGGTCATCGAAGAGCGCCCGACGTCGCTGGACTCGGTCGACATGGACGTGGACGCGTATCTGCACGCCCCGCGGCTGTCGCAGAAGATCCGCCACCCGCAGACCGGCCGCCTCATCTCGTTCTCCGAGGTCGGCGACCCCAACGGCTACGCCGTCTTCGTGTGCGTGGGCATGGGCCTGACGCGCTTCGTCATGGCCTTCTACGACCAGCTCGCGGCCACGCTGAAGCTGCGGCTGATCACGCCCGAGCGCCCCGGCGTCGCGGGCAGCCAGGTCGACCCCACCGGGACGCCCATGACATGGCCGGGTATGGTATCCTGTAATGTAACGAAATGCAATGCTAACACCTCCAGACGACATCCTCATCATCTGCCAGGCGCTCAAAATCACAAAGTTCTCCCTCCTCGCCCACTCCGCCGGCGCCATCTACGCCCTCGCCACCGCCCTCCGCATGCCCCAGCACATCCGCGGCCGCGTGCACCTCCTCGCGCCGTGGATCCCGCCCTCGCAAATGTCCCCCGTGGGCCTCGGCCGCGACTCGCCCCCGACCCAGCAACTCCCGCGCTCACAGCGCTTCCTGCGCGCCCTCCCCCCGTCCCTCCTGCGCGTCGCAAACTCGACCTTCCTCAGCAACACCTCCGCGTCGCTGCACCGCACCGCGCCCCCCAAGCCGCCAAAACCCAGCCGCAAAACCTCTGCGCCTCAGATGGCCCGCGAGCCCGCCCCCGCGACCCGCCCCGCGCTGAAAGAAAACCGACGAGAATCCATGCTCGCCATGGACCAAATCCAGCCCGCCAGCACGCTCTCCCTGCCCCTCGCCTCAGATGCCCAGCAGGAAGCCCGCAACGAGGCTCACGCCCTGCGCACACGCACGTTCGACACGCGCCTCACCTTCGCTATCTGGGCGCGCGCCACGCTCAACGCGAATCCCGCGACTGATCTCATCGTGTGTCTGGAGACGAAACAGCCGATTGGGTTCAGGTACGAAGACATCACGAGGCCTGTTGTTGTGCACCACGGCTCCAAAGACAGTCGTGTGCCGGTCGAGAATGTGAGGTGGTTGGGCAAAGTGATGCGCAGGTGCGAGGTCAGGGTGCTCGAGGGCGAGGGGCATGGGCTCATGGCTAGTGCGGGCGTTATGGGGGGCGTGTTGATGGAGATTGCGGGCGAGTGGGGGGAGTGGGCGGATGCGGTGGGGGGGAAGGCGAGTGTGCCGGATTTGAGGGGGGCGGCGCGGCGGCGGTAGACCGAGACGCTCGCCGTACGCGGCGCCAAAGGGATTGTGGCGTTGGTGGATGCTACGGCACTACACGCGCACACCCCGTCTACGCTCGGCGCTCTGCGCTCTGCGCTCCCCCTTCATCCACTTCGTCCGCCCCACGCCCCCGCGCCCCCCTTCCGCGCCGCGGCTCAGTCGCCGCGCCCGACTGACGCGTTCCCGAGTAGCCCTGGATCCGCATCGCTCGGCTCGGGGCTCGGGGCTCGGGGCTCGGGGCTCGCGCCGGAGGTGCCTACCGCGTTGCACCACACTGTACCGCGCTGTATAGTACCGTAGTGGGATAGTGTTCGGAGTGGGATAGTGTTTAATACCCCCTTGCCCTCATACCCTCACACCCTCATACCCTCATACCCTTCTCACTTCCTCACTTCCGCATCACCTTCCCCGTTTTCGCCTGTTCGGCTTCTGTTTCTGTTCTACTACTTTCCTTTGTTCCTATACCCCGTTGTACATATACTCTTTAGATAGGCTGGGAGGGGGGTTTTCTGGAGGGGATGCATGCATGGATGCATGGATGCATGGATGAGGGGAGTTTTGATCAGGGGCGTATAGTGTATAGATTGGAGATTGGTGGGGATGGGGGTGGGGGTGTAATGGTTAATGGCTATTGGGGAATGAATTGATGGTGGTTCAGCTTTGGCATCGTCTCATGTCGTACCGTTGAGTGTCATGCAATTCAGTGATGTGGAGCGGAGTGACGTGGAGCAGAGTTGTGTGGCGTTGTGTGCAGTTGCGCAGAGTCTCGTGCGTCAAAGGCGCTGTGTGCGTGTGCCAAATGCTGTATTGTACGCCCATGCACTGTGTCTCTACGGAGTAGGTGGTAGTCGCCGCGCTCCTCCCAGCGTGTCCACGCTCCTCCCGGCTTCTCCACGCTTTCTGGCGTCCCAGTCCGCACATCAACATCCACATCCAAACCGTGAGGCGCCGTGTAGACATGATCTACCGCCGTTCAACGTGCTCTACCGCGCTTCGACATGTTCCACCGCCGTTTAACGTACTCTGGCACGATTCCACCTTTCGACAAGGACTTTTGACAAGGACTTTCGACAAGGACTTTCGAGATCGCACGCATATATACAACAAAAGGCCGCGGTCACGCACGCTTGCTCGCAGACAGGCAAGTACGTCGATGGGTGGGGAGGTGAGGAGGTGGGGAGATGGGGAGGTAGATAGGTAGATAGGTAGATAGGCGGATAGGTCGACTAGTCGATGGGTGGGGAGGTAGATGGGCTACCAGGACGGTACGTAGCGCGGCGGTGCTCATCTACAAATAGTGGTTCTGCAGCAGCGAGCAAGGAGCGAGGAGCAAGGAGTGAGGAGTCAAGATATCGGACCGCAGTGAACGATCATCATACAGTGCGATCCACACTGCCCGAGACCGACATAAAGGCGATTTTATAGCGTTTTCACTCCGAGATTCCAGAATTTCAATATTAATAGTAGCACGCTATCCCACACCACCACATCACACCGTGGGGGGCAGCGGAGGGCAGCGGAGGGGTGGGACGCAGACGCCGTGCAGCGGCGGCATCACAGGGCATCATTTGTCTTTAGAGTTTACGCCGGCAGCGGTTGGAGTTTTCGGTGGACGGTTTGGGGAGGAGGAGGGGAAGGTAGGTACTGCACACTGGATCGCGTCTCAGCAGCATGGCTGGGTTCAGCAGATTTTGGCTGGGTTTGGCCAGGTTTGGTTTCGAGCAGAGTTTGGTTTGGTTTCGAGCAGCACCGCGGCGGCGACAACATGGTATATTCACCGTCTTCTTTTCGGAGACAGGAGTATCCCATTTCAGACAACCTCGTTACACCGCAATACGGTAGACTCAGAGGAGGCAGAGCTGTCGGCTTCGGGTTTCGATGGAGTGGGTTTGGAGCAGCACGCCAGGCAGCAGCAGCAGCAGCAGCAGCAGCATGGCGGCTAGATCGCGGTCTTTTCGGAGACAACAGCATTTTATTTCCTTCTACGGTTTTGCACGGTGATTTCATGAGGAAGAGCTGCGATACGCGGCAACAGCGGCGGCGTGGGATTTTGATGGAGTGGCTTTAGAGAAGCACACCGGCAGGAACAGCATGAGTTCTGGTTAAACGACTTTGAAGCAACAGTCTTATATCAAGCCATGGTTCGACAAAGGCACGGCGACGACGTGGCATTAAGGTCTGGTTTTAGGGCGGCACGGCGGCCGCAGCATCTCATCTCAGTCACTGGATTTTAGGAGACAGAGTAGACTGGTTTATACTGCATCGTGGTGCAATAATCGAATACATGAGAGACAGAGTTGCCGGCATAGGCCCTCGATGAAGTCACTTTGGAGCAGCACACCGGCAGCGACATAGAGTGATGGCAGTTTGATTTTGAAGCAACAGTTGCAAACTTTACTGTATCATAAGCTACCTGCAAAAGTATAGGAGGCGAGCAAGGTGTGTGACCTGCCCAGCGGCGGCAGCGACATGTTATAGTGGCTGCAGTCTTTTCGGAGACAACAGCATGCCATTTTAGACTTTAGGTACGCTTCGGTGCGGATTCATGAGAGACAGAGCAGCCAGCATAGAACTTAATAGAGTGGCTTAGCAGCAGCATGCCAGGCAGCAGCTTATCATTGTGGTCGCAGACTTTTCGGAGACAACAGGATGCCGGTTCATTTGCCCCATAGTTCGTAGATTTCAACGGAGTGAATTTCAAACAGCGCGCCGGCAGCAACATTTCATGTTGGGTAGATGGATTTTAGGAGACAGTAGCACGCTGTTTCATATACGCGATAGTTTGTAGATTCATACGAGGCAGAGCTGCCGGCATGAGATTTCTGATGCAGTGACCTTCGAGCAGCACACCAGCAACAACATTCGATGTTAGGTAAGTAAATTTCAGGAGACAGTAGCGTACTTTTTCAGTCTACACCGTACTTTGGTAGCTTTATACTGCTAGCATAGAATTTTGATAGAGTGATTTTCGAGAAGCGGGCCGGCAACAACATTCCAGGTTTGGTATGTTGATTCCAGGAGATAGTAGCATACTAATATATACCACACCATACTCTGGTAGCTTGGTAAGAAGCCGAGCTGCCAGCCTAGGATTTCGATGGAGTAACTTTAGACAGCACGCCGGCAGCAGCATGTTCTTTGTTGGTAGTTTTCAGGGGACATGAGTAGACTGATCTGTACTACAATACACTACAGTGCGGTAGGTCCATGAGAGACTAAGTTGCTGGCATGGAATTCGGTGGAGTGACTTTTGAGCAGCGGGCCGGCAGAGACATTTCTGGGGTCTGTAATATTTTAGGAGACAGGAGCATATGTTTTATGCTGCGCTGTGGTGCAGTGGAGGTGTAGGAGGCAGACGTGGCAGCGGCGGCGGCATATGCATCTTGCTGCTTTTGAGTAACTTTGGAGCAGCACGCCAGACAGCAGCATGGTATCTTTCTAGCTGGATTTTAGGTAGAGCATCATGTTTTCTACTGCATTGTGGTGCGGTGGGGATGTAGGAGGCAGACGTAGCAGCCGCAGCGGCATCTTGTTGCTTGTCAGTGATTTTGGAGCAGCACACCACCGCAACAGCATATACTCGGCTTCATTAAGTTTGAAGCAACAGATTTATACCCAGATTTATACCAGACTATAGTTCGGCAAAGGCATGATTTCAGGGGCAAGGCGGCGGCATCACAGAGTGAGATTCGGTTTTGAGCAGCACACCGCCGCAGCAGCATCATATTCCCATTCATTGAGTTTGAAGCAATAGATTTATACCGTACCATGATTTGGCGAAGGCACAGTATAAGGGCAAGACAGCGGCATAACAGCGTGGGATTTGGTATTGAGCAGCACAACAACGCAACAGCATGTGGTGCCATTTGAGAGATTTGAAGCAACAATCCTATACCAAACCATACTTTGGCGAAGGTGTGAGAGGCAGACGCGGTACATGACGTGCCCAGCGGCGGCAGCGACATATATTTCTTGTTGTTGGGTTTGGAGCAGCACACCACCGCACCAGCATGGTATTCTCTGATGTATAGTTTTCAGCAACAAGACTATGCTAGGCCTTGGTTTAGCGGAGGTTTAAGAGGCAGATGCGGTTTTCACCACCGCAGCAGCGGCGGCAGGACATAACTCCATTGGAATACGGTTTTGGTTTCAAGCAGCACGCCAGGCAGCGACATAATCGGGTAGCGTTGAAATTTTAGGACAGTATGGTGCGGCACACCAGATCATATTTCAGAACGAGAGGCAGAGCTGCATGGCATAGATAGATTTCGTTCAGACGGACTGCCAGGCAGCGACATGTCATCGTAATCGGGTACTTTGAAGCAACAACCCCATACCATACTTGAACACCACATTTCGGCGAAGTTTTGAGAAGCAGACGCCGTACACCACCGCACGGCACGGCAAGACCATACTGGACTGAGCTCTGGTTTTTAGCAGCACACCACAGCACCAACATAGTATTACAGTGTCGACCTTGAAGCAACACTAATACACTGTACTATGGTTCAACATAGGTGTAGGACGCAGACACAGTGTACCGCCGCGACGGCACAGCAAGACCACCATGTCGTAGCTAGATCTTGTTTTTGACAGACAGCTAGGCAGCGACATGGCGTTTTGTTTAAGTCTGTTCGAAGTAACGTCCCTATACTATACTACAGTCTGATCAAGGTATTCGTGGTAGAGAAGTGGTGGAATCACCGTCACAGTAGCGGTAGGGCAGAATCGGGTTTTGTATTGAGCATCACGGCACGCTAGCGACATGGGATTGGAACGGAGAAGATTTGGAATAGCAGCTGCATGATATGCTGTATTTCAGTAAAGGTGCAAGAAGCAGACGTAGTAACCGCACCACCGCAACGGCAGTAACATGACGGTATCGGGTGTCTTTTTGAGCAGCAGACCAGGCAGCAGCATAGCACTGCATGTAAGAGTCTAGTGCCACAGCGGCAACATGCGACGTTGGCATACGTAGTTTTGATTTCAGGCAAACTGCTAGGCAGTGACATGGAATTTCAATTGAGCAGATTCGAAGCAGCAGCCGCACACAGTAGCATAATCGGTGGATTTATAAGAATCAGAGGTGTAGTACACCACACTGCCGCAACGGCAGCAGCATAATTTTGATGCTCCTTGTTTTAAGCAGCGCGCTGGCAGCAACATAGACTTGTATTTGGAAGACTTAAGGACGATACTATCCAACAACTCAGATCGTATTGCAGCGTGAGAGGTAGGGATGTAGTAGAGATGCAGTGTATCGCCAGAGCAGCAGAGCGACGACATGAACGTGTCGTATGTAGTTTTGAGCAGGTCGCTACAGTGGTGACATGGCGCTCTATGATGAGGCTTTATAGCAGGGGCCCTATATCATTTTATAATCTAATGGGGGTGTAAGACGCAGCCATTGTACGCCGCCGTGACAGTAGCGGTACAGCAGAGGCGTGTTGGTTTTCAGGCAGCACAGCAAGACAGCAACATGGAACCATAGAATTACGCTTTAAGAGCAGCGCGTTGCAGCACATTGCACAACTTCTCAGCATGAGAACCTCGAGAGCAGAGCATGAGAGGTAGACACGAGACACACTACACCACCGCCACGACATCAGTATGGCATGATGGTTTCGGGTTTTGGTTTTAGTTTTGAGCAGCATAACACGGCAGCCGAGATATATCACTAATCAGCACCGCAACGGCGGCGATATGATACAGTGCCTGTGTTTGGTTTCGAGCAGCACAGCAAGACAACAACATGCGAACCCGGAATTGGCGTTTTAAGACCAGCACAGTGCAGCACATTGCGCCTTTCTTAGCATGAGGAGTTCAAGGGGCAGAGATATGGCACGCCACACCACCGCAACGGCGCCGACATGCTTCAACCATGTTTTCTTTTGAGCAGCATGTCTCCACGGTCAAAAAACTCACACCCCAGCACCATAATAGCAGTGACAGCAGCATGACGGATCCGACATCAGGTTTGCGGTACAGCATGGCAATTGTCCGCGTTCGTTTCGATTTTCTGTTGAGTAGAACGTTAAGGTCTCCGTTGGGTAGGAGATATCAAAGCAACGCGGCACGGTGTGAAATGCCTGGGAGAGGCTCGGAGCAGCACAGCACAACATCTGCAATCCTCGCATTCCTTTTCAGTTTGCCCCAGGTGCCATCAGCGGTATGACAATGGAAAGAGATCAATCTGGAGCAGCAGGCACGGCAGTCGAGATAGAATCTCTCAAGGCTCGGCGCGACAGCATCGGCAACATGGCGAGGTAATTCAATGCCTCGGAGTGCGGCCCTACATGCAGGTATCAAGTATTCGTATCTCATTCAATTTTCCGGGAGTTCCGCCAGCGGCATGGCATGGTTCGGGTAGTGTTTTTAGAGCGGCATATAATGGCAATTGTTTGGCTTTGAGGCAGGAAAGCATGTGGTGTCAAGAAACCAATTTCTTTTTCAGTTCGCCCAAGGTCCCGCCAGAGGCATGACGCTTGAAGCGGTGCATTTGAAGCAGCACGGCACAGCGTGAGGTAGTCAGGGTCAGTCCAGCACAGCATAAGGTAGTTCGAAAGTGTATTTTAAGTAGCACAGCACAACCTCTCATGATCAGGTACCCGGGTTCTTTCTCAGTTCACCCAAAGTTCTACCAGCAGCATGACATTTCAAGCAGGTCAATTTGGAGCAGCAGGTACGGCTGTCGATTTACAGCTTGAAACGGTGAGGGCAGAGGCATGCAGTGTTTGATGAGTGCAGTCAGCGCAGCACAGCACAGCACAGCATTCAAGAGTTCGCATGCTTTTTGAGTTCGCCTAGAGTCCCGCCAGCAGCATGGAATCGGAGGCGAGGAAGTTCGGAGCAGAGCGGCACTGCGTGAGATGACTGAAAGGTAGTCAGAGCAGCACATCATCACTAATAAGATGTGGTTTTCGTCGAGTAGATCTAGAGCAGT